TAGTGCTAAAAAATAATACTTTATTTCTTTAAGTCTAGAAGGTAGTTTTGCCTGCAAGTTTTTTTTATAGTAAGTTAAAAACATGCAACTACCCCTATAAAAGTTAGTATAATAATAAGTGTAAGTTAATCTAGCATACTTAACTTATAACTTAGTGTTATTAGAATAATGCTAGCACTTTTAACTTTTTTTTTAATAGTAAGTGCACTGCTAATTACTTAGTAACTACTTACTTAACTTTATTTTTATAATTTAGCTTATATAACTATAAACTATGTTTACTTTTTTTTATAAAGTAGACTTTATAGCTTTTAGAGTAAACTACTACTTACTATTTTTTTAGTAAACATAATGTTTACTAGTAAGCTAGTTAGCCTAAGCCTACAGCTAGTAAATAGGGTTTGCCTGTTAACTCTAGGTGTAGTATTCTTGCAAGCTAGGCACAGGCGCAGGCACCACTACAGTAGGGGGAGGAGGAGGGAGAAGGGGAGTAGCTAAAAAGAGAGGGTCTTCCCTAAATAGCTACTAGACCTTATTATTATTATTATTATTATTATTATTAGGGGGTAGCAGAAAGAAGAGAAGAGAAGGAGGAAGAGGAGAAGGTAGTAGTAGTAGTAGAGAAGGAGGAGGAGGAGAGAGGCAGAGGCGGACAAGGAGGGTAGGAGGGAGGCAAAGGCAAGGGCAAGGGCAAGGGCAAGGGCAATAGCAATAGCAGCTATACTAATGTTAGTAACCTGTGCTTTTAACTATAACTGCTGTAAAAATAGCAACAGCAACTAATAGCTTATAAGAAGCAAAAAATGCGCCTACTATAAGTTACTTTATAGCCTAAAGCAGCAGCTACTGCTATAGCTTAATGTTTATTTTAGGTTATAAAACCTAGGGCTTCTAAAAAAGACTAAAAGTAAGGCATATTAATGTTATAGTTAAAGTTAAACTTATAACATAGTGTTGTTTATATTACTATTTATTAGTTACTAGTAAGTTATGTGTGTTATACTTTTACTATAGCAACTTTACTATATTTTTACTTTTACTATAGTAACTTTATTATATTCTTACTTTTACTAACTTCTAAAACTTTTGCAAACTCCTAGACTAATAAAGACCCTACAACATATAGTACTTTTTTAAATTATAGAATACTTTAAAACTTTAGCTAACCTTTGCTAATTAGATTACTATAAACTATAATTTTACTTTAAACATTTTAGATATTCTAAGTGCTCTAAAACTCCTATAAACTCTTAGGCTAACTAAGGCATAAAGTAAAGAATTAAAGCCCTTAAAAAAATGCTTAAGCTAATAACATAATTTATAACACATTAAATAGCTTTTTTTTTTATTAGTTACATATTACACTTTTTTACTTTAAAATACTAGTAAGAAACTAAGAACTTTTTTTTAGTAATATAATATATTTCTATCTACATCTACTAATGCTGCCTAGAGTTATAATAGTGTGGTGTTTGTAGCTGTCTTATGTATATATAGCTTGTTCTGTCTACTGCAACTTGCATTATTGCGTACTATTACTAGCAAACTTCTATCTTCTAGGGGCTTTAGCTAACTAGATTAACTAGCGCTAGCAGTTAGTGTTACTAGCCTACTATTAGCCTGCTTTTAAACATCCTAGAGAACTTAGACTACATACTAAAAAAAGTTATTTATAAAATTTTATAAATATGTAACTTTCTAAGTAAGGCTTAATATAATTACATAAATAACACTATATAACATGTTGTTTAAAAGTAGTATCTCTAGTATAGTTAAAGTAAAGGCACTTATAGTTATATAGGTATTATCTAATATAACTAGCTAAAGAACAACGCAGCTACTAGAGAATGCAGATGCGGCCTACAGTGTACATTATAGTGCTACCTTCTTAGTAAAAGTGTTATTCTATTAATAAATTTAAGTAACATAATCTACACTTAAATTTTTTATAAATAATAAAGTATAAACTTAACTAAATTTATTTTACTTTATGCGCTAGTGTTATAGCTTTTTTTTATAACAGACTAAATATATGTTTGTAGACACTACTATGCCTAAAAGTATATTATAAAGTGCTTTAGCATTAGTCTTAAAATATTTTTAACTAAATATAAATAAAACATGCTTATATATCTTATTAACTATAAGATTTACTTTAATAGTATACTTAATTTTATAGTATTATAACAGCTTCTATTATAAGCATGTCTTTATATACACAGATAAAAGTAGAGGTGCTTAATATATAGAGTTACTATAGTGTCTCTCTACCTAAATTCTAGCCTACTTATTAAAAGTAATAAGTATAAAGGTAGAAAGTGTGCTTATTTTTAAAGTAGAAACTACACTTAGAGGCTCTAGCAGTAGTGTAGCTAGTAAAAAAAGTGCAATGTTACACTTTAAATAGTATAAACCTAGTATAATAATAAATTTGTCTTTTAAAAAAATATTATACTTCTCTAGTTAAAATAAAATACCTTTGTAGTAACATAGACTATTAGCTATATTAATTTAGTAATTACTTATGTTTGCCTAGGCCTATATATTAGACTTTGTCTAATATCTAGTAGAAAGCTAGTCTAACTTAGTAGTTTTTTAGCTAGACTTTTATAAGTAAACACTATTTATATTGCTAGTATTACTTAGTGTAAAGCTTTAAGCTAATTAACTATGTACTTTTACTTTATTAACTAGTAACTAATTCTGTGCTGTTTTTCTTTTTAAAGGCTGTCTATTTTATTTAAGGTAAAGTAGTAAAACACCTAGTTTATATAAACCTTTAAAGTTAAATAACTAATATAGTAGAAATATATATATAGTACTTAATTAACTAAGTGCGCGTCTACTGCGCCTAGCACACTGCTAAAGATCTAAGAGGCTCTTTATAATTAAAAACTTCTAGCATATAACGCAGTTAATATTAGAAATATTAACACCTATGCCTAGTAAAGTAGTAGCTACTATAATTTAGATACAGGATATTAGCTTTTTAAACTTAGAATAACATTTATTCTAGTTATATTTTTACATGTTTATAGTAAACATCTCTACTATGTTGTACACACACTATAGACTATTATTAATATTAGTTATATACTAATTATAGGGTTTTAGTTTTTCTGTTAAATAAAGAAGTATTAAGTAAAACTACACTATAGCTAACTAAATAAATATACACTTATTAATAAATATAACTATTTTAGAGATCTCTCTAAAATTAGTATACTTACTTAAGACACTTTTTTTTAGAAGAAAATAAAGACTATTTTATAAGTTAACTTTACTTTATAGTAAAAAAACTACTAAAATAGTAACATTAAAGTAATTAACTAATGTGTAGATAACTTTAGTCTAGTACATATAGCAGCCTAGCAGACAGAAACTAGCGTAGCGTAAGACTGCATCCTCTGCAGTACTGTCTAACATAGTAAAATAGGTAAACTAAATAACATTCTTTTAAAGTATAACTTATAGTTAACTTAGTATTATAAACATAAGTTAAAACTTTTTTTAGTTTAATATAAAATAATATTTATTAATAGCTACTAATCTAATTTAAAACTATAACTTTAGATTTTTTAGAATGTTCTAGAAAGCTCTACTAGAAGCCTACTCTAGCTTTATAAGTAAATAAGTAAATTTTTTATTAATAATTTAAGTAAACAGTCCCTACTAACTAGCCTTACTCTACGCATTAATAATGCATAGCTTAGATTTTTTTAGTTATTATATATTATCTAGCTGCTTATTTTTAAGCTTATTTAGTAAAATAATTTAGATAGTAATTTTAGTAGTTAACACTAAATAAGTATAAAAGATTATGCTCTTACTAAAACTAGTTTAGGTAATTAAAAGAGTATTCTTATAATTAAATATTAGTTGCCTTAAAGTACAGACTTACTTATTATGCAGTAATAAGCTACTATTATTAGCGCTTATTATTCTTTCTTTATAAAGGATCTGTGTAAGACACGCGCAGAAAACGTCCTCTTAGAATTTAACATTATAGACATCCTTAGCTACTAAGATAAGGCTAGAAAGATTCTTTAACTTTATAAATAAAATAAAATTAATTTAAAGCTAAAAGCTTAAAAAAATAGGGCCTTAACTTATTACATTTAAAGCATTTTAATATTCTTACTTTTTTTTACTTTTTTACTATTTTAAATGCTTATCTTTTTTTTTCTCAACTTTTTTTTTCTTAACTTTTTTTTTCTTAACTTTTTTTTTACTATACTTTAAAAGTTTTTAAAAGTCTTTAGAAGTCTCTAGAAGTTCTTAAAAGTTTCTAGAAGTTTTTAAAAGTTTTTAAAAGTTTTTAAAAGTTTCTTAAAAGTGTAAAATCCTTAACGCCCTTCTTATTAACTAGGTTATATAATGTAGTAGGTTAAGTGTAGGTGTACTAATAACTGTAACTGCACACCTATACCTGTTTACACTAAAGTTTTAATTACAGAAAGTAATAGAGAAGGCATGTGTGCCTTAGCTTCTGCAGTTATAGAGGGATACAACATGTAGTGTTAACAGAAGTAATAGGATAGAAATAGACAGTTAATAGCTAGAACATATAACATGTTAAAAACATGTTTAATAATGTACTTTACTTTTTAAATAGTGTTAGATACGTCTTAAAATATGCTTATTATAAAAATAAATACCTCTATTTTTAATTATATTAAACATTTTAATAGATACTAATGCTAGTGTAGTGCTATTACATAATTTAATAGATTTGTAAACTAAAATATATATAAACTTGCTCTATTTCTTCTTAGACGCTCTGTAGATAATTTTACACGTTATTAGTAATTAGCCTCTAATTAGCCTAGAAGACTCTAGAAGTTTTAATTAGCTTAGAAGTCTTAGAAGTTTTGTCTAATCTAAAATAGTATTAGCGCAAAATCATCTGTGGGGCGGCTGACTCGTGAGATAACCTTGGGAAGAGCCCAGATGCATTCATTACGCGGGCTTGGCGTTAACCTGGCCCAAGCTCCTGCCATCGACAACATTCCACCTTCTTAGGTTGGAATATTAGAAGATCCCGGGGGTCTAGAGAGTTCGTTACTAATTCACCGCGTTCATAAGGTCTAAAGAACAATGTTCCGCTGGAGGCCGTGTCTACGCAGCCTGCAACCTCAACGAGCGCTACATCCACGGGCTCCATGTCGTACCTACAGACTGGAACCTGGTGGACGACGAAGGCCACAGTACAAGCGCTTTGAGACAACTTCAAACCTCTTCCGCAGATGGGCCGCGAGACCGACCTTCTACACGGAGATTGGGCTGGTCAGTGTTGGGGTTGGCGGCTTCTACGTGTATAACCTAGAGGAAGTCCCAGTATAGTCCCACTTTTCCTCACCTTTACCGGATCGCCTGCTGACCTGTTGTGCGTTCTAGGTTTCTGGACGTCGCAGGTTTAACATAATAAGTCCCGCAATGGAAGAATCCATCGCTCAGGGAACACTGGAGGAGATCAAGCGAGAATACCAGTCCAAGTTTCTGCCGCGCTGGGACCCGCGAGTGCGCCAAGTGCAGCGGGTATTAGGCAGGCTTATACCGTACGCGGAAAAGGCTGGTCTGCAGAACATCCAGTGGGAAGTCAATGTAATCGAAAGCCCAGAGCAGAATGCCTTTGTCATCCCAGGGTATTGTGGTTACCACACCTTAGATACTTCCTGTACTGACCACACTCAGAGGCAAAGTCTTCGTATTCACGGGAATCCTGCCCTATTGCAAGAACGAAGACGGTATTGCTGCTGTTCTTGGTCATGAAATTGCGCATGTCGTTGCCCATCATACCGCGTACACCGGCCCATTACACGCTTAAGCTTGCAGACACTGATCACTCCTTCAGGGAAAAGATGAGCCAGGCCCCACTTGTTCTGGCCGGTGCTCTTCTTCTATGGAGCTACGATCTGTCCTTCTACACGAGTAGAATGCTGATGGATCTGTTCTTGTCGTTACCTGGGAGCAGGAGACAAGAGGTATATCAACGATATCTCGATACCTCACTTTGCCTGGAGACTAACCAACTAGTAGGCCGAGGCAGACTACATTGGGCTATGTGCGACACCCAAACACCGCTCCCGCAAACAAGCTACTGACAGCTTCAGTAATGATGGCCGAAGGATGCTATAACCCCGAAGCCGCAATGGAGTTTTGGAGCCGAATGGAGAAGTCGGGGCAAGGATCTCAGCCTCCTCAGTTCATTTCGACTCATCCCTCTCACCAGAACCGAGAGGAGAAGATTAGGGAATGGGATGTGAAAGCCTACAGATCTGATTGCAGCATGCTAATACCTTACTAGGCTTCCCAAGGCTCGCGAGAAACAAGAGAACTCTGACTGTGGTGGGCTGATGAGCTACGGTAAATCTTCTTTGTTCCCCTATACAGTGGGACTTGACTAAGAGGCCTCTAGCGGACCAGTTCGGAAGGGCTTTTGGCCAACTGCGGTGGGAGTAATTACTAGTGGACTGGCCCTCCTCAAACCGATGATTTAACCCCTGTAATGATAGGTCTATGTAGGATATGGATGTATGCTCAAGATGTTACGAGGAATGAACAGCTATCTCGCGCCTCTCTTACTGTCTCAGCATTGTTATCAAAGGCTATTGAATCTGCTGCCCACCTGCCCTGTTATTGTGCAGTATTTTTAACCACTGGAGACCTCTAACAACTCCAAGACGACTCGTCAGGCCTGCGTCCTAACCGAGAGGCACATGGCCATTTAACCAAAGCCTTGTCTTCTTTTCAGCCGGTGTTACTTGGGCCAGCCCTGCGCAGCATGTTGGATATCAAAGAACATAACGAGGGCCCGTTTCCTCTACATTCTGCCTCCTCTATTTAACGATGTGCTTGACGATGTGCTTGAGCTCCTTTCGTGTTGGCACTACACTTTTTTACTTGCGACAAGAACACAACAAGGATCTAATCTCAATCAGAGATTACCATCCCCTCAATATCCTCAGAAGTTCAAGCAAGAGGGTCAATTGATCATAGCTACCTCGTACTCCGAGTCAGATGTCGGGTCAACGCTACAATTGACAGGATGCATCCTCGGGCACTCGGAGAGTTCATCATTGAGAGAAGTCGACAGATCCACAGAACCATTTGGGTCGTTTCAAGATCTCGTAAAACCACCTGGGCATGGTGGGTGCGATAAACGGGACAGCTTTCATTCGCAAAACTAGCAACGCGTCTCAAGATCTCGTGTCTTAATACTTCGCTTAAAGCTTGAAGCTAGACCTTCCAACTGAACATTTCATTAGTTAATGTCACTACCCAAAAGGAACCATTTCTTCTCATTGCCGGTTGGAGGATGCGGCAAACGACTATTTGGAGGGACAGGCTTGGAATAATGCGACAAATCAGCATAGTCTCGTCCCTGTCGAGGCAGAGATTTTCTGATCAAAGTACCTGCAGGCTGCAGCGTTCCTTGTCTGGTCACGGAACCTCGCACAACATCCTAGTCGAGAAGTTGATGGGGCAAGGAACTTGCGGTCGGCTAGCCGTCGCTTCTGGTGTCACCAGTCAGCGAGCTTGTCCGGAGATGGTGGGTGACAGCCGTTAGATCGTAGCTCGATCGATACTTTGATACGCTTCGGGGAAGTTTAATTCACGGCTTCTATTTTGAACACGACTGGAGCTAATTGGTCTTAAGGGCGGTCGCGCGACTTGCCTTCTCTGTGCGTCAACTGCAAAGGCACAGTGCGAAAGCGAACAAGAGACATCTTTAATCTTCCAATTCGAGCCGACTGATCCCAGCCAGTCGTATGATTGACGTCTAACCGTTCCAATGCGCCCCACTCTGCGCGCAGGAAAAAAAGCACGAATTGAGAAAAATACGTGGAAAAGCGCCGAAAAAGCACCCCGTGTCGGGATGGATGGACGCAACATGTCAGGAACCTCTGGCATGTGCGAAGAAAGTAACCACTGTCATGGAGACCTGGGTGTTGGCCACGAAGAACGGGTCGAGTAGGACAACCTGATGGTGGGTAAGGTGTCATGAGCAATGGCTCCGGACTTTTCATATCTGAGACGCTTGGAGATGTCTCTGTGTGTCGAGCTGCCAGCCTCCCGACCCGACCGGCTGGGACGAGGGCTGCACGACTAGAGAGCAATAGCAACAGGAGGTGTTGTGATGTGGCTGAACCTGTTCGTTTCGTTCCTGGGCTTTTCTTCAAATTGCACACTGACGCAAGGCAATGGGGCCTTGTCCCTGCCTGCGGTGCAACCGGAAGATGATCCTTCCCTGCCTCTTTCCAGCAGTCCGCCTCATTGCTCGCCGAGGCCATTTTTTATCTGTGCAGATGCAACCAATGAAAGGAGGCCCAGAGGATCAAGTCGCAGAACAGGATGCAAAAGGGTCGCCTTTGGTCGAATGATGCATCCGGCTTCATGGCATGTGGTCATCCGGCGACTCTCTCCGTTCAGCACACCATTCCCACAGAGTGTGTGAGGAGCCCTTGGTTTGACGCCTCAAATGGGATTGAGAGCTGAGGCCATGTTGTTCCAGAAGTGAGGTTCACTATCTGCGAGCACTAGGTCAAAGCGATGCAGTTGGTGGTGTTTCCTTCCCAGCAGGTGTGCTTCCATGGAACACGCTGTAGTCTCGGGCCAGATTTCAGCAGCGGGTCACTTTCTCGTCTTCTTCTTCTTCTTCTTTGCCAGAAGAAAGTCCAAGCCCTATCTGGCACTTTGAAGAAGAAAAGTAAGATTTGGCGACAGCCATGGCGTTTGTTCGTTTCGCGTTGAGATCTTGTCCCACACCGTTTCCAACGGTCAGCCAGGGCGTTAAGAAACCCTCGATTAACTTTCGCTTTTGCTTGAGTAATAAGAAGGCCTTTTTTGTTTTAATGCTTGTTCTGTCTTGCGATCTTCAGTCTTCAATCTGTCGATACACGGCCACAGCATGCTAGCCACACTCAAGCCACAGACTGTCCGACGACAACGGTTGGGTTACTCAAACTAGCAGCACTACATCATCTCTCCGTTCACGGGATCGATCGCAAACATCAGAAGGCTGACCCGAAACACGTTATCATGCTTATGGTTCCACGGGAGGGGCTGTGGGCTGAAGCAACAAGGTCAGAAGGCCGGTCTTATGTGCAGATGAAGCCAGCCTCATCCTCCCCCGATTCTGACATCCATCATGCCTGAATACCATGGTGCCATTGCTGAGTTATTCGCCGGGAACGATGCAGACGGATTCGAGAATGCTGTGCGAGGTCGGCAGTCGTAGAAGATGAATGGTCAATAGGTCCCCGAAGAACCAGGATATGGGAGCACACGCCTCTATGATATCAACATATATCAGACGGAGCATATACATATGAGTACTATCTAACCTAGTATCCAATACGGACTTCAAAATTTTGGCCAAAAATAGAAATAATAAGAGCCCGTCAAGGCGTATCTGATGGCAACACCCTTTATCTATCCTCAACCTGCCCTTGGTGACCCAACTGCGGCGCACCTATATATGATACAGAGGCACAGGTTGCAGCACGCTCGACCCGAGCGCGATGGGGGTAGCAACTGTGGAACAGGAAAGATTCCGGAAATCGGCACACGATATAAAGCGTCAATGCTTAGAGAAAAGGCGCATGAAGGCCAGGTGTATCGATAATCGCTAATACATGGTATCATCTGAAGATACCTGAAATAGTGTCGCAGAATTTTCCAACAACAAGCCAGTCCGCGCAGAGGCTGAACGTGTGGTATCATCCATAGGAAGCCCCCAACCTGACGCCAGTGAAAAAAAATAATCGCCGAAATGAAGAGGGAAAAAATAGAATGGCTCTGCTCGCACATTGAGCCGAGCCTCACCAACCGAATATATGCCACCGTATGCTACAAATATACAGGAGCCGTTATTTCGTTGCGCTTAAGTTTCTTCCATGAGTGCTTGGTCGTCACCAGCCTCACGCCATTCGCGCGATCGCTCCGACAGCCGCTTGACACCAGTAATGCGCTCTGCCCAAAGGGATTCGGAAGGGGTGCGGAATGTGTAAGCCCGTTGTGAACTGATTACTCCAATAGCTTGTAGGACTGCCTTGCGTGAATCCCGGCCGAAGACTGCAGGGTGGTTGATCCATTCGAGGGAGGATTCCAGCTCTGCATCAAGCGCATGCATTGTCGTTGCGTCGATGCCTGCCGCGGGAGTAAAAGGATTCTCTGCATGAGGGGAAGGGGTCCTTGGTCGATCGCTACTATCGACTGTCGGTGACTGTCCAGCACTCCCAGATGCGCTTGGTGGATCGTTACGCCGATTACCGGGAGGGGGAGGAAGTGGAGGTAAGCCGCCTTTGCCGAGCCCCTTTAGTATGCTCCTAGTCTCACTCAAAAGATGATGAGCTCGCTCGTGCTGGCCACGGGAAACAAGAGTCAGTGCGCGCGTTAACATATCCGACGTCAACAACTCCATACGCCGCTGCACTACATGAGGGTGTGGAGGAATGGGAGGTGTCGACGGACGCCCATTTGAATTCTTCTTCGAGTTCGAAGGTAGAATTGTAATTGCCAAAAGAGATTGACGAGGAAGATGAGAAAGAGTGCCCTCCCGGAGAATATCGCCGTAAGTAAGGTCAGCTTGTATCAGAGGCACCTCTTCAACGCTGAGGCTTCGTGATTCATCCTGGTCCAAAGGGCCGCCTAATGCTTCTAAACCTGAAACGATTGTTTCCCAGGGGTCTTGGGGAAGTTGCTCTGGTGAAGCCGTATCGGGAGAGATGGCCAACTGCACAAGAATATCTGCACAAAAGTAAGTACATACGCATCAAATGGGATAGGTTTCGCAAACCTCTCTTGTCGCCAAAACGGAGGTCGCCCAGTGAGGCCTCGGCATCCCGTCCAGTGGCGCGTTTCGTAATCTGTAATGCGCCGCTGATTTTGACGAATTTCGCGGGAGATCCCTCCGGAAGGCGCAACTTTAGTTTGACATTTTGATGTGAGGTAGTTTGGAGGGAGCCTAGGCATCCAGCCACGCACTCTCGAAGCATCATCCAGTCTTTGACATAGGTATAGGATGCCTTGGTCCGGGTGGATAGTTCGATCATAGTGTCTGGTTTGTGGGTGAGACCGAGACCGAAGGAGTGAATGGCGACCCTGCATAAAGTCAGTACAGACTAAGTCATTCAAATCATGCATAAACACTTACTTGGCAGCCTCGGCTCGAGAAACGACAAAATCAACACTCTCCGCATCCGAAGTGGACGAATCACTGATGAGCAAGATGCTGGATACGGGATTGTTCGACTTGCGCTGCATAAGGAGGTCCATGGCAACGTTTGCACCCTCGACCACGTCGGCCCGCAGGCTCTTCTGTCCTACCGGGCGGATGGAGTCAAGCACCTTCGGCCAGCCGTTCCAGGCTTTGCTTGTCATGCCGACAATGGGCACGCCTCCCCCACTGGAGCCAAAGGTAACCAGCCCCATACGATCCCGCTCTCCTAGATTGGAAACAAGGAACTTCAGGGTATCGCGTAGCAGGTTAATCTTGAGACCCTGCATGGAGGAAGAGACGGGGATGACGACCACCATATCGAGAGGCACGTGGATTGGTCCAGCAAGCCGCGGTTCTGGTAGGCCAGCACGCGAGTTGGTGTACTCGGTGGGCGCGGTGACATTCGATCTTGCGGCTCCGTAGGATGATGAATTCACGGAAGATACCCGCCTGGGTTTTGATACCTTGTAGTCTTCTTCATCGGTACCAGAGTTGTCATGGTCGTAGTCCGGCATCCTAGTGGGCGGCGGGAAGTCCATCCTGATATCCATCAGTGCGCGCCTCCACAACTCGAGCTGGCTCCGGTTTTGGAACTGCAAGTGGAAGGACGGCAGCTCGGCGACGGAAAGGCTCAGGGTCAGAATGGCATCATCGGGGGAGTGCTCGACCTGGTTCAGGTGCTTCTTGATGAGGATGGACCCCTTCAGGGTGCATTTGGGCTTCCGGCTGGCGGACTCGGCGGCGTCCCACTGCGTAGGTTGGGCAGTCTTCTTCTCCTTGACGCAGATAAGCATCTCGGAGAAGAGATAGCACTCCAGCTCCTGCCACGACTGACGATCCTTGCCCACACGTACATGGCCGTGCAGGCGTAGCTTCCCGAAACGCGAGAAGTCAAGGCCATGCCAGTTGTCGACGCGGGCGTGTAGGTCCTCAGTGATCTCGTCGAGGGCCTCGGCTGACTCGTATGCGTTGTCGAAGGGCCGGCTGTGAGGGGGAGATTTGGCTCGGCCAAAGTGGTCGGTTGTGCTCTGGATGGAGGGAAGTGGCGGTGCGCCGCGCATGTCCTCGGGATCCGCCCTCCACTTCCCCTCAACCACCTCGACCGTCACCAAGCACGTCAGGCTCTGCTGCTGGCGCGACCGGCTGAGAGTTGGGAACTCGCTGCGGACCGTCACCATTGGCGCGGGAATAGGGCTCCTCAGCAGGCCGCGCGGGCTACTCAGGCTACTCTCCATGGACTGCACATCGTAGTCATGTCTTCTGCCATCGTGCGTAGCCGCATAGTCGCCAGATGATGCTGCACCGGTTGCCCCGCTGTCGCTCCTCATATGCTGGCGGGACATGGATGAGCCCATCCGCTCCGAGCGTTCCCGGCTGTGGCTGCTGTCGCGCTGGCGGAGATGCGGGGGCGGGTAGCGTCCGCTTGGATCGCTGTCGTTGCGCGGGCGTCCATGGCTGTGGCTCTGACTCTGACTATGGCTGAGGCTGTCAGAAATCGTCTGTGTCTCCCATGGTGTTGGCGTGTTCTGGCTGCTTCTACCCCCCTGGCTGGAATCGTGCTGCACCGATCGAACGATTGTGCTGAGTTTCTCTATGTGCTTGTTAGAAATTGACGCCTATTGCTTCCCATCTTTCTACGCCTGCCCGCGTACCACACTTACCTAGATCTAGCACGTTGCCACCTCGGCTAGTGTCCAAGCCCAGAGTCGCATTGCATGTCGGGCAGTGTTGCGACTCGAACTCGCGGATGTATTCGTAGAAGCAGGCTTCGTGGGAGACATGTCCACACGAGAGCTGCAGGATGCGTTCGCCACGGAGTGTGTGTTCTAGCGGCTCTTCGCAGACGGCGCACTCGCTCCCAATGAAGGTCCTCTCGCGGCGGGTTCGGGACCTCTCAATGTCGAGCACGCCGGCCATGCCTCTTGCAGACCGAGGAGGTACAGTCGAGGCGAGAGTGGAATTGCTTCTCAAGGCGTGGGAGTTGAAGGGTTTGGCGGTGTCGGAGGAGATGTGGGATGAACGAGAGTGTGGACGGAGGCCTGCGAAAAAAGACATGAGCCGGTCAAAGCTTTGGAACAGGACGAAATGAGCAGTGGGTGTATGTACTGTGGTGGGCCACCGGCGATCCAAACTCGACGACCTTGGGCTTCGTCTTTGCCGAACTTCTGGTGGACTTTGTAGACCTTTTGCGTGTCTTACTGCCCAGGAGGCCGAGCTCGAAGAGGTTCGACTCAATGTCGGACGAAGCTTGTTTCTGATGGTGATGGGGAGGGTGTCGGCCAGAAGACGAGTGGAAGCCGTTCGACATGGAACTGGGTGTGAGGAGCAGACGGGCAGGCTTTTCGTTCGCTTCAGGCTCGTTTCAGCATCGAGACTGCGCGGAAGATCGCTGGGAGGAGGCCACGGGCTGGCGGGACCTTTAGAGGGGAGTAGCTGGTCGGTTCGGAACCCTGACCGGGGTGGAGTGGCACCGGGAGTGAAGACAAGAGACAGGGGATTAATTACAACGGCGGGCCTTTCGCAGAAAATACGTCGCGGATGATGGGGGTCATGGGCAGCTTTGCGGGGATCGGTTTGGCGTCGTGAACATGGTGGATATATCTCGCGTTTACAGCTAGTAGAGCCTTGACCAAGGGCAGGCAGTGCGGGCAGCGGCCTGGCAGGAAGAGGCCAAATAGGCCATGGGTCAGCATTAGCAGAGGAGCGTGGCCCGTACCGACACTGCAGGCTGTCGCATTCCCCTGTCTTGGGGCGAATCCGCCGCGACGCCTGCAGAGGCGGTCGCACAGAACGACGAGGGATCCCTTCGCTCCACCGGGTGGGAGCACAGGGTTGGCGGCGCAATAGGGGGCTTTAGCAGCTCCCGGTGGCGCAATGACTGGCAGCTCATTGGCGTTTTCAATACGCCCGATTCAGCGCAGACGAGGCCGCCCGCGACAGCGGAACACACTGGCTGCTACTATTCAGTTTTGGGGCTCGCGCAAGAGTTGCCGACATCCGCTGGTGGTCTGGTTGATATTGAGGCTGGCAGAAACAGAGACAGTAGCAAAAGGACACATGAGGTGAGTCGAGACGGGCGGTGGGATGCAGGCGTCGGCAACGATGCCAGGCCGGCATTCGACAGCCGCAGAGCAGAACAGTGACGGCAGTAAGCTCGTGCTGCATCCGCGGATCGTCGAATGACCGCTTGAGCTTGGTAGTTTTGCCGGCTGTGGGCTGTGGAACGACGACCGTTCTTCGACTTCCTCTCCACTTCGAGCATTGGCTGCCCGAGTCAGGACGCCGCGTTTAGAGTTTAGTTTGCTCGGAGGATTGAGCAGCTTCCAAGCAGCGCTCCAAGCAACGTCTCCCGAGCCTGCGCAATGACTGGCCGGGCGTGACTGTGAAAGTAAAAGTTTCTGTGTGCTTTATGCAGAATGATGCATTTCTCCAGGTGACATCTGCAGGGCTGCTGAGCTCTTCTTTGCAGGAAGTTAGAAACAGGTGCGCTTGTGAACGGCTCAAGAAGCTAACCTCTTTTAATTTAGACATTCGAACCGTGGCCACGCTTTGCTACTTGCTATAAGGTTTGGCCGAGGCGCAGAGGAGGCGTGCCGTAAAAGGGGGGCTGTCACGATTGACGAGCTCGAGTCCTGACTCCAAAGTGTTTTAAGGTTGCACGATGGCGGATGGACGGCTCGTGAAGTAGTGGAGATGGTGGTTTCTTTCCTTGTGCCCAACGAATGATACCGCGACGGCGAATTGCGCAACCTCTGCACATGGCAGCCACGAGGGCAGCTGATGCTCGCAAATCTCGTCCACCAATCTCTTCCTGCCCCAACGCGAGAGCTGACGAGGTCCAGCACGGCGTGTGTGTGTGCACCGCGGTAGCACGGTTAAACGCAAGTCAACGGCCATCCCCAGTGCTTCCTGGGGAAATCCGCCGGATCCAGTCCTGGCGCGAGCTGGCCTGTTCAACTGTATTTTAACATCACCTCGTTCTCGCGCATCGCCTGCCATATCGACGGTTCTTTTTGATGTCTGAAGCGTCTGCTTTTTCAGCCCATCATTCGATTCCATATGGCAGGTGACCGGTTCCCCTATCCCCGAACTAGCATGTCTCTAGTAGTGCATGATCTTCGGCCCTATTCTAGAAGCCCTCTCAAAGCACTCCCCGTCGTCTGGGCATTGACCGGATCCATCGCCTTCCTCTTCATTATTTATCAGTCATTACTACTACTATGATTCAGCGCCGACCTAGATGGTGATCGCCGCGACAATCATGCATTAAGCCACGTGTGCAGAGTACCGAAGACTAGAGTGATCCACTAACTGACATCTGACTCTCCCGATGGGGCGTTTTGGACCACGAAGGATCAACCTTGGACTGACGCTGGACTATAACACCCATTGTAAGACTTGTTCTTTTGATTTGCGGGCCCATGGTCCCTCGATTTCGGCTCCACAATGCATCGCTCTCCCTTCCTTTATCATGTTCATTCTACACATTAGATCAGGGTCATCCTGTCTTTCTGAAATGCTTCACTGAATGTCTGATTACTTGATTACGTGCCTCGTCTCCAGGCACGTGGCGACGTTACGGCTGTTCCCCAACTCCAGGATTCTCTATCCCACGGTCCGGGCTACAGGGACAGCTGCACTGTATTGTTCGGGTTGACGCATCCCAGACCATTTAAGGACAACTAGGCCCCCAAGGAGCTTTACCAACTCCGAGAAGGCAACCAAAAGGGTGGTTTCTTAGCCCTGATCATAACCCTTCTCCTTGTGTAGGCTGCCACGCGGTGGGATAGCGGACAAGCAGTACCTTTATGACCGCATGTGGGCTGCCAATTCCACGGATTTTGGAGAGATGGTTCAACTTTGGCACTCAAGGTCATAGGAAGCCACGCATCAAGACTTGGGACGCTTTTTACAAAAAAATAAACAAATATTCTTGCGTTTCCACCCAGCTCGTTGGCTAGACACTGCATCGAAGTTCTACCTTAGTAATATCTTCTAGAATAACTTTCTTTTTGAAACCCATTCCACCTGCTTTTTTCTCACTTCCTCAACCCCAATAACCATGTTCCCTCTTTTCCGTTTTACTTCTCCTGAAGCCACTCACATTGTCCTTCCCTGCCCAGTGTCCGGCGCCAATACTCATTCCAACCTCGCTCAAATCAGATCACTGCATATGCAACAGTTTCCATTTGCAACAATTCTCAAGCGCCACAGATCAACCCTAAAATGTGGCTTCGTAGCTACACGCCACGCAGCAGCTAGGGGCGCCCCCGGTGTCCACCATTTCGGTCAAATTAGCATGTGTTGTTCTGGACAAATTGCCCAATGCCTACCTAGCAACGGCCTACGACACCGATTTATGCTAATGTACAAATATACAGTGCTCACAAAATTTTCCTTTGCATATGTTGGCGCCACTTCGTCACCACTTCGTCACCACTACTCTAATGGCTAAGTCTGTCTAGATATTCTCTGCCATCTTACCTCACCAAAACCCGCACCCCCTTGCTCCCCTCCCAAGGCGCTGGGTTAAACCAATCCCGTTCAACTTGCACATCTCTTTCCTTAGTCTCAAACAACTCCAAGTTAATCAGCTTCCCCTTCCCCTCTCCCCCAGCCCTAAACATCGCCCCCAGCGCAAGAAACAGCTCCAGGTACGCCAAAGGGAGACCAACACACATCCTACTTCCCGTCGAGAATGGTACTAACCATTTCCTCCTTTCTTTTACATCCTCTACCGTTCCGAGCCAGCGCTGCGGATCAAAAACGTATGGGAATGGGAAGACCGTGGAGTTGAGATGGATATTATACATAGAGGTCATGCTAATAGGAACCCCGGGCGGTATCTCCCAGTCTTGGAAATTGAGGGAGACTGATGGTGAGATGCGTGCGAGACGGTGCGATGTGCCATGAGAGAGACGCAGTCCTTCATGTATCACAGCGCTGAGATAAGGTAGTCGGTACAAGTCGTGGTAGGAATACGCTTGGGGGAGAGAAACTAGTTCGGCGCAGAGTTTTGAGTGAACGTCCGCGTTGGCGAGGATATGGTATGTTGTTACTGACAGTGTCCAGGCCGTTGTTACAGTCCCGGCGCCGAGGAGAGTCAGACATTCTTCCGCGAGCCGTTGGAGAGATCTCTCGGGGGCAGGGAGGTGAGGCGATACTATCAATTCGTCGAGTAGACATCTTTCTTGATCTTGTCCCTCTTCCTGTCCATCACCACAATCTTTCCAGTTCATCTTGTTTGGTGCTATTGGCCTTCTATTCTCCGCGGTATGTATTTTGTCCGCAATCCAGTCCTGCAGCTCGAAAAGCTCTTTCGTCAGCGGGTGCACCAGTTTAAGCACCCTCCTCGGCACCTTCTTCATGATACCGTAAATCCAAGGAACTTGTTTCATCAAATGCGTATTCCGACTCAACTGCATCATAAACATATGTCTTTCCTTCCCACCACCAATTTCCCATTTCTCCTTTTCTAAAAGCCCAAAGCTGGTTCCAAACACAACTTCGCCTATTATATCAGCTGTTAGGGCCGTAAAAGCATCGACCAGATTCACGGGGTTATTCGTCCACCTGCTCTCTCCAAGTCTTTCTACCAGCCTATCAACAAACTGCCTTACTTTTTGTTCCAGCGCAGCTGATTTTTTCTGTGCGAAATATGAATTGAGTGCGGCGCGACGTAGCTTGTGTAGCTTGTGGTCCACGGTGCCTACGGAAGCGGAAGTAGTGCCAAACATCTGGGCAGAGAAAGACCATTTGTTGGTTTGTCGAACAGAAGATGCAACGTAGAGGGTGTGGTAGAAGGTGGGGTCCGAAACGTGAATTTCAGACGGGTTGATGCGAATTATTGGACCTGTAAATGGGGGTTCCGTTAGCAAGGGAGGGGACTGAAAGGCCGAAGAATGGGGCCAAAACGATTGCGCAAGGGGTTGAAGGATATTTCGTAGAATAGCTCTGCCATCCATCTTGGAATGCTTTATTGTCCTGTTCATTAGACGGCGAGATCTCCTGCCCGTTGGTGCTCCCCGGAGCGATCATCCGCATTGAGATGACTCTTCGACCGTATTGCTCAGAGCGATGGAAAAATTCTACGTATTTGCATGGAGTCAAACTTTGCCCTCATGATGCACACCAACTAAGGAAGGTATAAATGCTCTCTCCACCATAAAGACAGCACGCGGAACTTATGACAGGCGGTGATCATATTTGCTTACACTTTCTGTCCTCGTTTCAAAAATATTCTTCACGTCGAAGCGGACTTTGGTATCCGCGTGAGCATGTAGTTACAAGGGCTCTCATAAAAATCACCACTGCTCAGAACACAAACTTAAATAGAGACTCACCATAACGACGATGCCACTCCTGTATCTTCCAGCCAAATCTCCCATCCCTCACCACATCATACCAAAACTCCACCCAAAAGGTACAAGCTGCCAACCGAGGGCCTGGGAACTTGGTGATTGAACTGAAAAAGAGACGATACAGGCAAACAACGAGATAAATAACGAAAGTGCCAGCAACTAGGACGCACGGGAGAAAACTCATTTGTGGCGTCTGAAGGGGTATTCTTGGGGAAAGAGGAGTGATGCCGTGTTGAGGGGAGGGGAGGTGAGATTTGGTGAGGTACTTGTTGTATGGTACTTGCATGCACAGGTGCAGAACCGGCCAATCCCGAGATAGCAGGCGATATCGGCATCTGATAAATGGCCGTGTCGAACGGATGACTTGTGCATGTGAAGTTCGAAAACAGAGGCTGAGGAATCAAGCATATCTAATCCAGGTATCATCGACTGGCAGGATGTTGAGCTAATGCCCAATCTCATCCCACATAGTTCGCATGGTTGACTCAATCGGGGATAAAAGTTTGCCAAAGGCAGTGGACAACTCTTGCATGATTATTAACGTGATATGTTGGATTGAACATCGTACGAATGTACGAGGTGTGAAATTGCTGAGCGCTATCATTACAAAATTGAGAGTTGTGATAACTAATGCTCATCTCTTTTGTGATGATGCTCGCCTTGTGCTTCGATGCAAAGGAATCCTCCCCCAGTGCGCCGTCGCTATGCAATTAAATAATTAAACGAAAAAGGGTTATGGTAAGACAGTTTATCGAGAAAAGAACAGCATTAAAAGAACCGCTCGGGGAAATGTAGCGGGGAAAGAGATTTCAGATCTCAGGAAGAGGCGTTGGAGGGGGAATACCACCCCACTTTCCCTCTCCCTGCCTAGGGTTTTCGTTGATAACGAGCAGTTTTCGCCCGCCGCAGAATCCGCCCGGCTTCGCAATCCTTTGAACTTCGCGATAATGGCCCGTTAAGTTTTCTCCAGTCGCATTGCCGACGAGAGCGCCTGTGGGGTCGTCGTATTCCCAGACCTTTTCGGTTACCCTTTGCCCTGGCATTTCCATCTGTCGTGGGTTGAATGAGGGGAATCCAACTATGCGATTTAGGATGTCGTGTATGAGCGAATACAGCTTTTCTGGTCGTCTGGTCAAGGGTAGCCAAGACAAAGTGCGCGGATCATAGGCCACGCGAACGAAAGGATTCATAAGAATAGCCGAGTCTGCGGCCATGCCAAGACCGGTGCGGCGGTATTCCAGGTCGGCATTAATGAGACAGCATTCGGATGAGTCCCAAAAGGTGTCTTCTTCGGCGCGGAACCGTAGCGGTGACGAGTTGGGCGAAATGGGTGGTGGGTGTGTCGAGTTCGATGAGGATGCAGTATGAGAGGTTTGCAAATCCTGGAACCATTTCGCCTCGAATGCAGTCATACCTCCCCAGCAGCTCCGTACTCGGACCGCATCCGATCCTGCCAGGACATCTGAACGGCTCGTAGAGGAGCCCGCACTAGTAAACCAGGGGTAAAAGGGTATTCCCATATTGTAGCCATCCAGATCTCGTGTTGCGAATCTGTCGTAGAACTTGAAAGGGTTAATGAAGTCTACCGCACATGCTGCACCGTAGTTAGCTCGCCCGTTGGAGTCCACGTTTGTGGAGAAAAGGAGTTGAGCGGCCTCGAGAGGAACAAAGTTCACATCATTAATGAACAGCAGCCGGTCAAATGCTACGGGCGATTCTTCTAGTGGTCTCAATGCTCGGTTTCTGACCTCGGCCAAAAATGTAATTCTCTTTATACGGGTTTCTCCGGAGGGGAGGATAACGCGAGGCATTGTTGACATGTCGAACTTCTCGCGATTGATGGTAGAGTTACCTAACCGATTAGATAGGGCTATACAAAGCAGGGAAAGGAGAACTCACAAGTAACTTGCCTTTGGAACTCAACAAGGGCATCTTGAGAGACGGGGTCGGGGTCATTCTCATACAGACTCAGATAGACGTTTTTTGGGCCGAGCAGGTCGACCAGCTCCAGCACAGACCTTCCCCATTCGCCAGAAGTCAATGCCCCATTGGTCTCATAGATGGAGGCAGCTATGAATACTTTTTCGTTGCGCACGTTGGCTCGGCCGGGAAAGGTACTCCGTAGTGACAACTGGCGAAGCTCATTGTAATGGGCGGGCGCGTAAGTGTAGGAGGGGAAGAAGAGGGACCAGAAGACGACAAGAAAGAGGCAGAAGTAGGGGAAGAGGAAGAGGGACCAGTAGATGAGCCGGAGGATGGAGCGGCGCCGCCGTCGAGGGGTAATAAGGTGGGCGTAGGCGGCGGGGTTCAAGATGTGCTTCACGCCGGGCAAGCGCACGACCAGGAGGCCTAGCCACGAGGAATTTGAGACGGAACGCTGGAGGTCTGGAAAGTCGTCTGCTTCGAACGAGGCGCGGGGCAGCAGCTCATAGTCGTGCGCAGACCGGCGAAATCTGGCGGACATAGCATCAAGAAGCAGGCGAGGTCGCCGGCGGGGAACAGTCAGTCACGGGAGGAGGAGGAGGAGGAGGAGGAGGACAAAGGTGGAGAAGGAGCCATGCAGGCGAAGGGGTGGAGGAGTGGGTTAGATAGGTATGGAAGAGGATGAAGGCTGAGGCGTGGAGTTTGCTGATGACAGCCGTTATTGTGGACGAGGATCCTTTTCGGAGAAGCGCGCAGGAAAGAGGCGCAGTGCAGAAAGGAGCATCCGGGTCTGTGCGCCGTGGCGGCGGGTTTGGCCCAAAACGGCGACAACACCACATACTTTCTCCCATCATCAATCACCAAGTAGCACTCGTGGACTGCATTGAGCATCATTCAGGGCTAAACTTGCCTCTATATCTATATCTATATCTGCGCGGCTCTTATGGCTAACGTACAGCAATGCGCTTTCCAACTTGAGAAGCCGCCCAATTTGTAGATTGAAAGGGTAGGCACGCATCTGGACACGTAAGAATCGTAGTGAGTTGAGGCAGGCACGCATCTGAACAGGGAAGAACTGTGGGGGATTGATGCAGGCGCTCATCTAAACTGCCCTGGAGGTAAGTGTTGCAGTGAATCAAGATAGGCTTGATGCTGCTAAGACCCCGAAGCCGCTTCGTCTGCTATCCTTCGGTGGAGGTAGTGATGAGATTGGCCGAGTCGAGGGGGGAGATCGTGAAGGCTGATGCTTGAGAGTCTAAACACTCTATACGCGCAAACGCACTCTAGGCACATCTGCTGCCTCTCCCCACTTGCTCTCTCTTTCTGTCGATAATCATCACTACCCGTGCTTCTCCACGAGATTCCAGCTCACTTACCTCTATGCTTCTACATGTTCCCTCTCTTTTCTATGTCTTCTAATTCGCTCCCAGCATCTCGTCCTCGCAATCGTGAGGAAAAGCTGTACCAGAGTGTCCTCGACTTTTGCATTACAGGGTTCGGGAACCTCTCTCTATCTGGGCGGCGCCGGGCCACGGCAAGTGGTATTTTGCTCGAAACTCCCCTTCACCGCCATTATCTCTAGCAACCCATACTAACGCTACTCGCCGTCTTGTAGTTGTGCCAAGCCTAAATACCAACAACAAACAAACTCCTCCCACCACCTTGCGCGCGGCCTCTTCCTCTTCTGTTCCCCCCCCTACCCCCCAACTTGGAGCATCAGCTCTTGCTGCATCAGCTTTGCCATCCCCACCTCTGTCGCCGCAAGGTTCGATGTCGCACCGCCTGTCTGTATCAACTTCAGGTTTGTCCTTCACCCTCCATAATCACGTGGATTTAGCTTCAATCCTTAACCCACCTTCACGTTCGTCTGCTAGTGTCCTCTTCACTTCCATGCGTTCTGCCACCCAGCTCTCTGCTGTGCTAATCTAAATCTTTCAGCACCCGTTGAAATGAGCCGCGCCTTAGCTCGACCGGCTGGAGGTGAATTTGGCCCCCAGGACGCGCGAAGCAACCTCGCCGTGCAGCCTGCAGCCGTGGTGCCTAAAATCAATCTAAAAAAGGCGGCAGTCAAGATTGTTCGTCCAGCTAGCGGTCTGCTGCCCACTGCCCCCAAGATTGTTGCTACTCCGGTCACTGCAAAAGCAAAAATCGAAGATGGCCATGAGCTCTTGTCGAGCACGGTTCCACCGACATCAACAAAGCTTGCGGGCATTGAGTCTCAGAAAATCAAGCCTGAGGTGGATATCTCTCCACCGAAATCTTATCTTTCAACTTCGAAGAACAACGCTGCGTCCGCCCTCGATGCTATGTTTGCGAGGTTGGACTCCCAGAATCTAGCCACTAGCCCCGACCCTCATCCACCTTCGAACGTTACTACTGAAGGCGGCTCAGTTGCCAGCTCTTGTGCTATTTCCATCTTATCAAAAGAGGCACCTGTCATTTCCCGCAAGGATGCTCAGAGTGTCGATTCCTCGCCTCAAGCCAGGTCTTTAGAAGACACAGAAAAGAAGCAGACGGTACTGGATATTAAAGCAATGCCAGCTGAGATGCAGGGCAAAGTTATTGGAATGGCTGTGGAGTCAATGTCGAAGGAAGAGCTGGAACGAGAGTATCTCAAAACAGCCGCCGAATTCCTCAATTCACTACCTACGGGAGCTAGAACAGGGTCGGTAATTCCTATCCAGTCAGCTATGAGAAGCTTCCACCAGTTTGCCGTTCCAGAGGCCGTGATTAGTTCCTCTGCCAAGGCTGAGACGCTAAAGCGCAAATGTGTGGCTGCTGTTGCAACCTATCTTAATCAGATTCCACAAAATATCAACGGCGGGTTGAAGGGTGATGTGGTCTCTAAGATCTTCGAAGACGTTAAAGGGGACTTTCTTTACTTCTGTGCAAAATTAGTGGATGAGAAGGTCTTGAGAGTCGAGAATCTGAATCAAGTTCTCGGTCTGTGCCATGTCCTCAACAATGCCCTGTCTGCGGGTGGCGACGATGGCGGGAACAAATCTGTGGATCCTGGTAACCCTGCGAAGACTGAGAAGAATATCGCAGCAGCCATATCAAGACAGGAGTTCCCAGCTCCATTATCAGCCTGGCCAACCCAAGGGAAACGAGAAAATGGTGAGCTCAATATCTTGATATCATCCAGGGACAAGTGCCGCCAACTCCCCCAAGCTTTTCTCATTCCACGATCGTTCTCCCCAAGAATCCACTAATACTGACTAACTTCTAGTTGCCGGCATTCGCACCGTGATCCTCAAAGGTGTCGCCAGCCTCCCCAGCATCAACAAGCTGCAGGCATTTGTTTGGGGTGGGCGACTGGAGTCGCTCTCCTTTGAACTAGGGAAGGGAATTGCCTTGGTCAAGTTCTTAACCGCCGAAGGCTGCAAGAAGTACTTTGATGCTACCGTGAATGGCATTCCAATTCCCAGAGAGAAAGAGCTCATCTTCGTTGAGTTGGCGACGGGACCAAATTCGTTGAATGACGTTCTCCAGAACTGCATCGAGGGCGAAGCCTCTCGTTGCGTGCGGGCTGTGGATGCCGACGAGGACTGGGATGACATGGTGTTATTGAATCTCGCACGAGGGAAGGGTAAGACAAAGCGAGAGGTCGATCGTATCAAGCATGGCCGGACTGTCAAGGGCGTAAGATTTCTATTCCATTTCCCTCAAGTTTGGATTCTCTAACAATCCGCTCAGCGCTATTACATCGAGTTCCGTTTCGCCAACATTTACAATGCTCTCAGCTTCAAGCGCGCTTTACAGGATGACATGGACTGGGAGCAATGCACCATTGGGTTTGCGAAGGATCCTTGCGAGGTTGCTCGCGGCGTCCATCTCAAGGATGAAGATGAGGATACGGGCTTCTTCTAGGTAGCTGAAATGAGCTGGCACGGGAGTTGTTTCAATTCCTGAGTAGCAGAGACGATTTGCGGTGCATCCGGACCGATTCATGCCACTTCATTACTGATTCGAGGAGGCAACGGACTAGGTGTATGATGTATGATAGATTTCGGGATAGATGGTCGACTAGTAGCAGGGATGATGTCGAGCACGATACTAGCACATCTCCTACTTACCAGCAGAATTCACTATTGATTCTGTACAATACAAAGGAAAAAAAAACTTTCATACAAAGCTTTGACTAGGATCTTCTCTAATAAACCCCCTACGTGTTTAGGAAGTGGCTGTGCATGGGAATAATCATGTTTTTCATGCGTGACCTTGCATCCTGCTGGCTGTGTGCTTGACACAAAGTGACCTAAGAACGCTACCTTATCCCAGTCGGGCATTCCATTGCGCGACAGCATTTCATAACACTATTTAGTTCCTAACAATAAGGAATCATACACGGTTCTAACTAAACCCTCCCAGCATCCAATCCACATATCCCATCTAGCCAACCTACTAAGCCGTCAACGCCGAACTCAATCCCAAAATCCCCATGCCCACAAAAGCACTCGCAAAGCATAATTTCCTTGAATGTGTCAACTCCAAACTCTCCCCAAATAACTGCAAGCCCACCATCGCCATGATCCCTGCCGTAATAGCAAACATGGCTCCATAAGCGGTTTCCCCCGGTTCCTCTCCCCCCTCTTTCCTCCCTGCAATCTTGAACCACAGCGCCGCGATCCCCGCTCCCAGCGGCTGACTGATGCCGCCGAGGATTGCGGACCAGAACATAGCCTTCCAGCGAGAGTTGATAGCGAGATATAGCGGTAAAGCCATTGCAAATCCTTCGGTGATATTGTGCACGAAGAGGGCGAGGAAGACAGAAAAGCCGAGAGATGGGTTGGCATGGTTGGTTGCATATGTTATAAAGCCTTCTGGGAGTTTGTGGAGAGCGATTGCGATGCTGGTTTGGAGGCCTATGGAGAGGAAGACATTGGTCGGAACGTGGTGATGGTGGTGGTGCGAGTCGTGGGAGCGGACGGAGGAGTCGAGGGAATGATGGGAGGGTTGTTTGCGAAGAGGGTGGCTGTAGCCGTTGCTGTTTATTAGGGGTTGGGTTTCTAGGGAGTTTCCCACGGTGGGAGGATCGGATTGCGTGGGTGTGAGAGCTGAGTACTCGGCGCCTTCTTCTGGAAGAGCCAGACGTTCGTGTGGCATCGTGACTGATCTGTTGCCTGATGGCCGAGTTGGCGGCTTCCTGCTTGGGTATGTTCGCGAGCCAACATCCCGTGCGTGTTGAACAATCTTGAAGCACTCCTGGCCGCATGGGTCCGAGTAGCCAAAACACTGCCCATGCATATCACAAAATTCTTTGGAGCCAGAGACGAGTTGGGAGACCTTGGTTGAAATCTGTGTTTGTAGCGATGGGCGTCTTGCTGATAGCCTTGACTGTGGGTGCTGGTTTATGGTCCCATATCCAGGGACAAGCGGCTGCCTTTCTGCTTCTGGGCCACTCCCATCAAAAGCAAGCGTAGTCCTTTGCTGGTCCTCTGGAAGATTTTGCACCAAATCATGATACCCACCTGCAGGCTCTCTGTCCACTGGTTCCTTGGTCCCCTCTTCTTCGTCTCCATGATCGTGATCACAATCCACGACCGAATGCGGAATATAGTGATGGAGAATCCGAGACAAAACTGAGATTCCCAGCGCGCCAATCAAAAAGCATCCAATCAGCGCAAAGCTTGCTTGTTTGGGTTTCATTCCTCCCTTCTGCAAGTAACTCCTCGCGGATGGCAACATGCTGTACAGAGAAGAAAATATCTGTGGTCGTCAGTCAGGTGACATGAGCCTATGCGCAAAGCTAGTGTGCAGAAATCATACCATAACTCCAAAAGATAAACTCAATCCTGAAGAAAGGAAATGGTTACTGTGTTCGATTTTAAAATTTCTTTTCCCTGGAAATTGGCGGATGATGAGGTCGACACAAATTATCGATGCTGCTGCTGTTTAGCGTAAAGAAAGGCGGACAGATACTGGAATGACGATGCCATACCCCCAAAAGTGCAGGCTAAGCGACAGTTAGCAGCGAATCAATTGAGATGTAGGGAGCCATACCTATCCCGCTTACCGCCGCCATGACCCACCCTCGAGTGTCATTGTCCAACCCCATGTTCTTCGAGAAAGGAAGTATGCTGAAGGAAGTTGGGTGCTGCACTTGTGAGAAAAAGAGTTCTAAAGAAGTTTTGAGAAGATGATTAAAAGAGATGTTTGGAAGTAAAAGATGTTGTTGGAAAGATGTCTTCGAAAAGCAATCGCGAGTGAGGCTTTGTTGATTCATGGCGATTACCTTGATGTCCATCCTTTACTAGCGCCAATTGGTCTAGGGTCTTGGCAGTGTTATCACGTGTTCGTCTCCTGCCTAGGAACCTTGGTGGGGACTGAGACATGGTTTGAGAATAGATTTAATTCAAGATCAAATATGGAAGAGGGCACGAATTGGATTTTATTCACGTCAACGAGGGGGAATGGATTTTTTTTTTCACATGGCGAGAGAGTTTCACTTGAACAGCGATATGTCCATGGATGATATCGGAAGGTGATAGGGTTAAGTCCCCTTCCAACAGTATTACGTCTTTATCTAATACATTCCAACAAGATACACAGTTGGATGGTGGCATTCAATGCACGCCTGCAGAGCCTCATTCGGATTCCGACTGCGGCTGAATGTTCTGCACCTCAGCTTTGGCTTCCTCCCAAGCTGCTTGATTCCTCTTCGCCCAGTCAATATGGCACTGTGCAAATTCCATCTGTAACGGTTAGTGGAGACCTAGGTATAGCATAGGAAAAGGAGGTGCAGGGGAGGAATGAGCGTACCATGTATCTGCGCAAATCATTCTCCTTTTCCTCCTGGAACCGCCTTAGATCCTTCAAGACACCACTGCTGGCGTCTTTGGTATCTTTCTCAGCAACCTTTAAGGCTTGCTCAAGCTATACATACTTGTTAGCACAGACTACAGCATGCAGAAAGAAGAAAAACCAACCTGTACTAAGCTCTCCCGCGTTTTCCCAATTTGATCTCGCCTTGACCTCTCTGGATCGACATCCGCCATCCCCCTGAAGGCATGACTGATCGGTCCGAAAAGCCTACTGGTCACGAAGTTCCCACTGGCGCTCTTCTTATGCGGGCTGCCTGTCGGTGAGCTAGGTTCTGGAGCGCCTTGCGATGACGAAGGCGGTTGTTCACCGTGTGTGGGAGGGAAGTCGGAGTCAATTGATGCAGTGTCCTCTTCTAGTCGCCTTTCTGGGTTGCTGCGCGTTGAGCTATTTGATGTTGATCGACCTCGCGCAGGACTTGTGTGGCCTGCCCCACTCAAGTGCTGTTCAAGGCGTTTAGCTTCCGCTTCGCTGCGCTCGAGTGAATCGAGTAGATTCTTCTTCTTTTCCAGCTCATCTTTAGTCATATCCTCTTGAATGCGCTTAAGAACTCGGTACCGAAGTACGCTCCGTACGACTCCCGCAAATTGTGCACTCTCCCGCATCGGCTCGGCAAAACTCGCACTTAGGGATGAGGACAACTCTGCTGTAGCTATGTAGGTCGAGTCGACGGCCTGCCCAACCTTCTCGATTGCAGCAGCCAATGATTGCGATTGCTCGTTGAGGGAGAATGTATTTAACCGACCACCTAGCTCTGCCATATCATCACCCCATGCCTGAAGGTGTGATAGTGTGCGACGATTAACCTTCTCCATGCTGCCTTGCAGTAGGGTCTCCAGTTCTTTGGAGGAGACTTCGAAGTTTATAAAATAAGGATCTAGTTCTTCTTCGGAAAGACTCTTCGACTCTGGCGGGAAGCGACCGAATATCTGTGGACCTGGCGTTGTGTGGGCGGCAGTAGAGGGAGTGGCGGCATAGCTGGGCGGTGACGTGGGCGTTCCGGAATGTGATGTCGGGCCCGAGGTCCTGAGCTTGGCGGATGAAGAGGGAACGGGTAGGTAGCTGTGGGCTTGACTGGGGTTTGCAGCATCGAGCGGGGGGGCTTTAAGGACGTTTTTGGGGAGGTTAGACACCGGCGGAGAATGAAGCACTTCGTTCTGCCCAGTAGTTATTGTTAGCGGAGGAGACAGCATTCCAACACGGCGTGGACACGCAACATACCCAACTCGCATTAGGGTCCAAAAACCTCCAAAAGACTCCATCTTCCAGAACATCCTTCATTCTCCTGCACCGGTTGAGGAACACGGCCAACATGCGCTTCCTTAGCTCGATGATGCCGGCGTCTTCCTTTGCCTTGGTTGGCTTCGCGGCGTAGTCTGCCATGGTGTGCTTTTCGGGTATTGGAGGAACGATGAGGGTGGGGTGGAGGTTGACTAACGTGACGCGGAGTGAGGCAAACTCGGAGTATCTGCGCTTCACCGTGATGTTCTAGGGCCATGAATCAGTAAGGTGGTGGCAGATGGGAATGCGGGTTCCGCCATACGCCGGTATCAATGGTGTAGACGATGTAGTTGCCGCCACCCTCGACGTTCTTCCCGGCATAGCTGATGAGGATGGGCGACGCAGGGTTCTCGTACAACCACTGCTCCACGCGACTGTCGTAGCCGCCCTTCTTGGGCGCGACTGGCTCTCCGCTTGAGGGTTCATCGTTGTACTCGATATCGCTCATGTCCCGCTGAGAGATGTACTCGGGCGACTCGTGCGTGGGCGACGACGACTCGATCGAGGGAGGTGTGGCGGGGTGGTATGGCACTGTACGGGGCATCTTGTTAGCTGGACGAGCGCATGAAGGCCACGGTCGGGAAAGCCGTACAGGCGCTGGGGGAGACGAGGCCTGGCACATCAGACGTGTTGGAATCATGGCGGGCAAAGGACCCGTAGGGATTATTGTCCTCGTCATCCCACATGGCGGACAGAGGCGCGCAGCAGAATTTGGGGAGGGAATTGAGGGAGTGCTGATGGAAGATGGCACACGAGGGAAAATGGAGGAGCCTAAATTCGTAGAGGCGGCTGTGTTGTCTTGTTGGAAGGAGGGTGGGCTGGGTGAAGAGCTTCCCAGGGCTCCAAGGCATCACGGGCATGCAGCGTTGACGTTGAGTGTCGCTAGCCCTGGTCCGCGTTGTTCCCCGCCAACCGCCGTGAATGGACTTTGCCATCGTCACCTGCTATTAACACACATAAAAGTTCAATTCAAAAGCTCACGACTATGCGCCAACGCTAACTCAGACTACTCCTCCTCCGTCTCCCAGCCTTCGAGCGGTGACAAGATGCCAGACTCCCTCCCAGCTTCAACATCCACCAGGCCGGTGCTACCTTGGTCCTCTCCCTGAGAAGCTCCATTGCCGTGGCTGTTCCCATTGTTTGATGCCCCGTGATTCCCGTCGGCCTTTCCTTCGCCCCGATGGAGGCTAGAAATGAATTTAGAAGGGGGTGTGGGAGGCGGGGCTCGAACGCTTCGGTGATGGCTTCCTGGCGATACCGTCATTGATGCATGCACCTTTTCTGTCGGAGTCGGAGCTGGAACCTTCAACTTTGCACGAGGGGACGGGGCCATGGGCCGACCTGCATCCTTCCCCCTTGCTGAAACTGCAGTCTTCATCTTTGCACGGGGCGACTGGGCTATGGGTGCAGCTTCGACCTCCTCCGGCCCTTGTTGTGGTTCCCCTCTAACAACATTGCCTTCGTTCTCCGCCTCGTCTGCCTCATGATGTTGTTCGACGTCCTGCTCCTCTTCGTGCGTTGGCTGTTTAGTTGGCGTATGCTTATTGTTCCTCGTACGCTTTGGCTCCCGTCTCCGCGGTGCCTCCTTGCGCCCACGTCTCGAATCTGGCGTCCACCGTCGGGGAGAGAGTTCGAAAACTGCCACCGACATCTCGAGTCAGCAAACCAGCCATCCACAGACAATAACATAGGATACCGGGTATCCTACATCGAATGACGGGTCATGGAGAAGCATTACTCGGTGTCAGCTGCCTCTTATCTGCAAACTTCAACTTCCGCCCTTGCCCAAGGCCACTCGATTTCGCGTACGGAGCATACCTATTCCCTCCCCTATTCCCCCCCACTTTGGTCGTCCACGGTCGTGGCGGAGCAGCCTGTGCTATGCCCTCATAGCATGGCTGCATCTGCTGCATGCAAAAGAGTTCGCGCGGTGCTCTGCGTGGGATGTATGCTCGTGGAATCACCTGAATGGAAGACGAGTCTGAGCCGGACATGTTTTCGTCGTCGAACTGCTCTTCATGCACTGTTTTTTTTGGTGAGGCCGATCGCTTTATTTCATTGAGCAAGAAAGCCGGAAGTTCGTCGTACTCTACGATGTAGTCAATCGACTCAATCCCGCGGGACTCGAGCTGTGGAGCGGAGTTTTCTGTAGCTGTGAGATTGTAGCACGGGTTATGGACCGCCTGTTCTGCGTATCCTGGACCCTGAACGGCCGTTGTTGGATACTCTGGTCTGCGAAATACTTCCCCTTCGTATCTTCCGTCACCTTCAATTGTAGGTAGTAGGTTTGGGTCCTGCCAAATTGGATTATGCACTATTGGCCTCTCCAGCTGCTCCCTTCTTGGGTAGTACCTCGGAAATCTCTCCAATGACCTTGCCCTTGCAGCGTGCTCAGGAGACTGCTCCTGTTCCCTCAAACTCCACCGCCGCCTCCTTGATGACTTGGATCGTCGTCTAGGCAATGCCGAACGCCCTCGATTAACCTCTTTCCCGTAGTCTTCACTCTCCTTACTCAATTTTAGAACGTGGGAAATGAAGAATTCCCAAGCGAGTTGATAGTAGCGGATCCATTTGTGAAGGTAATATACTGCTATCCAAAGAACAACAGTCCCGAATACGGCGGCGGCGATGATGGCAATGACTGTTCCTTGATCACCCATTGTTAGTAGCGGGAGAGGAAATGAATTGGTAACTGAGGGATGTCAGTAGGCGAACTCGGAATTTCTTAAACTCAACAGCTCGAGTGATCGGTTTGTCCCCTAGGTGCAAACAGAATATGGTTGTGAACCCCTCTTCCGCTCATCACTTAGCAAACCAGAGGTCACCCCTCTAATCTATATGTTGTATTACAATACACCGCCGTCAATCTCACCTTTGTCATGCGGGCGAAAAAGTTCATTAACTCTACTGAAATATTTGCTCGTCTATGAGCAAACTTCGCACATCCTGGCAAGTATTGGAGAATTTCTGTCCGACCTTGGTCCTACAATCTAACAAACATATTGGCGTTCACCGGGTACACCGAATTAGCAGCACATCGATCTTCAACCGAATCAAACATACTGTTCTCGCAAGCCTAAACCTGGATTCCTATCCTGATTTCTCTGTTGCCGCTCCTTGACTGGCCTTCTGTGTGAGTGTGCGTCATCAGCCTGCGTTGTCAATTGCCCTTTGTACTCCCAACCCTACCTCCCTGCCCACCTCCATTTCCACCGTCCACAGCATTTCCACTTCCCCTTCCACTCCCACCCCTGCTCCTGCTCCTGCTCCCACCCGCTTTCTTGCTCCCACCTCCTTTCTTGCTCCCACCTCCTTTCTTGCTCCCACCTCCTTTCTTGCTCCCATCTCCTTTTTTGCTCCCATCTCCTTTCTTGCTCCCATCTCCTTTCTTGCTCCCATCTCCTTTCTTGCTCCCGTTCCCTTTCCCGTTACTTGTGCCGCCGCGACGACTCTCCAAAGCGATATCACTCTCCATCCCGTTCACGGCACGCGCATGTACGCGCCGCTGGTGAAGGACGACGACATAGCGCATCATGCAGTAGTAAAGAAGGATGCCGAGGATGATGCTGAAGGTAACGAGGGAGAAGAGGACTGCGACCACCGTCGTGTTGACATTCATTGCGGCGTTGGACAAAGGTTGCAGTAGTGTTTTGGTGATTGGGTGTTGGGTCTGGGGGCGAGGGAAGGTGTGCTGCGGTGTGGTGTGGTGTAATTTATGAGAAGTGAGTAGATAGATGATGAAGATTTTCTATTTTAATGTTGTGAGAGGAGAGGAGAGGCATGGTGTGGTGGGTGAAAGTTGTGGGTGCTGGTGTTGATGGCCGGCGGATTTGAGGTAGTGAAGGCAGGCTTTCGAAGTCTCACGCATGCAGACAACAGTGTTAGGCTTCTGCAGAGATGGGAAAGTTGGAGAACGATTTCGTAACAATTTCTTCAAGCAATGACATGATTATTCCGTCCATCTAGAGCGCAGGCAAGCTGCTACACACTCCCTTCACCACATTCACGATCGAATCTGCCAAAACCCTCTCTATCCTCTCCACCCAAAAGCTATTAAGCCCATTCATCTCTCCCACATCCGCAAATTTCCTCAACGCTTTTCTAACTCTCCATTTCTCGCCACCGGGCCAATATAACGTCACTTCAGCTGCACAAATAAGCCTCATCCCTAACGCAAATACGTCAGGCTTTGTCGTCCAGCCTAATGGACCATCTACCTCGTTCCTCGCCATATCCGTCAAAGCTGACACCCCATCTAGCACCCAGTCCTTCAAGCCGAATACAACCGCCTCAGGAATTGCTGCAAGGGAAAGAGACTTTAGGACGCGGGACCAGATCACCGCATCGATACTGTCATCCTTGAATAGATTCTGCTTCTCTTGTACAAAGAGTGCGGTGTCTTCCTCTCTTTTCTCTGCGAGCAAATCTCGGAATGGGCGGGTAAACAAGGCCATGGATGATGGGGCACCTGTGAGCCGGCGCAATGCCTCTCTACATAGGTCTTGAGAGTTGGTGAATGATTGACAAAGGAAGCGCGTAAGACGCTGGGATGTGGCAATGGGGACAGCATCTTTCAAGTTACGCAAGTGGCCGTGGCCTTGGCCTCGAAGAAGTTTAGCTGCGACTACGGCGGCAGTATCGCGGATCTCGTCGTCATCGTCGTTAAGAAGGTCATACAAGATGATGGTGAAACAGAGAATGATGGATGATGTAGACTTGTTTTCCGGCTGTGCTGTCCATATGTGGTGTAAGCCGTTTATGGACAACACGGCGGCGTGACGGGAATCAAATGGCTGAGCTTAGTGTTAGTATTAAAAGATAGCGGAGCTTATTAGAGACCCTACCACTGTATCTTCAATCGTCCTCCGTAGCAAACGGACATAGCGACCGAATCGGGGCAGAAGTGTCCTGCGCTGCTCGGGAAAGGCATGAAAAGCAAAGTCCAAGAAATATCCCAGGAGACGCAATGCGCTCTGCATCGTCGAAGGAGAACCTTCGAGACACTGGCCTTCAAAATTATCGATGCTGCGAATTCCCCTATCCATACCTCGTTGGCTTTCAATCTTGAAGAATTCGGCTCTTAGACATTCGTTCGTAAATGCTTTAGCCATAACAAACTGAGCTTTTGATTTGACGTCGTGGTGTGCAAGAGGAAAGACACCTGTGTATATGTGATGAAGCAAATGCGTCTTTGACACGACTGAAGAGCCTGGATCTGAGTGTTGAATTATATCGGAGACGAGTTCCAGTAGAGCGCAAAGGGAGTCTGCGTCTCCTGTAGCAAATTCGAACGGATCGTCCCGAAGATTGCCAGGGCTTTCTGGCCATCCTTCTCCAATAAAAGTTTCACGTTGTAGTATCGAGTAATTGATGATGAGTTGTAGGCTCTGTGCTCTTCTAAGTAATGCGTTCCGGCTCTTGTGGTATTTTGAACCTCTGTGAACATTTGCAACAGCAGCGTTGATCTTCATCGATGCCTGTAGAGTCGATCCAGAAACCAAGCTCTTACGTGAAATCGAGACTCCGCAAATTATCGCAAGGTCTAGAAACGCCGCCTTGGTGAACGGGCATTTGCTCTTACCAAATACGCTAGAAAATTCCTCTAACAAGTTAGCTAACTTCGCATCACATTCCACATCTTGAGAGTTCCGTAAAAGTTTTGCTATCATATACTTCGAGCATAGCAGTAGACCATGCTGTGCATTATGAGAATTAGGGAGAGAGTACAGCAGTGCGATGATGTTGTCATAGTACTCATGGGGACGTTGTAGGGACACATATGTCCGGGCAGCCATGTCGCGGAGATACCAGTGAGGGCTACTGGTAAGGCGTAGAACTAATTCCACTATTGACTTGCGGTGTGATTCGGGAGGTGGTGCTTGCTGAAGTATTTGCAAAGCAGGAAATACACCTTCAGCACCATGAAGTGAACTGCTACTGGAAGACGGCTCTTCCGAAGATGCTGAGGCGTTTTCAGTATTTAGCATATTGGAGAGTATGTCGACCAGGTTTGGGAAATTAATGTAGGAGAATCTTGACGTCTTTCCTTGCTCTTGTTCTGTCCATTCCTGGGCTTCGTTGCTGCCTAGCAACCTTTCGATTAGAGCTTTGAAGAGCATGAGACTGGAGTTCCTTATCGGCCAGCTACTCAGCATGGCAATGTCAGCGCAGTGCTAGAGAAAGTTCTACGAAACACTGTAGACTCACATTTTTGAATTCAGAGTTTTCGCCGCAAGATCGAGCCCAACCCCAATGTACGTCTCAGACGCGGCACTGAGCCTAGATGTGGTGAATATCTCTTTGAGACAGTTGAGCGCATGAACCTGAGGCAGGCGGCTTTGTTCAATGTTTGAGCTTTGTGCTCCTTGGGATGCCTCATCAATCAGATCCCGTATAGCACGAGAGAGAAGGCTATCACCGGTTTGTATATCTGCCGCGACGATTCCTGCCATCAAGGAAGGAATACCTGCTGATCTTCGAGTGATGGAAGTCGCTTTATCTTGTATACACATAATAGTCTCCAGGTACCATGTTTCTGGGAGAGCTCGAAGCGTCTCATCATCGTCTAAAACACAGCGGCGACAGAAAGCTGCGAAAGTTTGTGCGACTGTGGAGAAAGCGCCACGATGTCGGAGGTCTGCGAGCTGAGAGAAACAAAGTCGGCCAAGCATGCTGAACGTCTTAGGGTTTAAGAGGGAGAATTCCGTTGTGCCCACTGGAGCCTTCATGACTATGGCACGGAGAAGAACACTGGCTTCCTTCAAGCCTCTCCAGGAATAACTTAAGATCTCTTTCGTGTTTATACTTGGTTCATCTTCAAGTTCTTCTGGGACGTAGCCTTCTGGAGCATCGGTACAAAGCACATCTCGAATGCAGGACCAGAGGGTAACAAAGCACGTGCAGATTTGTTCATGGGCTTTTTTCCATTCGTCAAGCTCAGTGACTGATAGTTGGCTTATATCGGGATAGAATTGATCTTGATCGACGATGTAGCGCAATGCAGAAAAAATGCCATGGACCGGACGTCCGTTAACGGCGAGAGAAATATCGTTATAAGCAATTCGGAGGGTCTCTTCCAGTTGATCCGTGAGATGAATGAATATATCACTCCTTGTTTGCATGTGACCCATGCTTGCGGTTTGCGTACTCTGTGGATCCTTTGAAGATTGGGAGAAGATGAGTGAATACGCTCGAGCAACACCATCTGCCTGATCTGCTCGTCCGGTCTGAAGCATAAGCAACTCTGCACGCACAAGGAAATTGGAATATGGAAAGATTGTCGCACGATTGGTTTTAGTCGGGTGCGACTCCAGACAGAGCTGTAATATAAAGGCAGCGGCACTTCGAACGTCGTCAAAGGGATCCAACATTAGATCAAGTAGTAATCTCTCCAGTCCAAGGTTAGGCACATGCAATTCGTGGGCCCAGCGTAATTTTCCTTGGGCCTGTTTGGACAGGTTGCGATGTGGAACACCAGGATCCAAGCCGGACCTCATAACAGTGGTCAAAGCTTTGAGTGCAGTTATATGTCTCTGGTACGATGCACCGGGACGCAGTTCCCACTCAAGAAAGTTTAGATACCAGCTGATGAAATCCAAATGTTCCAAAAGGGAGCTATTTTCTGAGCTGAATTGCACTCTGGCCTTGACGTGCTCCTTGCGTTTGGGGAACGAAAGCCTGTCGCCCGTTCTGCTTTTACTTTCCGACTTTGCCAGAGCTGCTGTGCTTCCTCTTAAACGGTCAAATAGTCGTTGCACGAGCCCAAGCACCTCCCCTCGGAAGTTAGCGTCTGTATTCGCATGTATATGAGGTAAATTCTTTTTGAGGGATTTGAAAATCCCACTCGTGATCGGCCTCGTTATAGCAGTTGAGTGTACTGATAGATATAGTCCTGCAAGTTGAACTCTAGGAGTTGGATGAGATAGCCAACTACTAAAGGAATCATCTGGCAAATGTATACAGTTCCCATATACTTCAATGGCGTTGGAAAGGCGGCAATCTTGAATTATTCGTGAGATTCTCCCAAAAATTGAATAGAACCACTCACCGACGTCTTTGACAATCCCCAGTTCCTTTCCAGTTTCGATTGCGGCTAGAAGCATACTAAACTCTTCGAATCCTTCTAGATTGTTTCGAATATCGCCGTGAACCCGTAGTTGATTTGGTGGCTGTCCCTTTATAGATATGTGATGCTCTAGGTGAAGATATGAGAGAAAGCTCAGGTACTCATCCATGTTTGGAAGAAAACAATGAGGAAAGACATTGGTTTTGAATTCTTGAATTCGTTCCGGCCAGCGACGAATAGCGGTGATTACGGGCTCAATCCAGAGAGGAAATGTCACCACGTTAGCTCTCGCCATGTCCTCGACCTTAAACGATGCTCGAATTTGAATTAGAGCATTCTTAATCAAATGACCAGCAGCTGGTGCAGTATCATGATGTGTAGTCCAGCGAAGAAATTCCCCAAATAATAGCTGGATGTATTGGGGGCTCGTCAGTGGGTTATGCCCTCCTTGTTGAGTTTGATATAGCTCAACTACCCCAGAAATTGATATGATGCCCTTAGAGAGAAAGTGCGCCAGGCCTTGTAGAGCTGGTTTGACTTGCATGCGATCCTGGTGATGACATATAATGGTAAGAAATGTTGACACAGCTCGATCTCGCTGTTGGTGCGACTGTGTGCCTTGGTTTTTTAACAACACATTAGTAAGGACTAACAGGACCTGCCTCATGGATTTTGCCTTCGCATTTTCTGACCTCTGAAGAAAGATTTCAAACAGTCGGAACCATATACCGTCGTCCAAGATTGCGTTGCGCGCATATTCAACTTTAGAGGCATGGCAGGCGTCGATGATGGCACATAAGATATTACATGCGGCAGCCCTGTGTGAAGCGGGTAAATCCACCACGTCCGCAGTCTTCAAAAGAGGTGAGACTACATCCTGGAGCTGCCTGAACGAAAAGTCAAATAAATTCTCGTCCAATAATAATCAATTCACCTTTGCTACCTTACTTGACGCTGTTGGTTTGCTCCTGCTCTGCAAATTGAGGAAGTATCCGTGCGATGACTCCTTGAAAATCTCGCAGGGTCCTTTCAGGCACGGGAATCCCTGCGGATTGTAAATCTTCCGCCATCTCAACTAACGGGGCTGTGGTGGACGTCGGCAAATTTGCGCCTCAAGTTGAGGGACGAGAATTTCGTCCTGGATGATGGAACAACGCTTAGACGTTTCGGGTAGTTAGTTAACTACCTAGTTAGATGACTAAGCTCTCCCTGAGCCTCAAACTTGCATTCGTCGCCGTCAATGAACGATGCCCGCATTCCATACGTATCCTGCACTCAGGAGCGTGTTCAATTTCGCTATAATCAAACCCAATTCGTATAGCTGTTCGCTACCTATCCTATTCTTTTATACTTGACCTTTGGGGGTGGCGAGCCTACACCATCCTTCTATTCTTCCTTCTTTAAGTGTCTAGCATAAAATTGTGCACATGTACTACATCTTCCCACTCAACGTGGAACATAGTCTTGTTAGTTAAGCATAGTGATTTGCACGCTGTAGACATTCCACTTAATTACATCAAGAATTGACGGATCAAATTCTGCCCCTGTGTGAGCACACTGTGCATATTTTGAGTCAGGCATACAAGGGAAATGTTGCGCGACAATCTACCCTTTGGCCGAAAGAGACCAATGTATACTAAAATTTTCTTTCAAGCTTGTATGTTGCTAAATGCACTACATGGTTCTAAAACTTGCCTAGATCAATTCATGTGTGTGGACGAAGAACCATGTCGTTCGTCCGAGTGCTTTTAAGGTGTCCTCCTCTCATCGGCTCCACCGACTTTTCATCTTCTCATCATCGACAAGGTTTCAAATTACAGAGAGATATACTGACAAACGACCTTGCCTACGGAGGCCCATATCGCGAACACATCCTTGAGACTTTTGTTTTGTTCGCTGACTCGTGATACAATGCATGACCACCTGCACAACCACCCCGTTCCCGGGGAGTCCCTCTTCGTTCAATCAGATGAGGAGCTGCCCCCACCTCGGGTAAGTTATTGAGCTTTACCTCGTTTTTTCACCACTCATTAATTCAAAAGCTAGGGACTTGATCGAAACTCTAGAATATCATGTGGAATATGTGGCATACTCCGAAACATACCTTAACAAAGCAGTCCCTTTCAAGAGATTTGTGGTTTCTATCTTGCTCATGTATTTGATCGATTCTCCAATTACAGGTTAGGACCCAAACGCAGGTGCAGGTCTGAAACCAAACACAGATTCTACCCAGCCACCAATCACCGCTATCACACTTCCTACCCACCCTGCTACTCGGAATAGTCCTAAACGGTGGAATACTTCTCATTTACTGGTAGAGTATAAGAGGCAGTCATACCCCAATCTAATAGCAAACGCCCACATTCTGCCACCAAACCCCACCGAACCTCATCAGGGCATCTCTTTTGGACGCCAAACGGTGATGACGCCCAAAATATACACGAAAACTGTGCGAAGCGTCCAAGGCCTAGCTCAGGGGCAGGGGCTCAAAGGGCACAGCGATTCTGGATCAATGACACAGTCTAGGCGGACTGAGAAACTAGCCGCTGCTCTGCCAGATCCTTCCTACCATAAGTGTAATTCGAGTTTCCAACCCAATCCAATGCCAGAGGAGGTCAAGGCACCCATACCAAAACCAAAGGCACTAGGCAATCCTCTTAAATCGAGCCGCTCACAAAGGAGTAACAACTTGAGGGCATATCGACAACCCAATTCGAATGTTGCGTCTCTCGGCACCAAGAAACCTCTTGTTGGCCAATTTCCATATCTCTTGCTGGCCCGCAAACCAGCTCTATTCCGTGCCGCTCCCACTAAGACTTGTCCACTGAGGAATACAAATATCTCTCCCAACAGAATCAGCTCGCAGGGCAAAGAAATCTCCAGAGGGTTGTCTCGGACTATCACAAACGTTGCAAAGGACAGCACTACGAACACTTCCCAGAACTTGAATGATATGCAGGCAAACAGAAAAGCCAGTGCAGTCTCAAACAAGACTTCGAAGACGCGTACAAGCGAATCCAATAAAAATACCCAATCCTCAAGGAAGCCAAAGACGACCAGTATCCTAGGGATCCGCGCAAATGTAGCTACGGAGGTGATTAAGTCAAAAGGGAAAACTAGACTACACTCATCTCTAGGCAGCTTGGAGGCAACCGAGACTCCTAAACAGAGTCTTGGAGCCGGATCGACGGTTGTCTCAAACAGACCTTCAAAAGCCTCCACCTTCTTACAGGTAGTCCAACACGACAATCCAATTTTAACGCTCAGGTCACCCAAGGATGAGACCGTAGACAGGATTGGGCTTAAGAAATTTTCACTGGAATTAAAAGGTGATAAGGAGAGCTCTAACTCAGAAGCATTGGGGAGATCAGAACAGGAGAAACCATTCACACCAATAGCCAGGTGCACACCTGTGAACCCGTACATAACGACCCATAACACCACTTTAGGAATTACCACCGCACCCAAATCGACGACGACGTTCAATCCTGAGTCAGCCATGCTTTCTTCAACTTCTCCTGTCCCAGTACAACCGCCTCTAATATCGTCAAAACGACAGACAGAATCCACCTCAGAAGTGAAAGGCCATTCAACGGCTCCTCCAAAAATGCTCGGAAATACTAATCTAGAGGACCAACCAGGCTCCGAACAGCAATCAACGACACTACGCGAATCTTCTAGAATTCTCACAACATCGTCAGAACTTGTGCAGGGAGACAATGACTCCTGCAGTGACAAAAAACGTCCTCGTTTACCTAGCCCAGATATTGCCTTGAAACGTGTCAGGCGTGAATCCGACAAACCAACTCGAGCTACCCCTTCAGCCAATTCCGGAATGACGGGATGCAATATGAATGTCTTCTGGAAACTCCACTCCCACATGAAAGCGAAGTATGTTGAGAAAGCTAAAGCCCTACGCGTTAGGGATGCGAAGAAATTCTTTGTTGTCCGGCTATACAAGCTCATTCAAATAGGTGACGACGAAGACCAAGATGATATCGAAAACAGCGGAAAGCGAATCCGGGAGTTCATCAAAGACCGGCACTACCTGAGTCTAGGCAATGCCAATCGCGCTGCTCGCGACCTTCAAGTCGAGTTTAGCCACCAGGAAAACCCAAAATCCGAGACCGAGAAAGTGTGGCAGAACGCGGACTTGAAAAAATTAGATGAAGAGGTGAGGGCTTTGGATCCGGTGGATGGAAAGGAGGGGGAATGTTGGACGAACCAGTTCAATGGACTGAATGGAGACAAGTTTGGGGTTGAGGTTGATGAGGCCTTGCTTTTTATATCATGAAAAGTGTCGTGGTGGTGTGGTGTTGTGGCGTTGCCTGGAGTTGGAAGTGTTTGTGTCTCGGCGCCTTGCAAGGCGAAGCTAGATTGGTATTTGGATTGATACTCATGAACTGTTGTGAATGTATCGAATGAAAGCATGCAGTTTTTCCTATGAAGGGTCATTGTCAAACACACGGATGTGGGTTCATTTATACAATGTGTGTACATGTATACTACAGTCGTGAACTTAAACAGGTTCAGATACATTCCCGCAAACCCTCTAGAACCCCCCTTTGTCGAAGCTCACTCATCTTCTCGAATCCATCAACTTGCATGACAAACGTGCCACGGCCGCCCGTGAGCGAACGTAGGTGGCTGAGGTACCCAACCATTTCTTTTAAAGGCACCCGGGCAACAATCTGTCGCTGGCTGTCACTCAGACTCGTCTCGAGGAACCCAGAAGAAAACGGATCTGGAGGAGTATAAATTTTGGACGGATTGATGTGAAGATCTTCAATAGTTGAGGGAGTGGAATCGGGGCCGTCTAGAGAGAGTACCTGCCCTCCGCGTGCGGAACTGACGTCTTGAACTACACTCCCCATTGACGATTCGGGTACGAAGATATTCACAAGCATAACGGGCTCCATGAGCGTAGATGGAGATACCTCACACGAGGCTCGGAGACTTGAAGATACAGCTTGTCGGGTTACTGTCGAGATCGCGGAGGAGTTGGTCTCAGTGGATATGTGCTTTTTGGCGTCGAGCTGAATGGTTACAGCGGTGAATGCGATTGGAAAACCGTTTACTGGGCCACGTGCTAAGGCGGCACAGGCACCAGTGTGGATAGCGGCTAGGATTTGAGAGAAGTTGAGGTGGGGTGGGATTAAAGGGTGCTGGCTATCAATTTTGGAGAGCTCAGGATGCGCTATTGTGATACAATTCCCATCTTCGGTTTCGTAGGCTGTTGTGTAAGGGTCTTCGTCTCGCGTAAAGTCGGGCTGTGCGGACTGATTTATGGGTGTGACCGAGACCGTTATGCTCGCTTTTGCCACTTTCCCAGCAATGATCCTCTCTAGATGAGACGTGTACGGAGACGAAGCTGAATTAATAGTCTCCCTGTATCCGATTTCAATTTTTCCAATCCTAGCTTTAGCTTTAAAATCATTCAAGAGCCGATCACGAGCAATTTCGAGATGGAGGTCACCCATACCCGCAAGATGCGTCTGTCCCGATTCCTCGTCAACGGACAACTGAAGGCTTGGGTCTTCTCTCAATAGGATGGATAGCGTGTCTAGGACATGTTTCTGCTCGCTCAAGGAGTGTGGTTCGATACTGGTGAAGAAAACCGGAGGCGGAACTTGAATGGGCCGCAGTTGTAGAGTATTTACTGGAGACGGAAGTTGCGACTTGACGTTTAATCCCTTATAAACGATAAGAGTGTCTCCAGTACGTGCCTGCTTGAGGCCCGGAATAACGCCTATTTGACCGCCTGGGATGGAGTCGACTTCCACGGCGTCGCTGGCGTACATTTTCAGTAGCTTTGGTACGCGTTCGGCGGAGCCGAGATTGGTGTTGAATAGTGTTGAGCCTTTATCTATGGAACCTGAGTATACTCGGACATAGACAAGAATACCACGTTTGACATCGTTGACAACTTTGAAAGCTAGAGCACAAGCTACGAGGTTTCTGGCATCGAGAGGCTTTTGATTCCTACTGGTGGGCAGGGGTATCAAGTCATGGGCATTACCCTCCAGCAGCTGTGAGAGTTTACAACTTCTCCCGCCAAGACTGATCTCTGGATCCGGACGTTCGACAGGAGATGGTAGAAGATCGACGATCCCGTCGAGAAGGGGCTGGACGCCTATGTTCCGGAAGCTGGCCCCTGCGAAGACTGGAATAATCTTCTGGGGAGCCTGCAGCACAGTCTTACGGAGTGATTCTATGATATGAGTTCCAGGGATTGCAAGGTGGTCTTCGCCGTATTCTAAGAATAGTTCAACCATGCCATCGTCGTGCTCGCTCAGAAGCTCAACGAGGGCTCTGCGGGCATTTTTGATTTCACTGGCAAAGTTCTTGTCATGACTCTCCATTTCCTGAAGGCTGAATGCATGGATATGGCTCCCATCCGTTGCACCCTGCCATAGCATGCCTCGGAGGTAGACAACGTCTCCTACACCAATAAATTCGCCATTTCCGCCCCTCCACCAGGGGATCTGGCATACAGCGGGCCAGCCATGTAATCGTACCCCAATTTCTTTGACAGTCCGGGAAAATGCAGCACCAACTCGATCGAGCTTGTTGACGAAGACTATCCGCGGGATTTGGTAATGACCTGCCTGCATCCACACTTTCTCTGTTTGCGCTTCAACGCCGGCAACGCCATCAAGGATGCAGACGGCGCCATCAAGAACCCGAAGAGATCGGAGTACCTCAAAAGTGAAGTCGGCATGACCTGGGGTATCAATGAGGTTGATATTATGCGAGATGGTGGAGCGAGGAACCAAGTCAAACATCTCTGGAAGCTCCTGTTCTAATGCTGATGGTGCTTGCTCATTGAGCGGGGGCCAGTGAAATGTAATAGCGGCGGACTGAATTGTGATTCCTCGGGCCCGCTCGGCTGGGAGGAAGTCTGTAACTGTAGAGCCTTCATCGACATCTGGTGCCCACTTAGAACCAGCCACCAGAGGGTTGGGTTTTCAGGCGAGACGAATAGTACGGATGCAATGGCAAGATGAAGAAAATTTCCGTACCTCCAATTCTTCGCGTGTAACCGCTGTAATAGAGCATACGCTCCGTCGTCGTCGTCTTTCCCTAAAGTGATATATGAGACCTGCTGAGCGGGGATGAACACAAGACACTCACGGCATCAATGTGCGCGATAATGCCAATGTTTCGAGTTTTCGAAAGCTGTGGCTGTTCAGGGCGGACCAGCGCAGACAGCAGTCTCCGAGGAGCTTTCACATTATGTCGAATGACTCGACTGACACACGGCGCCCATCCAATCCGCATAACAAGTGCTGTGCTCTGATGGCGTCTTCGATGGACTGAGGAAGGAGGGAGCTGCGCACACGTGACCTTGAAGTTCAAGATAGTGTCTTGCGCTTTCCCCAAATAGGAAGCGGTGACGGGCCAAGGCGAGGAAGTAATGTCTCAGCACCAACAATCGGCGGCCTCCCCTTCGTAACCACTGCCTGGCCACACGACCTTCGCGTCAATTGCTCTCGACGCCATGGACTATTCCGCCCTGCCGCACGACCCGGAGCATCCTGGAGGCGCGGATCCGTGGGCTTCTTCTCCCCAGCACAACCGAACTGCATTTGCGCAACCACCCACCGGCGACATTCCACCCTCCCCGCTCCCTCCGCAAGCTTCGCCTTATGGCCAGGACTCAGGCCAGTATGGCTATATGGGCGAACCAGACTCGCACCACAGGCCAGGCACGGCGTCCGAGAATGGCGACCACGCTCCACCCCCACTAAGTTCTGCCCAGGAAGGGCAGCACTCTCCCCAATCGGTACAGCAAGCTTCCTCCCAAGACCAACAGGGCCAGCAAAGACATGAGCCACAGCGGTATCACCATGGGGCACGCCAGCAGCGCCCGCATCATCCGCAGTACAAGCTCTCGGCCAAAGTCACGGGCCTCGAGCGGACAGGCCGGAAGGACCCAATTCTCCGATTTGATGTCTATGTACGTTGACCACCACCTCCCCCTTGGCGGGCCAAAATCCCAGGTATTTGTGGCATATAACGTCGCATGCTGACACGATCAACGCAGACAAATCTGCCTAAATTCCGCACGACTCAGTTCCGCGACGTTCGGCGCCTGCACTCTGAATTCGTGAAGCTTGGAGAGCACCTCATATCTGCAAACCCAGAAGCGTTCGTTCCTGCCGTCCCTCCTCCGTTGACCTCTGCCGGCGTTGGCACGGATGAGGATGAAGCCCGCGTGAAGGCATCCTTACAGCGATGGTTGAACGTCGTTTGCAGCAACGAAGTGCTCATGCGCGACGAGGAGATGGTATTCTTTGTGGAAAGTGACTTTGGATACAGCCCGGTAGTACGAAGGAAGCAGCCAGCCACTGGTGTGCGACGGAAGGTGATCAAGCAATTCGCACCCCCGCCAGATGATACGCCAGAGCTTGCCGCAGCTCGCCCGGTTGTGAAGGCCTTCTATCTTGGAACTATGGAAACAGGACAGAAGGTCGAGAAAATTGTGAAATCTAGAAGGAGTACGTTAAATGGCCCCTTTCTTGATATCTTAACTTTACTCACATCCACTAGGTCTTGGCCTTGCCGAGTCTGATTTGGGGGTGAAATTCGCAGCAATGCACGTGCAAGAGACCCATCTAGGCTTGAGCATGGCTTACCGAAAACTGGGGAAGGTGATCCAAGCGACGGGCGACTTTCACGCTGCGCAGGGAACAGGCGAGGCGACGACGCTGGGCGATCCCCTTTCGTACCACAGCAGTGATGCTTTCATCGTCAAGGAAACACTCACAAACCGTCACATTCTGCTCCGCGAACTTCTGCAGGCTCAAGCTGCCACTCGATCAAAACTCTCTGCCGCTGATAGATTGAAAGCTAGTTCTAGTGTGAAGAGAGATAAGGTCGACGAAGCTATTGCCGCACTTGACGAAGCTCGCAGTCATGAGACATACCTCATGCAAAAATCTCAACGTGTAACGACGAATCTTCTGCAGGAGCAGAGGAAATGGTTTACCCGGTCTGCAGCTGAGATGCGGGCTGCGATCCGGGAATATGTCGTTCGCCAAATAGAGGCAGAGCGCCGAACCCTCGCTACACTTGAGCAGGTCCGGCCCGACATCCGGGCCATCGACGGAAGCGGTGGTCTGTCACGGTTAGGTCGTGAAGCACATCCAGCCCAGCGTCGTGCGTCGCTTGCAAGCTCGCAAGGACCGAAAGGGGATGCATGGTCAGGTGTGCCAAGGCGACCTGGTGATGGACTCAACCGAAGCATAAGTGGGAGCCTTGCTGGCGCCCCAGTAGAAGAGGAGGATGAGGAGGAGGATGAGACGGGCACAGGAAGAAAGCGTGCAGCTAGTAAATCGGGAAGTGTGAAAGGAGTGGAAGAGGACGAGGATCGCATCGATGCCCGGAATGCCGCCAGTAGGTTGGCAACTACAACATTTTGAGACACCGAAATCGAAGGGCGTCCGGGCTATATGTGTCTAGCTTGTACGAAGAGGTAGGGTCTACCATCTGCTTAATCACTATATTGTTGGAGCGCATCAACCAACCATTTTGTCAGCATCCTGGGAGAGATTCCTCACGAGTCTAATATCAGGCGCGCGACAATGGTCAGGGAGATATCCATACTTCCTTTACTACTAATCGTGATACCTCAAAGTTTTGGTCGTTTGCATTTTGATTCGGTCACTTGTTTGAGACAATCCTATCTTGCAGCGGCTGTCGCCGCTAACTCATGTTAAATACCCCGAATTTGTTCAATTTCCTTAAGGCCAACGCTATTAGGTAGTCCCAATAGCTCCTCGTGCAAAGGAGGGTAGTCGCTCACTTCCTTGCATGGAAGAGGATGCATAGAACAGGAAGCATGAGCAATGTAAATCTGGGGAAATCTGCCGGCTACGCAGTCGAGAATCCCAGGCTTAAATGCTGCGGAGAATGTTACATGTGTGCCGGAATATATGAGGTGGCAGCGATTTCAATTGGACTGGAAGACCGGAAACCTCAATCCTGTTCGCTGGTGGGGAAGAAAAAAGGTGTGGGTAGCGGAACGGGGAATCTACCCACAACACTGATGCCGGCGGCCAACGAAGTGCCACACTTGAAGGTACTTGTCACATAACTTTGCCGCTCTCTTAAAGCTATGGATGGCGTGTTCATGGCATTCGTGGTCTGTCACTTTGGGAATACGGGAGCGGAGCGATCGTGCTCATGAATCTAGCCTACTATTCCGGGTATACATGTTCGCACTACACTACTTTCGAAAAACCGACCTGGATCGGTTTTCGATCACAGGCGCCAGCGGTGCGCAGTTGCCCTCCAGTTGAGACGAAAATACATCGCCAGCGTACAACGTCTCCTGGTTTGTGGGAAAGACTTTGATCAACTGATGCACCGATGGCTAGATTGCCACTAGATATATTATTTGAAAGGCGTGGCATCACTTTCAACAATGTGGAGGAATGCGGGGTCTTAGGGAATATATTACTCCAGAGGTCTCAAGATGATGGCAACAGCGCTAGCATTCATATATCAGCCTTTATACCGACAGTAGATTTGTGGCGTCCAATGGCGCAACATTATCGTCCAGGGGCACAAAGAAGATGGTTTTGGGCTTCGAGAAGCGCCCAGGCCATCTTCCATAGCAGATCAGTGCCTCTTGCAGCCATTAGCAAAGGCACGCTTCTCTACAAATATTTCGCCGACATTCTGCATGGCGAAAGGGCTATCGATAGTGCGATATGACGCCGTCCGCATGTTAATCAGTAAACCGCGCGCTTGGGAATCGCCCTACGAGAAGCTCACCTTCAGAAGCCGATCCCCGCAAGACTGCAGCTCATCGTCGGTCCGTCGGATACCATACCTGCAACAACGAAGGGTAAACGGGATGCTGGGGACGCTAGACAGGGAGGGAAGAACATATGACCGCCCAGTCTTGATGCTCGGCTCTGGCGAGCAGAAAAACCATATGGGAAATCCCAAAAGTCCACCTGACACGCACTACGGCTCATTTCCCAACCCACGATACAGAAGCCCAGGAAGGTCGTGGTGAGACCTTTGGATCGTCTTACCAGACAAGGAGGGCGAATTTTGCCAGTGCGCAAAAGGAGAACCTGGTCACGATAACAACACCAGCCTACCAACCTCATCCTGCACGGATCCTACCGAGAACGTGATGTGTTACAAACATCAAACTGGGGAAGGAGAGAGCGAAGAAAGCTGATACCTGCAGTCAGATCGTGTCAGCGTCTCAGGTCGCTCAGTTATATGATATCTGCAGAAGTACCTAGCCCACGATTGCTGAGCTAGAGCAAAGGGAAGACGAAGTGAATGCCATAATATTTTGAGCGGATTCGCGCGACACGACTTCTGAATGTCACCTCTCCTGCGGCGTAGAGACTGGGAGGGGCTGCAACCACCTCGCTGCTCTCTTGGTAGCCGAGTACGTGAGCAAAGCCCTCTAACGCTCCCTGCGGCTTTCCGCCCCGGATAAAAGTGCTTGGTGTTGCCCAAGAACGATCACGGTCATAGTAGCTCTCAGCTTCTTACGAATCACGTATGAGCAATACTGGCAATCTTCGGCGGCACTTCTCATTATTGGACGGAGCACCTTCATCGCAAATGCTGAGAGCCACGCCGAAGCCACCAACAGTCGACCGAAATCCCTTGTCCTGAGGACGGCACCCCTGACCGAAAACACGTTGTCAGTCAACTTAGAGAGAGGATTATAGGCGAAACCGAAAGCCACAGAATCAGGCCTGTACAAGGCCTCGAGCGTCCTGCAGGTAATACCGAAGACTTCTTATTTAGGATGCTCCCACCTCTGGGTCCTGTCAAGGACCCGCCATTACTACTATCTTGCTACTCCGTCAAGCTTCTGTGTGCTGCTGTTCAGTTCACAAGCGCAGGTTTACCATTTTGCTTTTTCTCACCGTCTCCGCCTCAGCCTTAAACTCTATTTCCCCACAGCACGAGTTCAGTGCGCGCGATCCCGCTCCCGCCGCCATCGGATTGGGCGCGACGCCACCCCAGCCCGACGTGATTGTCATCACAGCAAACGAATGTTTCGATACATCAAGTCTGCTCTGGCTCCAAACATCGAGCCAGAGCTCCCTCACAATTACCTAGCTCATATCAATGCTAGAAAGCTCTCTTTCGCGTCCTCGAGCGAGGTTTCGCTCCCGGACATTGATCCTCTCGTAATTTCGGCTTATGAGCTCTCAGAAATGCTAAATGCTGGGGCTATCACGAGTGTTGAGATTGTGGAGTCTTATTTGTATCAGATCGAACAGCACAATCGGCGGGGCCGACAGCTGCGAGCTTTGATATCAGTAGCACCGAGGCATGAGCTTCTTAGGATAGCAAGGCGGCTAGATGACGAGAGGTTGAAAGGGAAGCGGAGAGGGCCGTTGCATGGAATTCCCATCGTTTTAAAAGATAACATCATGACTGACGCCAATCTGGGGATGGACACCACCGTTGGTAAGTAAAATATTCAATCGCATACACATGGCAATAGCTAACATTGCTGTGCAGGATCATACGCCTTTGTAGGATGCATACCGAAGAAAAACGCCACAATAGGTAAACAGCTAGATTCGACATTCTTTCGCAGTACACGATTAACGATAACCAGTTGACCGTCTAATACGGAGGGGCCTGATAATCCTAGGCAAAACGAACCTCACTGAATTCTGCGGTCTTAAGAATCCTTCAATGCCTCCAGGCTGGTCTGCCGTTGGTGGCCAATGCCAATCCCCATACGTCGCGCGACACATCGCAAAGAAGAAGCTTCACTGGGAACTGTCTGCTCCAGGAGGTTCATCAACCGGCTCGGCCGTAAGCGTAGCATCGGGATTCAGTACACTGGCCATCGGTACGGATACCATTGGCTCACTGATCACTCCTGCGAACAGAGCTGCACTCTACGCGTTGAAGCCTACTGTTGGCGAAATACCTATGGATGGAATATTCACTCTTAGCAAGACGTTTGATTCCGTTGGCGGCATGGCGAAATCAGCGAAAGATCTTGTCGCACTCCTAGACGCAATGATGCTTCCCACAAGCAGAGAAACCAGCACACCAGTCCCTAAAACTTGCTTCCGGATCAAGGAAGAGTGGGGGAACCTAAGGATAGGCTTTACCGAACCGACGATTTGGAAGTCGTGGCGGAAGAGCGGACGGATCAACGCGGATGCCGAGCGCTTTATGGTGAGTCCGAATTTGGCATTTGTTTGTTATTTTGGTTTCAGGGCGCAAGATATTGGGAAATTGATTGACAAGGGTACCTTACTGCTGAGCTCGGACTGACATGGGCGTACAGGTACAGAAATACGAGATGGTGGTCCAGTCGCTGATTGAGATGGGTGTTGACATCGTGTACCCCGTTGAGTTACCGTCACAGTCGAGTTTGAATTTGGAGGGAAAGAATACTTTTGAGCCGATCGTTTGTAAGTCTCCTAAATTTGGCCTGCGCTATGACGCACGACCTGTGGTGGTAGTTATGTGTTAACTGACTGATTGGATATAGACCAAGAATTTAAAGAATCCCTAGGAGAGTTCATTCGCCAGTTCAAAATCACAAAAGTACACTCGTTAGCTGAAATTATAAATTTCAATCTTGAACATCCAGAACTCACTCTCCCGCCTTGTACGTCTTACTGATTCCTGCCTCCCTGCCTGTGGCTCACGGCCTCCCGTTACCTTTCTCGTTCCCCATTTATCACTAGTATTTTTAAACTCCAAGTTTGGGCATAACCACTGACGGCCTTAGCCTGTCCACACCAAAACGACCTCATGGCCGCTCTCGGCTCCTCCACACCCCGCGAAACCATCACCGCAGCCCGCCAACACCTCAGACTGGCTGGCGGCCAAGAAGGTCTCGACCACCTCTTCTCCTCCCTCCAACTCGATGTAATCGTCTCCCCTGGCGACGCAGCGCTCTCCTCCCTTGCCGCCGCCGCCGGCTACCCAACAGCCGCATGCCCTCTCTCAGCGCTCAAACTCAACGGCCAGCCGTTCGGCCTCACGCTAACCTCCCCTCCACACACCGAACACCTTCTCCTCCACTTCCTAACCGCCTACGAAGTTACCTTCCCACCTCGCGCGTTGCCGTTACCGCTATCTAGCGTCCCACTGCAAGATCCTAATCCAGAGCCCTTGCCCGATAAACCGATAATCGATCTCATTCTGCATGAGTGGGACACGAGAAGGTTTAGCTGCTCGGCGGACGCTTTGGCGGATTGGTTGAATGCTAGGTGGAGGAAGAGTGGGTATGAGTTGAGTGCCGAGACGATTTGTGAGGTTTTGAGGAGTAATGGTAGGATTGCTTTTAGGGGGTTGGGGGATGATGCCGAGGGCGCTTTTGCGAGATAACGTGTCGTTGTGGGTATGGGATAGGCGTCTGCTGAGGTAAGGCACGTGATAGTGTGCTGTATAGTGGGAATTCGGACATGGAAAGGCGGCGAAATGCCCTGGTCGAAGACATTGGCAACTTTCTTTCAACCAGCCAGATCTTCTGAAGCCTTGGCTGGAAAGCTGTTGACAGTGTGCATGTGTGGAGGGTATGTAAACTGGAACCGCTTGGGGGGTCTTGTGCTTTTGCCTCACTCTTCTTCGTCTTCTTCTCCTTTTTTTGTTGGCTGGCTTTGCATGGTGCTGGGGGTATGGTTTGCATGATATCCACTCGTTTTCTGGTTAGCATTTCCTTGGAAGTCTTGGGAAAGCAGCGGAATTAGCAACATGGACGGTTACGATGGTTGGGGGTTCCGCTGATAATGAAGGCTAGCAGGAGCACGCGGAATCCCTACAGAAACGATGCAATGACTTCTGTACCAAGTATCACAGAATCTGATCCTTATAAGATTGCTACATCCGTTGCAGTATCTATCGTGGGTTAAAAGTCCTTACCGCTTGTAGCAATGTTGATACCAGAGTAACACCTGCTGCATCCTGTCACCTTACATAGAGAATAACAGGTGGTGATATACGACGGAGAGTTGCACTCCGTTGGCTTTCTCCCTTACTCCAGCAAGAGGGTCAATAGATGGACTTTCGTTTGGTTATATTCTACGTTATGTGATAACATATGCTTTCGACACTTCTGACCTCACTCTTCCCCTTCCTACAAACATGCAGTTTCAGCTTAAGGAGAGACCATTGCCGAGATCAGAATATCTGTTACGTTTTAGGCACTAGCGAAAATTTTGAAGTACTTACAAGGCCAGCATGAGATAGCATTCCTCTACTTTCTAGTTACAATTACATCCGAATGCCCGAACAAAAGGGTATTGATCCGCCAAATTGGCCGTCCAGTTAGTGTGCGTCCCGTAAACTCCCAAGCACCGAGCTATGCCCTGAAAAGTCCTACCTATGCTTTAGGATAACAACATTGACTTCATTTGGGTTTTCATCTCGCCCGTCGATACTTCCCCTGCCTCATTTGCTCCTTCAGACTGTCCTGCTGACTCGGCAACGGTGCTCGCTTCCTCACGCCTCCGCTTCCACTCTCTCCGTTCGCAGATCCTCCACCGTTCGGCGCAGCTACAGCAACACTCATAGCACTCCCTGGAAGCGGTGGAACGAATCCTGCAGGGGGCGGGGGAAAGCCTGGTGGAAGTGTCATTCCAGGTGGTGGTGGCGGAATACCTGGAGGAATACCCGGCGGAAACGGGAAGTTCGGCGGAATGGGCGGCGGGAACTGACCAGTCGCGGCGTTAGGGAGAGGTAGAGGAGGAGGAGGAGGGGGGGGAATTGTGCCAGACGCCAACATCTCCACAAGTCTACCTGGGTCAATGCCCTCGAACGGATTCCTGCCAGGAGGGAACCCTGGAAATGGCCCCGGCGGTGGCGGCAAGCCCGTGGGCAGCATGGGCAGCGGAGGATGGCTAGGCGGCATTGGTGGAGGTGCACCCCCAATCCCTGGAAGCGCGCTACTAGTTCCGTCGTTTGCGGGAGTGATGCCAGGAAGGGTGAGGCCAGGGGGAAGAAGTGGTACACCTGAATTCTTGGAGGGCATCTTTTGATCAACGAGGCCCTCGGCTTCATCCTCGGCTTCCTGTTCTTCTTCGTCACGCTGCTGCCTTCGACCTTGACCGCGATCGTAGGTACCTTGGGCTTCCGCTGCTGTCTGACCAATATGATACCGATCGCTAAAGCAGGCGGTATCGCCCGGTCGTGCGCGTCCCCAGAAGCGCGTAACACGGTCGTTAGAGCCAGACGCTAGGAGATGGCCAAGCGGGTGATAGTCAAGAGTCCAGACAGTGAAATCGTGGGCATAGTTAATGCTATGGGCTGGATAGATGGACTGGATGGGAGCTTTCTTGGGGTTCGGGTCATCATACACCGACAGAGTGTGCGGGGCGCCCGGAGGAGGGTTCTGCTCGTTCAAAAGATAGTGTTTGATACTCCCGTCGACACCACCCGTCGAGAGTAGGTTGCGGTGCTGAGGATGCCAGGCCATGGTGATGATGTCCTTTTCGTTTCCCTTGAGGAGGAGCACATCGCGCATCATTCGGATGTCAAAGATACGGGCTGTATGGTCACGAGCACAGGTGGCGAGCATATCAGGGTGTGTAGGACAGAACAGCGTCTTTGCAATGGTGTTTTTGTGGCCATGCAATGTCTCCAGACAGCGGCCGGTCCTAGGATCCCACAGCTTGATAGTGTGGTCTTTGGAGCCGGATACAAGTAGTCCCTTGGAAGGATGCCAGTCGACAGACTTGACTTCCCAGGAGTGTCCCGTCAAAGTGGAGTGCTCATCGCCAGTGGTGAAGTCCCAGATCTTGAGGGTAGCATCATCTGCACATGTGACGAATTTAGCGTCAGTAGGGGCGATGGCCAGACCACGGACTGCTTGGTCGTGGGCTTGGAACTCCTTGACATTGTTGAAGTTGGGCAGCCAGTACTTGACAATGCCATTCTGATCTGCCGAGAGGAGCCAATCGTCGGTGTGGGTGTAGACGGCGGCGCGGACGGCAGATTCGTGAGCTTGCATGATGGTCTCGAAGTTGAAGCCTTGGCCATTCCACAGTGTAAACTCTCCACTGGTGGAGCCTGTGAGCAGACGCCGACCTTCGGGCGTCCATTTGACCACATTGATCGGGTGCTTGACCTTGTTCAGCGACGAGTGGAGCGCCTTGACGGGGATGGAGTCGGCGGCGCTAGTGATGCGGCCGGCGGGAGGTACCATCTGCAATGCGTTAGACAGCAGATACTGCAGACGGCCGTGATTGCAAAACGTACATCAACGATATAGCTAGGACTCGGACGCTCGATCTCAGGCGGGGAGATGTGTTTGTACTGCGGGCGCCGATTGCGCGTCCATTGGACAGTCGTCGAGCCGTAATCCGTGACGGGTCCTGAATCATCCATGTCAGCCAGTGTCAGCCAGTTTTCCATATAGCTGCTCCTGCTCGTTGTCCCTCTTCCTCCCGCTGGCCCCACGGCATTGTGATCATTGCTACGGCGATGGAGGGCTGAGTGTTCTGGGCAGAGGACGACAGAAAGAAAAGGAACTCGGTTTGCGCGGGAGTGCTTCACTTGATTGGAAGGGATGATTTATTACTCACGCTTCGGTCGAGGACGTTGGCCGCCCTCGAACTGCGGCGGATGGTATTCACCGCGCTCCATGGTGAAAGGCAGGTGCGAGAGAAGACGTGCGCTCTCAGGTAGGCAGCATGGAAGATGGAGTGCTCCTAGGCTAGCAGTTGCGGGGACGTGGCTTGTAGAGCGGCAGTGGGAGTGGGAGTGGAGTGGGGAGAGTGGAGCTTGTTGGCTGCTGCTTTGTCGAGGAGTTGAAGCTCGTCAGTCGTCAAGCCATCGCGAAACCCCCGATGAGGGCTAGCTTGGGCACTAGCCACAGAGCCACCACGGCCACAGAGCCACCACAGCCATCAACGAAATCGTTTCCGCTTTCCGCCTCACCAAATCGCGAACACAAAGTCCCCAACTTCCGGAAATAAACGTGGCAATGCTACCGAAATAAAACTTCATAAAAAAGTTGTATACAAAAGATATTTACAAGGCAAGTATTTCTATACAGAAAGAAGTCTATCTTTCTACTGTTGCCATCTCGAAACGCGCTGCTAAAGTTAGCCTAACTTTAGTGTTCTTCACAGATCGGAAACGAGTTAATTCACCCAGGTGCATGATATCGTTTCCGCTCTGCGAAGAACACCAAAGCTGGGCCAATTTCAACAGCACATTCCCATATAACTACAAAAAGAAAGCGTAACCCGGCCAGGCCACTATCTCCTAGTGCCTGTACCTCTCTATGTATCATGGCTGCCAGTCGAGGCTCCACATCAATACAACACTCTTCCGCTACACCACCACCCAAGCTTACAGAAAGATAGACTGTTGCTTATATGGAAATGATTGCCTTGCAATGCCTCTCTATGTGTAGTGTTTTCACTTAAATTTCCTTGCGTGGTGTTGCTATGTTTCTGCGCTGAAGTTGGCGACTTTAGGGTGAGGGCGTAGCGGAAACGAACAAGTGCATGCCTATGGCCGGCCACTACAATAATGCCCCAGAGCCACCACTGCCCCCAGAGCCACCAGCCACTGCGGTGAAGAGCACGGCCCAATGTGCATGCAGAATCGCAACCCCGCTACCTGCCTCCATCTCCACCAGAATCCGATAGCTGCTCCCAACACTTTTTGCCCATATCACCTAGACTAGGCCCGCCCTTTTCTAGCCATGGAATTGTGTCTCCGCTTCCGACCATCAGAGCTGCTCCCAGCGTAGCTGTTTCATCCCATCGTCCATTCCCACTACGGATCCCGTACCCCATCGCCGCAATCTGCCGTCTGCGAAATTCCTCACCCACCACATTTTTAATCCCAAACCCCATATCAGCTATTGGTCCGCCAGCTCGCACCCCCAATTGCATATCCCTCGCCATGGCGACCCTCGTCAACACTGCAATTGCCACCAGCACCGACGTGCCCAACATCAACCTCAGGGCCATGTACAATGGCGAGTCGACTCAGCCCGTTCCTAGCTCGCGCAAGCAAATGCGAGATTCCAAGTACAGACATGTCTTTGCCACACATTCGGTGGGGCGGAACTCCTGCCTCAGTCAAGACGCAGAGAAGACGCCCAACTTTGTGGGCTTTCGCAATTTGATGGTATTGGTTCTCAGTATGCTTGCCTCAAGTCGCGAAGAAGTAACTTGCGTCCTAACATGTACCTAGTCGTTTCGAACCTCAGATTGATGATTGAAAACTTTAGAAAGGTACGTCGATTGTCCCCTCTATCTCCTCCGCTGCTCATCTTTGTAGTATGGGGTTTTAATATGCATCCACTGCCACGATTACAGACGACAAGACGTGGTGTACGGCCTGCTCCTCTACCTTCTCGTCCCATGTCACCTCTTCGTCGCTTTCATAATCGAGCTGGCCGCTGCCCAGCAAGCTAGAGGTGCCCTCGCGCGCATGAAGAAGGCTGGTGACGACCATGACACCCCCACAAAGCAAGCACAAGCCCGACGAAGCTTCAATTCGACATGGCGAATTGTGGCCTTCCTCCACGGCATCAATGCTACATTCAATCTCATGATAGCTACCACCGTCGTTTACTACCACATCCACCATCCCGGCATCGGCACGCTGTGCGAGCTCCACGCCGTCATTGTCTGGCTGAAAGTATGCTCATACGCGTTCACAAACCGCGATCTTCGTCATGCTCTCTTGAACCCGAACAATTCTCAGCCACTGCCTGAGATTTATCAATCGTGTCCATACCCCAAGAATATCAACTGGCGAAACCTCTGCTACTTCTGGTGGGCCCCAACCCTCGTCTACCAGCCGGTCTATCCTCGCACCACTCACATCCGCTGGGCCTTCGTCTTCCGGCACCTCCTTGAAGTCGTGGGCCTCAGCATTGTAATCTGGATCGCATCTGCTCAGTATGCCGCGCCTTTACTCCAGAACTCGCTCGACAAGATCTTCACCCTCGACTTCGTCTCCATCGCCGAGCGCGTTATGAAGCTCTCCACCATCTCACTCTTCTGTTGGCTCTGCGGTTTCTTCGCCATCTTTCAATCTTTCCTCAACGCCCTCGCCGAAATGATGCGATTTGCTGACCGCGAGTTCTACGGCGACTGGTGGAACGTAAGCAGTATCCGCACATACTGGACCACGTGGAACAAACCCGTCACGAACTTCATGCGCCGCCACATCTACTCTCCGCTCGTCGGTCGAGGCTGTCCACCCGCCCTTGCCCAAATCATCGTCTTCCTTATCTCGGGAGCTTTGCATGAACTGCTTGTCGGGGTTCCTACACACAATGTCTTAGGCGTGGCGTTTGCGGGCATGATGTTCCAGATCCCGCTCATTGCCCTCACTGATGCGCTGCAGAAGATGAAAGGGATAAGGGGGAAGATGGCAGGCAATATGATCTTTTGGATTAGCTTTTGTTTGGTGGGCCAGCCGTTAGCGGCATTGTTGTATTTCTTTGCCTGGCAAGCCAAGTATGGGAGTGTGAGTAAAGAGTGGCAGGAGAGGGGAAGCTTGGGCATGATGCTTCTACGGAGACGCTAGAGATGTGCAAGACCCCAGGCGCGTACACTATCTGAGCAGTGGTGAGGTGTGGTGTTCTGGGACTTATTTTTGTATTTTGGGACTAGAAAAGGATGCTTAGATTAGTCTTCTTCATTGAGCGTAATTCCCAGCCATAGGAGTCTCCAATTACTATTCGTACTTGTCTTATGGTTTGCATCGTGGGAGCAAAGTTAGCTCGCTGTTGATAATCCTGATAATTTCTGCTGGAATTCCTCACACACTCCAATTCGCAGTGGCTGGATTCAAGTTTTGCGAGCTATATATATACCAACGCCTGCCTGCTCTCAGCTTTGTGGCGCAGTAGGCCGAAACTCTATTGACAACATGGAGCATTCTACGGGCCTGAAGGAGGATATATTAGAAGACTTTCTGCGCAAAGAAACCTACAGCATACCCTACAATTCCCGCAGGAGCCCACAATCTGGAATATTCTTAATGGGTTTGACTTCCATCCTGAAGGCGATATCGCTATACGCTTTGTTCATAACTTGCGTCCGAGTCTTGGACAGCTGGTCCAAGAAAGCTGGAATAAAGGTTCCTGGGCCTTGAACATCTCCTGCACCAGCCACCTGGCCTGCAACGTCGTAGTGCACGATCCCAGCCACACATGCTAGAAGCTTGTCTTCTGGATTCGCGGCCATATAAGCGGCTAGCGTGGTGCCCAGCGCACATCCACTGCCAGTGATCTCTCCAAGCAAGCTGTGTCCGTTGGAGATGCTGTAGGTGCGCATGCCGTCGCTGACAATGTCCACTTTCCCCGTCATGAGAACGACGTTTCGTTCCCGCAATGCAATTCGAGATACCAGGTAGGCTTTCTCCTCGAAGCTGAAAAGCGAGGTGCCGCTGTCGACGCCTCGTTGTTGACTGCTTTTGCTTTCGCTGTCATGCAGCACAAAACCAGAGGCTCGCGCTACAGCCATGATTTCTCGCTCGTTGCCTTTGATCAGGTCGAAGTACCCAGATGCCATCAAAAACGCGAGAGCTTCTTTTCTCGCAGCGGTTGCTCCTGCCCCAACAGGGTCAAGGACGATGGGTCCGCCGACGGAATTGTAGGCTTCTATTGCTTTTTGGTGGTTGGCTAGTGAGTCGGGGGTTGCCGTGCCCATGTTGATAACTAGTCCACCGCCGAGGCGTGCAAGGTCAGGCGCCTCGTCTCCGTTGTTAGACATTATGGGAGAGGCGCCGATGCAGAGGGCGACATTGGCGGCGAAGTTCTGGACGACGAGGTTGGTCATGTTGTGGGAGAGGGGTTTCTGGTTAGACACGGCGACTATAGCCTTGGTGGTTGCAGTGCGGATTGAGTTTATCTCATCTTGCTCGGTCTCGGGGATGGAGACGGCAGTGGTGGATTTTACTTTGAATGGGGGAGGCGTGTCCAGGAGTAGCTTGAGATGGCTGGCTGCGGCTTGAGGATGCTCAGCGGCCATGATGGCGCTCACGATGGCGACCCCATCCAGGACCTTTTGCGGCTGTGACCCAGAAGGTGGGTGCAGTTGGTAGCGTACTCGCTGGACATTGGATGCGTTGACTCCTCCAATGCAAACGGACTTGACAATTTGAGCGGCATCATCCTTTTGATGAGATAGGTAATAAAGGATCTTGCGGATACCATTGATGCCAATGATACTCTTCGTATCCTTTTTCGTTGCTGTGGCGTAGAGTGTTCCGATGCCGAGATAGTCTGCTCCAGCTTCGACGGCCACCTGAGCCTCTTTGATGGAAGAGACTGTAGCACCTATTATCTTGTCCTGGCCCAGGATTTTCCGAGCCGTTACGATATCCATGTCATCTTGGCCCAAGTGCACGCCCTCACACCCCACGGCGAGGACAACGTCTACCCGGTCATTGACAATTAGAGGAACGTTGCCCTTCTGGCATATTTTATGGAGCTCTTTTGCAGTGTGGATAAGCACACCAGTATCACTTGTTTTGTCTCTGTATTGCACTACAGTGACACCTGCATGGAATTTTAGTACTTGAGGTCGTCGGCAGGGATACAGGTGCGTTCACGTGCCTCCCGCAATTGCCTGTTCCACTACGTCGACGAGATTCCTTTCCCCAAGAATGGCCTCTGTAGAGTCTGTCACGAGATATAGCGAGTAGTCGACGAGAGGCTTCTGCATCTCTGCGCGAGAGTGATTGGGGCGAATTGGGGCGTCAGTGCCAGCCAACACGGGTGTGTCCGGTCCGACTATGATATAGAGGGGAGGGTAAGCCTACCAAGAGTTTGACGAAGGGTTTGGCGGAGCACAGACAGGGATGTCGAGGCGCAATGCTCGACGAACAGCACTGAAGGGTCTTAGAGTTGGTGATGCTGCCAGGCATCAGCACCTGAAGGACACTTGGACCTGAGGACGCTAAGAGCGTGCAGAGGGATGAGAAGGATGAGATGGAGGAAGGCGGAAGTGGCTTGGGCAGTCGGTCAGAACGAGGAGGAATGCGAGCAGAACAGTCACAGGTTGGCTAAGGGGAACAAATTGCTGCCAGCTTGCTCGGCGCGGCTGGACGGCAGAGCAGTGACGAGATGCTTCCCGCGATATGAAAATTTTACTGTCGTGAGTAGTCGGAACAACCACACTGCGTGCTCCCAAATCGCGTCAAGACGCGACGCCTTCTCCGCAGCAACTGCTTGCACAACCGCAGGCGAGTATCTGCCGGGGCCGCAAGTGTTTGAGGGCGCTCTGCCACATAGCAGAGGCGGCGGCTGTGGTTTGTGATTTGCGATTTGTGATTGCGCTTTGTTGTGTGCCGCTCGCACTCACTGCGGCTGCGTGGCCGGCCTGGTTGGGTTCCAAGGTCCGATTTTCAGAACTCCGCACCTCCCCCATAAATAATCCTCTAGCCCTCGACACTGCTCCTCCGCTCCACCACCACTGCACTCACACTTCACCCCGCCGCCGGCACCACTTCCAGTAACAAAATTCCCCGCTAGAGCCCCCAGCGGTTCTGCTTCCCTTTAGCCACCACCAAACCGTCCGTCAAAGCCCCTCCCATAGGCGTCGCAATCCTGCGGCCTGTCTCCCAACCCGCCACCTTGCCCTTGGGGACCGCTACAAGCACCAAACCATCGCCAGTCATCGACAACTGCAGTATATGTATTCGTGCCAAAGCTACGCCTTCCGACTCGACCCTCCGCCCGAGCTGCAACCATTTCGCAGGACGCGGAAACCGTGCAGTCCCCACCACTGTACCAACGGCTAGCTTGTTTCCCTGACCTCACGTCCTCCGAGATCCTCTCCCCCAGAATCCCCAGACACTGCGTCTACTGCATGTCTCTTTCCGCCATCCTCAGCGTTTCCGCTTCCCCTATACTCGTCCGCCCGCTTCTCCAAAAGTAAGCGCGCCAGCCCCATCGACTTCCTCCTCACCCTCCCCCAACAGCAACCATGGCCACCATCAATATTCGCCGCGATGTCACCGACCCCTTCTACCGCTACAAGATGGAGCGTCTGCAGTCTAAGATCGAAGGCAAGGGTAACGGCATCAAGACCGTCATTGTTAATTTGAGCAGTGTCGCCCAGTCCTTGGCCCGTCCTCCTGCATGTGAGTAACCCCCTCGCCAAGCGTTCACCTCTCACAGACTGACACGTCTCCAGATGTCATCAAGTACTTCGGCTTTGAGCTGGGCGCCCAGACCAACACCAACCCTAGCGACGATCGCTGGATCATCAACGGCGCCCACGACGCTAGCAAGCTCCAGGACTACTTGGATGGCTTCATTTCCAAATTCGTTCTCTGCAAGAAATGCAAGAACCCTGAGACCGACGTCAATATCAAAGACGGCCGCATTGTGCTGGACTGCAAGGCCTGCGGCCAGCGTACCGACGTCGATCTGCGCTTGAAGCTCAGCTCGTTCATCTTGAAGAACCAACCCAAGAAGGGAAAGAAGGACAAGTCCACAAAGAAGGCCGAGCGTCGTGCCCGCAAAGAGGCCGAGGCTCATGCCGACGAAGAGTCCCAGAACGGCGTGAGCCCTGGTGACAGTGCATCCGACCATGCCGAGGAGAACGGCGAAGTCGAGCTTGAAGCCGGCAGTGACGACGAGCTCACCCGTCAGATCAATGAGGGCGCCAAAGAAATCGATGTCGAGGACACCAAGGAGGTCCAATGGTCCGTTGATGTCTCTGAGGAGGCCGTCAAGGCTCGTGCCAAGGAGCTCCCAGATGACCTGAAGCGTGCTCTCGTCGTCGATGATGATGAAGAAGGTGCCAATGGCGAGTCTAGCGACTACGACATTTTCGGAATTTGGATCGAGAAAACCGCTGCTGACAAGGGTGGCCGCGATCACCTTGACAATGTCGATATCTATCTCAAGGCCCAGGAACTCGGTATCGAGAAGAAGCACCGAACCCTCTTTGTCCTTGCATTGACGCTCTTCGATACCAACATCGTTAAGCAGATTGAGAAGCGCGCCCCTATGCTCAAGAAGATGGTGACCTCCGAACGTCACGAGAAAGCTTTCCTTGGCGGCACCGAGAAGTATGTCGGAATCGAGAAGCCGGAGCTAATCCCCAAGGTTTCTATGATCTTAGCCAAGTACTATGAGTACGATATCATCTCGGAGGAGACCCTCAAGGCCTGGGGCTCCAAGGCCAGCAAGAAGTACGTCGACATCAAGACGAGCAAAAGCGTTCGCAAGTCGGCGGAGAAGTTCATTGTGGCGCTGAACGAGGCCGAGAGCGATGAAGAGTCTGACGAGGAGTAAAGTGCTTCGGCCCTTGTATCTCGACATTGGCTATGTGAGATCCTGCACCCAGTATCCGCGTCCAAAACTTGCACCCCGAGAACGCTTGATGGCTTAGCCGATTCTCCCCTATTATTCATGCTTCCTGCTTTCTGTTTTGCTGCCTCTTGTTTGTTCGATCACTGTCTTTTGAATGTGTTGGCGGCGTGTGGAACACCCTCCTCTCTATGTCGATGGATAAATGGCTTAATGGTTGGGTGTGGTGGATAGACGATGTTCTCCCTACTCTTACTCTGACTCCTATTTGAACAATAAAAGCTTTTACTCATATCTTTCTATGAGGCGACTGCCTGCCTTTGTGATTGATTACCTTCTTCTATATGAGTATCTAAGTACGGATTAGCTTGCACGTATCCGACGGGAGTAGTCGACGTTGCCGAGATAATCGAATCACTTGATCTGGTATCCCGAATAATCGCTTGCACGTCTCCATTCCTTTACCCTTCCACATTTTCGTTGTCAAATAGGAATTCACTTTCTCAGCCTTCTTCGTCCACCAAAAAGCAAATCCGGCATTCGCCTATCCTAGCAGCACCCAGAGCACGTTCTGCCCACAGGATCTAAGCCCCTCATTGTACTAGTGTCGGAACCGGCCTCGCATTAACCTGGTCCAGATGGGTGATCGACGTCTCGAGCTCCAACCGAACACACTCATGACCCGCCATGCCAAGCCTAAGAACTTTTCGACGCCTGGGGATAAAAAGTGGCGGACTCCCCGCTTGGGGAGAGCCTTCTCATATCTACACCTAGGTTCTTGCCTTGAAAATTTACATCGGTGAGCGACTTCTGGAGTTTTGCGCTCACCTTACTTGCGAAAAGCTCCATTCTACATTTTCTGGCAAGCTTTGGCTTCCCCACACCCCGTGATATTCGAGTTCTCGAGTCAATTGTCACCGTTAGTCGACTTGAAATCTGTCCTAGACTAACGCAATGGCTGCCACTAAAGACACGGAAGTCGTCCTGAATAAGGGCGACGACGTTGGCCCTCTCGCAAACGTCGATGCGACTCATATCCATCCAAAAGGTACGACCGTCTCCGACGCTAGCTCTGGAAATGGGCAAAACGATGGACACGGTGTTCCCGAGCTAGTTGGACAGCAAAACAGCGGGACGACCGTTGCTGAGTTGGAAGGGAAGAGTACAGGGAAGTGGTTTGCGTACGTGAAGACAAAGGACTTTTGGCTAGTCTTGTTACTTGGTCAAGGTTGGTATTCTCCTGCCTGGAATTGAGGGAGTTGATTTTTATGTATGCTTAATTGGCATGCTAATTCGCATCTTTAGTCCTGAGTATCTGTATCACATCGACGAACACGCTTTCCCAGCTACTCTCCTTGGAAAGAACGAGCATTCCTGCTTTCCAGACCTTCTTCAACTACGTTCTTTTGAACCTTATCTACACCTCATGGACAATCTACAAATATGGGTTTAAGAAGTGGGTAAATCTTCTTCTGAAAGATGGTTGGAGGTTCTTCATTCTGGCATTTATGGATGTAGAGGGAAATTACTTCACCGTTTTGGCATATCGCTATGTAAGTATCATCCACATGAATATCAGACGGAGTAGAAATTGTGCTGAACTGGCTTCGTAGACTACGATCCTTTCTGCCCAGTTAATCAATTTCTGGGCCATCGTCGTCGTCGTCATAATCTCCCTCATCTTCCTGCACGTCCGCTACCATATCACCCAATACGCCGGCATCATCCTCTGTATAGGCGGCATGGGCATCTTGTTCGGATCCGACCACATCACAGGAAACAACGTCTTCGCCGCCGCCAACCAACTCAAAGGCGACCTCTTCGCCCTCCTCGGCGCCTCCTTCTACGGCCTCTCTAACTGCTTCGAAGAATTCCTCGTCAGCAAACGCCCCATGTATGAAGTCATCGGCCAACTCGCTTTCTGGGCCATGTTGATCAACGGGGTGCAAGCTGGGATCTTCGACCGGTCCTCCTTCGCAAACGCTGTCTGGAACGCGAAAGTCGGGGGGTATATGACTGGGTATACGCTCATCCTCGCACTATTTTATTCCCTAGCGCCGCTCATGTTCAGGCTTTCTTCGGCAGCGTTTTTTAATATTTCGCTTCTGACGGGGAATTTCTGGGGCGTGGCGATTGGGGTTAAGGTGTTTCACCTGCATATCCATTGGATGTACCCCATTGCCTTTGTCTTGATTATTATAGGACATGTGTTGTATTTTTGTAGGCAAAGTATGCTGGCGGAAAGCAATAAGCCTTGGTTGGGGGAGAATCAGGAAGAAGGTATTGCGGGGATTGGAACGGCGAGGAGGAGGGTTGAGAACCCGGATGCTATTGTTTAGATCTATGTTTCTAAGGTGGGAAGGCAGTGGTCGGCTAGGGTTGATTGGCGGTTGGAGGAAGTAAACATAGCCTATAATTGGAGGAAGGGCTTTGGGTAGAATGCGATGCGAAACAGTTTGGAATACTACTAATACTGTGTGTGATATGGTGAGTAGGGATAATGTGAATGGACGCTGTTACCCTCTACTTCTGCAACGTTCTCATCCATATTTCAGGGACTATTTTGGACAAGTGAGACTGAAGTGCCTAAGCATAATTATATTACCAATTTACTTTCAAACACAGCTACCCGATGTTTGCAAACCCTCTTTTATCAAACCGAACTATGAAATGCGGACTGAATCCCTCACGTCAGATCCCAACCTCAATCTTACACCCAGCCTTCTTCAAACTCTCCACGTACTGCTCGCCCAACGTCGCCGGTGTCAAAATCCCACCCCCAATCTTCCCAGCTTCAGTGGCAGCAAGATCTCCTCTAAGCATCACCTCTGCAGCAACAGACAGCGTCAAAGCTGTCATAGCATATCCCCCGCGCTCCACCTCCAGCCTTCCAACCACCTTTTCTTTACCCTCCGAATCCGCAATCGCAACGGCCCGGTAGTGCATGAAATCGTTCTTCATGGATTCTTTCGTTGGCCCTTCGCCGGGAGCTGGGATGAGGAATTTTTTGGCGAGGGGGGTGATGAGGAGCCGGGAGGGTGGGAACGCGAGGAGTATGCCGGTTAGGTTGAACAGGATGCGCCATATTGCAGCAAAGGAGAGGGTTTTGGCGCGCATGTACTCTGTGAAGCGGAAATGGGGGCCGTAGGAAATCGAGGAGGCTGAGCTGGAGCCGGAGCTGGAGCCGGTGTTATCCTTTGCGACATTGGAGAGAGACTCAAATATTCCCCATGATCGATGCACTAAACATGTGTCTACGCTCGCCATTGCCCCGACTGTTTGTATCCCGCCTAATTCTGGGAGGTAGTGTAGACCAAGCAGGCGGTAGAAGAAATTGGCCGCCTTAGGCGGGCGTGATGGTTGATTCGGGGGCATTGGGGAAATTGACCAGGGTTTGAAATCTGCGGCTAGTTTCTTGAGTGGGTAGTGTGAGAAGATGTTGAGAGCTGTGGCAGCTGTCCCGCCGCTGAGACCTGATTTTAGGGCGTAAAGAGTGAGGACTACGGAGGACGTCGGGGAGTGTAGGGTGTACCGGATGTGGGTTGTTAGGAAGAAGGTTAGGATGTCAGCGGGCACAGAGTCGAGGCCACACTGGGGGATCATCTGGGGGGTGTTAGAGAGGGCATGGAGGAGATTGGGGGAGATGTGTTGGAAAGGAATTGCGAAGCATCAGAGTCCAATTTAAGACGGAAGCTTGTGTCCCTTCGATGCTCTCTTGAACTCGAGAAACAGGTTTGAGGGATCAAATCATCCCACTTTGCTTTAGTGGAAGCTGCGACTATGCAGCGAGTGGTCTCAAAGGCCATGGAGTGATGAACTGAGAGAAACCGAATGGGGCAATTTATAAGAGAGAAGCAAAGAGAGAAAATTGCACCTACAATGGCCCCGTTCCTCTTTGCCATCCCATCGTATTTGTCAACCATGTCGCGATACCAAGGAGTCTCTCCAGTGCTTCATCATAAAATCAATACAACAATTTGGAGCTCAAGGGAGCGACAACATACCAATCCAGGTAGTGGGTACCATTTTCGGCACAGGCTGCCAGAACAGGCTCACCGTACCACATATATGGCCCCACAGTCGTGACTATAAGACGTGTTTTCTTAGCTAGAACGTCCAGTTCATCTTTCTGAAGCTCGCAGATCTCAATATCTGTGCAGGGTGAGCATAAAGAGGGCAGATGTTATAGTAGCTTCTCTCACCTGGCTGCTTGCGATCTGGAGCCAATTTCGTTAGCTCCTGTGCGACATTCTGTAGTTTTTTTGCATTGCGACCAGCAATAGCCCATTTCAGATTGGTTGGCAGGTTGGTGGTGATGTATTCCGCTGTTAGCTTTCCGGTGTAGCCCGTTGCCCCCAGAAGGACGAGCTCGTATTGACAAGAGTCTTTTGCCATCGGAGGTCAATTCTACACACTCGATGCTTGTCAGAGAATTCACGGGGCGGAGGAAGAGATTTTGAACGAGTGGAAAGCTGAAAAGTGGCGAATGGAGAAAGCCATGTTTGATTTATCCTAGTTTTCCGCCTGTCACATTGTCCAACATTGGTCAAGTCATGCATACGACACAGAGCCGAGGCATCAAACAACCCTAACATTGATGACATCTTCGAGGAGACGCCCACCACATCTACAAAACTGAGATGGCTTAGGATGAGAAACATACGCTCGAGAGAAAATCTGGGTAAGCTGGACACAGTGTCGAGGCAAATGAGCACTAGTGTATTTTCGGTCTAGCCGGTGACTTCTTGGCCTCCGGCACATTTTGTAAGTCGCACTTAACAACTCAAAAACTCTTCAGCTTCCTCACCGCCACCCTAGAGTCCCAGTCAACACTCGACAGGATGGTCAATATCAATATCTGTACACACTAATCTCTTAAGCTAGGCTACTAACATCAAGCACTCCGGCCTCCGTTGCATGGAGCAGGGGAGGCTTGAAACCTCGATGACTGGTTAGCCCTTCACGAAGCCTATCCATCAACGTACCATCGCTAATCTTCTGAAGACTGGCAAGAAACAAGATTTGGCCTTGTTTCGAGTCTCTAGTCCGACTCCCAGGAGCTTGCGAGTTCTAATGCGATCGCAAAGCCTCTGTTCCTCCCACAGGCCCCCTCGGCGCTTAAGTGTCGCGGAAAATTAGAATAAGAATACAAGAACTATACATTCCAAGTCCTGGACCTCCCTCAGGCTCCAGGCGATAGAGCCGCATGAAGGCTAGGCCTGTAGAAGAACATAATACATGGCTTCGAATCGCACCGGCTCTGTCTACTCAATCGTCCAAACATCTCGATTTCTTTCGTGATACTCAATGATGATCAAGATATCTCACCTGGTGAACACGTGGCTAAGTCAGTCCCGGATCGGTCACCACGGAACAGTAATAGGAAAGATGTAAGCTGTCAAGCGGCTTGCTGGAATCAAGACGAGGAGAACGAGGATTCTGGCTGCTGTCCTAAATCAAACTGCGGTAGGCTCTGTCACACGTGCCAATACGAGCTCAATTTAGGTCATTATGTCCCTTCCCTACATGTATTTTTTTTTCGTCGTCTTCGATAAGCTTCCCAGGCTTCCGCAGCGCCATGCGCCGTCTCACTGCTGGCCCCGGCATCAAGGTCAGTGAATGGAGGTCCGTGCGCTTAGCCTCTTGGCATTGCCTCTCTTAAAGTCAAGCCCCTCTGCTCCACTCCACTACTCCGTCTCTTCCATCCCCAACTTCGACACATGGTCCGCGACACTCACCCATTCCCCGATTTCTCGTACACGCTCTACTTCAATGGCCGAGACTTGCATAGTCTGCCTCGGCGACCTCGCCCCCCAAGACGAAGGCCACCTTTTGGCCATCGAATCCGCGCTAGACAACGAGTCGCTTGAGCATGGGGCTCGTCATCCTAGCAAGGTCCAGAAGATTGTCTCCCCGGCCTCTGAGCCCACCCCGAGCGACGACGAATTAGTCGCCCACTTGCTCCCTTGCGGGCATAACTTGCACAACGAATGTCTCAAGCCATGGGTTGAAAGGGCAAATAGTTGTCCCATCTGTCGGGCCAGCTTCAACATGGTGGAGCTTAGCGCAAGGGTAGGAAGTAAGACTCTCTAGCATTATGACTCTAATAGCCACTGCTGACTTACATTGCAGGCACCATTCTATCCTCCTATGGCGTCCAGGATCGACAACAAGTTGCCGAAATCGACCCCTCCATGATCGTCGAGGAAGACTACTATAATCTCGTAGACGATGGGAGCTACGATGCATGCATGATATGCGATGAGTTCGGGGACTCGGCGCAGCTCATGTTCTGCCACAGCTGTGAACAGATCTGTCATGTCTTTTGTGCCGGCCTCGATGCAATGCCTTCCCGTGGTGCATGGTACTGCCAACATTGCATGGAGAATCCTGAACTGCTCGCCGCAGCCACGCGACGGCAGCCCCCACGTGGCCCTGCCGCCTTCATCAACGGGCGATCACGCATCCGTCGGCGACGCCCTCGTGCTCCAGATGAATGGGTCGGAGTCTGGCAGAGTGTGTGGGATCGACTCCATTTCGATATTGAATTCCCCTTCGAGGACGAAGAACAATCTGACAACCGATCTGAAGTACAGCGACGAGAAAATCAGGAATGGGAGCGTCGTTTTGAGCTTGCCCGCCGAATGGGTGCTGGGAACCGATTCCGTGCTACTAACAACGTATTGCATCATCGCGAAGCCCCCAAGACCCCGAAGGACCCCGAATCTCAAGAGGAGTTACGAGCATGGAACCAGTTCGAGAAGGCCAGGGAGCAGAGGGCTCAACTGGAAAACCGTTCGACTACAAGTAGCAGTCGGCGTCAAAAGCGGAAGTCTGTCGACTCATCGCCTGCCGAATCAGAGTCTCGGAATCGCGAACCCGAGCGAAAACTAAAGCGCCCGAGGACGCGAGCCAACTTAGAAACGGGCGAGTCTTCAGCGACTGCAGCTCGCCGCCCTGAACACAATAACAGGTCGCCTCCAAATGGCTTGAAGGATGCCGCTGACCCTGGAACCGCATCTGGGTTCCTTCAATCCCTCCTCAAGGAGGTCGAAGTTGACCGTCATGCCGAAGACAAAGAAATTGCCGCACCACAACCTAAACGCATCATCGTCGAGCGGGCTTGTTCTCCTCAAAACTCGTCTCCAGGATTATCGCCCGTGTATCCAACACCGCACGGCATGACGACCCCACCGCCACTCAACCTCACTGGGCTGAGTTCCCCCAATCACCAAGACTCTGATCAACACTCCCCAGCATACTCTCCCTTCTCCCCAGCAGACGATGACCCCCGAATCGGTCGCCGGAAACAAGCTTACCGCTCTGCAGGCCTTAACAGCCCACCTCGCTCAAAAGACTCATCACCAACACGTTCATCGCACCTCTCATACTCCACAAAAGCGGAAATCCAACGTATGGTCACCGTCGCCCTCAAACCGCTCTACACCAAGAAAGACATCTCCAAGGATGAATACACTGAGATCAACAGAGACATTTCAAGGCTATTATATGATCGTGTGGGCGATGCTGGCGCAGAAGCCCTCACAGATCACGATACCAGAGAGAAGTGGCAGAAGATGGCAGTTGATGAGGTCGATGCTGTAGTAAAGACTTTGAGATTAAATACGGTTGCTAGTGTGGAGGACTCGGCGTCTACTTCTTCATGATATAGCGGAAACATAGCACTTGCATTTACTGATCTGCGCTGATCTGGATCCCAGTTGGATTATCTTGGTGCTGCTGGAGTGGGGAGTGGGGATTTGATTTCGTGGCGTTTTCATGCAATGTACGGATTATCATATCACGTCTCGGATGATTGACGGCACGGCTAGATACCATGGGTGGGCTCTTTCGGCGATGGGGTTGGGCTACCTTCGGGATTTGTGTTTTGTTATAGTGTGAGCGGAATGCATGGCCCTATGAGCCACTTCGACTCTTGGAAGTCGAGTTTACTGCTTTTTTGATTATGGACCCTGACAACTTTTGTGTGCTTTACATGCAGTTAAGTGAGATGTTTGAATTTGCTTAGAGTGGTTGGCCTTTCCATTTTAGGAACGGAGAAGGGAGTCCTATAGCCCGGCAGGCCCAACCAGGCTTAAAAGCAGGCTTCGTCTTACTCTGATATTATACTTTTGCATAGCAAGTCATAACCATTGAGCAAATTTTCTGGATTGAGAGCTATTAGCTCTTCAGGGGTATATTGCGCCTGTCCTATCTATTCATCCTACGTGGTGATCCGCTACACTATACTATTCAGGCTAAGCAGGGAAAAGAACCGCTCAAAATATACAAATGCAATGTTCATGGAGATCACTCTGTCGCAAAAGGATCCACCAGGCTTATATTGATATCATCGTCGTAATCGTCTTCTTCATAGAAGCTGAGATTGGCGATGCTGAGTGAGACACCTGCGTTGAAGCCTGGAGAAAGGCCGGCGGAGAGGGTGCGACTGCTTATTGAAGATTGCGTTTCTGACGGCTCTTCGGTCTTGGGTTGCCAGACTTCGGGTTTCTCAACCTTGGGTTGCTGGACTCGGGGTAACTCGAACCGGATTTGCTCGATTTCGGGTTGTTTGACCATATCCTCAAGTCTCACGCGTAGCTCTCGCTTATTCTCGCTGGACTGCTGATGGATTGCGGTTTCTTCTCCGGAATCCGTGGCTACGGATGGAGATCTGAGGTTAATAGTATGTTAGCATTGTCCCACATACGTTCGCTAGTCTTGCGGATGGCCCAGCGTGGCAACCGGCTCGTGCCTCAGAGACAGGTTGCCTAATATCTGGTATGGTGTCTAGGATGCCAACGCCCCACCCATTGTCTTGTTCTTGCTCTCTCTCTCCCGGGTAGCGATACGTCTTACCCAAAACCAGCCTGCTTTCCCATGCCCTTCTCCACATCTTTCGGCTTCGCTGTTCCCTTAGCTAGCTCCTCCATCAAAGTTGCGATCCGGAAAGCCTTGGCCTCGTCGGTATGCGCTTCGTGGATCAGTGTGTCAAGGCCCCCGAAAAGCCACACTTCTTGGAGCTCGCGGATTAGGACGGAAAGGTCTTGACCTGCTCGGATCTGAAAGGCTGGTCAGTTCAACTGTACTTCTTGCAACGCTGGGGGTGAGTAAAAGGGACGTGGAAGCTGGTACCTCTGGGACATGATGGAGAGGCGGGGTGTAAAGCTGTCACAGACTTACAAAAGATGCAATCTCTTCGTTGATAGTCAGCTCCTTCTGAGCCGTGCTACTGTAGTCGTTCTCCTTCGGATCTTCCTTCGTCTTCGGATCGTCTTCTTTGACAGCACCGGCGACATTGGCGAAATGGCCTATCAGCGCGTTGCAGATCTTGTCTACGCGGGCTGTGGCTTGAGTTAGTAGTGTTTAGGAAGCTTGAAGCTCGAATCATACCGTGGAGGGCTGCAGCATTATGCTTGGTCGGGTCCATTGTTGGACTGGTTTGTTGTGCAAGAGCTGTCGTCGTGAGCTTTGTGGGTGCAAGGCGTCGAAGTCGACCTTCGGACGGTCTGGGGAAAGCGAGCCTTGGCGTCTGGCACGTGCATCCCCAGGCTATCTTCACATGGAAGCTCTTACCGTCGAAGTGAACCGTGGGTCTCGAAAACTGCTTCACCGATTGGCATGGAAAGCAGCAGAAAAGAAACATCCATCCCTAAAACGCATACTGGACTATCATAGCGCATCTACCTTTGGAAAGCTACGCTAGCCCTCAACGTCAAAGCCAGCCTGCCTTGTCCAGCTCGGACACCGCGGGGTTTGGGACACCTTCACACTAAGCCGTTCCAACACAGCGGAAGGAGTTGGAACACACTCCTCACCCTGCCATGCAGGGGTCTCGAATATAACACACGGGCCGTTATGGAGTCTTAAGTGTACATTCTTCTCCCAACCAAGGTTCGCAAGATCTGCCGCACGGTCACGGATGATCGACAGGAACGTGAGCACGGGCCTCTTTTAGATGAGATGGATCTGGGGTTCCTCGAAGGTTTAATCGGACGACTGACATGGAGGACTGGGAACAGTATCACTGACTAGATGACCACAAGAGAGGACCCGAATCAGCTACGTGGTGGGGCAGAGAGACAAATTTGGAGGGAAATGCATGGGTCACATCGAATCTCAAACATGGATCGTTTCTCTACTTCCCCTTCCGCAACCCCGCGAACTAACGCCCTTGAACAACGCCACACTGTCCCGCCTTCCCTTGTTGCTCATTCACCATCGCCGACACGTATTCTCCTTAAGCTGGGAACCCCTGCCCGGTTCCGCTGGCGCTATGCTCTAATGCAAGCCTTCAGACCAAAACTTGCGCTATCGATCTCCTCCCAGGGTAGTTCTTTCTGTACCTGGATGCGGGGAATGCAGAAGTTGACAAGTCGGACTAGATGGAGAGAGTCTGGATGGACGCATCACTTTCTCAAGGCCTTCCTTTTATGGATCTGGATGGAGCATGTGATGGTTTGTATGCATAGATTGCTGGACTGGGAGGCTGTCACGGAGAGCAATCGAGACGAAGATCCTAGGAACTACCTGCGTGATGGAGTGAAGTGTGGCGAGGGGTATGTGTCTTGTAGGCAGACCGGTCCTGACTGCGCAGACCTAGCCGTGGATACGGAATAGAATGGGGACCCCGACGATGCGATGATTGATCAGTCAAGATACTCACTCGTTTCATTTCCAGAAAGAAGTCAGCAAGACGCATAACAAACATGGTTTGCATGTTTATCGATCTTGTGGTCGATTCTCAGTCATCGTGGAGAACGAGGATTTCCCAGTGAGTTGGTTGTCTATTTGTAATTGCATGTTTCCTTCTCGACAATCCCAAACGCCGGTTGTCGCACTTTAAGGCCGCAATAGAGGGCTAGTTGTCAGGAAACAAGAAGCCGACTTTCTAAATTAGAATGTGAGCTGAGATGAGAGCCACTTTGTTTTTTCGATGATAATTGGAGAGTTGCCAAATTATAACATAGTTGACGTGCCTGCAAGGAACATGGTCGTTATTCAATTCAATGTGACATGACAGATATTTTCCTCCTGTGGAAGAGAGACCGTGAAAACGACCCTTTCCGTGAAGCAATCGAGTTACTATGGCTGATAGACTCAACTATTGTAGGACTCTCTGTCTCCCTCGTAAAATCTTCGTACCGCCAGGCCGGTATGGTGCTCGATGCGATGCTATGCTCGTCGTCAGAGCTATACGGCATCGAGATTTCCACGATTGGTTGTTGCTTGTATCCAGGGGGTTTGGGCTTAGATAACATTCGAGCCCGTTGACTACTAGAGCTGCGTTTAGGAGAAGTTTCCGTAGGCGGTGCGCTTTCGATCGATGACGTCTCTATGATACGAATAAGTACCAATATTTGAATCAACGCTTAGAAACGCACTTGGAGAGACTGCAGAGCAAGTCGAGTTTTGCGAGCTTTGTGGGAAGGTATTCTCGGGCTCTACTTGGAGCATGAATTTCGATAGCATAGCACGGACACCAGGTAACTCACTTTTTTCTGTGGCGACGTGAGAAAAATGGCTTTTTCTCCTTGTCATGAACGAGCTGCTCCTGACATGGCGATGATAAGAGGGCCAATTTCTCCGAGGAGGCTGAACAGGAACGTCTCGTGGGTTTGAGAAAGCATGGTACTCCTCTCGCGACTCGGGTTGGTAAGTATCGCGGGGCGCTTTTGGTTGGTAGCTCTGGGGCTGAGGCTTATACATCACTGACTCTATCGAAATATCGTCTTCAGTCGCCTTATGGATACATGAACGATTCCTAGCTAGAATTCCGACATCGCTAGGAGAGTGGCAGTGGTTGAGTGATACCGTCACCTCGCTCCTCCTCTTTCTTGCAGCGGCAATTCGAGCCCTTTTTTCTCCGGGAGTCCACATTGCTAGGCCCGCAGCTTGGGTATCTTGAGCGGCATGTGTTGGGATATGTTTGCATAAGGCGGGTGGAGGTTGATATTCTGCTGTTTGTTCATGTGTAGAATTATGGTGATTCTTGGCTGCTTCCTTCGCCTTCCTGACCTTGGAGAAGAGAGACATAGAGGACAGTGTATTGGTATGGATAAAATGAAGGTGGTAAACTGCTACCGCAGAGGGGGGCTGAAGAGAGAAGCTGACTATATCTCTAACGAGTAAATTGCTCTAAGGCAACGTGTTGTTAGCGTACGAAAACAATCTGCGAATAGATTGAGCTGATGTCAATGGCGCTCCTGCTAGTGAAACTAGACAGGTGGAGAAAATTCCGGCGGCGAGAAGACTTGCTTTCGAGCCTTCGCTTGATGGATAGGCGCTCTTAGCTCCCGGATAGGATAGATCAATCTCAATAAGGCGCGGAAGAGCTCTGCAAGATCTGCCAAATCAGGACGAAGGAGAAACTCAATGAAAAGAAACGAGGATTAAGTCCATATGAATGAGGATGATGCAGAAAAGAGAAAGGGAACGACTATGTGTGATCCTAAATTATTCTATTCTGTGTGGCTCGGCTCTCCAAATACTCTCCCGAAGCAATTGGGTGCGTCACGATTTAAACGACCAGGATACCCTGTGCTATGGATTGGTGAAAACTCAGTAACGCAAGCCTCGGAGGAAAGATGGGAATTCTAGGCATGCGTTGAATGGTTCCGTACCAACAGCCACTTCCAGGTCCAAGGAAAGGCTGAGTGGCGGCCCGTGTTTGAGTTGATGCAGGTGCGTGTGAGGTGGGGTTACTGCAGAGTGGGGTTGTCGAAGGAAGATCACTGAAGTTTCTCTTATTTGAACGAGCATCCATGCCCACTCCTGCCTTCAGGTAAGAAAATCTATTATTGAGCACTGAGATGATTGGAATGCCTCTGCATAGACCGCAGGTAAAAGGAGCAGACCAATATTCCACCGTCCTCGACTCCGAGCTGGAGCGCTGGATGGCACTGTCTGGCACTGTCCCGCCATTCGACACATCCAAGTCACAGGGACCAGGGACCAGAGACTGACATGCTCCAGCTTTGGCTGATCACCTCAAAGCCTATCACCTCGAAGCCTGTTGCCCTGTGGCCTGAAAGACGTGCAGCTCAATAGTTTCCTTTTCCTTTTTTTATTATTTTTTTTTGGAAGTGAGTCAATATCTGCATGTCCTGAAGTAGCACCTATCAGCTGGCTGAGCTAAAGTCAGTTTCCGGCTTGGAGACAGTCTCGCCACACACCACGTTAGTTAAGTCAACCACAGAAATGTTCAAGAATGCGGCGTATTTCAAGGGGTTAGACGTCTCCATAAGTTAGGTGCCTGAATAGAGAGAACTAGCCGACATCGGCGTCTGAAGCAGAAGATAGGGCTCTATGGGACAGTGGTAAAGGACGATGGCACTCAAATGATGATGCTACCGTCCACTACAGGGCACAAGCTGCCAAATGATTGACCGGAGAACTGTCGATTACTTGCCTAGTCTTTAGGTCTGGCGCACAATGGCGAAGGGAGATATGGGGAATGTATTGATTTATGATTCATGGGGTGAGGAAGAGTGCGTTGCGGCTGACTGTGCAACCTCAGAGCCAGGGTTAGAAAGGGGCACAGATGGGGAGGGGGGGGGGTGTGGACCCGGATTGCGCCGACGGTCCTGTGGCATGAGAGTCTCAGAGTACCGTTGTTGCAGCATAGTGACAGGTGTTGCGTTGTTGACACACGCGAACCGCTGCAGGTTCACGCATCTCGAAGGTGTTTGACATGTCGAGTCCGAGGTGTTGAGGGCTGATGCTCGTGGGAGAACAGGTGTCGCCCAAAAGAAGGGCCGACGCCGACACCGACGCCCATTGCGTCAATCGGGATGGCACGCCTCGCCCTGCTGCCACTGCCTGCCACTCCTGCTACTGCCTGTCAACACCAAGCCGAGTGCTCGCATGCCTGGCGCTCTCCTGCATTTTGCATCGTCATCCCGTGGCATCCCCGACCCGCCATCTCCCTCGTCCCAAGTCTGAGCTATCCGCAGAGCGGGCGCTGTGCTCACATCCCATGTCGCTCTACCGCGGCCCAGACGCCTTATCGATTATCTCATCGAACTAGTTTTAGCGCCAGAGGCTGACTTCGCCATCGCGGCTCCTCCTCCGACTCTGCACGTACGCACGCCCGTCCGCAAACCGACGACGCGACAAACCCGTCGAACCCATTCCCGGCGATCTCGACCGCCTCGTCACCGCGAGAACCTCATTCTTCCCTGCACCCCGAGCCTTGTCGCACTGCATCCCGCACTTGTCGGCCTCTACGCTCGTGCATCTTCGCACACGTCGTCGCCCAGCCTCCTCATCCCCATCTTCTCACGCGCGACCTTCACCGCACTCGCCCATTTCCACATCCCCCATTTCCTGTCGCATTCCCCTAGCTTAGTCCTACGCAGACCCCAGCGACTGCTGTCCGCTCTCCGGAGGGTGTCGTCGCCCCGGCCGGAGTGGCGAGAGACCCACCTCTATTATGGCACTGGTACCTGCGCCGAGCAACGATCGCAAGCGCGTCAAGGTCTATGAATTGAAGAACAATGACTGGTTTGATAGGGGCACGGGCTTCTGCAAAGGCGTTGTTGTGAGTGTATGTCACCCTCTCTCCAGGTTCCATAGCCTGGCAAATTCTGTCTTGTCGCCATGTCATCACCTCGATCCGAGGGCGCCCATGCTGACCTGTACGCTTGCAGCAAGACGAAGCCAAAATCCTCGTCGCGTCCGAAGATGACCCGACTCGGCAACTGTTGGAGACCAAGATATCGAAAGATGATGGCTATCAGAAACAGCAAGGTATGGACAAGAACCCTTCGTGGCAGATAGGATGCTAAATCACTACAGATACGCTCATCGTATGGACAGAGCAGAATGGCACCGACATGGCCCTCAGTTTTCAGGAGCCAGAGGGATGTGCCGGCATCTGGCAAGCTGCCTAACCTTCCTGCATCAACTGATCATCAGCGCTGACGGGAACCAGGGATTTTGTAAATGAAGTGCAATCGCGTCTGCAAGCTCTCGCGCAAGGTATGTGCATGCACTCGTTCCTACAAGACTGGAGCAAGTGGCTGATGCGTGACAGACGATGGCCTGTCCGACGATATCGGAGAAAGTGTTAACCCCATTATGTTACCACTCCCGGAACTCGGAAATCTCCACGAGATAGAAAACCACATGCGCGCGGCCAATACCACCCCAGGCGGCCGCGAAGCACTCGCAAAATTCATTCTGTCTCAAGACTACATTCCGAAGCTGATACCTCTGGTAGAAATGGCTGAAGATCTTGAGAGCGCGTCTGATCTCCATCGGCTGTGCAGCATAATGAAGATGTTGATACTGCTGAACGACACCGCCATCATCGAGTATGTAGTGACGGACGACGTGGTCATAGGGGTGGTCGGGGCCTTGGAGTGTAGGTACCTTCAACCAGAGCTCTCGAAAGTCGGCTAATGCATGTGCAGATGACCCGGACTTTCCTCTTCACAAGGCTAACCACAGACAATACCTCTCCGACGAGTCGCGATTCAAGGAAGTTGTGAAGATAGAGGAGCAGGCCATCAGGAAGAAGATCCACTATACATACCGGCTACAGTATTTAAAGGATGTGGTTCTCGCGCGCATCCTCGACGACCCCACATTCTCCGTCCTCAATTCTCTCATATTTTTCCACCAAGTCGATATTGTTCAGCATCTCCAAGCGAATGGTGCATTTCTGAAGGAGTTATTTGGCATTTTTGGCGCTGAGGAGCGAGACCTCCAACGAAAAAAGGATGCAGTCCTATTTATCCAGCAATGCTGTGCGATTGCGAAGAGTCTCCAGGTTAGCGCTCGGGCGCAGCTTTATCAGAATTTTATCAACAATGGGCTTCTGGACGTTATACAGTACGCGCTCAGGCATCACGATGCTTCAGTGCGGGTCGCTGGAACGGATATTTTAGTAGCTCTCATCGACCATGACGCGCTAATGGTCCGGAGTAAGATATTCCAGGCCATCCAGGAGAAGACGAAGCCCTTGACCGATACGCTCATTGAACTTCTCTTGATCGAAGTTGACCTCGGCGTGAAAGCTCAGATGGCCGATGCCATCAAGATACTGCTGGATCCAAACGCAAACTCCGCGTCAATTGAGGCTCTCGGTCGAACCAACAGTGATTTCTTGGCTAAGGTTAGAGGAACGCTACCCGCGATGCCTCAAACTGATAACTTTATCCAGAGCTTTTATGACGAATCTGCCAGGAAGTTGTTTCAACCTCTCAAAGATCTCGAAGGCAGGAAGACCATGGACAATCTCTCCATCCAGGAAGTATCCCTTTACTCCCATCTCGTCGAGGTCCTTTGCTTCTTCATTCGGCAACATTCATTCCGCAGTAAATATTTCATCCTTTCCGAAGGTCTCGGAGCTCGCGTTGCCCAGCTCATGGATTGTCCAGAGAAGCATTTGAAGCTAAGTAAGTTGAATATCTGCAGAATTTCAATCAGACACAAGCTTACATCTACCAGCATCGCTCAAATATTTCCGCACATGTATCGGCCTACATGATGATTTCCATAATCGGCAAATCATCCAGCATCACCTCTTCGAACCGATTCTTAAAATACTGTTCGACACAATGCCTAGGGATAACCTCCTCAACTCTGCTTGCTTGGAGCTCTTCGAGTTCATCAAGCGCGAGAATATCAAGATTATTGTCACACATCTCGTTGAAACGTATCGAGAAAAACTAGCTGCCATCACTTACGTAGATACATTCCAGAGCCTCATTCTCCGGTACGACCAAATGCATGAACCACCAACTACCCAGGAGCTTGAGAATTCCTTCACTAGCGTGGATAGCGATACTCCGGCTCGGAATGTAGGTATCATGAACGGCGGAAGATGGGGTCAAGCGTTGAAGGATGCGGATGCGGAGGAAGAAGCCTACCTCAACGGGTCAGATGATGATGACGATGATGGTCTGCCAAGTGCGGTGAAGCCCGTGCTGAACGGGGCGTCTCCGGTTAGACCATTGGTGAGCTATCCCGATGATGAGGGTGACGATGACGACATGGACATTCTTGCTACAAGCGCTCCATTAGTATCACCGCACAACATATCGAGCGCTACTCAGACCCAGGAAACACCCGTCACGAGTCCGTCTCCCAAGCCAACGGGTGCCACACCGCCGGAACGTATTTCTGAAAAACGCAGAAGAGAGGAGGATGAAGAGGATGAGCTGCTTGCCAACATATCCAACTCCAGTACGAAAAGGCGTGCATCTCTCAGCAGCAATTCGAGCACGGCCAGTACAGGAAGTATGCAGAGGCTCCGCCGGAAACCAGGCATCAACTCTGGGAAAGACAACGGAGGTGGACCAAAGAAGATATCGCTGTCCATTCCGCTTAAGAGTGGTGGTGAGGGAGGCGAAGGCGATTGATAGATGATATAAGTCAGATTCTGCTACCCTTTATCACGAGTGATACCCTTGGCCTGCCTGGGCAACGAGATGTATGAATTGGATCTTGGACAGCGATGTGGGCATGGGCGGAGCTAATGGCGTTTATTTGCTCATCTCGGTGATGGATGGCCAATATGGAGGAATGAATGAGTACTGGGGTTGCGGTGGATATCATGTCGTTTCTGCGCTACTTTGGCCTGCCTCTTTGGGTCATGTATTATATTATCCCTTTGGGAAGGACGGGGGCTTTCAAGGTTCATTCGGTTCACCAAGGCTGCATTGCACGGAGGATGGATAGGGGAAGAGAATGGTTCTATGTGTAGATGGCTTTGGATAGTCTGCACAAGAGTCTAGGCTTCGATGATGTCGTACTTTGGGTTTCAACATGTGTCTTGATTGTGACCGTGACCGTGATATACTGGTGAAATACGGATCTGTAAGCCACCTGCAGAAGATCCGCAGGAGTCACGTTTCCTCGCGTTTTTGCTCCTGTGCCCCCACCTTGGAATTCGTTGTCACGACGCCACACCATGACCACACAACCTACAACGACTTCATGATATATTATTACTCTACACAGCCTTCATCACCCTACGGCGCGCAATGTCCCAATCCTCAGTTGGCCTGAATGATCCAACCACCGAGGCGAACTCAACACCATCACATGCTACCGCAATGCCTACAAAGCCTAGCGGCCTCCCACTTACGCTCATCCTCGCGGCTACTCCTAACCTCGGCATTGGAAAAGCCGGACAACTGCCGTGGCCATCACTAAAGCAAGAAATGGGCTACTTCGCACGCGTCACAAAACGCGTCCCTGCAGTCCCCTCCTCGCAATCACAGCCGCAACCGCGTAAGCGCATCAATGCTGTTATAATGGGACGGAAAACTTGGGACTCTATACCCCTGAAATTCAGGCCTTTGAAGGGGAGGATGAATTTCGTCGTTACGAGGGATGTGGGTAGTGAGAAATGGGCTTCAACTGCGCTGAGAAAGGGTGGGGGGTTAGAAGAAGGCCCGATAATTGTGTCAAGTATTCAAGCTGCTGTTGAGGCGTTAGACGGCGAGGAGGTGGAGAGGCGAGATGTGAGTGTTGAACGCGCTTTTGTGATTGGAGGTGGGAGTGTGTATAAAGCTGCTTTGGAGCTTCCCCAGACGAGGAGGGTGCTGCTGACGAAGATTGAGAGGGAGTATGAGTGTGATACTTTCTTTCCTGTAGATTTGGATGGGGAAGAGGGGAAGAAGGAGGGATGGGTGAAGCGGAGTAGAAAGGACTTGCAGGACTTCGTAGGAGAGGAGGTTGCGGAGGGGGGCTTGGAGGAGCAGGGAGTGAGGTTTGAGTTTTGGATGTATGAAAAGGGGGAGGTGAGTGAATGAGTCATGTATTGGCCAACCTCTTGCAAAAGGGCATTCGCTCTACGAGCTCTGGAAGGAAAATATCAGGAGTTTCTTAACATGCATTATATGTTGGCACAGGATGGAGCATGCCTATGGTTGGAGAAAAGGGACAAGATCGACATACTCTTGCCTCGCCTCAAATCGGCAACAACGTGCCTGAGGAATGCTTACTACCCTATCTTGGTACGCATATATTCCCAAGACCTAAAGCCGAAGCACACCAGAGATATGCAAGGGTTAAAGAAGACTAAGGTACCTCATTGGTCAGCCACTCCCACCCTACTTTCCTAAACTCTCCGCAATTCTTAGTACAAATGACGAGCTTGCATGCTCTTGATTAGATATTTATGTGTTTCCTGCTACCTCTCTATAGAAGCTGTTCTCCATTGAATTCCCGCAACATGATACCTCTTGGTTTTGAAGAGAGGCAGTTTGAGCTACTCAGCCCTGGCATTTCCCGCTCACCTGCCAAGACACCCCAACAGCGCCTAAATTCGCCTTCACTATTATCGGACGCCTTTGCAAACCCTAAGGCATACGCAGGTCCAGTTTACTTCAACAATGTCGCCCCCAATATTAGGACTTGCGAGATGCGAGTTCTTCGGGCCCACGAGTCCGGGGCGACATGATACGCCCAAAGTTTGGCCGCCGGCTTCAAGATCATCCGAGTGTCCGCGCAAGTTCGTCCGGCAGCCTTCTATTGAACACTTTGCTTCATCTCTTTTCCTGAACCCCGAGTCTATATATATTGTCGGCCGTCCTGGACAGGCAGAGATACCATCGGGCATCCAATCGCGCATATTTCAGGCCTTCCAGCGCCTTCTAACTCTGAATTTGACGCTCGTAGAAGGAAAAGCAAAATCAAGCACTCAAAATGGTATCCCTCGATATCACACCTGAGTATGGGTATGTCCACTCATTAATTCCATTTCCTTGAGGCTTCTCCAGCTTCTCCCACATCTCATCAACCGATAACCAGCTCCCCAATTCCCTAATACCCCTCCTGGCCTGAACCCCAACCCCCACCACTAACAACACCCCCCAGCTACGTCCTCCTCGCCGCAGTCTCCACCTTCGCCGTTGGCACCTGGCACGGTATGCGCGTCGGTTCCTTCCGCAAGCAGGCCAAAATCCCGTACCCCTACGAATACGCGTCCTACGAACAAGTCTCCACCGCCTCCCCTTCCAGAGCGAAGGACATGACGCTCTTTAACAGCGCACAGCGCGCCCACCAGAACTTCAACGAGAACCATCCGACCGCTGTTGGCGCTATGTTGATTGCGGGAATAAAATATCCAACGGCTGCGGCGGTTCTCGGGGCCGTATGGGCGGTGAATAGGGTTGTCTATGCGATCGGGTATACGAATGGGGCGGAGGGCGGGAAGGGGAGATATTATGGTTTGTTATGGATGTTGGCGCATTACGCGCTGATTGGGTATGCTGGGACAAGTGCTTGGAAGATTGCGCAGATTTGAAGGAGACATAACTACGTGGAAGTTCACTTAGGGAATTGGACGGACAAAACTTATGAGGGGTAAGATTTCGGACACGAATCTTATGTCAATTGTACAACAGTTTCTTAGCTACGTCTGTTGGCTTCCCATTTTCCTTCATTCTCTCGAAGCCCTCCTTCCATGATGGATCGTCCAGCCAGCCTAACGACTAGCACTCTCTGTCGATATACTACGAGTCATCGCCTATGAAGTGGGAGGGGCGTACAAACCCAATTCGAAAAGCCCGGAAGGAGATAACCACAAACTCAACAAAGTTGACCCGAACACGAAGACAGGCCCGTTTCTCGTTGTTTGTAGCTGGGAGTAATATCCTGGCCATGTCCTGCAGGCTCTTATTCATCCGTAGGCAAAAATACGGCATGCTTATAGGCATTACGCGAGCGCAAAACTTGTTCTAGAAATCACACAGGGATCACTTGCAGACTTCCGTTCCAGATTTTCATTTCCTCTGGTCAACTCATTGTCACCCAAGGTACAGTACATCTCTTCCTCATTGGTTTATAGATGCAACACGATCCATTCCGCGGTAGCCTCATCTGTCAGGCAACTGCTCTGTCACACTATAGCGAGTGGTTACGACTCCTCCAGGAAGGCTTTTGATAGTAAGAGTTCTCACTAGCAACTAATTCTCGCTTTCTTACTATATTAACAGATTCCAGTAGAGCCTTGGTACGTATTTGTACTATTCTACATCCGTCTACTTCCACGCCGTACTTATGTGCGTGGGGAGCGTCGCCCTATATTTGGCTTTCTGATTTTTCCGTTCGCTCTGCATCTCTCTGTCTTCAATTCATCCTGAATTAGACAATCCATTTCCTCCTACACTAGCAACCGCCGCTGTTAATTTCTTCAGTCAAACCTGAAATCACTCTGAGTAGGTACCTCTGTCTCATTTGGCTTGATTCAAGCTTTGGCTTGCCACGTGCTAAACGGCGCTATGAAAACGGCGCTATGAAGACGGCCACAAGATCCATGTTTCACACACAAGCACTCTGCCACTACCCCACTATGCCAGGCACTCAAACGCCTTCTCCATCTTCGCAGGCTAACGTATGTACCAGAGAGAGCCCTTCATCAATCCAGTTGGCTTTTGCATTACCCACACCACTGCTCGTAAATTCACTCCCGGAAAAAATCCAACATTAGAGCCACTCCTTTACACACGGGTCGAACGTCGCGCGATGATGTATTATGTCTCTTCCAGACAATAACACCCTGTCTCACTTCATTTTAACTTCGGGATTCCCGCTTTGATCTAGATGAGCCTTGCTGCATGTCTCTCCATGGCACAAGCCCTTCTAGAACCTGATATCCCCCCACCCGCCATAATATGCCTCAGTCCCCGTCATTGCTGTCTGAGACACAGGAGGTGAGGTGGTCTTTACGCCTGCAGGTCGCTAGAAAAACATCTGTTGGCTGCATGATGTAAGCCGTGCGCTAAAACGACATGGAATTAGAGCGCAGATGGCGGTTTGTTTGCTATGACAACTTCCGCAGTCTTGCCCGTGCGCGTTTTGAGCTGGAATGCAAGGCTGAGGAAGTCTTTGTCGTGTTTGAAACAATAGACAGGGGAATGTGAGTGTGTTTCGGGATGTGCGAGCTGTTTGACATGGAGTAAGTGGCTAATTGGGGTATTGGGGATAGAGAGGAAAATTATAAGTCTCGCACAGTTGGACACCCAAACCACCTTTCCTTCCCATCTTATCAGCCTTCCTCGGCTCTTTCGGGCTCGTTCTGTTCAATTCCCATACCTTCAAGACAATAATCGTCCATTCCTCAATCCTCCTGTACGCTAGCCTCGTAACACTAATCACCACTCCTTTACCCTCTTCTCTATCCATCCGCTTGAAACCCACCCAAACCGCTCCTCACAAAATGGACTTCCAGTTCTCTACAAACCCCGTCCAATCCGCCGGCATACCTAGCGTTGAAATGTCACATTTAATCACCGTGCTTGGTGTTTTCGGTGCAATTATCTGTTTACACTGGCAGCAAATCGTTGATTCTATTCAACTGCTCCTGGAACCACCGGCTCTCACCCCTCCTCCTCAGAACGGCGAGAAAAATTTTGACAAGAAGGAGGAGGTCGAGAAGGAGACCGAGAAGGGGGGATACAAGGGCTTGATCAAGAAGGAATCTAATATCCTGGCTGCTGTCGTCGGCGTGAAGCACTTTCTCCCTATCCGCGCCACCAGAGATATTGATGCGAAGCCAAAGGAGTCTAAGGAAGCCATAAAAGAGGAAGAAATCAAGAAAGATGCTGAGCAGGAAGAAACCAAGGATATGATCCAGAAGATCGTTGGTATCTCGGCTGGTACCCTCAACGACAGGAAGCCGAAGGGCTCTCCCACCGCGACCGAGGACATGGCCGACACAAAGGAGCCAAACGGTATTTTCGAGGAAGCACTGTTGAAGGGGTGGATCGGAAAAAAAGCCAATGAGAAGCTCGCCGCCGAATCACCAACCACGCAGTCCCACAGCACACAAACCCGTGAGAACACCGTTGCCGAAGAATCCGTCAAGGATTTCAACGAACCCCGGATGAACAAGAAACTCATCCACTCATCTAACAATGCACCCCAAGCCGTTGGAGCCCATCACGAGCTCCATCTGAAGCCTCTCCCTTCAATTCCGCAGGAATCCTGGGCTCACAAAGTTAGGGCTAAGACGATATCCCACAGACAGAATGGAAACAAGGGGGATAGCTCCGAGGGAGATGCTGCCAAGACAAACGCAGTCAGCACCCCTGCTTCTCTGGATTTGTTTGCCGTGGTATATCATGAGAACAAGCTTGGGGCATCAGTTCCTGTGTCTATGGAGAAGATCGTCAAGGAGGAGGAGAAGGACGAGGGAGAGACTGCCCCTACTAGAACGACCACCAGCGAGCAAGAGGAATAAGCATCATTCATCGACAAGCCGTCCCGAGTTGTGACATGCCGGCATGCACAACGAACGTGAGGCGTCAACAAAGAGTGAATTTTCGTAGGCATTCCGAGGTTGAGAAAACTTACCTGTAGACGGTAGCAGACGCCACATTGCAACATTTCCCTTCTCCTCACACCAGGTGGCCCTTTTATAGACTCTTCTCTGTTCATCCCCTTGGCGCTTTTCCAACCTCGAAGTATACTAGACACCCCTCACCCCTTCCTGTCCCCTTTGTTTCTATTTTCTCTGCAGCTGCCCACCCCTAATAAACCTCAATTCCCCACCCGACTTATGATTAGTGTACGAACTAGCTCGCAACGTGGTGAAGAGAAAAGTCTTTCAGATTGAGGTTAGCCTACATTTGCGCAAATAGCTAGAAGAACCTTAACATTTGGTAAAAAAAACCAAAAAAACCAGCTTTAGCGTAAGAAGGATCGAGATAAAATACCATTGTGGTGAGGTCCTGTGAAACAAAAGGGAAACCATGAACTCTTCTTTACAATTCCCTCATCTCGGTTAGGCAGCCAAGGATGCTTCTCCCTGTCGAAATGAAGGGATGTTTTAGATATTGTGAGATTGTTGGAAGAAAGATGTTAAAAGGTAGCTGTAGACTAATCGATGTTTGTCAAAGGGATCGTTGCTACTGTGGAGAATTGCATGTGGTTGCGGAGATCACTTACTTTTAAGCCATGCACCAACCCAAGTACCTTAATCATCGCCATCACTATCACCGCAACTGTCACCAAAACGCACACAGAATATCTAATTTACACTTTTATTTCTCCACCCCATCACAAGCCCAGCATCAGGAGCTACAAAATCCCCCAGCCGACCGCTTTGAGTATCAATCAACTTCAGCCTTTTATCTATACATGCAATCAAGCCACCCCACCTTGATTTGGCCCGCAAATGCCCTCGCAAAAGATAGCTTGGCAGGCAAAGGAAAAATTTGGGGCCGTACAAAAGCAGTAAAAGCAAAGCCTGCCCAATCAGCCAGCCAGCAAGATATACCGAATATCCATCCGTCCATGGATAATAGAAGCACAAGCCGAACCCCGCGCAATGAGGAAGAAATGTCGACACAATCCCAGAAACAAAAGAGAAAATAAAATGGGCAAAATAGAGGTAACAAAAGAAATGTATCAAGCAAACTCCACCTCAATGCCGAAAATAAAGCACATGCCATGTTAGTTGCAAGAGCAGGAAAAATCGAACTCCAAGCCGTGTGGAAAAAAACAAAGACCCCGCTCTGATTGAGTGTCCGAGGTAAGGAGAAGATGAAAGAGAATTCCTCCTAGTTGAGAGAGACGGCCACTTGCCAACAACTACCAGCAGATTCTGCGCTATTCTTGTTGTCTTGATTTGGTCGAAACTCCCCATCTCGTTCGCTCCCTCACTTTTCTTTCGTGGACCAATTGAAATGCTGTGACATGCAATAATGGATATTTTGTGTACCATGCTCTGTCCTGCCCTGCCCTGCCCTGCTCTGCCCTGCTCTGCCCTGCCCTGCTCTGCCCTGCCCTGACCTGCCATGTCGTGTCCAGCGTGCTCACTGTTGACCGAGACCCACATAATATTCTTTCGCCTACATCGACCTCCAGTAGCCACTCCCAATGTTCTGAAGCAATCCTCAGTCGCAAAATTAGGTCCAGAATCGATGACCGAAATACTCCGGAGTATCGACCCATGAAGGACCACATGAGAGCGAGATATATACTCGAGATACCAGAAGATCCAAGGGAGCGGATTGGGCAAACTCAATACCTCGCCGTGAACGGCATATCCAAAACCTAGACCAAGAGCAGCAACGAGTGAAAACAGTTGGGCCAAGAACCCCAAGAAGATTGGCTTGGCGGACGGTGAGGTGTCAATATCTAACCGCCTTTCCGATCGGCTGCGCTTGCGGGGAGTGGTTCGCCCACATTCTTGGCTTCATTCCCTTGCTTAGGCTTGTTCTGTTTCTTTCTTCTCTTTTGAGTTGCTTGCTGCTGCCACGATCCATTGGAATTGGTATTTCCTCCATTTGACTTGTTCCCCTTGTCGCTCAGTTGCACGTTTCCTTTTTGCGGGTTGCCACGGCTGTTCTCCTTCGACGATGCTTGTCCAGGGGTATGCGACGCTCGTCGTTGCTGTTGATGCTGCTCTTTCGATTGCGACTTGTTACCATTGACAAGCTTGGCGTCCGACTGGCGACTGGCAGTTGGAGATGGCGTTCGCGTTTCGAACACCGGCGAAAGCAAGGGTAGAGTTGCCGACTTCACTTCTTGAGGGGGTGCACGCGAGACGTTTAGTGTATCCAATGGGCTAAGACCATTCCCATATTGAGTCCGCCACTGCGGGGGCTGTGTCCTTGTTGGAGAAATATCGGTCGAGCGATTGTTTTTCTCGCCGTCCGTGGAGTCGTAGTTCATCCAAGACTCTGGCAACGTCGGGAACGGCTGCTTACTTACACTAGGGACTCGCGACAGGCCATTTGTATCCGTTGGAGATGTGTTGCTTCCTGAACCGTTCGCTATGTTAGCCCTGAGCATCTCTAATCCTTTCTGACGCTGAATCTCGTCGAGGATGAACTGCTGGCGTTGCTCTTTTGGAGTCATGCGGTACTGATCTGCAGTATTGACATAGATACCAAGCGCGCTCGGATTAGCTACATCCAAAGTAGAAGGAAGAGCATCAACAGTTTCGCTTCGGTTCCTTGACTCACGTGGTTGCGCGGGGAAAGACCCATTTACAATCACCGGGCTCCCGTCATCCGGTGGCTGCGTAGAGTCTCTATGGTCCTTGCGCTGTTGTGCCTTCGCACCATTAGGAGGAGTAACACCAGTTGAGTAGCTGCGGACGTGACCTCCTAATGGCGAAGGCGATCGCGAAACCCGTCTCAAAGCAGTGTTTAGAAGGGGTTGTGTTATTTCAGGAGAAACGCGCCTACGACGTTGCGTAATCTCGTTATACGAAGGGATTTGAGGAACACTGTAATCTTGAAGGGCTGGACGTGGCTGTGGTTGCTCTGCTACGTAGTAGCCAACATACTCCTTCGGTGTACCGTGGTCAGAAGGGATGGCGGGCTCGGGAAAATTAGATAGTGGGCTATAAGGCGCTTCAGGTGCTAGCTGTGGGGTTGCTACCTCCTGCGTAGAGCGGGCTATGGGATACCCGGCCGCGAATGCAGAAGGGTCGAAGTATTGTGGTATGGCATTGTAACTTGGCGGCAGGGTTTGTTGCGGAACAGCGCGGGCAGGCTGCGACTGTGAACGAATAGATCCAGTGTCACTGGCGTTGGAAGAGCGATGGATGGTTCGGCGTAGTCCTGGGATGCTGTTGGTGAGCGAAGGCGAAGAAGGATTTGTCCTCGAACCATCCTGCGACACAGCTGCACTTCCTTGCGGTTGTTCGAAGAAACCCGGGTAGTGGTACAGGAACGTGTGCGGAAGAGCACTAGCAGGGACGCCCAATTCTTGCGGCCGAGGACTCGATCGCCCATTTATATATGGCGATTTCTGCGGGGAACCATTCGTACTCTGGCCACGGCTTTGCGCCTGGGCTTGTGCTTGGGCAACGGCGTGGGCATGGATCTGGGCAGCCTGGACCTGGTGTGCTTGTTGGGCGCGTTGTTGGGCAGCAAGTTGCGCTCGCAAAGAGTTCGACTGTATCTCTAGCAACTGATATTGATGGAACAGCTGGTCATGCAGATGCTCGTTGAGCCCCCTGGGGAAGTATTCCTGGCCAGGTGCTGCAGATATGGGTGGACTGTTCAAAAAGGGCGGTCGATTCGCCCCAAAAGCCGCTCCGCTAGATGCCCTTCTCCCGTAACCATGATTTCCCTTCTGGTTGAAGCCGCCTCTTCCGCCACGATGACCAGACCCTCCACGGCCACCCCGCCCACTCGGCGCGCTTGCAGTCAGAGTGGGCTTGGGGGCGGGCGTAGGCTTCTTGAACACCACCTTCTCCTCAGGTGGGAATTCGTACTGCTCGCATGCCTTCTCGAGCTGCCCACCGTCAGCAAGCAGGTCAAATGCTCGTCGGATCTCGAGGTGGATTCCACGCCAGGCAAACTCGTCGGCAGAGTTACCCAGGTTCCGATCCGTGTTGAAAGGCTCCTCGACGCATAACCTATTACGTGCCTCCTTGGTAAGGCTTGCTAGGTCCCAGCGCTTTTGGACCCTTGTGATCAGCTTGCCCTCGCGCACCGAAATGACGTCCTTCTCATAGTCTACCTCGTGCCCATAGCGCCGAAAAAAATGGAAGAGTAGTTGACCTAGTGATTCTTTGTTGTCTTCACCGAATCCGCGAAGTTTGTCGAGGTCATCGGCAAAATCAGAGTCGCAGGGCGTGCTTGTGCGTTCGTCATTTTTGCGATATGGTAGCTTGTGGAGAGCGGGGATGATCGGAGGATCGCGTGTCTGGAGAAAATTCAAGATCATACATATCCAGGTATACGAGCTTATGGTCCCCCCAAGGGCTGTAGAGTGCATTAGCGATGCTTTAGAAATTGGTAGGCCGCACATAGAATCTTACCAGCATCGTTGAGAATACGCTGCTTCGTCCAGTATTTAATGATCATAGCCAATTCCCGAACGCGATCATCAATCTGGACATAGGTCTTGATCATGCGCGTATTCTCTAGCGCGAGCAAATTGTTGACGTTCATGTCGCATGCCAACTCGAGCTCAGGATCCCAAATCTTGACGATTCGGACTTTTGCCTGAGGCACGCAGACAACTTTTTCCATGCCGTCTAGATTGGATCAGCGGAGTTGTGAGGCGATGGTGTGGTAGAAACCTACGTTTTGCAAGCGCCTCAGCGAGCGAATGCATCTCTTCCAACTTTGTCATGGGTGTTTGGATACATATGTCAACTATCGCTACCATTAGAACTGCCAACCGCCAAACGTGCGACTCTGTATCTTACCATCACTCTCGCTTGTGTATAGCAAATTTCCCGACGACCCAAAGACATGGACCTTGAACTCATTCCCAGGCCACTCGCTCAGGAGAATATTTTCCAACTTCTTCACAAAGACAAGTCTTCGATTGGAGCTTTCCTCGCTCGGCAATAACCGGTCGTAGAGTTCGCGCATGTCGCCACTCAGCTTCTCGTCCTCGTGAGGATCCAACTCCTTCTTCGGTTCTTCCTTTGCCTTCTCCAAAATATCCGATGATGTGTAAGGGATGCGCCTCCTTCCAAATGCAACGTTTGTCTCGTATTGGCACTTGCCTAGATGCCGCGGTCCCTTCCTCAGAGAGGCCATAGTGCCGTTCGCCTCGGACGAGACGGACCGCGGAGAGTGACTGCCTAGCCCGCCATTGGGAGACGGAGATCTCGACCGGGTCTCGAATTGGCGAGGGAATTGAAGCGGGGTGGATGGGACCGAATTCGAATGATGCGACACTATGGACGGTCGTTGGCTTCGAGGGAAGGATGCAGGCTCCTCGCGCCTAGGCCCCATTGTTGCAGTAGCAGCGGTGCTCGAGGTCATCGACGGTGCGCCACGCTGAACGCCGTGCAGAGAGCCGTTATTCCCATCGAGCTGTTGGCGCGCCCTGGTCAGATTGGCGGGGTGGTTCTTCACGGCGGGACGAGGTCGGTCCCGCTCCGCAGTCGGGCTCTGTGAATGCGGAGACACGATGACGGCTGGGAACGAGGCGGCGAGGGCGGCGTCGGGGTGAAAGGCGTCGAGGCGGACCAGCTGTAGCGTGGGGTGCTGCAGCAGCAGCAGAGTGGGCTGTTGGTCGAGGTGCTGTTGTGTTGCTGCGTGTGACCTGCGCTGAAGCGACAGAGAGGCGGCAAATGGCCCAACGGTGGGCGGGCACTCAGCAGGCCGGCGCTGTCCCGAATGAATGTGGGAAGGATGCTGGATATAGAGATATGGGGAGTTTGAGTCGCGGGGACGGGAATCGCCCATAAACCTGGGCCGGGGGTGGTGGTGGTAGTGGTGGTGGAAGGATAGCGCGGTGCGGAGGTGTGGTGGAGAGGGGTGACCGCTGAGCACGTCGAGGACGAGGGTGCCGTGAGACTGCGTGCGGGTGCAAGAGCCCACGAAGTCCAGGTGAAGGTGGTGTGGAGGACTTGTCGGATTGGCGTGACGGAAAAGCTGGGGGAAATTCGAAGTCGTTTGAGTATCCTTCGGTCAAGCCCCTGCTGCAGCGTGGTTCCCGAGGCGGTCTGCTGTGGTTGGATGCAGCAAGCGGGCTAGGGGCGGCGAGCGCTAAAGCAATGGCCAGTCGAGGATGCTGCAGTGGGGGAGAGGTGTGCAGCAGTGAAAGAGGGTGTCAAGCGTGGAGAGAGAAAGTAGGGAGGGGAGACGAGGGACCGTGAATTGCTTGCCGTTGGAGCAAAGCGCGGCGGCCAGACGCAGAGGGCAGCCAGAGAGACGAGCAACTCGCTTCCACTCGCACCCCTGGGCCTTCACTGCAACGTCCAGCACAAGCAGAACACGCTGCACAGGAGGGGAGAGTCAGATTATTACGGTATTCTAGCTAGCTGCCGCCGACGGCCACTTTATTCACAATGTCCGCGCCCAATGTCTAGCATCTTTCTTCCGGGCGTGCCTGCAGCGATGCTTCTCGCAGCATCCCCATTGGTGCGCGCTTTAAGCTTGGCTTCAAGATGTGAGTAATTCTATAGGGCACGTCCACAACCGCTCCTTTTCCCTTTCTCTCTCAAAGAAACTGAGCACTGGACACTGAATAACGAAACGCCTGCACACCTTGCCGTCATGCCGCAGCCCACCCTCTGTCGGGAGTCTGACCACGGAGCGAGGGGCTTAGGTTGTATACTATGACCTCCCCCTCCCCAAAGAAAATAGATGCGCTGACTGACCCGCCACCAGAGCGCTGAGTAGCGGCTGAGGTGAGTAGAGAGGGGAGCATCGTCGACTAAAACGGTGCGACCTCGAGACGACGTCCGTGTGGAGAGGACCGTTGCAAGCAATCAGATCACGGCCTGGGGTGTGCTGGAGCAGCCCTCCGTCAGCTAAAGGGCGGCTCCAACGCACCCTTCCTGTTGGACCTGGGCTGCTCCTTCTGGGTAGTCATCAATAAGGATAGGGACTGTCAGAGCATGTGTTGTTCCTGTCATCTCATCTCACTATTTATTCCTCCATCATCACCGCGCCCTCGGCCTGGTTCCTGTGCAGTTGTTTGAAGGGGTCTCCCGAAATTCCGCATCCAAGTTTAGCAGCGTGGCCTGGCACGTAGGGCGGACTTTGTCGCGCCAATCAGGCTGGCAGCGGTGGGATTGTAGATTAGGGCAATTTGCGGAGGGAAGAGTGCGTGGAGTGCGTCCGCGAGCGGAGCCAATTCATTCACTCGTTCCCAAACCGCCGCCGCTTTCCAATCTCCTGAGCCGGGGGCGGGCTGCAACCGCCAAAAACGCAGTCCGGCGGGCAGTCTGAACCCCCCACGCACTCTTAGCAGTTCAAGTCTACGGGTATGGGCACGGGTACGGGTATGTGTGGTAGTGTATGTCATCCCCCTCCGCCGAGACCGCTCTCGGATTGTGTCTGCGCAGCGTCATGCTTCGTCGCCTGCCTTTGCTCCCTTCTCCCGCCAGAACTACACTCCACACAGTATCCCTCCAAAGAAACAACACAATGGCACAGCGACGGATCAGTAGGCTCCTCATTGGCTCCGGCACGCCATTGCAACGCGCGCTCACAGCTGGATAGCAAACCCCGCCCTCTTGTGCGAAACCATCCACCACCCAAGCCTGAACACGTTTGCTCACGCTTTGCCAGTATCTGTGACCTGCAGGAGAAGTTCCGCCCCGCCATCCATGAATTTCCCAGGGTCATTGCAACCACGCAGAAGATGCTCAAAGCGAGTATGTGCCTGGCCTGCAGCCTTCCGAGGTACTTTGCGCTCTTGATACTGATGGGGAGCTGCTAGGCCAAATCCTAAACATCCCAGTCTTCGCCACCACCCAGAACAAGGCCCGTCTAGGTGAAACATGCCCAGAGCTGGGGCTGGATGTTCCCGGAGGTGTTCAAACGGTGGTCCACGCAGATAAGACGCTCTTTTCCATGCTGTACGTCTAGATTCGGCAATTTCTTGCTGCGTACCTTCCAGAACTGACCAGCGCCTGACTGCACCTGCAGCACTCCAGAAGTCCGCCAGGGCATCGCCCGACTCAACTCTCAACTCTCGTGCGTGATCGTCGGCATTGAATCCCATATCTGTGTAACCCAGACGGTTAGCTTCCCTGGCAAGCGCCGTTGATCCAATCGACTCACAAAGCCTTAGGCATTGGATCTATTACATGACGGACATAAGGTCTACATTCTGGCCGACGGCGTGAGTAGCTGCAATAAAGAAGAGATACCCATTGCCCTGGAACGGCTACGGCAGGAGGGTGCTGTGGTGACAACCAGCGAGAGCTGGATGTACGAATGTGTAGGTGACGCTGGAATTAATGAGTAAGTATCAATCCCTTTTGCTCGCCCTAATGCCTGCAGATCGGCTCAGATCTGTCCCGCACACAGTCATTCTAACCTCGTTCATCTTGGTAGATTCCGTCAAATCATTGGTGTCGTCAAAGAGTCGCATCAGAGCACAAAGGAAGTTCTGCAGACACTATGCAAGATTTGATCGTCCTATGCTTTCGAAAAGCAATCTGAACTGGGCATCAATGCTTCGCGATCAACTTCCCTGCAAGTTCAAAGCTACAAAAACGGCAACTGAGATAAGTATTACATTTGGCCTTTGTTACAATTATCCTTGGATTCGCCCATATCGAAGAACCTCCAGATGCGCCTCGTCGTATTCTGAAGATAGAACCATTTCAATCTATTTACTTAATATCGGCAAAATTTCACCCTAGAGAGTTTCATGATGGCTCCAGAACCATGGCGAATAAAGTGTCTGCCGAGCTTTCGATATCACGCGCGAGAGGTGAAGGGCCTACCAGATCTGAAGAATTTCGAAGCACTACGTCTTTATAATCGTGGAGATCTAGCCTCGAAAACTTCACCGTGGTCCCAATCGGTAAAACTTGCTGGCGGCAACCATGGATCGCTGAACAGAAGTGAAAGGAGCTTTTGCCTTGTTGCTGGCATCGTCTACACGGTCAAGCGGATCAAGTTTTGCTTTCTTATGATTCGACATGCAATATCTTCGAGGCGCGTTTCTGGACAGGACAATTACGCCATCTCGACGCGTGTCGTGCATCGCGGTTAAGAGATGGTAGCATTCGCTTCGCCCCCAAACAATGGTGGTCGACGGCATATTCCGCCTACTTCTGAAGTAATAGGTTATCGACAATTCCAGAGTTACTCCGTACGCTCTTGTCACGGACACAGTGATCCCTTCCTTCACGAGGAAATTTTAGTCTCCTACAATGGATCTCTACTTCCACGACCCAGTCTCGAAATTTTGTTCTACGTTTCCTGCCAAATCGATGAAAAGCCTCGTCTAATCACGGGCTTTCTTCTAAAAATAAAATCAACAGATCCTTCAACTCCATTAGAACTCACATCCAATATGCAGCATCTTTAGGAACAAAATGCCAAGGCCCTTATCGGTCTTTCAAACAGCAACACTTCCTCCTCTAAGGGCAAAACACACTGCATCCCAAGAGCGTCATTGAAGGACCTTCTGCAGTTTACCTGTAGGTAAATAAGTTTCCAGCCATCTTCCTTATCTATCACCTTCAAATCTTGCCCCATGCACATAATTTTATCCAGTACAAAGAATACTTAGCTTTGACACCAGACTTCTGTGGGAGCGGTGTTTAATTGTACGGTTCTCAGCATGTTTAGGGCATTCAAGTGGCACGCCCATCGCACAGTACAGTTTTGTGTACATATCTACAACCACCCGAAACCCGCTCCTGCTAGGAGCCTACGTCTCTCGAGCGTAGCACCAAATCTCCTGCGTAGCTGTATAGCTTACTAATTCTCACAAAAAAATTTTTCAAGGCCCACGTATCGCGATGCCCTTAATCGAACCGGTTATATCCTCATGTCTACCTGAATCTTCTTCAGCCTCGTCAGGCTCTTCCCCTTCTGTTTGATGATTGCTCAGGATGTGAATACCTCCCAACACATTCTTTCTAGTCCCAAAATTTCCTAGCAAAAGTCATTATCATTATTTAATTAATTACACAACCCATCACCAAAAAACTTCTATCATTCCGTAAATGAGCCATCCTCCAAACCACCTCGCACTTTCCAACTCACCCCTTCTCCTCTTCTCCCCTCACTCATTCTCACTGAACCTCTCCCTTTCCTCCAAAACTCCCCTAGCCATCTCCAACTGTTCATCCGTCTTCACAACCAACGTCTTATACCTTGAGCCCTTCCCACTCACATCCACCACAACCCCCTCCCCGGGCTTCTCATTCTTCTCCCGATCCAACTCAAACCCCAAACACTTCACCCCATCCACAACTTCCCTCCTCAACACCGCCCCCCTCTCTCCAATCCCACCCGCAAAAACCAATGCATCGACCTCCCCATTCAACTTCACGAAATATGGCGCCACGTAATTAACAATCCGATCAACGAAGATGTCGAAAGCAAGTTTACAAACCTCATCTCCGCACTCCGCCTTCTCGCTAATGTCCCCGAAATTCGTGGTCCCGGTGAGGCTTTTCCAGCCGGATTGCTTGTTTAGAATTTCTTCCGCTTGCGTGATATGCAAGTGTGCGGAGGAGGAGCGAGAGGGCTGGCCGGCGGAATGAGTGAAATGAAACATTAGCGATGGATCGATGGAGCCGGAGCGCGTGGCGCCTGGGAGGCCGGCGAGGGGGGTTAGACCCATAGTGGTGTCGTGCGACTGCCCGTTCAGAATGCAGCAGGCGGAGGCGCCAGACCCGAGGTGCAGGGCGATTATGTTGAGTTGGTTTAGTGGCTTCTTGAGATGGCCGGAAACCTGTATCTGTGTTAGTATGTTGTAGCATGTAAAGAGAGGGGAGGCGGGGGGAGAGTTTAGACGTACAGCATGCACAATGAATGAATAGCTTATCCCATGGAAACCGTATTTCCTCAATTTATTCTTTTGGGCGACGGCTGGGTCAATCGGGTAAGTGCGTATGTGGGAAGGCATAGTAGCGTGGAAGGAGGAGTCAAAGTAGGCGATATTTGTGGCGTGTGGGAGGAGAGTGGAGACAGCTTTCACGATTGTGAGGGCCGGGCCATTGTGTCTAGGTTGTAATTAGATACTACTGGAAGGAGAGTACTGCGTGCTAATTCATATATCGAGGTGGCGGATGTTGATGTTGCTCTATCAAGAGATAAAAGGAAGGACAAATGGGTCTATAGACCAAGTCGAGAACTCAATAAAGAAAGACGAAAACTGTACTCACAACGGCGCCAAATCACTCAAAGCTTCAATATGATGATACGTATCCTCATCAATAACCTGACTTCTTGGATAATCCCCACCATGCACTACTCGATGGCACGTGAAATGGATATCTTCCTTCTTGCTCAACTCCGGCAATCCCTTGTCTTGCGTCAAGTGATCCAAAATGAACCTGAATGCATCTTCTTGAGAATTCATGTTCTCTAGCTCTCTACCCTTGATTTTTTCGTCACCGCGCTCATACTTGAGGGTTGCAGGTGGGGCGGTTAGGCCTTCGATAACGGCCTCGGCGAGCTGCACCGGGTTGCTAGATTCATTGGCTTTGTAGACTGAAATCTTCACTGAAGAGGAGCCGGCGTTGATGGAGAGGATGATTTCTGGCATGGTGGAGTTGAGAATGTGGTTGAATCTCGTGCGGTCTCTACTCTTGCGATGAACAGCGCTTCGATGGACGATTTTAAATAAATGACCGGTGCAGAAAGAAAGTAAGAAGACAATGAAGAAATCTCTGAGCTTTTAAGGCAGAATATACTCTGTTGTTGAAGAGAATATTATCGTCCTCACTCCACCCTCTTCTGCCTTGCACGTGCGTAGTGGAATGACCCAGCGAAACTTCGCACGGAAGACCAGACCCGGAGCTCGTCCCTTTCTTCCAGAATGCAACCACCACTCAATTTTGGCATACAACAAATAACCTGCAGCCTTACACAGCCCTTGCAAGTTCACACAAGCGTGCGCGACACTTATAGGTGAATTGGGCTCGGTGTATGCGATAGAATGTGGTGATAAAGACGGGAGTTCGTTCTAATCGATGTCACTCGACGCGCCAACACCGGTTTGCTGTTTTTCGTAGCCGTACAGCACGGGATTCTGATTGCCTTGATTGAACTCTCAAATGGCGATGGATGCGAGCGTTTCTTTATTTGTTGCGGTGATGGATGGTGGGAAGACGCTGAGGTAGGATTTGCGTAACTGCCGCCGAGGGCAAATGCCATCTCTCACAGCTGCCTTCCTCAGTTCTTATCTTCAATCTTCAACATTCAATCTCATTAGCCTTTAAATTTCAACTCACACGCGACTTATTGTGCGCGTATTTCTAGGACCTTTCTATTCACGGCCTGCCGTAAATTTAGAATACCCAATGGATCCTCGACCATCTGCACCTATTACTTAAGCTGTCGCACGACCGCGAACAAATCCTAAAAGATTTTCGCCGAAGGAATTCACACGCAGCATAATACCTCAATAACTGCTGAATATAGTACTAATTTTTCAGAAGGATAATACCTTGTTGGAAGGAGATCTGACCGTCGGACGTTGTCAAACCTCGATTGCTAAGTAGGATCCGAGTTGTTGAAACAGAGTATAGCAGGAGGCTGGGACTGAAGAAAATCAGTACGCTGAGAAAAAAACCATGTCAAAGGGTGGTTTCGTTTATTCTCACGTAAATTACCTCATCCAGAAACATGATCCTGGTATTGATATATGTTGTTAGATCCAGCCATGGTATACCCGCGATTCTAAACGTCATTATGGTTCGAAAGATCATTGGGCACCGGTGGAGATGAAGCCGCCATGCACAACCTCATCATCAAGTTTTCCGTCACTGATGAGTGTCTAAATTACACTGATGCTGAAATTCCCGGCGCCACTCACAAAAGTTGTATACTTGGATATGCTCTGGTCGTCAGCTTTGGAGCTGTTGTTGATAAGCCCGGTCTTGCCGTGGGGTGTAACATTAGGGGCAGAGAAGCTGACACAGGTCCTACCGCTACTGCCTAACATGGATACAAATACATTGGCCCGGCAGAACCCAGGGTAGTAATTCCAATCACTCCTGTAAACGGCATCAAGATCAACGAGGAGACGATATATGGATGCATGGACAATATAGCTCACGGCTCTCTTAACAGGCTACGGATACTAGCCGTGATTTGTTGACTGTCTTGAGGATATAGATATAGATCTCGGCAGCTCTCTTAAGTGAGACCTTTTTGAGATTTGAAGAATCTAAAAACTGCACGTTTCGAGAAACCTACCATGAAGCTGCAATGGTTGGCCATCGTGGCGCGAACGCCGAAAGGCTGGAGTGGGCCGAAGAAGATGGGCGGCGTGTTTGCCGAAGGGTCTTTCCAACCCCACCAAGTACGACTTATGAAAGCGAAATCCGATTCTCTGCAGTCGAAGGACCTCTAAGTGTGGCTGAAGTTATACGGACTTGATGAGCTATTCAAAAAGGACGGCACGCCTGCCAAATATATTCTAGACAACATCCCTACAAAGGATGAGAAGAAGGTGGGACAAGTTAAAGAGACGTATGATCCTTATGTTGGTATTAAAGTTTCCTGATTGGATGCAGTTGGCCGTGGAGAAGGGAATCAAGGCTTCATCCATGCAACCCTGTAATTTCCTCATGGACAAAGCATTTCGGGAAAATTCCCATAGCCTTCGACTCTTCTCTCCGGATGAGGTTTTTAGTAAAAATTTAACGCAGTATTTGATCACACTGGACGAAATTTCCAATGGGACGAGTTCTCGAATACACAAGTTATCTAAACCCGTTCCGACTGAGCACTGCTGTTTAAGCTTCATGCAAAGCTACACATTGATTGAGCGAGTAACCCTCTTTCTGTCATATGAGATCGTCTTGGCTATTATTCGCAATATGATGTTTCAACATGTTAAGTTCGGGAAGACGGAGCAAGGAACGTGCTGGCGCTGCCCATTGGCAGTCTCAATTATATCGAGATGTTACCCTAGCCCAGTCAAGGAAAAACAGCTCCAGCCACCAAACCCATCCTTCAATGGTGCGGTTCTGCACTTGATCCACATCTTCTTGGGTATATCTTCCACCAAGAGCAAATTACTTCTTATCCACACTCACACGTTGTCTTCAATCAAAGCGTGGTGTCAATTTCATGGTAGGTTTAAAGCAGACTAGCCCCGAATTTCTAAGTTCCAAGGAAGCAGAAGCACATTCTCAGGTGGGGGCTTCAGTCTGGTAACCTGCAAGCGTAGACAAAGGCTCAATCGGACGTTCTCGTAAGCATCGGGGAGGAGCTTACCTTCAAAGTTTATAAGGCCGCTGGGTTGCATCGAGAGGTTGCTACACACCTACTGGCTAGAGTACTTAACGTAACGGAATTGATGGTCTTGGGAACCGAAGGTACGTAACTGAGTGTAGATACTATCTACACTCAGTTACAGACCAAAGCTTTCACATATGCCCTGGAATTAAAAGGGCCGATCCTCAAATACTGAGAAGATAGATTAACGACAATACTGTTCGACATGGTGCTTCTAAGCCACATTTTTAAGTATCATATTATGGAATTGCGCCGAGAGGTGGCGTGAGGGTGAATGAAAGATCAAGGTCAAACTCGTGGCCTTGCTCGTGGATTTGAAACATCGAATTCAGAAGACGAGGGACTTAATTTTGAAGGTAGCGACCCGGATGGGAAGTATGATTTAGGGGCCGTGAAAGCTACAGGTCAAGGCCGCGTGCTTTACAAAGGATGATTCTTTACGAAGGGGAACATTCAATCCTGGATATATACTCGGGGTTACTGGAGGTCCTTGGTCCCTTGATGCGTGTTGATCAGATTAAGTGGTTCCGGGAGACGATAAACGCCAGTGTCAAGAAATTGATGATGATACCCTCCCAACCTTCAAATCAAACCTACACTCTCTTTCGAATTTCATTCCTTTGTTGTTACTATTGACTCAATTCCCTGACCATTGAATTCGCTTATCGAAACATGTCGATTGTGACAGATTGTGTTCCTAAACTGGTATATCACATCAGCATGTGACTATGAGACCATTCCTTCGCTTTCTTTCTGGAACATTCTGTAGGAACATAAAGTAAGCTTTCTTTGTTGCAACTGCCGACATCCCAAGTACCCAGCCACTATGAGGTCAAGGTACGTTCGAAGTTGGGGAGTATCCCATGTGTTAAGATTGTCCTTGACATTAACCAACTCACCGATGTAAGATTTTCACTGGTAGCCCTAAGCCTCGTGCATATTACATACACTTGAAAACTGATCGGCTGGTGCGGATCATGGATGACTCGATTTGATGAGACATTGCCTACACTACTCCGCACATATCAGTCACGAGGCTCGCCGTCAGTCGGAGATATATCCCTTGACGGTCAAGTTTTCACCGAGCGTGGCGTTTCCTCAGCTGCTTTTGGTTCGGTGAACTGGAAAAAGCGTGGGACGACAGGAAGCACGTGGAAGTAAGAAGATGTTGGCTATTGATAGGACGAGTCAAGTCGGATACACGCTGTAAATGGACGACTCCTTTTGCTCACTACACAGTGCCGTGCACAATCGGCTTCCGGTTTTTGCACGCTGCGGAATTTTTACCCCGCGGCGGCCTCTGTTGCGCTTAGCAGGCCTTGCTTCATTGGCCTTGGCTTAATACGGCGTGTTGCCGCTTGCTTCATTGGCCTTGGCTTAATACGGCGTGTTGCCGCTCGAAGATCACAGAAACTGTCTAAACTCTTGCTTGCATAGCCACATTCATTAGCCACAGTGATGACTAAAGCATTGCTATCAAGCTGTACCTCGTGACGCAGTCTCTTTAAGCCTAAAAGTAGTTCTGTAACCTCTGTTACTAGCTATCTTGCTATTAATCAAGAGACTTCTAGAAGCTTCGCCTTCAAAGTCGCAAATTTACTAGATATATATTCACGCTTATCTCTAGACCCTCTACGAAATAGAGACATGAAGAAAAACAGTAAACGCTTAGTTCTAGGTAAAGTAAGCCTATAACCTCATATGCATATATGCAAAGTTAAGATGTCTTATTAAATATTAAACTCTGTAACTTTTAAAAACATCATAGCCAGGTCAAATCACGAGAGTTTTCCCTTCTGTGGGTCAGCAGGTGTCCACCCAGAAATACTGGAGTTCGTCTTTTGCAGCTTGCCTTCTGCAGAAGTGGATCTTACGATAGCCAGCTTTGGTTTTGCCTGTACCGTCTGCCAGATCCCTAAAAGTAACCTCCTCTTCATCTGCCCCCTAAGTATGGGAAAGAATAGCATAGCGCGGAATGTCTTCGACACGTTCGACTAGGCTGAAGTTGCTGTCTTCAATCCGCAAGAGTCGCATAAGGAGGGAATAGCTTAAGAGCTCTAGCTAAGGAGTTATGAGAAAATATCTTGGCAAGACCTGTACAGTCCGAGAAATCAACAGACTGCGACTGTGTTAACTGGTGAATTCATGAAGGATAACTCTAAAGAACAAGGAAGGGATGACAGCAGGGCAAGACGCAGTGCAAAGTGGCTGAGCTCTAACAAATCAACATGTGGATGAGTAAGCGTGCTTAAACAGTAAATAATTTTAACATCTAATGCCGCCGGAAGGATAATCCGCTCCTGCAAGATGGCAATGTTTGAGACTGTAGATGATGAATGTGGCTAGTGCAGGAAACAGTTTAGACAGTTTCTGTAATCTTTGAGCGGCAGCAACACGCCGTATCAAGCTAAGACTAATGAGGCAAGGTCTATGCTAAGCGCACAGGGGCCGCCGCGGGGATAAAATTCCGCAGCGTGCAAAAACCGGAAGCCGATTGTGCACAGCACTGTAGCAACAGTCCGAGAAAATTCTTCTCTCGGACACGCCGCGCGGTCGATGTAAAGTGCTTGGTGGACTCGTAAAGGGGTTCGTGAAAGAGTAGTGGCTTTGTGCATGAAAGAGGATTGAGCCTCTTTCACCTGACGGTCGAGCTCGTGGCACGGCTTGTTGGGACAGAAGCCAGACCACGTGGGGTAGCCTCCACACTAGCTTGTTTTGCACTAGTCTTTCATCTTGGGCCAGCTTCTGGGCCCTCACTCCCCGACATGTAACATCGAGTTCATCTCTCACGCATCCGCACAGTCGACATCGCATCATCCGGATGGGCTTTGAGCGAGGGGTGGGTTTGCATTCCGGCATTGCGTCCCCCTAAGCTCTATCTCATGGGTTCCGAACTTCATGCCTTGCTATCCAAGCTTTACCGTTCATCCTGTCCAAACCCCTTTCAACAGACTCTTGCGAATTTCAACTCTCATCAGAATAGTAGCTATAATTTCCCCAACAGTCAGCAGTCGGAGCTATCGATCATGCAATCCTTTGAGCCTGCATATCCTTCGATTCAGTTTCGTGTTCCCCCTGGTGTGTGCCTGGGGAGGGGAAACAACCCTGGTCAAACTTGCATCCTTCCACTTCGCCTCGATGGCATGGAGCGTGCAGCATTCAAATAAAATCTACGCCCCATCTGTTTCCTCGATCAGCGGAACATCGCGATGTTTTTCTTTGCTATTGCCATCGCTCTTTTTGGTGTAAACGCGGGGAGGGTGCGTTGCGATCCTGTTTCTGATGCTCTGAGCGCAATACCCACAGCAACGATCAGCGACGGCAAAATTGTCGGTACAACTACGAACATTGCAGGACCGACCGGGTTAATAGCCGTGAACAAGTTCCTCGGCATCCCGTTTGCTTCACCTCCGACTGATTCTGCACGATTTACACCACCCAAACCGCCCGTGAAATGGAGTAGTAAGGACACGAAGGAATTTAAGCCGGCATGCATCCAAGTATTTGGTTCGTTTGCCTATGATTCTAGCCTAAATTACGAGATTCTCATCAGCAACAGCTCCAGTAGCCAATCGCACCTTCGTTGAAGAGGTCTTCAATAACCCTCCACCAGCCGCTGGAGAGAACGAAGATTGCTTGTACCTGAATGTCTTTGCGCCTAAGAAGAAATGGGATTCTTCCAAACCACCATACCCTGTCATGTACTGGATGTATGGTGGAGGCTGGAAATTTGGGGCTTCGTCGCTACAACTATACGATGGCGCTCATTTCGCGGCATTAGAAGATATAATTATCGTCACAGTAAACTATCGGACAAATGGTATGCAAATATTTGCATTATGTATTAGTAGGCGCTAATGGATCTAGCTTTCGGCCTTCCCCAGGCTCCTACGATCAAGAATGTAACAGAGCGCAATCTTGCATTGCTCGACCAACGTGCTGGTCTCGCCTGGGTCCAGAGCAATATCGACCAATTCGGCGGTGACAAATCTCGGGTCACCATATTTGGAGAATCTGCTGGCTCTGTTGCTACGGACATCTTAGTCACTAGTTATCCCAAAGGTTCAAAGCCACCATTCAGTTCTGCAATCATGGAAAGCGGATCATATGCCTATCTCCCATTGGCAAACTGCAACAACAGCGACTTTACAATCTGGAATGGTCTTGTAGACGCCCTTGGCTGCACAAATACGAATCCTGATGCTGCGTTTGCGTGCGTGAAAGGAAAGCCAGCTGCCGACATCAAAAACGCCCAGGAATTATACCCAGCCATAACGTTCGGCTTTGCTTGTGACAATTACACCTTTGTCTCCGACCCGCGGTCTAGGATGGAAGTTGGCAATGTTGCTCAAGTTCCCGTTCTGATGGGTTCGAATACGCAAGATGGTAGCTTCTACGCCAACTTTTATGCGAATTATTCGTTTGATATTTACTGGGGTGGTACCTTTGGCTTCGCGACTCCGGCGATTGTCGCTCAATATCAAAAAGTGAAGGATGCGTATCCCATTGGAAGTGAAGGGCGAGTGGATCTCGTAACGCAATTAACACAGATTGCTACGGATTGGAATTTCCACTGCGTAAGTCTGGCACTTCTATTTTCAGCTCTTTTACCACTCTATTCTAGAGTTATCCCTACTGGAGGCATTCTCAAATATGTTCAGTGCTCACCTCTTCCCAGCCCGCCCTCCTAAACGCAGCAACATCTTCCAAATACATAGACACATACCGCTACCTCTTCAACGCCAGCTTCCCTAACACCCGCATTAACGATCCAACGCGCTGGCCCGAAAAGTATCAAGGTGCATACCACAGCTCCGAGATCCAGATTGTCTTCAATACAGCCCCTTCTGCAGGCGCTACGCCTGAGGAGCAGAAATTGTCGGAGACTATGCGGAAGGCATGGGCAGCCTTTGCGAGGAATCCGAACCAGGCGCCTATAACCGGGTGGACAAAGAGCGGAAGTGACGGATTGGATGCGATGATGTTTGGGAAGGGGAGTCCTGGGGATAGTGGTATGGTGAAGGATTCGAACAAGTGTGATGTTTGGAAGCAGTTTATTATTGATCTCCATGCTTGAAGGCCGAGAGTGGCAAATATGAAGTGGTTGTGTACTGGATGCGCGAGTAATGAAACCCGATATTTCCAAGCTTCCATTCACCTGCACTCACCTGTCGACTTCCGGGCTAAAATGGACTCTTGAAACTTTCCAAAGCCTAGCATAGTTTCGAAGATCTAGGGGGAATTATATTCACATTTTTGGGTGGCGGTAGCTACTCGTAACAAGCACTAACATATTTATGGCGACTCTATGGAAGAGTTGACGTAACTACTCTTCGACGCTTCAACATCACCCTCAAATCCCCAACTTAAACCCTCCAGGGACTGCCTTCTGAAACACTCCTTTAGGATCATACCTCTTACTCACACTCCTCAAAAATTGCACATTCGCTCCACCGTACCCTTGAATCGGATCCTGCCATTCCGCCGCATAATTTAGATACACGAATTCGTTAGATAATCCCCTCTCCTTTGCTCTAGAAACAATTGAACTCTCCAAGTTTTCCATAGCTCCGTTGACCCTCCCATTATCTGTGGAAAGCTGCCATGATAACGTGAAAAGTAAGTTGATCAAATCATCTCTAGAACGATCAAGGCCCAACACGTTGCCGCCTGTGGCTGCGGACTTCGAGTATATGGAATATGGCAACGGCTGAAACGTCATGGTGACCACAAGCCCGACGATCAGAATCAACTCCTGCGCAGTTGCATCTGCAAGGTTGTAAATTTCGGCCATGAAATCTGGTGCTTGATTCCGGTCGTTAGTAAAGGTTAGTGTCATGAGGAGATTGTTGCGTCCTGTGGAGAAGGAAGCTGCAGCTGCGATCTCATTCGTGAAGCTTGAGACTCTGTCCTTTCGCATTGTGGTTGCTGTCTTTGGCATTGCGTCTAGTAGCGCGAAGGCTGGAGGCGGCCATATCGCGTCCCCGTTTGTGTAAGCGATGTTGTGGACGATTGTTGGTACACCTGATATCCATGCGAAATCCGAAATCAACGCCGCATATGGATCATATGTTTTGCTGACAGTAAAGTTTGAAAAGAAGTCGAAGAAGGCTTCTTTGTTGGTGATTGGCTGAGCAACCGTGCCACCCCAGAATGGAGTCTGGGAAAATAACTTTGCATCGAGTCGGGTGACGATACCGAAGTTGTTACTGCCACCTTTGAGAGCGCGGAACAGATCAGAATTAGAGGTACGGGTTGCGGTTGTAGTGGTGCCGTTTGCAAGGACGATCTCGAAAGTCTGGATGTTGTCACAGGCAAAGCCGTAGCGGCCAGAAAAGAATGATACACCTCCTGGAAGGCATTAGGGCTACCACAAGCATAATCAGGGTTTGGTTTCATACCTCCTGTCATCAGACCACCGACTCCAACAGGTGTCACGCGACCACCTACCATAGCAAGATTCAAATCGTCAAGAGAGGAGTACACATTGCCCCATCTATTTCCTGGCCCAATGCTTACAATTCGCTGGTCATTCGATACGGCCACCTGATTCATACCCTGGAGGTCAATGGTTACTCCTCCATCGATGTTTGCGGCGCCAGCTTGGGGAGTATGCCTAGAATATCATTAACTAATTGTTTGAAGCAACCGCTGACTTGATAATTACCCCCCGCTTCTCACAGCAAACTGGCAGCCTTTGAGGGAGGTTTGATAGGCCACACTGAGAATAGCAACTGCGGTAGAGACGTCCTGGGTGCTGGTCGGAATTACGATGCATGTTGGGTGGAGACTTTGCTCTTGTGCAGACCAGAGTGAGAGCTGGGAGGATTGGTATCCGAGATCTGTGATGTTGTTGAAATGTACTTTTCCGGGTAAGAAGTAGTTTAGAGCCGTGCACTACTAGGTATGAGGAATTGCTTGCGTTAGGTAAAGAATACAATTGAAAGTTCTTACACATGCGCCACTATTACTGAGCTGAGCTAGTATAGCATTTTTATCTGGTGATGCTGTATGAACAGGTAGAGCAAACAACAAGAACGAAAAACACCTCCAAAATGCAGCCATGCTATCTACGATGATTCAATCCGGAGTGAAGATCAGTCCTTTATAGTTTACATCAAAGTCGCTCTACAACTTTCAGGGCATTCTAATCGGTTCGATTACATCAAAAATTTAGGGTGGAAATCAAGGAATTCAACAACTAGACCAGTCAATGCATCTACGCTGTGTTCTTCGGGTCGCGTGGTAGTTAGAAGAAGTAATAAACATGTTGATCGTATCCTAGGTCGGACAAAAACGGACTTTCATTATAGGCTTAGAGCGAGATGCCATGGGGGCGAGTAAACCCCATGCTTTCGGAATGAATGATTGGTAACAATACGAGCGCATCGAAGCAAGATGATGGAAGCCAAGTCATGGTCGCGAACAATTGGACTCCTCGAGAGTAACGAACCGGGTTCGATGGATGCAAATCAGGGGGTTTCCGCCTGTTCCGCCCCGGAAGGAATAATGATCGATGCTTCTAGTATTAAGGGGTGTCGTGAGATGCTATCCATATGTTTTTCGCTGCATGCATACCATATACACTTGTTCTTGTGTGGAAATATCGAGTGGCAGCGTCTAATTTGCTAGGTCGGCAAGGCCTGATTTAATCTCTGGTCCGGGTTTCCAATAGCTGCTGTCCATCTCAAGCCTAGTCGTTGGGACGCAGCGGACAACACACCACTGGCAAATTGCATTCGGCCGAAAACGGGAAACGAACGTTCCACAGCAGATAGCGCAAGCCTGACACTCCACCCCCATTTTGGGAGGAGTGAATGCGAGTGTAGGCTTGGGACTGAAGTTAGTGGAGTGGGAAAGGCGTTGGAGGTGGAAATGTAGTTGAGTGTGATGGAGAGAAAGCGCGAGGCAAGATGAGAGGGGAAAAAGGCGACTGCCCTCGCCAAGTCCAGCTCTTTAAGGGATTCTCCGTTTATATCTGAGCGTAAAGTCCGGATTTCGAGATAGTAAGGAAGGGTAAAATGCAACAGAGTCTTTCAGCATGTTTATCTTGGTAAGATTCATTTGAACGCAATATCTAAGTTACTATAGATACAATTTTCGCTACAGGTCAGCAACACAATTCTTTTACCCACTGTGGTCGTTTCTACAGGCAAAAGTGGCATGTTAACTCAGCCGCCTTCTTAGATCTGATCTGCTATCATTTGATATCAGCTCTACACTTCAGGTACCCGCATGCCCAGGTGCGAGCGAGTCACGTGCTCCTGACAAGTCATGGACTGAGGAATTTCTACTTAGTATTATCATGTTTTCTTTACAAATTCGGCTCAAATACAGCCTAGTATTCCTGTCTAATATATTGATCTTTATCGGTGTCATGCGACTCATCAACATTCGATGTTGACATGACGCTGTGGCGCAGCTCAGCCTCACCGGTGGACTGACTACAGACTTTTCGCAAATCGCTCTGGGGCTATTTCGCAAGCTCGTATGTTTTATGTTGATACGATAACGTATCTTACGCATGCTTTTCACGAACGCAGAACTTCAACATTTTCGGCGCGCATACAAGCAGGAATGGCCTCGGTAGTCAGTACCAGGATACGAATGTGTACCTCCAGTTTCGAACGAGGGCAACATAAGGATAAGGATTGACTTAAAACTTTTGAAAGGATGGGTATAAGACAAGCGAGCTTTCAGCAGCAGTGGCTGCAAGGTGTTCAAAAGACGCCCCAGTTTTATTTCGCCATTGCGAAAGCCACTTAGTCCGCTCCGTCTCAACTGCGCAAAACCGAGATCCCACCTGTTCGCATTTCAGCCCTCAAAAGTGCATGGTTTCCCTCAAATTGGATCATTGTGTAAATGAACTCTGGTTTCAATTACTTTCGTTTTGCGAACGGTTCCACTCCTGACGACGCATCACCAGGAGTTCAGCCCCGCAAAGGCAACGTTCGACATGGCAGATCTAGCCACTGGGGGGCCCCTAGAGGAGGGTGAATCTATTACAATTCCACCAAAGACAAGGAAAAGGACAAAGACAGGATGCTTAACTTGCAGGAAGAGGCGAATCAGATGCGGCGAAGAAAGACCTGTTTGTTGCAACTGCATTAGAGCAAAAAGACAGTGCGAGGGATACAATCAGCGGGTAACGTTCAAATCACCGACAGGGAATTGGTCAAAAATGCCTGGAGTGGTCAGCTGGTTGCCGTATCATAGTCCTCACACCCTAAGCCAGAGTTGGAATACGCTACCATTCATACAAAAGCTGCCGCTGACCTCCGACTTTTCTAACGGCGAATTTGGTTCAACCCTTGATTCAGATTTTCCCTCCGCTTTCTCCGCACCAAATCCGACCGAGCCAGCATATGTACATTCACAGCATCTCTCCCCTTCTGAGCCTGAATTCCCCCAAGATTGGGGCCAGGTGGAACAACAGCCACTTGCGCCAAATTTCAATCAAACCATTATAGATGAAGGGTGCTTTGAGGGGTCTCAACCAAGTACCAACAATTCTCGACCTTTTTTTGTTGGCGACGGGACTGCATTTGAGTATCTTGACGATGATTACTTTGATCTGGAATCAGACGAAGACTCAGCTATTTGCCTCACAGAAGACGACACTTCGCCATACAAATTCGCCTTTGTAGAGACCTTGAATCGATTCAATAGGCATGAACGCAATGCAATCTATTACGATGGCACGCTGGATCTCTACCGGCCGCAGCATACCGCAAATCCTATCAAGGACGCGAACGTGGCCCAACTTTTCTCGTTCTTTGTGAACGTTACTGGACCTAGCCTCGCTTCCTTCGGAATGGATTATGGGAACAATTTTTGGACAGTCACTCTTCCGACGATGGGCTTAAACAATCTAGGATTGTTACATGCTATACTTGCACTCTCGTCATTGCAACTCGCGAATCTCCACCGCTCTTCAAAAACACCTTCCTACAAGCATTATGCCTATTCTCTCAAACGAATCCACCGCGCAGTCGGTAACCCAAAAACTCGGGTTTTACCTGGCACATTAGCAACGAGCCTGCTATTGGCCTTGTATGAGCTAATGACTGGGGATCACACTAAATGGAAAGCACACCTAATGGGGACGCACCTTATTCTCCTTGAAATAAATTTCAAGGGAATGTCGGAAGCTTACAGCACAGGACAACTATCTACCGGGCACCGCCTTCCAAACTATGACCTCCTTTACTCTCTGACCGGTTTAAGGCAATACCAAGATCGCATGCGCCAAAATCTAAGTCATCCCGCATACAAGGATTTTACGAATACGGATCTGGATTTATTCGAGATATATTTGAATCTGTTCTGGTCGTACGTAAAGCAGGATATATATCATAGTATTTTTAAGTGTGAAGACCTCATGTGAGTCCTGCAAGTCCCCACTCAAGAACACTAGCTATGCGGGATGCTGACTTAGCTCATAGTTTAGATTACGAGAGGTGGTCAGACTGGCCTCCTCGAACAGCAAGCCATGCTAGCTCTTCTAATGCACTTTCGAGCGCCCTTGATCATCTCTATCTTATCCTAGCGAGGACTGTTCAATTTGCTGCGAAAGACCACAGAAGGAAGCAGGCAGTTGCCAAGTCCAACGGCCGCGAATGGATACTATTGGCTCCTCCCACACCTAGCAGCCTCAAAGAAGTTCTAACGAAAGAGGATCAGCCATCTGGGTTAAGGGCCGACACCAAAGACGCAGAAATATCGCGTAGACTAGAATATGGCAAAGCCTATGTAGAATGGGCGCAGATTGAAAGAGCATTGGAGATTTTTAAAGGCAGCCTGGGTCACGAATTCGAACCTTCATTGCCATCATGTGCACCAAATGCTAGAGCCACCACTGCAGAATCTCCATTTGGCGATCTCATTTTCTATGAAACACCGGGTATCGCACATTTGCAGGCCCTCATTCACATGACCCAAATTATGATACTGCGGAATCATCCAGACACTCCGCTTGGAGAGCTTGACGCCTTGTCCTCCTGTAAATCACGTACAATGCAGGATGCACTCAAAATTGGACGGATACTTGCAGGGACTGGGCTACCTGCTATTCAAGCAGCATCGATTGGAAATGTCATGCCTCTTTTAATAGCTGGGTTGGTGTATGACAACAAAGAGCAGAGGACCTGGACAGTTCGATCTCTGAAATCAGTGGCAGAATGTACCGGCTGGGATTTTGCCGGACAGGCTTTGGTTGCCGTTCAAGACTTATGGAATCAAAAGGCAGAAGCTGGACGCGGTCCGGAATGGCACAGAAATGCTCACAGTGACACGGGACTCACCACTGATTGCAATACCGCAACACCGAGACCTTGTGACAATATAGGAGTGGTTCAAGAGCGCGTACCGGAGATAATAGCTCATCGGGTTCCTGGTACACTTATAAAGGAAGTCGTACATGCTGGTCTGCAGCATTCATGGGGCCATTCACCGCAAGACTTCCGTCAAAAAGCAGTGTTTGACTTGAGATCTATTTCAACTCGCGAACATGGCGTGAAAGCAGAAGATGTGTCAGATTCGGACTCAGGTATCAAAGATGTCCAATTTGAGTGGACGAATGAAAAAATCGAAGACGAAGGTGTGAAACCAAGGCCCAACCCCACTACTGTTGGCCCCATCACCAACCTTCATATTCGGAGAGAGAGGCCTTGTGATGCCTGCCGGAGAAGAAAGAGTCTCTGTGTAATACAAGACGGTTCTGTCTTGTGTGTGTTGTGTGAGTTCCACAAGGAAGAGTGTACTTCCAGCCTATTGCCTAGGAAGCAAAATATCGCCGGATTTGAAAGCAGCGACCCTACACCAGCCGAAATTGAAATTGGAAAATTAGAGGATACCCTCATAAGTATGGAAAATTCCGGTGAATCCATCGGCATTAATCTTCCTTCACGAGTTCATCAAGTTAACAGCCCCAAAGATGAACGATCGCCGCACTCGGACACAATGTTGAGTGACCAAAGTTCTATTGAAAGCGAGTTCTCTGCAAGCACCGAGACCGCTGATGAATTATCTTCACTTCAAATGGAAAGGTGTAGGGTGGTTGACAGGGTTATGGTCTACTTCCACTCGATCTTTCGGGCTATGCCAACGGTTACTTGTCGGGGGAACGAAAGTAGATCATCTAGGACCACCAATGACGCATCTTCTGGCAGCAACGCATGTGCTCCAGGCTCTAGCCATCCTTCTAATACTACGCTTGGGAAACGTGCCCGAATAGACGAGGACGAGAACTTATCTGAACCCGACGGAAATCCGTCCAAACGGCCAAAGAACCCCAGTGGCAGAATTTCGGCTGAGCCTAACAACAACAGGCGCAAGTTTGCATGCCCCTATTTCAAACGAAATTTTGAGAAGTATCTGGAGCGGAGATCTTGTGTTGGACCAGGATGGGATGAAGTTCGACGTGTCAAGTAAGTCTAATATTTTCTCTGCTTGATCCATCAACAATTGTTACCTCTCACTCGCTTTATGATATTAGCTTGAAAGTCTCCATGACCTTGAGGATACATGGGCTTATTCCTATCACTGAAGGGAACATCTTTACCGCAACCACACACTGCCAATATTCTGCCCTCGCTGCTACGCCACGTTCAAAGTGCAAGCCCTTCTACATGAACACCAGCGCGCAGACGAGCGTTGTCCAAAACGACATGAGGTGGCTATTGAGGGATTCGATAAGCTCCAGGAGAAGAGACTCAGAAGTAGAAAAAGGGTCCAGCCTGAGGTCAGTGAAGAGGATAAATGGAGGGAGATGTACCGAATCCTGTTTCCGGACGACGATGACATGCTGATGCCTTCGCCATGTAAGTGCAGTCTGTATTTGCCTTCGCATGCATGTAGAAAACTAAATGCCTGAAACCCTTTGTATGTGTCAGTGATACTCTGAGGAAGACTCTTTACTGCTTTGCCTAGGATAGAAGACCAGTCTAAATTTACTCGAAGATGAACTTACACGTTACAGATATGGAATGCGACTGGGAGAAGATCTATCAGAGATCAAAGCCAATTTCGAATGAGCTAGAGCGATACGAACACTTCCTTCGCAGAGAGCTTCCGCCTGCTGTACGACGGGAATTGGAGATCGCTGTAGAGAAGGAGTTTAGCCCTTTAGAAGAGCGCTTGAAATGTCAGTTGATCGAAATCGTCCGCGACCTTCAGCTTCGGCTGTTCCAATCGTATACGCAATCTCGAGACGCTCCAGTTGGCACACATGAAGAAAAGGCAGTTCCGAATTCAAGCGACACGGAACTAGCCCCCGAAGTTGAAGCCTCTGGATTATTACCAGAGACCAGCATGCAGCCACCCAGCGTAGACTCGGCTGACACACTAGAGAATCAACTTGCACCATTCGAGCCTGTCCCACCATGGAAGGATGCGCTCGCCTTTGATCCCATACTTTTCCAGTTCCACGGGGAAGATTTCGAAGACTCGGCATATGGCTCCCTATTTGACACATTTGCTGAGTCGGGATGCGCCAATGAAGCGTGTGACGATGCATCCGGGTTCTACTCCAATCCTGTAAATGAAAACGGAGAAGGTCCGTCTAACAGAGGAGGATGAAACAATCCCTTGCTAAACTCCAGGAATTTTCTTTATCCTTCCTGTGAGTCCCCGGTCAAGAAAGACTGCTTGTATTCTGATCTGCATACTATTGCTCATAGAAAGATTGGTTCGGGCGATGGGAAGGACGGATATGATTGCGTACATCCACATCTAGTTTCAAGGGAGGGCTTGTCATATTTCTCGGTGTCCAGATAAACTTCCGGGGACAATCTCAATGCAACCTTGTTAAAGGTTCAGGCGAAAGATCGCCATCTTGGCCGGGAGCACAAGCTTTCTCCCCAAAGCTTGAACGCGCGTCCACATGCGCCGTGTCCTCAGCACCCCAATATTATCAAAAAAGCCATCTAGGTTCTTCGATATAGCCACTCCTGGAATTGGAAGATGAATATCCGACATCTTGTAGCTTGGACGAAGTACCTCGCACCGGGACATATGTTCTCGAAAGCCGATCGGGATTGACACTATCTTGTTCAAAAACCGCCTTAGATTCAAAATTGCTATGCGATAGCTAGCACTTACCAATCGCAGGCTGTAGGCCTCGGGCTTTTTCCTGCTGTAGCTTAGAGCCTTTGCGTTGGTTGGGCTGCTCCGACTTGCTTTGGAGCTAGTGACATTCAAGTGACGACAGAACCTCGAGTATCCCTGTAGAGGCTGTCTCATCGCTCTTGGGGCTCCACAGAGACACCCTAGAATGGATCGAATACTAATGAAAGCTGGGGTTCACTTCAGCGCAAGCAGTTGACTCTCCACTTCATTCCTTTACTCTCTGATTTAGGGATACGACGCAAAACCTCGTCAACACTACAACAGCCATGGTGGATACCAAAGATCCTTCTCAGAATGGTCACCAGCATGAGGAAGATCTAGAACAATCTGCGACACAGGCGACTTATCTCGAGAAGGACGAGATGGTATCTCTTTCAGAAGAACATTGCCAATACCTTCTGAATCGCCATGGAACCCTCGATCTGGATCCTCTTCCAACAATGGGAGATACTGATCCATATAATTGGCCCAATTGGAAGGTATCTGATGTCTAGTCTGTCTCTCCAAGAGAAGCTAACCAACAATTACTGTAGAAAATCACAAATCTCATTCTGGTAGCTTTTCATGCTTGCATGTCTACCTTCATCGCAGCATCAATCATTCCGGCTTACGAAGTCATTGCTCAAGATCTTGGTGTTAGCCTCCAACGCACTTCCTACCTCACCTCCCTCCAGATCGCGATCATCGGAGGTGCCCCACTAATTTGGCGTCCTCTTTCTACGCGTTTCGGTCGTCGACCCATCTTCCTTATATCGTTGATAGGGAGCTTGCTGTTCAATGTGGGATGCGCACAGACTACAACGTACGGTGCGATGGCTACGTGTCGTGCTTTCACTGCTTTCTTCATCTGCCCTGCCTCAGCAATCGGAAGCGCGGTGGTGGTAGAGACGTTCTTCAAAAAAGATCGCGCGAGGTATATGGGGATGTGGACGCTTATGATCACTCTAGGCGTGCCTCTTGCACCATTCATATTTGGTTTCGTTGCGTATCATGTTGGCTACCGATGGATATACTGGATCCTGGCAATGGTAGGGTTCCCCCCTTCTCCTCCTCGATCCTTATCAACTGACCTCACCATAGATTAATGGCGGACAATTTATTCTCTACATCTTCCTTGGACCAGAAACACGCTTCATCCGTAAAGGCGTACAGCACACCGGCCCAGTCATCAAAGAATCTTACTTCAAATTTCATCGTATCGACAAGACACCTTTCTCAGTCTATGAATTTATCTCACCCCTACGAATGGCAAAGTATCCATGCGTAATGATTCCTACTCTCGCTTACTCTATGGTCTTCCTCTTCGCTTCTGTGCTGATCACCGTTGAGATCCCACAACTCTTCGCTGAGAAATTCCACTTCAATCCCCAGCAATTGGGCCTACAATTTCTTGGTATTATCATAGGGTCTATTATCGGTGAACAGATTGGTGGGTATGTCAGTGACTATTGGATGGGTCGTCGCTCGAAACACATCTCGGGCCAGCCTGCACCCGAGTTCAGGTTGTGGTTGAGTTATTTTGGCTACGTGCTAACTATCTGCGGGATGGTGGTGTTTCTCGTGCGAATTCAGCAGGCTCCTGAAGGCCACTGGAATGTCACGCCCGTGGTTGGTGCTGGTATTGCTGCAGCGGGAAATCAGGTTGTTACAACAGTATTGAGTGAGTACCGCAGATTTAGGTCTTGACGATGTATACTAACCGAAGTATAGTTACGTATGCTGTCGACTGTTATCCAGACGAAGCAGCGAGCATCGGTGTTTTCATAACCTTTGTGAGACAGATTTGGGGATTCATTGGGCCATTTTGGTAGGTCGAAGAACTACTTTGAAACTTTCCTTGACTAATGTTCATCGCTTAGGTTCCCTCCAATGTTCGAGAATGTCGGGATTGCGAACAGTGGTGGTATTGCAGTAGGGTTGGTTATGGCAGTCAGCTTTATCCCAACAATTGCGTTGCAAGGGAGGGGCTACGCGCTGCGAGGAGTGATGAAAGCCAGAACTTAAAGGAATTTGGTAGGCAAGCCGAGAATGGAAATAGGTGATGGAGTCGTGAGAGTGAGCTAGTGCAGGCACAACTGGTTGAAATCTCTAGACGCGACAGCGCTTATTCATTCCCGGTACCTTTTTTAGCCTTGAACACGCCTCGTTGGCTTTCGGTTTCAATGCGAGCACGATGATTGTAAGATGACGAAATTCGCAAGCCACATTTTGACTTTCCAACACACCTCCATCCATACCCACCATATATTCTTGACATTAATGTACTTCGAAGCCAAAGAACTCAGAAAGGATTCTATGCACACCCGTTTTGCAACAAGAGGGCTTCAAAGGTCCTTACAAGTTTCAGCCTTTCTGAAATGCCACCAACATCCAAAATCCACATAGCAGGTGCCCACAGAAGCAGGGACCCACAGAAGCAGGCCAAAGCAAAGCCCATCAGGCAATCCTCGATACTGGAATAGCCACGAGATTAGAAGAAATAGGATGGAAAGTTACTACTGAGCCCAGCATCCTCAGCACCGAAATTGCGAAGACCGCACAGTGGAAACCCTCTCCAAAAACCAGTAGTGTTCGCAACGAAGAGGCTAGTCTGAAAATCATGAGGGCCTTACAAGACTACGTACATAACGACTATATAGAAACTTATGAGGACTCTCCGTTCCTTCTTGTTCTAGGTGGAGATTTCAGCATCTCGCCCGCCACCCTACCCACACTGTCCCATTCCACGGCGTCTAGAAACGGAAAGTTGGGCATGATAATTTCGACGGTGATGCGGACTTAACATTACCTACGGAAGCTTCGGTAGATGGCGCATGTGGGGTTCTCGACTCGATGGTAATGAGTACACTTACTCAACGACCTTGATGTTTACCTAGTATGAAGCCATTCGTTCGCCCCGATGGTACGCCGCTGGTGAGCAACGACCCCATCGTTCTCTTTGGCCTCGATCCCCTACAGCCAGCTACCGAACACTGGGTCTATCTCCTCAAGAATGGATTTAAGGCATTTACCTGGTCCACTGTCCAAGTCTCACCTGTCCCATGTGCAGCATCGGCGCTACAGTTTTTCGATGAAAGGGTTGATAAGATATTCCTGCATTTCGATATCGATGTCATTGATTCAGGTATGTTCCCTTTGGCAAATTATCCGCACTATGCAGGGTTAGGGTTTGAGCGGGCGATGGAATGTTTAGGGGCGTTTTTGGGGAGTGAGAAGGTGGTGGGGATGGTGGGCATGGAGGTCAATCCAAACAATGATCCAGAGGGAAGGATGTCGAGAATGTTCGCAGATGGCATTGTTAAAGTATTCGAAGGGAGACATTATACTTAGTGTGCCTTCAAATAGGAAGCTATTTACCTGTTCACATTTACATCGCCTGACGAAACATCTTAAGATCTGGACATTACGACTAGCTAGATAAGAAACGGACGGAATCTACGATATCTCAGCCTCTGCTAACAGACCAATTAGCTGTGTCCGTCAAATCGGTAGTCTTCAATCCACCTACAACTTCGCGAGGAACCCCTCCTCCATGCACGCCTTCTCTGCCTCCGCCATGCAGTCAAATCCGTAGATCATCCGTTGCACATCGGCATCTGCCCACTTATCCGGTACTGGCCCCTTTCCACTCTTCAAGGCGGCGAAAACCTTGTCTCGCTCTTCTTTTGCTTTGCCTTCACCTAAATGCATGTTACGTCCGTTTTCCGCTGCCAGCTCTACTAACGTCTCGGCCCTCTCTTTCCTGACCTTTTCGTAAATCTTCAACGCCTTGTTTATCGTCTCAGGTTTCCGATCCGCAATTCGGTTCGGTGCTAACACGACTCCAAGCACGGCAGCATCTTCAATAGCCTGTGCGGCACCTTGCGCAAGATGCGGCAGTGTAGGATGACACGCATCACCGACCAAGGCCATGGACCCATGGACCCAAGTGCTTAACGGTGCGTGAACCCTTAACTTCCACTCACACACCTCGCCGTCAGGAACTAAATCCAGCATCCTATGGATCATAGGGCAGTAATCTCCATAGACTTGCATCATCTGGGTTTTAGAGCCTTTCGTCGTATAAGTTGCATTCGTAGCTTCTGCGAAGTTCGTATCTGGTTGTGCGGTTGAGATGTTGTAAATCGTCTTGTTGGAAATGGGATAGGCAATAATATGGCGCTTTTCTCCTATCCACCTTGTCACCGTGTCCGCCTCGATCAAGGCAAGGAGTTCAGGATCGTGCTTCATTTGGTCCCGAGTGAGCATGATGCGGTATGCGGCTTGGCCTGTATCCTGCACATCGGCTGTTTCACCCAATTCCTTGAGCATCGCAACTCGAGTGTTGCTTTTCACGCCATCAGCGCCGAGAAGAATGTCACAGTCAACGCGATAAGGTTTGCCTTCTCGCGGTGTCACGGTAAAGCTCGGTTTTGGCGAAAATGTGACTCCGGATATAGAACTTGAGAAGAAAAATGTGATGGCCTTATCCTTCTTACATCCGTGATACATACTCCCTGCTAAACTCGCTCGATGGCCGACCATATGCGGGTACCCGTATGCCTTCTGTACATAGTCAAGATTCACGTGGCCAAGTTCCTTGTTGGTAGAGCCTTCTACGATGCTGGTGTCAGCGCATTGGACGGCTTCGTCAGCAATTTGCTTCCAGACACCTAGCCGGTCGAGAATTCGGGCCATGTTGGGCGCGAGTTGGATCCCAGCGCCAACAAACCCGAGGTTGGAAGCCATTTCGAAGACGGCGATGTCTGTATGTCCAGCTTTGGCAAGGGCGAGAGCAGTAGCTAGGCCACCCATTCCTGAAGAAGGGTTAACCAAATGCGTTCATAGGTACTGGATGTCTGATGTTGAAGAATGAAAATAGACTTCATGTGGACGAGCAGCTTATTGGACAACGAGGTGTAAAAAAAGATGAAATGAGTCCCACCTGCTCCTACAATACATATCTTGATAGATGTGTCCCCATTCATGGCTCGGTTCACGCCGTTGGTTGCCATGTCGTACGAAGGAGAGCCAATTAAGTATGAATATCGTAAGTTAACGGGAATGGTGAAGGACAAGTCTTTGTAGGAGAGAATAAAAGTTTGGGTATCAATAGAATGTCAAGGGTGCCTCCCTGAGCCTTCTTATCTTTTTTTGTACGAAACCAAAATACCGCTCAGTCGTGGTGGTGTATCTGTGTCACCGATTCCGGAAGAAGGTTTTTCAGGCTTCCAAAAAATTCGCAGTCAGCGGCGCCAGAGACATGGATCACGGCAGCAGACCCGGCATCCTAAAATATGGCACTAAAAGTTTGGAAACATGGGCTGACTGTAATGCTTTTTCTTGGCTTCAGTCGCGGTTATTGACGCGTGGCGGAGATGTGTGAGGCTTGGGGTGTGAATGTCTGCAGATGCCGATCCCCACGGCCGGTCCCACAACCTTGCCCCGCACCTAGCACCACACAACGCTTGCAGCTGGAGCCCCACCCCGAGATATTCATCACGGCCAAACTTTGCGTTCCTGGCTGGGCTAGGTGGCTAGTCCTAGCCTCAACACCATGCCTCCTTCATCCTCGGCGTGCAGGCTAAGAAGCAGTTGCAATTAGATGATCGATTCGAGCTGCCTTTATACTCGGGTTTAATGTGACCAGGAATGTTGCCATGTAAACTGCCGTGGCGGGGATCCTAGTACGTCATGACCAGGAAGTGAAGACGGAAGCACATCAACTTGAGGCAAGGTCTGGGTCCCCTCATTTCAAAAGTCTATCGCTCGGCCTAATAAAATTAGGATGTTTTCGTTGTTAAAAAGTATGTTTCGACATGCCCCCAAGCTTCGTGGACGACTTGTTTCTTAGCCTCATCGCGACTTGGAAGGTAGAGTAATTGTGCGAAAGCAATTGGGATTTATGACAATGCGGTGGGATTCTCTGCTTAGCTATGGCGCGCTCTCCGGAGCCGTGGGTGCCCTCGATTGTTCCCCTTCTGCTATTCAGTCCACCCTCCCTGCAAATGCGAACGTCAACTTCGCGTACGTGCTCCCGGCAAATTCGACTTTTCAAGTTCCCCAGGGCGACACAGGATATCCGATTAAACCAGTCGGCCTTCCAGCTGTATGCGCTGTTTCAGTGCAGGTCTTGTCAGTCGGTAATACGACTTTTGGATTCGGCCTGTTTCTGCCTGAAAGTTGGAATGGAAGATTTCTGTACGTTGCTCTTTGGCTTGTTCTTTGGTACATACTAACTAAATCCAGGGCAGTCGGCAATGGAGGGTTTGCTGGCGGTATCAATTGGCTCGATATGGTGCGTAGACTTTTACGACCTGGCGTGCTCCCGGATTTGATATAGCTTAGGGACCCGGCACTCGATATGGCTTTGCGACAATGTCCACCGACACGGGTCACAATTCGTCCTCTGCAGATGGTGCTTGGGCATACAATCAACTAGACAAGCAGGAAAATTGGGGTCATCTTGCTATGCATGGCTCGGTCATGAATGCAAAAGCAATCACCACAGCATACTACGGAACGGCTATATCGTACAACTACTATGCTGGGTGTTCCACCGGCGGCCGTCAAGGATTGAAGGAAGCTGAGGCGTATCCGGATGATTTTGATGGTATCATTGCTGGAGCACCAGCGTGGTGGACTTCACATCTCCAACCGTGGACCGTGAAAGTAGCATTGTATAACCTTCCCGCCACCGCAGACTACCATATACCGCCTTCCCTTTTCCCAACAATTGGCGCCGAAGTGCTCAAGCAGTGCGATCCGCAAGATGGTTTGACCGACAATATCATCTCTGACCCCTATGGCTGCAATTTCAGGCCTGAGGAGTTGTTGTGTAGTGCTAATGTCACAAATGGAACAACTGCCGGATGTCTTACGTCACCTCAAATCTCCACCCTCTACAAGATCTACAGCGACTCCTTCGGGGAAAACCAAACCTCCCTCTTTCCGCACCTAAATTTCGGCAGCGAAGGTCAATGGCTTCTGCTTTCCGGAAATTCCCCTAACGCACTCGGCACTGATTTTGTTCGCTACTTCCTAGGCTTCGGCGCCGACTGGTCATTCTATAATTTCAACGAAGGCATTCAACGCCTCGCAGATCAAGTCAACCCTGGAAACGCCACGGTAAAATTCGACCTCTCAGCTTTCTATGCTAAAGGCGGCAAAATTCTGTCCTACCACGGTATGAGCGACGGTCTGATTCCCACTGGCTCGACTCCGTACTTCTACAACCACGTCTACCGCACGCTCAAACCTAAGGGTATCGACCTTGATAACTTCTACCGCTTCTTCCTTGTCCCAGGAATGGGTCATTGTTCTGGAACTTTTCCTAACATGAATGCGCCGTGGTATTTTGCCGGGCCTAATCAAGCGCAGGTTTTAGGACCAACTGTGTATAGCGTGCCGGGATTCATGGACAAGGAGCATGATACAATGCTGGCTATGATGGCGTGGGTGGAGAATGGAACTGCGCCGGAACAGATCGTTGGAACTAAGTATGTGAACGAGACAACGCATGACAAAGTAATGAGGCAGCGACCACTGTGTATGTATCCGAGGCAGGCGAGGTACAAGGGCACGGGTGATGAGAACGATGCAAATAGTTGGGAATGTAAGATGTTGTACTAGTACGACATAGATAAACATAGATAACAGGATTCCGTAACTTCAGTATTCGAGGTTTATAGGCGAGAGTTCCATGTTCATTCCAGTGTTATATTCGCCTCGGTGCCCAGAATTCATAGTTGTACTGAGTCGAGTAACGGCGGCACGTTATCTACCAAATGCGCAACAATAGCATCTGGGCCATTCTTGTCTTGCAATCCTTGGGGTATCGCATGCGTCCTGATCCCTGGTCGTTCTCGTTCTGCGACCTTTCTGATCTGCTCTGCTTGCTCGGTGGACCACATCGAGGCTGAGAACTACCAAATGTAAAGATGTGGGCGGATAAGATGATCTCGTAGTAGTGCTTACCAGAATGTTCGGCTGGTGCATTTGGACCGCCGGCCCAACTTCTTCGATAGCTATATTCGTGAGAACAGCGAGGAAAAGAGGGGCAGAAAGGGAGATATACTCTCACAGTTCGCGAGATACTGAATCCAATACTGGTCTTTCAATTCCTCGATCATCCGTCCAATTAATTTTTTCGCCCGTTCTGGGGCCGTGTTCACTGTTACCAGCTTGAATGGTCCCTTGCGCGTATTATCCATCACGAATTGAGTATGTAAAAGTACGACCTCGCGCAGGGAGACAAAAGTATTGGCGATCCTGCAACCCAGATTCCATATCCCAGGCCCAAGGCTCGATCCCTTTGTAAGGTGATTTATGGCGAGACTTTTCCGTCTCAACCTGTCAACTGCCATCCCCAAAACCCGAATCCGAGTCTCGGACCGCCTCATTTAACGGACTTGCAGGCATCGGGATTCGGCGTCCAGATCTGACTCCGAACGATATCGGCGCGTCGTGATTGACATGGGTAGTGGATTTGCAGACGCATGTAAGGCGGGGTAAACAGCTCCGAGCTAGAAGGGCTCAGCGAATCGATGGCGGGGCAGTTCCGCCTGAGCAACCTTCAGCTCATGATCGGATGAGCAGGATTTTTTCTTCTTTGCATTCATTACGAAGACTGTACAATAGGCTGTCGGATTGTTGTACGAAGCGCGATATAACGAAGCAAGACGCCGAAGTAAGTGCCGGGGAAGCAAGGCGAAACGAATTACAATCCGGTAGAAGGGGATTGAGGGATCAGGAGAGCCAAACGTGGTAAGATAGGTTTGACGATTTATAGGACCTTAGAAGCTTCATTCTACCTCTGAAACTTCGCATTACAGTCGAATCGTGGCAAAATTGCTTCAGATATTGAGCCCGTTCACGATGGAGCCAACCACGTCCTTCCAGAAAGATTCGTCAGCTTTCAGGAAACATTTCCATGACCTTTCCACCCCGCGCTTTACGACTGCATCCAAGCAAAACGTCTACGAGTATGCAAAGTTCTTTCAAGACAATCATGCACCGCCGTGGTTATTTGAGCTCACCCAGGCATGGGCTAAGCTGTACGAGGAGCCTTTTAAAGGGGTAACGGCAGACGGGACGGTTCGAGAAGGTGTTTTCAAAGCCCAAGATGAAGGCTTGAATATTGGGAAAATAGTAGACGCGGCCCAAATTTTTTTAGGGAAACTCGATGAAGAGCAGAAAGTGAAGGTATCGTATCCAATAAACGCGCGGGAATGGCGAGGTTGGTCAAATCCAGAGATACTGCTTCGACCCTTTGGGTTGAGGCTGGAAGAGGGTAGGCATGAACAACAAAGTACATTCAACTTAGCTACCTTGATGTTAACATGTGCCAGTGCCCGAACCTACAGCACTCGCCATCCTAGCCGTCATCGAATCATCTCTCTCACCAGAAGGTTACCAAAAAGCCCTTGCCGCAATGCGGATAAACCACTTCCTCGGCGAACTCGTTAAACTCCCACAAATCATGAACAAATACTCCTACAACTTCCTGCTCTTCGGCACACCATCGACATCCCCAGATTCACCCTGGGGCTGGCTACTTTACGGCCACCACCTCGACCTTTCTGTATTCTTCAAAGGCCCTCAAATCGTTATATCACCGACCTTCACAGGCGCAGAACCAAACATCATCGACGAAGGAGAATGGGCGGGCACCGAAATCCTCCGTAAAGAAGGGAACCTCGGCCTTCAACTCATGCAGAGCCTCACACCGGATCAGCAGGCAAAAGCGCAAACGTACAAACTCCTCAAAGACCCCGGCATGAAGCAAACCGGCGACCTCCTCACCGACCGCTGGAACAAAGACGACCAACGCCACGTCTGTGGCGCCTTCCGCGACAACAGAATCGTTCCCTACGAAGGAATCCTCGTCTCCACCTTCACATCCCCCCAACAGTCCCTCATCCTCTCTATCGCTGAGGAAATGCTTCTCTATCTCCCCGGCCCATCCCGCAAACTCCGCCTGGAGCAAATCAAAGCGCATTTCGCCGAAACGTATTGGAGTTGGATTGGAGGATATGGAGATGACGACGCGTTCTATTTTAGAGTCCAGAGTCCAGTCGTGGTACTGGAGTTTGATCATCATTCGGGCGTGTTTTTGGCGAATACGGAGCCCATGAAGTTTCATACGCATACGATTGTGAGAACCCCGAACGCGGGGGACTATGGGCAGGCTATTAGAGGGCCGGCGGAGAGGTTGTGACTATAATAATTGTGGACCAGGGTGCTTAAAAAGTCTGCTTTTTGAAATGGTACGAGACTTGTTCGTGTCCTCGTGCCACCCCCTGAGTTTGAGGGCCCTTTAGTATCACTACCTGTGCCTATTTTTCTAGTCGTAGCTTAGGGGATCCTTCGAGAATGCCGTTCTCGGACGCCGACAACGACTTTGGGATCACGAGGTATAGATGTACCAATCCGATCAATGAAAGCCAGACGAAGCTACGAGTTCGTAATTGTTGTCAGTACTGGCCCATACATATTCATCTGGCATCTGATGTCTATTTCTGCTCAGGTACGCGTTTGCACTTCCTACTATTTTCGGGAGGATCGAGAACAAGGCGAGATTGGACGCCGTCAAGTTCTATCGTGAGAGGTAAAACTTAACCTATTGCCTTTTTGGGGGCGCCTTTTCTATATGTACCGTTGCTGGCGATTTCCTGGAACTGTGCGTTGTGCCTGTCTACCTTTAAACCTTTTAGATGCGCCACTAACGGACCCTCTGGCGTGGTTGGTTACCTCGGTTTCGGGAGCTGTATCTTACTGCAAAATTAGTATCATATGCTTCGGGCCTCTGCATACGCATCATAGTGTGGCGGTTTATGGTGATGGCTTAAGCTACTTAAGAGGCTACTACTACTGCAATCTAGGCGCGGGTAGAGCTACTTTAGGCAGAAAAGGAACTTGCGAAATTACAAGCGAGTATCTAGGCGTACTCAAGAGCATAGACGATACCAGATTCCCTGAGAGAAGGCTTGAGAACTTTCGATAACTCACTCTCGTTCCTGTGTATATATTAGAACATCGTTACTTACTAACTACAATAATAGAACGACGTCAAGAACTTCTCTACATTAGTAACTGCGATTAGGACCAAATGCCGCATCATACCTACCTGCGCATTCCCGCTATATTTCTCAAATCTCAGCACACTATCAAAAGGATAAATTACATTATTTAAGTAAAAAATCTTAGATATGAGATGGAGACGGCAAGGAGTGCGTCGAAAGGCATGGATCATCAAAAATCCAAAACCACAAAGCTACAGTGTGTATTGCAAGTACAGGGGGGGTGATCTTCTTGCTGCAGTTATTGCATGCAACCTGTGGGTATTATGGAAAAACACGCTGAAATAGTTTGCCCGCTGACAAGTCGGCAGAGCTTCGAGCAATCGAACTGGATTGATACTTCTTAACGTGAGCAACGGCCCTACCGAATTGAAAGATAACACTCCCGGTTTGGTAAGAGAGTAGAGTTAATACACTGGACCCTTCTTAAAGTTAATCGCACCGCTTTGGTGCACGCTAGTGCCATGATGAGCAGCCTAGGCTCTATATAGGGAGGTCGCTTTTTGGAAAGGCTACCATTAGGGAATAGAATGCCTTACTAGGGATTTTAGGTTGGCACCACGGATATCAGGGACATAATAACCATCGAAATAGTTACATGCGGCCCCAATCTGTTCGCTGGTCAGCAAATATTCGACCGACGATGGCTCCACTAAGCCATCCTCAGAGAACCGGTTTCATCTCATTTCTTAATATACGTCTGATAAATCCCCTTTCCTCTTAACCATCAGAATGATGTCGACTGCTTTCCCATCTGGCTATCATCCGTAACCAGCATACTTTGGAGCCACAGATTATCATCCATATCCAAGAACTGGCCAAGGAATTCCAGATCCAATTCATTTCCTTGCATATCCGACTCGTCCTCGACACCCCTAGGCTCAGAACTCTCAATTGCCCGGAGATTTGCTGCATACCATTTCCTAATCTCCTTACCTAAAGGAGTAACCCTGATGAAGAACTCGGGAAGTTGGAATGGCAATTGATGTATTGTCTTTAAAGTGTTGTCCATGCTCTTTATTGAGCTATCGAGGACATCCATCATTTGTAATTCGTCCTCTACCATGCTGCCAGACCAACCTTCGCATCGAACGGAACTCAACTGGATACCGATGGACATCGCATGGTTTGACTGAGCAAATAAATGCGATGGCAGGTCCACCAAAACTAGCGGTTGAAGAGTCATTGGGAGGAATGTGTTGTAAAGCGCCTTGATGGATGCAAGGCATTTTCGAAGAATCTCTACTCTAGCCACGGGTGACTGAAGGAAAGCCTCCTCCAGGCCAGTTTCGAATAAGCAAATCCTCGCATAACAGTACTGGAGATACAACAGCTCTGTCCATTGTCAGCACCTTCCATCTCTCTTGTAGTGTCCTCTTCACCTGTTTTAGCAGCATGAGGAATACGCTCCCAACATTCAGCCAACTCTTCATCCCAGCGGTGGACATTGAAAGTTTGCGCATCGTGCCCCCGGGACTGGCCAAATGAGTTGTACGGTGATTCTAAGAAAAGGCCTTTTGCGCGCTGGCCTTGGATAAAAGAACTTCGGTTGGATTCGAATTTATCGAAAATATACTCCAGCCGTATCATATAGACCAAATTCTGGTCGGAAGGAATTCTGCTTGTTTCGAGGACAGCGCAGCACCTGTGGGCATATTCCGAGAAATTGAGCCCTTCTATGTTCATTGCGCACTTGGCCATACTACTTACGTCAGAAAAAGTGAGTCCGACCGAATTCTGAGCACCTACACTGAAGACAGATAGAGGCAACCGAGGAAAGCTCTTTTCTGGTCCAAATTGTGGTCTGTAAGCCCATCCATATTCACTTCGAAACCAGTCGCTGCATCCGTAGCTCGCTTCAACCGGCTCCGAGTGAAGGGTGATTTGTTAAGTTCCAGGTCGACAACCAACGACATGGCCAGGTGCATGAACATACACCTTTGGGGTGTGAGTTCGTACTGGAGGTGGTACCTGAGCACACCGAAACATTAGCCTCATGAATTTTGGGTTCATCGAAAGCCCAAGACCCCAAGAGTGAAAATATGGACAAGTTTGAGACCCAGGGCACATCACAGGGGCCTAACCAATATATCATTAAAAGCAGGCCTTGTAAAAGGTCCAGCGTCTTTTCTCCCCTTTGGACGACGGATGATGCCAGGGACTCTCGACTCTTGAGCACGAGGGCGCGCTGCCTTGCCCGGTCGCGGGTACAACCGAGCATTGCAATGACTAAGGCTAGGAAAGGCTTTTCTCTCGTAAACTTGCTAAAGGAAGTAATTTCATCGGGTAGGACGACGAATGGAAAGGCTGGCGCTAATGACTTCCGGTAATGTTTAATTCCCCGGTCAACTTCGTGCTCCGTGAAGGGCAATGGTAAGGTCAGAGCTGATTGCGAGAAAGAATCACCTGGGACCAGTTTCTCTGCGCTTCCGTGCTTTTGGACGTTTTCATCGATTTGAGTGTGTTTTCGCCGTTTTCGAGGCACTGCCACCCTCACAACACAATCTATTCCCTGGATGTTGCATCTTTTGCTGAATCAGTGGAACAGACCAATCAGAACACATCTCGAATTCGCACCTCTTGCATCTATCAGAACCGAGATCAGGTTCGCATTTCGCCTTAGCTGCAGCGCAGCCCTGACAAGCACCTCGCTTTGGTAGGGTATAAATGGGCTGCATCGAAGACGATGATGGTGATGAGAAAGACAAAGTGGTGCCTGCTGGTGGAAAGGGATGCAATGTCACCGGCAAATTTCTTAAGCTCCGGTAATTTATTTTTGTTACTGACTACCGAATTAGGAAATGGATCAAACCCTTTCTGAGCATAAGTGGTCCTTTCCTGTAATTGTGTTCTAATACAACGGCCAGAGCCACAATTCCCCGGTAATTTTCGATCCTTCTAAATGTTTTGCATATAAATTTGAGGCAACAAGTAAACATTCAGTCTCATCAGTCCTTTCCTTCATTTCTATCCAAGATGGTTTGGAAAAAGCGAATCACTCCTTCAAGAAGCCGGAATTCCGAGCCAAAAGAAGAAACTCAATACCTCACAGGATTACCCCTTGCTTTTCTCTTCTTTGCCGTATGCCTTTCTGCGATTTTAATTATCTTAGATGTGTCGGTTCTAAGCACGGTGAGTGTAGAATCCGCAAATCGGGCCGGCGACGCAGCTCATATATCCACCAGGCAATTCCCTCGATCACGACTTATTTCGGGACTGTGGAAGATGTTGACTGGTATGGGACGGCGTACCTTCTGTGCCTGTAAGAATAAAAGCAGCCTAGGACACCTCCTCGTGCTCAGCCATTACTTTATCCAGCTACACTCACTCACATTCCTTGGTTTCGTGCTGATGTCCAATATAGTTGCTCAATCCAACCGCTTACCGGTCAAATATATAACAACTTCCGAGTCAAGGTCAGGAAATCCTCTCCGCTCGCAGCACTGTGCCACTTCTAAATATTCGCAGATCACATACATTGTTTTCCTCCTCGTCTTCGAGCTTGGCAGTCTGATTTGCGCTCTTTCGAAATCTAGTAAATCTTTCATTGTCGGTCGGGCGGTCTCAGGCATCGGAGGCGCTGGAGTATTCAATGGAGGCATGGTCATTATCACAGCTGCGGCTCCTCCTGCGGTCAGGCCACAAATGCTCTCTATGTCTATGGCAATGGTTGGCATAGGAGGTGTGATAGGACCTGTAGTTGGAGGCGCCATCACCCAGCATTTGGGTTGGCGATGGTGTACGTTGAATTCACCTCACCAAACCGGCTTTGACTAATTAGTGGCATACATAGGTATGTGGATATTCCTGCCTCCAGGCGCTGTGGTTGCCATTATCTTCGTTTTCCAACCGATCCGAGATCAGATGAATAAGCCCAAAGCTATATCTGTTGTTCAAAACATGCACCACAAGTTCGATCTAATCGGCTTCGCCCTCTTTACACCGGCTTGCGTAATGTTCCTACTTGCTATGAGTTGGGGAGGTAGCAAGCTTGCGTGGAATTCCGCGACCGTAATTGGGCTGTTGTCTGCAGCGCCCGTCGTGGTAGGAATATTTGTTTGGTGGATATGGTATCGCCAAGACCGTGCCTTGATCCCGCCCGGAGTTATTATGAAACCTGTGGTCTTCTACGCCTGCCTAGTCTCTTTTCTTCAAGGTGGGGCATTTTTGATGACCCAATACTACCTCCCGCTGTGGTTTCAATCTGTCAAAGGTGCCGATCCGGAGAAAGGCGGGATAATGATGCTACCGACCTGTATTACACAGATTTTATCTAGTATTGGGTGCACTCTACTTCGTAAGTCGTCCCATGACCGTGTATATAAATTTTCACTCACGCTGGATAGTCCGCACAATACCATATGCTCCTGCTTGGGGTATCTTCGGAAACGTAGTGACAGCAGTTGGAACGGGCCTTATGACCACCTTCAACCCATCAACACCTGCGAGAAATTGGATTGGATATCAAATTCTAAACGGGGTTGGCCGAGGCATTGCTATGCAGATGGTAAGCCGCCGCTCGCTTTCCCTTTGCACCCCTACTTACAACTCACCTCGGCAGCCCGTCCTCGCCGTCCAAGCAGTTCTACCAACCACCGAAATCGCAATTGCCACAGCCAACATGCTTTTCTTCCAATATTTCGGTGGCGCAGTCGCAAATTGTATTGCCAAAACCATCTTTCTCAATGCACTTCGTTCTGCGCTTGGCCGATATGCTCCGAGCGTTGATGCGCAGCAGGTCATCCATGCGGGTGCTACGGAAGTGTTCCACGTTATTGATGCAAACAATTTAGAGGGCGTTGTAAAGGCGTATAACGAGGCTCTTGTCTTGACTTTCGTGAGTGCAAGGTCGATGCATTTCAAGTGGGTGTGGATGCTGACGATATGATAGTGGCTTCCGACAGCTGCGGCATGTATTGCATGTGCTTCCACTTTTGGCCTGGGGTGGCAGAAGGTGTCATTTAAGGGATTCAAGGGTCAAGATGGGGACAGCAGCTCCAGTGATATTTCGCCGAACTCGGGAACTGGGGAAAAAACTACTGCTGCGGCACGAGTAGTTGAGGCGTGAAGCATTCACTTTGTCCCCTCTAACATTATCCAGCTGGCTCCTTTGGCTTCTTGAGCACTCTTTTGCATCCCTCATCCGTAGCATTGGTGCTAGAAGACCCGTAAACATCAACGCATACGGCCGGATACACAAAATTATCTTTTACTTCTCGCCACTCTCTTATTTTACAAATATAGTACGCTTTTCTTTCCCTCTGTCATTACCGCCCTGTTTATCAAAGCCTTGGTGGCGCTTGTCGTTCGTTTTGTAATCAGATGTACTGTATAGAGCTCACAAATGGCGGCAACGCAGAGTTTCCACACTCGGATCTTAGGCAACACCATTCATAAGCCACAATGCGGCATGTGGCTGTTAGATGGAGATTGCCGCCAAGCGTTTCCTGTCTTTCGTGCGTAAACATTTTACGCTAAGCGTTTTCGGCAATCCTTCAGTTCCTGCAGTTCTTGATAAATGGTTCACGTCCCCAGTGCTGCACAACTCACTTTTCTAGAAATAACATTCATTATTCAAGTCCCCCTCCATTTGCAAGGGCGACTTCCTTGCGACGATAGGCTATGGCACGCCACAGACTCCCGAATATTTTCTACATCATCCAGGCTACCGACCTTAGTATTTCAACATGGCTGCTGCTAGGCGCATCTGCTCAATGTCTCTTGCTCACCTTCTTGCCAAGAAATATAGCGGTTCTCCCTGCAATAATCTTCTTCCTTTACCGCATCATCCGTACCTTCCTCGTGGCCTCTGGGAGACTCCCCAACCCACTTGCAGAGGGCGTAATTTATGGCCGCACCACTGCGCAATTTCCATCTTCAGACGGTAGCATCACCTCTAATCGCTCCAGCTCCACTATTGTCGTCCTCGTCCTCGGATTCTCTACAACCCACGCCGCTGGCCGCTTCACCCCAGGCAGCAAAACCACAGGCCAGTACTTCACTCGTATGTGGCGCCAAGCGGAATCCAAGCGCGAAGAGTACGGATACCTCGGAAACACGCCCGCCCTGACCGCTGAGCCCGATACCATTGAGCAGTATGGGACTCGAACTGGGGACGATAAGGGGGTGACGATGGTGTGGATTAGTTATTGGAAGAGTTTGGATGGGTTGCATCAGTTTGCGCATGAGGGCGCGCATTTGAAGGGGTGGAGGTGGTGGGAGAAGGAAGGTGGGGAGAAGTTGCCGCATGTTGGCGTTATGCATGAGGCGTATGAGGTTCCGGCGGGGAATTGGGAGAATATTTTTCATAATTTTAAGCCGTTTGCAATCGGTACGTTGTATGGCTTGAGAATCTAGTGGGGTACTGTGCTAATTTTTACTAGGCAATACAAAGTTTGCGTTAAAGCGACCCAGTACTGAACTTGAAGAAGCACAGGAGAAGGGGGAGACGGTCAAGTTTGTCAGTGGGCTCAGTGCAGTGCCAGCTAAGGCGAAGGAATGGAAGAGCATGGAGACTCGGATGGGGAGGCCACTGGGTAGCGTGAGTGCGAAGAAGTGAAGAGCTAGGAGGAAGTCTCAGATGTCCCCTGAGAACCGACTGAATCGAATAGACTGGCAGGTTTGAGTATAAGTGGCCTCGGAATCTGAAAACCGAAATCCAACAATTCAGTAGTGGTATGGAAGGGCAGGTAAATTCGATAGACGGAGGTGATCAAGGAGGGAATGCATTTCATGTTTCTGTCAGACGGGCGAACGAGCTGGTATATATGAGGGTATTATAGATCGCACGGCTTCACTAGTGTCGGAGACGGCTTAGCCCAATGAAAGACATAACTGTCGCCTTTGCAATCCACTCACGATATCGGCTCGCATCTTTAAAGTTTAATAACCCGATTAAGCCGAAAAGAGGCTGATTTATGTGTCCTACGCTCAGTTTCGTAGCTGTTAGCCTCATGATGTCGTTCACAAGATACCAAAGGCCAACAGTGGTGGTCAGTGTAAGAAGGGCAGATCGCGAAGTCCCCCGAACGGCAGTCATGACCCAGGCTCCTCCCAGGCATACTATGTCGCTGCCCCAACGCGCCTACCCGTATGATTAAAATCACCTGTGATTTGAAACGCACTCAGAAAGCCATGAGCATGTCTATTAATTGCGAGCCTTGGAGTTGATTAAGCACAGGTCTGCTTCACCGCTTCTCAGAACAAGCCTCCGCGTCTTCACCTTCGAACCCTCCTTCCTCGAAAATCTCTTACCCTCACTCTAGCACCCTCTGAACAGCTCACCACTAGAACCTAACCTATTATACTTAACTGCTCTGGATCTTCGACGTTGATGAGAGACATATGAAGCCACAGACTCTGACCTTCGCCCCTGCCCTGTGTTATGAAACTAATCCTCGCTATCCCCGCAGGCGCACTAGCTGCAACTGCTAGAGAGGTTGCAGGATTTGATTCAGGCAACTCAGGCACAGCGAGTGAGCAATTTTTTCCTAGGGGAACTTACTGCGTCCACTCAACCGAACATGCAGCTAGGAGCAATCACCTTTGTGATGAGAACCGGCACCTCACCTTCCTCCACCCTTGTTCCGGGTCCCGCGACATGAAGATCTGTGACTACGGTGTGCTTGTTGCGAATTGCAACACACATGAAAAGCCCCCTCGGGGATTCCATTTGTGGCAGGGCCAGCGACGATCCCCGCAGGCAACTACTGCACTGGAAATAAACTCGAAATCTGCGATCAGCATGATAAAAACCAGTCTATTCAAATGCTATGATTCCACAGACTCATCTGGTACACGCGTTGCATACAACAGGTTATCACGAGAGGTAGAGGGCATGGATGATCCTATGCTACTAGGAGCAGCAACCCCATCTCTAGAAACGACATCCTAATCTGCGGTCAGAACCACTACAATCACCTATTTTTAGCATTGCTTCGTTGAGGTTGACTCACCTTTGAAGCCCTTAGCATAATGCGGACTTCACTTCGAGACTCAGAGGCCTCGGAAAATCCCGAGCTAGAGGAGCAGCCTCATTCCCATATTCCGTAGCTACGGCACTGCCCTGAGAGACGGCAAGACACCGCCCTTGCGATGTGTGCACGTCGGAAGCTAGCAGGTGCATAAAAAATAATAATATCTGAATCTGTAAGCAACAAGGGTATTTAAGGAGGGACTCAACCTGCCGTGAGCAACATTTACATGGAGTCTTCTCTCCAGTCTAATTGTGTCGAATCTAAGCCAAGTCTCTCCGGAATGTGGCCCTGTTGTTAGCTACTGATTAGCAGGAACATCGCCATTTGCGACCTGAACTACAACTTGATCGCCATCAACACCTGCCCACAATAGTGTACCACGGCAAAGATAGACCCAGGATCCCAATTGCCTAGTGCAAAGTATAGTAGCAGCATATGAAGCTCGGGACGGTAGACTAGCCCTCATAGCTTGACTGACCCCGGGCTAAAGTGCGCGCCCGGTACTATCTTCAGCACCGGCGCCTCGCGATGACCCTAGGTGGAAATGAACGCCCACTACTGCATAGTACACTGATAACAAGATTCAGATTTACGACCAAAATCCCCGGATACGGTCTATGGCCCATTGACCAGGCGATTCTAGATAGTTCTGGTATTCTCATCGACCACTGCCTTTACGCGTGTGGCCTCGATTTCGGGGTTGGAGGGGTATGGTGCATGAGGCGTCGAAGGGGAATGATTCGTCTCCAGGTGCTTTCAGATGTTCGGGATGTGACATTCTGGGTGGCTTGTTAACCTTGCGCACCCATTCCGAAGTCGGGCGAGATGGCTTTTCATGGGCTTTCACATCTTCAAGTGAATAAGTTAGGCCTCAATTTTATTTTCGATTCGGAGTGATATGGTTGGTGGGTGTGGGCAACCTTACTCAACTCCATTACAATCACATATGACTCCACCTTGTGTGACTGATATCCTTGCACCCAGTGACATCTATTTGCGTAAGTAAATCCATTACCTTTCTCCCAAATACTACTGTAAAAGGGAGGCAACCTTTGAATAAGACGAACATAACTCACCCTCTTCGCGGCAGTGTCTCTCTTGTCGAATCACAGACACTTCGCAACACTCCTGGAAAAGGAGATCGCGATCACTATCAATTTGCCGCGTCGTGTTTGTTGGCGCCCCTGAGGAGGCGGGACGGGGGGTTCGTATGTGGTTTGAGCCTTCTGCCGAAAATAGTGCACTACACATGGAGTCCTCGTCCATCATTGCCCGGAGAGGGAATTCATGTTGATGTAAGCCGCCATCACACTTCACCCTTCAGATGTCGCGCGGATGAATAGAAAGAAAATCTTGCGCGAATGAGCTTCATCGCTGATTCGCTGGATGTGGACCTCCGACCTCGAAGGGCGGCTAATATGCTAGACTCTTACAGTGACCAACCTCAACGGTTCGGCACCATGTAGGTCCAGAAGAACCTGTGAATCCATTTAGGATGCCTCGTGAGTTAAGAATATGGCAAACGGGAACGGTAGGTGTATCATCAGTGCGCGAGCTAGCGTTGCCGGTGTCGAAGGTATCGCGGGGAAATTGCGAATCCCCTGCGAAGCAATCGTGATGTCTTCTCACCCGATCCGATATCATCATGCCTTCGGAGTTATTGGACAACACTCGGCCTCAGATATCTGTGAACCTGGGATTGGTGAAGTAATCCAGCGAGCAACACGAGATGCTCACCAGTGAAGCAACGCTTGGTCGTTGTCGCCCGTTGCCACCTTCTGTGGTGACCTGATACGCGTTGTGCCCAGCTCGCCGCCCTTACCCCTCACTCTTCATATGAACTCAATGCAGAGTAGAATCGATAGACAAGAAAAAGCACGCTCTTTGTCGACTTTACAAAGTTGATTCGCTCGAAGCACGAGGCTGTCCAGAAGAATTATTCGCAACCAACTGGTCATTGGCTGGAATCGAGATTGGCTAAACCGCATTCGTCAGCCGCAGCTTTTTGGGGGTTATGAAGTGCATGCAATCCCGACCAACTCAGGCAAGAATTGCATCACCCCATATTTATGGAACGCAGGAATGGACCCAATTCCTAAGTCCCAACAAAGTCCAGATGTCAATTTTTATCTCGTCACGTTCTCCTGCCCAGCTCGCGTGACGATTCGACGGATCTGAAATGCGGCCCTTGCGCTAAATCTTGCCAATCTTGGGTGTAAGCGACGCCATTGGCTCAGCGCCGCAACCCGAGCATATCGCCCCCTGCACCACCTGTCCAACGACCATTGACATCTTCTTGGTGCCTGCATCTGGCCCACAATGCGTGCGTTGAATTGGTTAAGAAAAAGCAGTTGTCGACATTGAGCGAGCTGACAAAGTTCTATCGGGTACCTGGGCCCCGGACCGGTCCAACGTGTGTCATCCAGTCCCGCCCACAAATCACACTCCAGCACTATCCGTCACATCCTGGGGAGCCCGATAGGTGACTTGTGTGGTTTGCCGTTGTGGAGACATTCCTCTGGTGGCTTGAGGGGGAAGCTGGGGGGGTAAGCGGGTATAATTGTTCAGTGTCGCTCGTCGGACGTTGGCCAAACGTCCCTGAAGGCAATGCTCGCATTGTCATTGTTACTCTCAAAGGAGAGTTGATCGAGGCAAAAGCTATCCATCATGAGGTTCCCTCCTCTTTCGGTGTTGCTGTCGTGGCCGAAACCGAATTATGTTGATCCAGTTACGAGAGGGCCGGGTTTGATCATCGTCGAGCTTTGCATTTTGCCTTTCGCTTTGCTCTGCGTGGGTCTGCGGCTTTGGGTGCGGATAGGATGGCTGCATAAGAGTTGGTGGGATGATTGGCTTATGGTTGTCGCGATGGTGAGTTCTCAGTCAATTACATTTGAGTCAATCTGTCTAATTGTCATCCAGCTCTTCTCCTGTGGAACAACGGCCTTGGTCATCATGGGTAAGTTTCCTCGGTACTACGGCCTAAATGCGAACTGACCGAGTGTAAAGCGACTCAACTATATGGCTGGAACATCCACGTTTGGGATCTGACCATCCATCAGATGGAGACAGGACGAAAGGTGAGTGCGCTCCACTCGGAACCACTGCTCGACATGACCTTACCTGACCCTCACAGGCTTCAATGGCAGGACAAACTCTCTTCGTGCTGGCCTCAAGTTTTGTGAAGCTATCCATCCTTACCAGCTACTTTCGCATTGCTCCTGAGAAGTCGACATTCCGAAGGGTGATTTGGGTTGTCTTTGGCATCGTCATGGCCGCTTTCCTAGTCTTCCTCATCATGTTGTGGACGCAGTGCATGTCAGTTCATTCACCCATTTCATCGGCCCATCTAAGCTGACCTGTATGCGTAGTCCGATTAGCAGCTATTGGACCTTCACTGCTGACCACCGCGACTGCATACCGGAAGGTCCTCCGCTCGTCGCCCAGACAGTCATCAATGTCGCTACTGACTTCATGATATACGTCCTTCCCATGCCAACGCTCTTCAAACTCAGTCTTCCAACCTCGCAACGCATCGGTCTGATGATCCTCTTTGGCGTCGGTGGAGTCATTGTCGTCGCAGGCAGCTTCCGAGCGTACTGGGTGCACTACGTCCTCTTCGAGACCTACGATGTGACTTGGGAGGGGTTCCAAATTTGGGTATGGACGGCCGTCGAAACCAACGTTGGGGTCATATGTGGATGCATTCCCTCCTTGAAGCCGCTCCTGTTCCCGGCACGTGCTCGAGCTGGAGGATCCCGAGGGTCAAAGCCGTATGGATCAGGACACAGCGCCCGGAAACCGCCGCCCCGGCCAGCTGAACACGAACTCGAGACCCGTGGCCTGACGTCAAAGGAGGCAAAAGACCCAAGCATTGCCGTCCGAGGCCTGCCCATAGGCCCTCCGCGCCCGATGAGCGACGGAACCGCGAAGAGTAGCATGTATGAGACTGATTTGGAACAACAGAAAACGTACATGTACTAAGCGTACTGAGCTTGACTTTCTTTCGGAATTCCTTTCCTTACCCGCTAATAGCGTACTGTCGTGCGCGTTGTGTAGATAGCATTTTTCTTTTGATCAGCTCTCCTCCAACCTCACTTACTCATTCTTCTTATCTTCCAATGTCAAGGCCTCGCACTGATGGTCGTAGTTCGAGACTAGAATTCCAGCCGTATTGGCTCCGGCTTCAATGCCATCGTCTCCTTCAGTCTTGGTCAGGGGCAGCGTGACTGCCCACCCTTCATTTCTTTCTTCATCAGACGTCAATCAAACTGTTAACAAACGTTTTTTGTCCTGCGGCCCGTGCCCAATGATGTCAGTGCCGTCACCGCTGTGTCTAGAGCACTTTCTCCGTTGCCTCATGAGACGAGTGGAGGAAATGAACCATGGCTCCAGGGTTCGGATAAATCGCCGAGGGTCAATCAAGAAGCAACGGGCACTATGCTAAATCCCACACAGACCGCGGAGGGGATTGCGATATAGCAGAAATGCTCTTTTTAAGAGTCAAGGCACAATGCCGGTTGCTAGGAGACGGTTGGGGAGGTTCCAAGCGGGCACGGGGGGTCCAGCGACCAGCGACGTGGCTTTGGGTCGCGAAACGCGCTCGGCCTCGGCTACCCACGCCACCGGAGCTTTTCCTCCAGTCCTTCGCCTTCGATGCATCATGCAGGCAAGCTGCATCATGACATCTGCGCCAGCAATTCTTCTGCATGCCAGTTGTTCACCGCCTACCAACGTCGCCGAATTCGATTTTTTTACATCGGCTTTGCCATACGCTGTCCCAGCTTATTCCTGCTGGGAACATCCCAAGGCCAAGATGCAGGTCCATCCATGCCCGTCAAACGTCATGATCTGAGCGCACTGGCAAAACTTGAGGCCTCTGAAATAACGCACAGTCCCATAACATAGTTCCTGTTTTGCCATGTCGTCCGAGCGGGAGGGCTGGCTGGAACGGTTGGAACCGCGGTGCTGGCCATGCTGGGCGTCGTCGAGACGGCAGACACCACACGGCTAGGCTAGCTTCGCTCAGCATCCGATTCATTGCCAACGCATAGTGCAGACTGTGGACAATTCACTTGCGCGAGCTGGATACGAGCGGGCCAGCAGCGTCCGGCAGCGAGCATTTATAAAGACAATGCACTGGTACCTTGCATGAGGATGCTTTTCGGTCCCAGAGAAATTCTTTGTTACCATAGCAGGATGAGATACAGCTTCACATTATTTTGCTTGCTTGTGTCAGCGATACTGTTCGAGCTGATAGAAGCCCACCCTACGAAACCAAAACTTCCTGTGTGCATTGTTGGCGCCGGTCCGGCGGGACTAACGGCGGCAAACAGACTCGAGAAGAAAGGATTGAAGGCGGTACTATTCGAAAAGCAGCCTGAAATTGGTGGGAAATGCCAGAGTTACTATGACGAGAAGTGGGTTCGACTTTTTTTCCCTCGCAACTTCTTTTTGTGCAGTGGCTGACCTGCATACGAGGGGCATTTTCCATCCTCTTGGAGCCGCCTTCTACTCCAACGCTACCTATCCCGAAACCCTGAAAGTTATCAACGCGACTGGAGTTTTGTCGGAACCTTTTGCGCTTGCGGGGAGCAGAGAACAGTTCAGGTTCAATGCCACGACGGGAGTAATTGAACCTTTGCCTGGGCTATCCAATCCGTTCCTGTTGCAACTGTTTACGGAAATACCGAGGTATGCGGTGCTTTGGCAGAAGGTCTTTGCACCGCTTAGCGTGCCAAGCTTCAAGGTACGATACACTAAATTCCGGGGTTGCGTGGATGCTGATATCGGAATTACAGAAAGGCGTGCCTACGGAACTGACGGTACCCGGTGTCGAATGGTTTCACAACAACAACTTTACTGCCCTCCCAATTCTACTCGTCAATCCGCTGGCACTCTATGGCTACGGAGATATACGAGTCGTGCCAGCTGTAAGTTGGGGCTGAAACAGGAATTGTGTCGCATACTGACAACAAATAGTTGTACATCCTCCAATACATAACCCCAGATATCTTGACTGCTTTTATCGGCCAACATAACGTGTACTACACTGGTGAGTATTTCCGTCCTGATTTCCACGTATAGTATAGGTCCTTACCAAATCTTGCAGATTTCCACAAAGTCTGGCTCCAATGGGCACAGAAATCCATCAAAAGCCCAGTCTACACTAACACAGAAGTCACCTGCATTGAGCGATCTGGTTCAAATCCCGTAATTCGATACCACCAACAGTACGGCCATTTCCGCAAATGGGGCCACCAAGACTGCTCGTCCATTATCATGGCCTTCCCACCGACCCTTCACAACCTAAAAAAGAGTGGACTAGACTACACGGAAGATGAAGAAGAAGTCTTTGGCGCCGTCGGTGTCCACAATTACTTCTCCTCAGCCGTGAACCTTAAACTCCCCTTCGGCGTATCCTACATCGCAAACTCAACCTCTCCAACCGTCCCACCTCCCAATGAAGGTGAACCAGTCGCCGTCCTGCGGCTCTCTCCAAACTCCACCATCTCGACGTCCTGGTCTTGGGGTCCGTATCGGGAATTCGAATCGAAGAAAGCAGCACACGATCTTCTCAAAACAACGCTGTCTAAAATAAATAAAGACCCAAGAGATGTATCCGCGATGTCAGTGCCGCTGAACAAGGACGATGTTCGGGTGTTTCGAAAGTGGGATTACTTCCCGCATTTTGATTCCGAACAATTGAAGTGCGGGTGGTATGAGAAGCTGAATAAGTTGCAGGGGTGTAAGAAAACGTATTGGGCGAGTGGGTTGAATGGGATGGAGACGGTTGAGTGGGCGATTAGAGCGGGAATTGATGTTGTGGATTCCTACTTTTGATGGCGCCTGTCAGACTCTACGAAGAAAAGGATAGGCAGAAAGAAGAGAGCTGGGTTGGTAAAGTACGATGGGCTGGGCTGGCCATTTGTTTTTCTGCGATTTTCTTTCTGCGTTTGCGATACCCCCGTTGTATGAGTATGGATGGATGGGTATTGTGAGTGTTCTAGCGTTTTTTCGGACATCACGATTATGACCTCGAACGCTTTATGACGGACGGGACGGAAGGTTCATGATCACGGCTTGGATGGCAACGAGGTTTATGACAGCAAGACACGGCTGTACTCTTAGAGCGGTAGATAGATAATGCGTCTCGGGCTGTATGTAGTAATGTCTTTGACGAGACGAGCAATGTAATTAGTCTCCCTCCCCAACATACTTCCCATCACGGTTGTCTTTACGTCCTTCCTCAACCCACCGCACTGAGGAGTTTTCCAGGGTTGGATGTCTTCCCCGCACTTCGTCCTTCGGTATCATCTGCCCATCCTCCTGCCTAATTTAGCTAGATGGCGATCACGGATAGTCGCACTGCATGGCAGCCGCATGCCGGGTTGTGGGGGCGGATCGAAGGTGCAGAAAACGGTACCCGAGCCCCGTTCATGGACATCCCAGCTTCTTCTCCGTCCGAGCCTAGATCTAGACTTCACTTGATCCACGATTTCCATGTTGTCCATTTCGAGTTTCGCTGTTGCTGGGTTACTGGAACTGGGGTTGACGCAAATGATAGTACACAGGGAGCAGGATTTAAAAGGAGTGGGTTTGGGGCTGCCGTTGTACAATGATCTTGCGCATCAGGTGTGTTACTTTCTTTTTCCCACCTCAATACCCCACAAGTCTAGTATATATATCCTCAGGTCAGCCAATAAACCAACAAAACAAAATCCCAGCGCTATACCGTCAACGTAACAGTCGGAACACCACCACAGCCCTACTCGCTCACTATCGACACGGGGAGTAGCGATTTCTGGCTCCCTCTCTGGAACTCCTCTGGCTGCGCACCGGACTGTCCAACCGGAACTTTCGATCCGCGGGATTCGTCGACAGTGAAGGATACAGGGTTGCCATATAATGCTACCTTTGGGCTTACTCCTGATTTGCGAGTAGTAGGAAGGTATTATAATGAGACGGTAACGATTGGAGGTATAGTTATACCGGATATGACTGTAAGTCCCATTCCCCTCTCAAGTGCATACCCCCAATACGGAAAAAGGCAAGACTTACGAGGCGGGCTGATAGCTCGGCGTCGGAGATGTGCCCCCAACCCTCTTCAATGCCGGGTTGTTCGGCATCATCGGCCTAAGCTCCCCCTTGGGTGAAGCCATCTATTCCAACCCATCCAGTCCGAAATTCCACCAAGCACACGCGACATTCCCGACACTGTGGCAACAACTGTACCTCCATGGCTACATCTCAAAACGCCTATTCAGTATCTGGTTAAACAAACAATCCGCTACCACAGGGAGTATTTTATTCGGCGGGATCGACTCAACAAAATACTCAGGCGAGATAAAGACAGTGCCAGTAGTAAAGTCTGCGTCTGGTCCGATTAAGCTATTTACGGGCTGGGCTGTGAATCTTACGTCTGTAACCCGGAGGACTAGGGATGCTGGAGGAGTTGAAGATTTGATGGGAGGGAATCTCACAGTGACTACGGTGCTCGACTCTGGGTCCCCGAATATGTATCTCCCGACTTCTCTTTACGCGTCTATCACTACGCCTCTCCACCCTGAGATGTACAACAACACTCCTTATGTACTCTGCTCGCTGCGAATTTCTCTCGCTACTACTTTCCTTACTTTTGGTTTTGGCAGTCCGGGCTATGCCGGTCCGGAGATCGCAGTCCCGTATGAAGAAATTATTTATCCGTTCGGCTTTCCGGCAAATGCGGGGGAGGTCAGAGATGGGGATGGAAAAGAGTTGTGCTATTTAGGCGTAATTGCAACAGAGGGGCCAGTTTTTTTGTTAGGGGATACGTTAATTAGGAGTGCTTATGTGGTTTATGATGTTGATGGATTGAAGATTGGAATGGCGCAAGCGAGGTATGGGGATGAAAGTTGAAGAGATGGGAGATAGGAGAACGAGTCGTGATAGAGGAATGGAGTTGAGGACAGCCTTCTCTTAGACCTCGGGTGATCTTAAATGAAATGAAAGGGTATTTTAATATTTAGAGCGTAGATATTGTCCTTCTAACCTCAGCAACTCATAATTATGGCCTTTGCCAATCTCCCGGAATTCGCCCTCAATTCCAAACCAACCCTGCAGGCCTCGATATCAACCTGAATATGACACCATCTTCGCCACCCTTACTCACCCTTACTTAACCTTAGCACTGGTAAATTATTAACAAGTGGCTGCGAGTCTGCTGTTCAAGTCATTCAGATCAGTCCCAAAGCACAACCGGCTCGGAGCCTCTCAGCAGACCTGCGAGGGTCATCGACGTGCACAACAATTGCGTTGTGGAAACCCCTTCCCGCGATTATCTAGCTTTGAGCTATCCATAGACCCAGAAAAAGTTGCCTAACCCCTTGCAAACCGCAAATAGGTCTAACACATCCTCTCTACAAGAGCCTGGAGCTTTATTCTGGATTGTTTTGCCCAAAAAATAGTTGATGCCCTTTACGCTAGCAAGCAGATCAGCCACCGATATCTCTGGATTGATGCTCTTTGCATTATTCAAGACGATAAGGATGATGTCACGGAGTAGATTGCCCGTATGAGTGATATCTACTCAGGGGCGTTTTTGACTATTATTGTGGCCTGGGGCAATAGTGCAGATTCAGTTCTACCGGGGGTATTGAAGGGTCCGCCACGAACTCAGCATATTGCAAGATTCGACAGATCAGAACTAGTTGAGATCCTTCCTTTATTTAGTGGCGTGTGCCAACACTCGACTTGGAGGAGTCGCGACTAGACGTAAGTTAACTCTCAAGAATCCAGGTTTCCCATCGCTTCTAAGATTTTACTAATCTATACGATCAGTCACAAAATGACTTTTGCCTAAACAGCGACCCTATTTCACAAACGTCCAAGATAATTGGAATGCAAGACTGTGTTGCACAACGAGAATTTCATAAGTGATGAAACTCAAAGATAGCAATATAACGTCCGGGGAATCCGGGTCACAGGGTGTCGTCAAGTTCCGCGAGCTTGACATGCCTCAGCGCTGGGCTCGATTTAGAGATATCTTGGGGAGCTGTACATGTCGGGGGTTCTCATTCAACAATGATATCTTCAATGCGTGTACCGGGATTTATGATGCCGTTTATGGAAGAACTGCGAAGCGATCCACCTTTAGTTTACCGGAGCCCGATCTCATTGAGGCCCTTCACTGGCACTCTCATCAATACACGGCGAAAGTCCCTAAGCTTCAAGATTTTGTTCTGCCTTCTTGGTTCTAGGTATCATGTAGCTTGGATGGAATGGTGCAGGGGAAGCAGGGTGACTTTCACACCAAGTGTCAAGAGATGATGAAGGCCCGAGTACTAGCGCCCTCATGGTGTTTCAGGTATGTCTTAATGGAAATCAAGGCTGGGCACAGACCGAGATCTTAGCCCGGACGGGGAAACGGACCCAATACCTGCAAAAGTTTAATAAGTATTTCTATCACGTCGAGTAGAAAAACTACTTACCAACGAGAACATACACAGGTCCAGCTTCCGGAAATTAAACATCTGGTTTTCTCCGGCTGCCACTTCACTTCCCCACTTTCAAGGCTGAGGAGCTGGGAGCTTTGATGGCATTCTCAAACGCACCGCCACGAATCCTCCAGCGAGGACGAGAGATGCGATTCTTTTCGACCACAACTGTGCAGATCCCTACTTTGTACCTCACCCAGCTGATTGGGTATGTGGAAAGGCGAGCGAGTGAGTAGCGCAGAAAAGAAGCTTATTCGAATTAAGGCTTACTGACTTGCAGGGCCTAGCATCGCGGGGACGGACCATGCCGCCCAAGAGAGGTAAGATTGGGTGTTTCACACCGCTTTGAAACGTCTGTTGAGGGCCTCTGCTGGAAGCGTTTGGGCCACGGGTATTCGTTAAATCATTAGAATTTGCTGGTGTTAGTTTGTGGTACTACTGGAAGTAGGGTTGAGATGAGTGCCTATTTATAGAACCAGGGTCGAAGAAATTTGGGTTGTTCTCTGCGAATATTCCGTCATGTGTCCAGAATTCCAGCAGTAAAGCGGTCTGGTGCAGTGCACGATTCTGCACTAGATTTAACCTAACATAAAGCCAACCGCAATGCGCAAGATGTGTTGTGCTGACCTGCAAAAAGTGGTTTCACCGCACAATTCAGGGCGAGCTGAATCGGGACTTGACTTTCGCTGACTGTATCTCGGGCTTGGCGGCGCACCTCCCATATGAATTTTGGCTTGATTCGCTCATTAGCCGTATAAGGCGATCCGAAGAAATTTCTTTGATTGGCCCTTGGCTTCGAAAATGCAGGAATTCGACCATGACAAGAAGTGCTTCTCGGAAATGTCGGACGCCGTTGGAAATGTATATACATCTCACGTGATGACTGGGCGAATCCCTGCAACGCAAGTAAGCTGACCGTTTTTGTATACTTTGGACAACAATGCAAAGTGGAGTTTGACGAGATATCATAGGTTTGGAAGTATAGTTAAGGGAGATAAATAGGGTGCGATTGCCCAGCTTGGGAGACATCATTCACTATCACAGTTCAACCAACAGGCCAAACCACCAAACCTCCAAACACATCTTCTATCAAACACACTTTTGACGGATACTCTACCCTCACACAACTATTCATTCTGACTTCAAAAATCATCACCAAAACCCCACTTCAATCAACCAACCAACCAACTCCCCAACCAAACCACAACCCATCAAAATGCCCTTCACCATCGCTGCCTTCATCACCCGCCGTCCCGAAGTCTCCCCCACCGACTTCGCTACCTACTACGACACCAAGCAAATCCCGCTCATGAAGTCTCTCGTCGGCGACGACATGCCGTCCACTGTGACCCGCTACTACGTCAAGCGCGCGAAATCTGACCCCAGTGGCCTCACACCGCTGGCTTTCGGCGGCAACGGCACCTTTGACTACGACCTCGTGTCATTCTTCAAGTTCGCGGATGAGCCAGCAGCGCTGAAGTTCCAACAGAAGTATGCGGATAAGGAGATTGAGAAGCAGTTGGCGATGGATTTGGGGGAGTACGCGCAGTTGGATAAGTTCAAGGTTATTGCTTTCCAGGATCCTATTGAGAACTAAGAGATGGCTTTGAAATGCGGAGTATTTGAAGGACGGATTGGAATTTTTTCGAAGACGCGTTTAGGTTTAGGGGTAATTAGATGGCTTGGACATGCATGGGTGCGATCGATTTTGTGATATCCGAAACCGAATGAAGTTTGGCATTCTCAATACAAAAGAATCTTGTTGTTTAGTTATATGGATATAAAAGATATGAAGTGACAGTCCTGGTTCAAACACCAATCCCTTGCATGTGCTTCCCAATAACTGAGACCGAGCCTATGATAACGACTTGTTTCCATGTTCACTCAACCAAATCCTGTCACCAACCCGAAGCTGCTTAAGCACCTAGCCTTTAGCTTGATGATCCCTGATCCATCCCGTCGTCATATCAAATTGTCCTTGAATCTAATTTCTCCCCTTTACGTTGCAGGTTCTAGACTGCGCCTTGACATTCTTTCACCGGAGCAGGCTCCGTCGCTTCTGCTTACTTGACTCTTGTGATCAAAGTTGTCGGGAATGCCAAGGAAGCGCTGATGGTAGATATTGCTGGAGGGGTCGGAATTGGTACAGACGTTGGGATTGCTGGAGTCGTGAGAATCGGACCAGATGGAACTGAAAAGCTAGGGAGAGGACTGGTCGGTGCTGGCAGGCTGAATGAAACGGGGATAGGGCGCGAGAACGGTGGGAATAGGATGCTACCTGTTGGCCTTACAAAAGAGAAAGTGAAGCCACTGGGAAGCGAAAAAGAGGGGAACGAAAAGCTGCCAGTTGGTCTTGGAAAACCTCCACTGGGGATAGAGAAGGGGCCTGTAGGTCGAGGAACTCCAGATGGCCAAACAAATGATCCAGTGGGGCGAGGGAAGCCAGTAAATCCTGATGGAAGGGAGAAACTAAAGCCTCCAGTAGGCCGAGGGCCAGTTGGACGAGGAAAGCTGAAGCTGCCCGTAGGAAGCGGGGGGCTGAAGCTGCTACCGGGTATGGCGAGACTAATGCTGCTTGGAAGGGCGAGACTAAGGCTCGTGGCTGGAATAGGGAAATCCAATGTTTCGGTGGGTATAGAAGGAATACTAATAGAAGGGAAACTGATTCGAGTTGACAGCGAAGATACCTGCGACGCAGGGTTCTTCGGCGTAGTGTAGAGACCGGAGAGAGAAATCCTCGGTGTGCTTGAGACAGTTATGCCCGGGAAAGTCGTGGCGAGCGAGGGAGTCAATACGCTGCCGTTGGCGAATGTAGAAGGCGGGAAAGGAAGGATCGGAATAGTCGTTGGGAGTGTGAAGCTTGGTAGCGTGGCACTTGATGAGATAACTGGCAGTAAGATGTCAGAGTTCGTTCGAGGCAATCGACGAGTGTGTACGTACTCTGCCCAGTTGCAAAGCCAGAGAAGGCGATGCAGAAGGCGATTGTGCTACGAATGAGTCTCATAATGTTCGCAATCGAGATGTCACAAGCTCTAAATGGAGAACCGTTAATCTCAGTCAGAATCGAGATTCAGGTATTAAGGTTTGAAAAGAGGATCAGCGAGCTTCTGACTAGGAAGCGCCTTCTATATGATGGGTTGCATTGCAGTACCTCAACGAAGAATCCGGTTTCTGCTGAGGTAAATAGAAGGGGGGATCGGGGTAACAGAGTCACTAAACCCACCGGAACTGACATCACGCATAACCCACCGGTTGGGATTCCTAGAGCCCTTGATCCTTGTGCTGAACTGCATGCGGCAATAGTGAGTGGTGGGATAATCAATTGGACTGGTCTTAGGGGATTGATAAGATATATTGGGGGTAGAATGATGCAGGAAGTCGGGAGGGAAATCTGAGAATCCGCCATCAGAGTAAGTGCTGGTCACGTCACATTCATATAGATGTGATCAAGTTTGGATCGGGACTGGATATGGGGAAAATGTAGGTACAAGGGAGAATAACTTAAACAGGGCAGGGGAATAGAGCCTATTCTATTGCACACATTGAAAGTAGATGTGCAAGCTGTCAGTGTATCTGCGCGTTTTGGTGTTTGAATGGCTGCTACACAGGGACGTCCTTATTTGCTTCTCTATATCATGTTCCTAAGATCTGCGGCAGTGCAAAGTAACGAAGACAAGACAAGGGCGATGCCAACGCCACTTGAGGCGCTCAACTGGTACATATTTTCTTTAACCGACCAATGAACCCCGAGCGCAATATTATGCGAGATCGTGAAATTCTGTGCATCTCCACATTTTTGAATAGTTGGGGCAGGACAAGGGTGTCACAATAAAGCTATGTAGCTGGGGTTTTGATTGAATTTGGACAATTTGACGTCATTCACAATTCGGCAAATTCTATGCTTGTTGAGGAGTCCCTCCTAACATGGCATTTTTAAGCTGACGACTGACTTAGGGCCATTGTAGTTGCGGGCAGATGGGAGCATGGAGGACAGAAGGATCGGCGGTGATATTGTTGAGGCCTGAATGAGTCGTTGCAGGGTGCCGATATGGTTACTCTTATGGGTTTGGAATCAGCTTCACGAATCGCTCGTCAGTGTACACTAAAATAATCCGTCGCAGATCGCCACTTCAGTACCAATTTGCGAAACTGCATTTCTGGCTAATATGAAAACCCCAATCCTCAACACACTACCTTGGCCTCATGCCATTGAAACTCCTGTTAGAGATCTTTTGAGAGGCCCGGCGCCACTCCGTGCTCTACTTACGAATTTGCAGAGGAACTTACCCTGGAAAATCTTTGGTGTAGAAGGAAATGTATCGCAATTTAATGGGGGTCCCAAAGCCTTCCATCGTATTGGCCTCCTTTGCTGTGAAGTATGAGTTTCTTGAGTTTCTTGAGAATAGAGGACAGAAGTACATTGGCTGTTTCTTTATCGCTATCCATCCCCCTCGTAATTAACCTATTCAAAAACTTCTCCCTCCTCTCTTTGACTTACCCACTGATATCAGAATCGCGGTTCACTGCACCGTTTTGGAATGTACCGTTATAAGTAGTGTCGGACCGACCGCACATGTTGCTGTAAACCAGAATGTATATACCGTGCCTAACGAAGAGCCCCAAATATCCCCATCCACGAACATATTGTGGGCTCCATGTTTCGAAAATTTCACGTGCACAATATCTGAAGTGCCACTCGTTTACACGAAACCTATCATCAGTGCCGAAATGATTGCTTTCCTTCGCTCAGGAGCGGAAATAGTAACCTCTCGGAATATTCTTTTGAGCTTTGGTAGCTCCGGTTCCTCTAAGGTTGATATTGGAAGGGCAACACGGACTCAACTGCTCAGCCATTGGCCCACAGCATAATCTCATCAGCTTCGATCCACGCGGGATTCAGCACAGTTGGCTCAACATTGCATTCCTCGATAATCGAGTACCGTCGAACAATTATTTCACAGTATTCTTTGCCATTAATCCGTAAGTTTCTAAAGAAGACTTCACCTCCGAGTCCACCCGAATATTGTTGCAGGTTGGTAACTAATCACACAGTAGTGCCTAGAAAATGTCTTCTCTTTTTCTCGCACAGATTCAGCTTCCTCACAATACCGTTGTCCACTCTTTGTTTAACTTACCTCCAAAGTGTACTTCCATATGCATGAGTGAGTATTGGCTAGGAAGATGTCGCTAGCGAATATCACGAACGTACCAAATATCTTGCCCTTTCAACACCCTTTAACGGCAAGATGACGGATGGCAGAGTTGGGATAGTGTTAAAGCAGGATAAAGCAGTGCACCAGCACGTAATTGCTCAATGAAAATAGACTGGCTCATCTTCTGTAGGCATGAGAATTTCTCTTCTTCGAGTAATAGGCACCCTTGTATTTATCATTTCCTGCCTAGATAGTAATGGCGATGTGAAGTGGAGTTCGCTGAACACGGAATTAGCGCCTTCCTTCAACATCCCTACGGTGTACCTTCCAGCGACCTTGTCAAGCTTACTGCGTTAATCCCGCCGGCTCTCGACACCTCATTCGCACCGCTTACTCCCAGTCTTTGGTAACATCCCAGTCTTTGGTAACATTCATTCGAATCTAATTACGCGTTTAATTGTCAGCGCAGAGTAGCCGCATCTTGCATCACCTCGGACCGCATCCATCAACCCTCGCTTCTGTATAAGTTATAGAGAGCAAAACCCCCTCTTCCGAGATCGACACTGCTTCTAAGGACGTACCACGGGGGAGAAGTCCAACGGCGAAATCTATGGGACTCTCTACGAAAAACAACACCCCTCTAGCAAGTTCAATGTCAAACTCGGAGCTTCCTGTTGCTTCGAAGATCGTACTCCGGGCAAGAACTGAAACAATTAGATATTTGGGCCACTCTGAGAATCAGGAAGCCTCTCTAAGTCGAAGGGTAAAGTAAATAACAGGGTTGGAGTTCCCAGCGCCAATATATATGGGCGTCTCTAAGGATAACAGCATACCTTTAACTCGATCGAAGGATTTGACGCCGAAGAAATTTCCAACCCCAACCACAGCCACCTTCCATAGACAAAAGAGCTTCTCTCAGTTGATCCACATCAACGAACGTGTATCAGGAAAAGTTCTAGCTCAATGCGCAGTCCTCTCTGTGGACAAGTGCACACCTCTAAGTCGATCGACGTCAAATCATGGCCCAAACAAATGTGTTCAAGTTTCGCCCAAAGAAGAGAATCCACTAGAAGGCACCGAAATATTGAGAAAAACCTAAGCTCTCAGAAGCGACAGGGACTCCAAAGGCCCCAGATATATTCACTACCCATTCCTGAACATATGCGAGCAAGATTCGTGCTGCCAAGAAGTCTCTCAAATAAGCTTTTCTAATACTAGAGTAAACTAGCGGGATATTCAGTAAACAGCAATCGTGTGACTGGGCTAGTGAGCATAATTCTACTACATCACCTTAAAGCTATCCCCAATTATTATCAAGGTACACATATTGGGGATTATCGCCACAGACACGCCAGAAGCTACGAAATTAAACCACTTCCGGCTTCCCAAATTCTCTCTATGATGCCACGCCAAGTATACGGACATTCAGCTGGTTCAGGTGCAGACTACTCAGTGGCTTCAGCCTCCTAAGAAGTGAAAATTGCAAGCCAAAATGAGAATTCTTCTGAGAACTTAGATTTAGTAGCCCCTATTGCGGTTATAAATATAGTAGAGGCGAAAATACAGATCTCTGGTTCTGGAAAACGTTTCCTCGAAGACAGTGGAGTCCCGGCAGGTCTGCGGATGGTTGCAATCAGACTTCAGGACTTCGAGAAGAGTATCTGCTCATATCAGACCTGCTCAAAAGCAGGTATGTAGATTACATGACGAAAGGCGTGACTAATCGTTGAGTGTAGGACGACCCTGACGTTTTGACGGAGATGGTTGAGTCTAGTGCATATATGTTACATGTGGACAAAAGCACCGACCCCGAACATGCGACAAGGGAGAAAGCTAGTCTGCTCTCAGTTCTGCGAGCATATCAGTGCTTCCTGAGCTGGCGCTTCAAGCCCTTAGAGAGGATCCGTAGCTTGGACGCTTGCTCGGTGATGGCCACCCCAAACGAGTTGGACTAGATAATAATCGAGCCAGAAGCGTAGGTTAAGGATTTCTCTGAACTTGATGGAAAGTGCCACGAAAGCTACAGTGCAATAGAAAAATAAATCAAAGAACTGGAATCCCTTCTTGAGGCCTGGAAAGAAAAGGACAAATGTGTTGCGAAGGCCAGTGACGAACTAAGGGTAGAAGAACAGGTGCGATTCTTGAACTCAAGGACGTCTATTAAAGAATAAAGACTCGAAGTCTAAGGGCGCAGCCAGGATTATTTCCGCACTAAAGGTAGCCACACACCTGTGGACTGAGTCACTTAGAGACAAGATATGACTCTATCCCATCAATCACCTTTTAAGATGGGCTCTACGAAGAATCGGTAAACTCAAAGTTCTCGATTTATATGTGACACCTCTCACCGTACCATCACTTGTAGATAGTTCATTTAGCTAGTGGCATTTAGAAAGCCCGGATTTACGAGGCCTTTGAGTCATTTAGCGGATCAGAAAAGGGTTGAGAACATTTCGAGCGTCCTCCAATAATCTATGCTTTAACTTTTGAACCGTCCGCGACACTTGGGCTTCGTATGTTGAACCCGGTTGTGGACAGGGGCCAGAGGATTTACCTCATTGCCGTACTACTCGAGACTGTGTATGGGAAATGTACTGCTTTCACTACCGTCGAAATTTTAGCTTACTCGAAGCCCGTATGCCTCCAATGATCTTGCTCACTATAAAAGGAACCCTTTAGTTGTTCTATACACAAGACCATGGCCGCCGCTGAACGATAACTAGGCGGCGCAAGATTAGGACTATGAGTACACTATAAGAATAGTACAGTCCTCCGTTGTCTCGGGAAGTTGGCTGAGACGATCTATGCACCTTGGTTTAAAAAAAATGTCCTGTCGACTATCCCGAATGAGGCTTCTAATTATGAGGGCATAGAAACCTTTAATACCAGAAAGGAAACGGAATGGGAAAGGGCAAGAAGACGCCACAACTTCGCGGAGGGGGGGGGGGAAATAGATGTTGTCGTCAGAAGATAAAATATTGTTAAAGAAAGAGATGTTCTCCGGAATGGGGTTTCTGGGCGTCAGCTGAGTTATTGAAGAGGTGGGGGGATGCCGTCAGCAGAGGAAAGCGGTGAGTGTGGAATGAATGTGGCGAGGGTAGCATCAGGCAAGGAAGAAAACCCTGCTCGAAAGAAGAGATCGTTGATGGACTGACAACAGAAGACGATCACACAGAAGACGATTGTAGAACCAGGTGGATTACGAGAACACAACAAACTGTAGGAAGGTCCGTTCAATGCTGTTAGAGGTCCTGCCGAATTGAAGTTTGATATTTGATAGAAGAAGATAAGATGCCAGAAGGGTTCTGTCCGTTCTTGCAGGGGTTACGGTGGGGCCTCAAGATAATGTTCGGAGCTAGGTGCACCGAGCAGATGAACCTGCCTTTTTAGGTTAGCCGTTCCTGTGGGATAAATTTACTAGGTGTTTCCAGCTTAAATGCCATTGTACGTTGATCGCGATTCCCTGCTTCTTCAATTCACTTCAAAACACTATGCTCAATTGTTTTGACCCCTGCAATAGTCCGTCAATACAGCTAGGTCATGAACTTGTTGGAACTTCTCACCCTGGCATTCGTGAGCTGTAGGGTAATCGAGGCTAAGCCAGTGGCCATCGATGTCAATTCGAATGTTAAATACCTAGGAGCCGAGCGGAATGGAATAGAAGTCTTCTTGAACATCCAATACGGTCAGGACACAAGCGGTGTTAATCGATTCAAACCGCCCAGGCCATTCATCCCTAAACCAGGCACTACCTACGACGCTACGAAATACGGACCTGCGTGCCCGCAAACGTTTGGCCAATGGCTCCCGCCACTTACATTGGGAAACATCACGAGTACTTCTGAGGATTGTCTAAATCTTAACGTTGCCCGACCCAAGGGCTGTCACGCAAGCTCAAGGTTGCCGGTGATGATTTGGATTCATGGAGGTGAGTCTTTTCCCGGTGCTTATCCTTCATAGCTAACATCATGATAGGTAGCTTCTGGACCGGCGCGAATAATGAGCCTACAACTATGCCCGACGGACTAGTCATCGAGTCTATCAAGAACGGTCTTCCCGTCATTCACGTCGCAATGAATTATCGCCTCGGATGTAAGTCTGCCCTTCGTCAGTAATATAGTAATACTTAAGCCCTTCCTAGTTTTTGGATTTGCACAGTCAGACGCTCTTAGGGATGAAAAGAGTGAGAATGCAGGGCTTCGAGATCAACGACTTGCAATTGAATGGGTCCGCGATAATATTGCGCCCTTCGGGGGCGACCGGAACCGCATCACTATTTTTGGTCAATCGTCAGGTGGTATGTTCGAGAGCACCTTTCCAGGTGTTAGATTCTCTTCGTGACAATTTTTCGATAATATGCTTCGTTTTGAGCATGTTTGACAGTAGCTAGGTCTCGCTGTTGGCGCGCAGCTCTTAGCTTATGGTGGCACAAAACCGCTGCCTTTCCAGCAAGGAATCTGCGAGAGCCAGGCTTTGGAGCCAGGAATTACGGGTAGCTTCACGATTGACGCTATGATGAGACTCGTAGATTCTGTTGGATGCAACAAGACTTCAGTGCATTCCCCTGAAACAATTGCTTGTCTACGATCCTTCGACACCGAGAAATTGTTCAACGCTTCAGCAACAACTTATTTCGCAGACATTGGTCACAACATAGGAGATATTTGGCTCCCCACTGTCGACGATGACTTCCTACCTGCACCACCCAGCCAACTTGCGAAAGAAGGACGGTTTGGCGATGCGACGTACATGATTGGGTGGGCGCAGGGAGATGTGAATTTCTTCACGGATTTTACTATCGCTACCGCTAACGACACATACAACTTCGTCCAAGGCTACTTGCCCAAGATGCCCAGTGAGCATGTAAACCACCTCCTCTCACTTTATCCCGTGTCCGAATTCACCCCGCCATCAACTACGACCCTCACGGCAGAATTTTATCGCTCAGCCAGGATATTCAGAGACATCATAATGACATGCCAGCCCATTTACCTGGCAGAAAACATCAACGCCAAAGGCAACTCCGTGTATCTCTACGACTTCAACCAAACAATCCTGGAACCGATCATCGACAAACTCTTCAACGTGAGCGACATTGGCGTGGTACATACCTCTGAATTCGCATACATATACGGCAACCTTTCTCACTACAATGACTCAAGATACCCTTTTAATCCAAAGCCTTCGGATTATGCACTTGTTTCGAGAGCTTCCAGAACTTGGAGTACGTTTGCGAGTTTAGGTAGGCCGAGTTTGCCTGGGAAGGATACGGTGCAAGGGTTTGAGGAGGCGTTTTCGGTGGAGAACAATACAGCAATTTATGTTATTGGGGGACCGAATGAAGGGCTGTCGACGTTTGACGGGCCGGGGAGTCACCGGGAGGTTGAGAGGCAGAGACTGAGGGAGAGGTGTTCATATATTAATAGTCCGGAAGTTATTGGGTATCTGCAGTATTGAGATATTATGCAGGCGATTTTGGGGGAACTTCAGCGTGCCCAATAGGCCGTACGTACACACAGCGATGTTCTGTCGGTGCGTACGATAGCTGTTGCCCCAAGCATTGTCCGTAGTACAGTGTACAGTTAGCATTTTAGGATAGCTTATAAGACTTAATTTAGCGATTTACAGAGCTCTTCCAGTGAAGCTGCCCTAAGGGGCCAATTAGGAAATATTGTGTGCGATGCTAATTTAACTGCTCCTAGGAGACTTTCCCTGAGTATCTAGATAGTATGAAAAGAGAGTCTTTTTTCTACGGTTCACTGTTCTGGCGTCAGCTTAGCTGCGCAAAGTTCATGGTCGCACTTAGAGTCATTGGCATGTTAATTGACTGGATACTCCTGATCCTTCCCATGGTGTTCAATAGAACGTAGCACTGTTGCTACTGTTACTGATAGCAGCAATTACTTAGAAGTTAGGACGAATTACCTTTGTTAATGTATAGTTAATAAGGCTATAATTGCTGCAGTAACTGTTTATACTAACTAATTTCCTGGTGTTTTAATAAACCGTTTAAGGAGGACGTTTTCGCGCGTAGTAATAAAAGGGCTACTGTGGAACGGGAGGTGTTGAAACACGCACAAATGCACTTGGTTATGTAATTTTTTAACTGTCGAACCTGGCATCTTGCAGTGGGGATATAGGAGTAATATACAGGACAAGAGAAATACATCTATCTCGGGCAGCCGCGAAAGCATCAGGGGGGAAGAGCTGAACATACGACCTGTGCACGACAATTTCTGTGACGTAGAAGAAACAACATGACGTATTAACATGATAGATGCGATGATCTTCTTGTACAAACGGCGAGGTGTGAAACGCGTGGGCTGAATAGAATGTCCCCAAAGACTCTGGAAGGAAGGCAAGTGTGTAGGACTGCCAGTAACAAGAAGAACTGGTAACTCAGCAGTCAAAGTTGGTAGAGATCCTCGGAGCTGCGATGAGAGCTCCTGCGATGGGTATGATGGTTCGATGTCAGTCTGAAGATGGTTGTTCCTGGGTGATGTCACAATGCCCATGATTGCAGTACTATCAGTAATCGCATAGTCGACAAATTCTTCTCTAACTCTCGACAAAACGAAGAGGTTTAACATATTGGGCAACAGGACTGCAAACCGCGAACTGAAAGGCTGCAGGGTAATCGGAGAAGGGAAAGCAGGCACAATTCGCATGGACCAATGAAATTCATGCCTCGGCATCTCGACTGCCAAGCCTTACCCTTGAACCTTGTGAACGGAAGAACCCAAATGTCCGAAAAAAAGTGAATACCGGTAGTAGTCTTACGGATCCGCCCTCGTATGGAATCTTGCTCGTTTGCTCTTGATATGTAATCGTCAACATTCTGTGAAAAATCCAAACTAGCACTCTTAACCATCCTCCAAACACCCAAAGCGAGTTCTAGCCTACACGTTGCAGAAGCACCACTCGGATATCCGGACATGGCATCAATAACCCCGCGAATGGCCCACAAGCCACTTTCCGAATTCCAGAAAATAGGATACAATACATTTATCTGGACACCCCCAAGCTATTCCGCGCAATCACCGCTCATTTTCTTCTTCGCCTGGAATGCGGCGGCTGCCAAACACATCGCCAAATACACTCTCGCATACCAGAAACTCTTCCCAAGCGCGAGAATCCTGCTCGTACGATGCAACACGCCCGACATGTTCCGCAAAGCGGAGAGCTATCGGAAACTTCAAACACCAGCCTTCGAGGTAGTTCAGGAACATGTTAGGAGTGGAGGCGAGGTTCTAGTGCACAGTTTCAGCAATGGTGGGGGCAACCAGGTCGTCCACTTTGCGAAACTGTGGAGGGACGAGGAAGGAGGCTTTTTGCCGATGCGAGCGCAGATCTTGGATTCAAGTCCCGGAAAGGGGCCGTGGATGAGGAGTCATGCTGCGATTGTACTTTCGTTGCCGAGGACTTTCTTGTGGAGGGTCTTTGGCGGTTTGGCGGTTCATTTACTGCTGCTGATGATATTTTTGTTCAACATGGTTACGCGAAAAGAACCAAAGTTCATTATCATGGGGAGGGAGCTGAACGACCCAACGATCTTTTCTACAAAGGCGCCCCGGGTGTACTTGTATAGTAAGGCGGATCAGATGGTGGGGCACGACGAGGTGGAGGAGCATGCTGATGATGCTACGTCGAAGGGGTACGATGTCAGGAAGGTGAGGTTCGAGAGCAGTCCGCATGCGGGACATGTCCGGGAAGACGAGGGGAAGTATTGGGGTGCGGTCATGGACGCTTGGAATAGAGGTCGACGGTGAATTTTTAGCGATGTAGTTTATAGACGTGCTGCCACCAAACTCAAGTAGATGTTCCAAAACAATCCGCAGCAGCTGAGGAAGACGATGCGCTTCTCCACGGGACAGTATGTTGTGGAGAAAAAGTTAGCGATGGGCCAGACTTTGTAGGAGTCGAAGATGATTTTGAGCGTCTCCTGGAAAGAAAGGCTTTGTCAGAATCTACTGGGAGAATGCGGTACGCGGGGAACCGAACTAACATTCTTCATATCCGCCCCAATTTGTGCCGAAGTTTTGCCCTTCATAAAACCCATGATGACCAGGAACATGGTAGTGTTGAGCAGAGCTCCCATAGTGATGCAGTCGGTAAACCACTTTTTGAAGATGTTCCACCAGTTCCTTACCCTAACTTCCTCCTCCCTCTGCATGTGCGTCCCTTCTCCCCGCAGGAAAACCCCCTTCTCTTCCGCATCCAGAGTTGTATCGTCGACCTTCAGCTTCACTACCTTCCACCCCGGAAAGGCTCTTTCTAGCCAGGCTTGCCAGTGGAAGTTGATGGGTGCGGTAATGCACACCATGATAGCGAACTGGATAAAAAGGACGTGGTCGAAGACGAATGGGACATCGTTCTTCCAAGCCTTGAGGCGTTGCGCAATGACGTTAGAACAGCAATCAATGCCGAGCGCGAGAAGACATGCGGTTGCTATAGGCGGGAGTTTCATTGCGATCTAGATCGGGATTCGTGGTGGGGTATCGCGTTTTGATGGGAGCGAGAAGGAGAGAGGGCTACGCGCGAGGCCACCTTCGCCAGAGCATAAAAGGATTCAGGGGTGGCTCAGCGGATATATGCTCTACCTAACTTGGCTGTTGAAGAGGAAAAAATGGCGAACTTGAGATGCGAGAAGGCCTATGATCAATTGCAATGTACTCAGCAGCTTATGTTTCTATGTCCGCAACTGTTTAGATGGTGGTCTGCACCCCATTGCTATCATGACGTTGCACGTCTCAAAGATAACGAGTTAGCGCCCTGAGTTGAACATTACTAAGCTCATCACAATTCCCACTGGAATCCTTCAATCCTTCCAACCACTACCTCGCTATTCATTACGATCACAAGATACTTATCCGCTTCATTTAATTTCCGTAGTTTCGCGTATTTGGGATTTGCGCGCTCACCAAACAGTTACATCTCGGCCAATGAGCGTCCACGGTTTCCTGAAGGAGTTGATCCTCCCTCTACTTGAAGAAGCTTATGCTACCCAGCAAAATTCCCCTGCGGCCTGGCCTGCGGGTTATATTGAATGAACGTGTTGTCGACTCCCGATTCGCTCTAGCCCCGCCTCCCTCCCATTCCCGCCTGTGCAATATTCACCATGGCAGCCCTATGAGAGATGTCGTTTCTCGTTTCGGCTTATGTCTTGCAACGTTAGAGGGTCATCGGGCCACTTCATCTTGTCCACGTCGATTGTTCTTCAATAGGCCAAGTCTTCCATCTTTTCACGCATCCCTCTTACTCTTGTCATATATCTACGAACCGTAAACTTGTCCTCCATCTTGTTCTTTGAGAGAAATCTACTAGAGATTATGTATTAGTCTAAAAACCACATCCCCAACTCCTTACGCCTGTATGCCGAAGAAATGAAATCATCGATGTCATTATGTCATACATACAGAAGATGCAACCAAGCGCTAGGTTGCCTTTGCTCAGATTCCACTGACTAGATCATGCCTTTACAGTCTTCACATGGGTCCCTTGGCTCTCTTCCCGACGAATCCCGATATCGCGAGCCACGTATATCTGACCATAGAGGTCTGTCACCTGGATGAAAAGCTTCAGCTTCTTCATCACGGCCACATCCAAGCTCTCTTCTAGCTCTCCCACAACCCTTGTCAAGCAACGTCGCTCGTACTCAGCAACAATCAACAAATCCCTCTTCCGCTGTTCGGTAAGATCCGTGGCGCTCATGATCTGTCCCTTTGGTATGGAAGTGTTGAATTCTGGAAAGTTGACGCTGTTTAGGTTTTTTTCTTCCTGGTCACGCACTACTGAGCCGAAGTCGTTGTACTGTCGGCACATCGTAGCGAGGTGGTGGCAGGCATCTTCAAGCGCATATCTCTGGTGCATGTTGGAAATAATGTGCTGTCCGCTCTCGCTGATCAGACACAAGTAGAAGACGAATGAGTACGGACAGCTCGTGTGATCGGCCGAAGTCGTGCGCACCCAGTCAAAGAATGTCGTCCGCGGTCTAACCCACATCAAAGTCCCATTCGAAGTTTCCGATGACTCTGGCAACTCAGCGCAATCCTCCATATGTGTGACGTGAGCTAGAAGGAATGTCTGCATCTCCTGCGCAAGCCAAGCCCGCAGCGCTGGTGGGCTTGACACGACTTTGGGATGCTGCAGAGCATAGTTGACAAATTTGGTGAGCACTTCTTCCACATTGTCATCCTTCTCCTTCCGGTTGTTGACTACACCCGCCTCTAAATCCCGTATAAGACGCTTCACCGGCTCTGTTTGATACCTATCCTGGAAGCCTTTTCCGTTGGCCGCTTTCGCCCCGTTCTGTATCTCAGCCGACGCTTCATGCTCTTCGCTGATGCCGCTTAACCCCTTTCCTTTGCTATCCCTACGCTCTATCTTGCTGTCTGCTCGTGGTCTTCCGGATCCGTTGACCCCAATGTGTGCGACACCGTTCTTTGGCTCTTCATGGGTACCCTTGGGAAGGCCATTTGATACTCCGTTTGTATTCCCACACAGAGAATTGTTTGCCTCTGCATCATGTATGCCACTTGGGGTATTCTTAAGCGCGCCGGTTTGAGCCCCGTTCGAAACACCGTTAAGAACAGCTGTAGAAATACTATTCAGTAGCCCATTTGGAACAAGAATCTTCTTTGGAGTTCCACCAATTTCGCTTTCACTACTTCTCTTACGCTGGGTCGGGGCTCCAGAACATAGTGCACGGATGAAGGCCTTTAAGGCTGGCAGCCTTTCTCGATACTGATCCCACACGACGGTTTCCATATACGCATCAACCTGAAAGTTGAACATGGATACTACCATCATTTCCCATAGCGTCTCTGCTGGTATGGACGTAGATAGGAAATCTCTACAACCAATCCATGTGAAGGGGATGTACTCTTGATATTTCTCATCGCTGGCTTTCTCTATCGGTGGGAAAATCTTGTATCGAGCCTGCTTAAGCGCGACGGCAAATTGTGCGCTCTGCAACAGCGAAAGTTGTAGTTTCCACTTCGGCGCTTGGGAAAATGGGAAGACTGTGGAAAAGAATCCGGACATTTTGCACATCTTCTTATTCAATTGAGCCGGGAATAGGTCCACAACCTTTTGCGAGATGAACGCTGTTGGCACTATAATCTTCGATGCAGCTAAACAGTATGCTTGGGACAGGCTACTGGACGAGTATGCTGTCTTCTCAATCCAAAGTACCTCGGCGTTTCTCCAGTGATTACGGTGGTCCTCGAGGTACGCTTTCCCACGGTACATGCAAGCGATGCCCTCCGGTTTCAAGAAGTCCACCCAAGGTAAACTCAATAGGGGGGCGAGTGTCAAGATAGCATAAGCGGTTACTTCTCTCTTCGATTCCCACGAGCCATCAGCTAGCTGCAGCCTCATTGTTCGTCCGAGGATATCAAGCAACGTCCGAGGGATGTCTTGGTAAATCACTTGCAGAGGGATTGCGTCCATGTCGAGCTCCTTTTTCCCCCACCGTTTCAAAAATAGCACGAAAGCTTGAGCAACCAGCATCATTGGGTATTGTACTGACGTATGCTTTTCAATATTAGCTTCCACCATCGGCGGAGACATTGCACTTGTCCACTCACCCATTTATCCGGTCCGTTATTCTCCATCCAGGTCTTGCTCAGAAACGTTACGCATTTAACGATCTGCTTTGTATATCTGGCTGGCTCGGGAGTTCGGAGGAGACATGAAAGAATATTACAGTTCGCACTACTGCTAGCATTACGCTCACCCCGATACGTGATAAAAGACGAATCTGCTTCGAATGCTTTGAGCATTGGATCTACGCTGTGATCCCAGCCCAATAACCTCAGAGCGGATATCGTCTTGGCGGTATCGTCGGCGTCAGGCAAGGATGAGGGCGCTAAGGCTAAGTCAACTCTGGATCTCAGTTCCGCGGGCTATCTCGTCTCACCGAATCCGACGATACCCTTCTGCGACTTTAAGTTTGTCTCGAGAAACACTGTCAATTTTCGGATATCCTCCCGCAAGAAATCCTCCTTATCAAAACCAGATTCCAGGAGGGTGTCAATTACCTGAACTAGTTAGCAATTCACACCGTCTACTTAGTGGCAAGGGACTCAGCTAACTCACCCAGGAGATTTCGAAAATAGGGCTTGGAAACGCCGAGGGAAAACCTCCTTTGTTGCCAATTACCGTTTGTTGCTCGAAGACTGTGCGAAGATACGCTTCAGCATCATTGTCCCACGTAGTTGAATTCATCAAATACGCCGCAGTAGAGGAAGGTGAAGCCAACATGGACCCATTCGGCATCTTGTGCTGCTTGACTTTGTCGAAATCTAAAGTACCAACGAAAGCTTCCAGTGTGTGGATAAGAGTCGTCTGTACTGGGCTCGTGAGGATCGGGCCCAACGTAGCCAGTTTCGCTGCGTTCAACGCCATCAATGGCTTCCTGGATGGGAAATCGAATTGGACTCCCTCAATTTCTAATAATCGAAGCAAATTTGGGACTAGAACTTCCAAACCAACCCTGTCTGTGGCATCGAGATCCCATTTCCCCAACAGGCGACGAAGAGAGTCTTCGGCTGCTCGACATCGTCTTTCATTGTCCGCTCGAGCAGCTTCATATTGCCGCTCCTGTCGTTTCAAGGCCAGAAGAGCTGCCAAGGTATTGATGATACCATCCGCATCCGACGTTTCTGCTGCCCAGGATCCATCCTCAGATTGTGTTGCCTTGAGGTAGTCGTAGGCTTCTGGAAACAGAGTCCGAATCCTCCCATCTTCACCTTTCTTCTCCGTCATCGCCACCCATGCGGTATCGTATGTTGCAGGCGACATAGTACCGAGCCCATGCTGCGAATCGCATTGTGTTGCGAGGAAGTGTACTAGCCCCCATGCCTCGTCGGTGATGGTCTGGTACATTTTCTCAACGATATTCCAAAGGATCGAAAACTTCGGAATGGTGTCAACTAAACCTTGGGCTTCAGTCAAGCTAAGGGCTCGAGGTCATCTCGGTAACTAGAGCTGCTTCCTGACCGTGCACAGCTTTAATGCGGCTTTTCCAGGACTTCCACTTTTCCTATCTCACTGTACAAAACGGGGTCTAATACTTCTATCGTACCTCGGCCATAGCACTGCGGCAAAGAGCGAAGAAGCACGAGCATCCGGGATGTTCATGATGCTGCCCCGGAAGCGCCATTGGCTAATTGTTCCGTCTGGGGAGGGCATTGAGTGGACCCTGCTGTCGAGGATATTGCCACGTCGTACAGCGATCACTCATGTGGAATTTAGGATCATCAATGTGCATGCTGGAACCCAACACCCTAGAAGGAACATTCCCGGATGAGGAAATTGGTCCACTTTTTAACACTCGATACCTGCGGAAGGCCTTACCGAAGATGAAAAGCACTGACAGGATAGTGAGCATGGTTCTAGCCGCTGCGAGGACCGGAGCGGCAATGTTAGGATCAAAGAGAGAAAGAAGAGTGTTAGTGTCGGTGTGCTCCGCGAGATGATTTGCGGAAGTGTCTTCTGTTTGGCTTACCAATTGGGGCGCGTGTTATTATCCCTCTCTGGTCTGAAGCATATCCCAATTGCATTGTTTCCTCTCATGTTCATTCTAAACAGTCTTATTCATCCATTGCCCTCGATTCATCCATTCATCCTCAGCTTCCCAGGCTGCATCTACGGGATGATGTTTCCTTGACTGGAGGTAATGCCAAGCATCGATGGTCTGCGGAAGTTGTTCTGAGTGGACCTTACTCGCATGCCACGTCGGCTCGGTATCAGCGCGTTGCGTTTAAGCAAGCCAATGCCGAGATCCACTGCATGCATACTAGTTTCGCACTGACGCTCCGTGGAAGAGGGATTTCTCCAAAGCAACCTCGCATCCTTGCAACCGTTCCAGATTGATACTAAATTGAACTTCTCTAGCGTTTGCATACAAGGTGCAGCGTTCGAGCTGCGGTACCATGAAAGCTGCACAGCCCATGCATTTTGCACACCCTGAAATCAAGGGCACTGACTCGTCCTAGAATATCATGAGACTACCGGCTCTGTCCCGCGCGGCTCGCGGCGCCTGTTCTGACCCACCCCCGAGTGAGCAAAAAGCATGTCCTAACGATATAGTGGTGTAGAAGCCTTTCCCCGCCAGCACCCCTTCCACAGGTTCAACTTTGAAGTGGGCGTGCCTATCAACAGGAATCTGTTTCGCCCAGTATGGAAGCACTGAGTTTCTTCCCTAAGAACACCAGCTCCGTCTTATCGCATTTGCCAAATTTCAGCTTTCCGCCGTTCAATCAGTCAAACATTCATTTCCCGAAGCATCGCGAGGAGTTTTTCCAGCAGCTGATACCCATCAAAGCCACTCTCACCAATATCCTTGATGCTTTATCAATTCCTCAATTCGTTGGACTTCTCGTTGCTTTTTGTTGGGTTCTTTCTGTATTCTTGCAGAAACGACCCAAGGTTGCTAGTGCGCCGTACCATGGATACATGAGCTGGTTTGAACCTACATTCATCCTACAGACCAGGTATATAACGGGTGCGAGGAAGATTATCACAAGTGGGTATGAGAAGGTATGCCATCTACCTTGATAGTTACTTATGTTACGTTAAAGCTTGAGCAGTACAGAGACTCTCCATTTGTAGTGAGGAGATACGATGTCGACATATCGGTGCTACCGAACAAGTATTTGAATGAGCTGAGACTGTATCCGAACACCAAGCTCAGCGGCGTGAAGGCACAGGTTAAGGTATGCTGGTTTAAAATCGATTTTGCGCCGTCCTGACGGTCCTCCAGAACCTTGTTGACAAATGGACCTACACAACATTGATGATCGAATCGAACTTGCACATTCGCGTCCTTCAAAACAAGCTTACGGCTGAATTAGCCAAGTACCTTGACATCGCAAAAACCGAGCTCAACCATGGATGGCCGCTTGATATTCCACAGCCCGACGGTACGCATTCTCCCCACCATGAACGCCTTCATACGCATGACTAAAATCTTCAAGACTGGATCGAAGTCGACATGCAACAAATGATGCGCATGCTCGTTGGCCGCATGTCCGCCAAAATCTTCCTCGGCCACCCAGCCTGCCGTAACATGGAATGGCTCAAGCTATCTATCGACTTCAGCATCGACATGTTCACTGCTGCATTCATGCTTCGAATGTTCCCTCCGTGGCTGCACCCTATCGTCGCATGGCTGGTCCCGGCGCGGTACCGCGTGAGGCGGAACCTCAAGACTGCCGAACGTATCATTGGCCCGCTTATGGATAAACACCGGGATGCGCTGAAGAGGAAAGCAGCAGGTGAAAGCATAGAGGAAGATGATACCTTATTAAATTGGATGATGGATAATGGAAATGAGAAAGAGAACCGGTTGTTCGAGATGGCGACTCGACAGTCTATCTTGACCCTTGCAAGTATCCATACCACATCTATGGGAGTGGCAAATATGCTATTTGATCTTTGTGCCCATCCGGAGTGGTTCCCAGTGCTGAGAGAGGAGATCCAGCAAGTAGAGAAGGAGCTGGGGAAGCTGGGAGAGAGGGAAGGTGCTGGGGCTAAGCAGTGGCTGCCTAAGTTGGAAAAAATGGACTCTTTCTTCGTGGAGTCACAGCGGTTTAATCCTCCTATTCTTCGTAAGTCCCTCACTCGTATTCTCTACTTCTTACCTTCCAAATGTTAGGAGTTATGGGATGTTGATTCGTTCTGTAGTCGCACCGCAGCGGTTAGCGGTCGTACCGATTACCTTAAAAGACGGCACGCACATCCCCGCCGGAACCCGAATTGCCTGCGCTAACTGGAACATCCTAAATGACCCATCCACAACGCCATCACCAGACACCTTCGATCCTATGCGCTCGTACCGCAAGCGCCATGAGTCCGGAGAGTTTAATAAGCATCTCGCTGGCCAGACCGACAAAGACAATCTCTCGTTTGGCCACGGCAAACAAGCGTGCCCGGGGAGGTACTTTGCTGTGGGCGAGATTAAGATGATCCTTGCAAGGTTGCTTGTGGAGTTTGAGTTCAAGTATCCGAAGGGGAAGGGTAGGCCGAGTAATTTTTATGCGGATGAGAACGTTTTTCCGGATCCGTGGGCTAGGCTGTTAATGAGGAAGAGGAGAGAGGCTTGTCAGGCTTGTGGGCGGTCGTGAGGATGCCCAGAGTGCGAGCAGAGGCTAGAACTAGAGTTGAATCAAACTTCGACCAATAGTGCTTGTCTAACTCTATCTCGTAATGCTAATACTAAGATACATGTACCGTTCTGTCATGTCGAATAGAGAAGGTACTGAATATACTCATACTTCTCAAGCGGCTCGAGCGGCTCGTAGACGAATGGCAGAGTGGCGAACTGGCAAGTCGAAGCGAAAAATATTGAGCACCATGGCAATAGAAGTCGGTTCGATTGGCCAAAACAAGGGTCAGAGAAGTTGCATCCTTGTGCCGTTCCTAACTCAAGTTCGTCACAACTGTCGAGTATCCGCTAACAATTAACGAAAGTTTCCAGCGTACAGGCCTCAGGAGACTTGATCAGTAGTGGCATCTAAGGCAAGGTCGCCACAGTTTTCATGGAAGCAGGTCATTTGTCAACGGCGGCGGATGGGGCGGGACTCCGGTATTCAGGTCAACCGTGGACCTTGTCGGAGACCCTTTAGCTTCCGGTGATATGCGAGGTCTGTGACTACCAGGGTCGCATCTTGGGGACTGATGTGGAGGAAGAACTGATTTCCTCCGGCGTCGGAGGCTTAGCGCAAGCGATAATGAAGACCGCGGCTGAAATCAGAATGCCGCTAGAATCTTGGAATATGTTATTGCCATATCCATGCTTGAGTGGGACTAAATCGGGTTTGCTATGAGAGACCAGCAGTCCAACAGGATGGCGACCGCTGCGCCGAACAGCAGAGGCCAGGGAAGGGAGCGGCTCGTAGCGTTCCACCAAATGACGCAAACAAATCAGAAGCCTGGGGATTCTCTGGGAACACGAATCACAGTGGATCCTGGACCGGTTCCAAAGTGCATGATTAGCTGCGAGGCTAGTTTGAGCGCCTTCTTTAGCGCGAGAGGGTCCAGGAGCGAAACGTGGGCTGTGAGGTGGATATTGCTTGCAGGGTACCTAACAGCGCCGCGAGACTCGGGGTAAGGAAGAGGAAGACCTATGGGTCATGGAAACTGAAGGAGCAAGGCATGTATATTGCAACTCTCGATATTTCTCATAGTGTTGGAGGTGCGACCTCGGCAGACTAGCCAATTGGGTGCTAGATCCCGGCTTCAGAGTCTGGTTCGGCCACTGGTTGCCTCACGCCGAACAACCTTAAAACCACTTCAAAGCAAACCTTTCGCTGGACGGCACAACCTTTTACTGCTGCGAATCATCCCATCTTTCCCATTAGTATTGGGCCCGAGCTTGGGGGCTTCGGGCGAGGAGCTCCAGCTGCAGACGCCCACATATGCACGCTTCGGCCAAACCGCCAGCTCAAGGACCCGCCCCTCACCCATCCTTCCTCACCGCAACAAACGCGGACGAAGTAGGTCGAGCTCCAGGATGTGAGACATTCGTGAATGCGAAGCATGCAGAGCCATGTCAAAGGGTGATCCAGGTCAATGAAGAACACCTGATCTTTCATCTTAAACAAATTCACTCAGCATTGATGCTGAAGCTCTCACCGCTTGATGGTGGCAATGGGACTTCCAGCTTCCACCTTCGCACCTTTGTAACGGGACTTGGGCTCGCCATTACAGCTGTGCCGCAATATGTTTAGTCTCTGGGACGATGCCTCCGCTGGTCCTGCGGCAATTCCCTCCTGTGGCCGGCGCTTCTTCTGTTCGTATGGCTAGAACTTTCGAAGTATAGCTCAGCGAATGAAGATGCCCGACACCTTGCCAGCAAATGCATTGCCGACCCATTCGAGAACCCCATCCGAGTCTGACTTCTTTTAGCAGCCAGTTCAAGGAAGGCTCTCGATGCGAATGCCATCAGTCGGACTGATGGACATATTCTTAGTAGTAACCTCCTCATCAGATGTGCTGCACAGGAACAGCCACGTCTAGATGCAACACGCCGATACGCCAATACCAAATCTTCCGCCGATCATGCAATCCTGCAGGATGTCCCCACAACAGCAGCGGTAATTCATGGAATTGGAATGGACTGCTGTCGACATGCGTGAACATGAATCGCCCACGGACCTCGCTAATTCTTCTCAAGCGCCTTCTTGCGCTTTTCGCTCGGTCGATATCCAGAACCAATTGGATTGCGCGCAGATCTGATTGCAGCTTTTTGGCGCTGCGTGGCACTCTGCCGACTTCCGCGCTGCAATGGGCCTGTTTGTGCGTTGGACGAAAAGGAGAACCGCATATCGATATTACGGTACGCCGACTGACAATCTGTTTCCAATCAACTTGCATTTACCACAAATGCATTTGATAAGTGTGGGTGGTTTCTCAAAGCGTGAGTACTTTCAAGGTGGTGTCCAAAAACCATGGCTCCAATCCTGCTAGCCCTTTCACTCTTGCTGCAGTTTTTGGTCATCTTGCCCACCATTTCGGGGTGGCCAGTCTCTGATGCTGCAGATACGTTCGACTTTTTGCTTTCTCGAGACCTCATTTCAGCCATTCAAGGCTCGCTGAAGAGCACAGCAGCTGCATCGGTCCTGCGGCAGCAGATTAACAAATACTCGAGAGCAATTGATGAGGTTGCCGGGCTTGGCAGCGACTTGCCGGTTTCCAAACGCGCTGCCGCCGCTTGCAAGATTGCTGATCTCATATTTCCCGGACGTGTCTTTGCGGCGAATGATCCGGAGTACCAGTCCGAAGAGGATTTCAATTGGTGAGAGGAAAGACGGGGCTCGTGTAACAGTTGCTAACACACACAGGTCCCAGACTTGCTGGCTGCCGGCTGCATGCTTCATTCAGCTGAGAACAACAGCAGATGTTGCTGCTGCGTTAAAAGTCATTCGGCACGTAGGTACGAAGTTCGCCGTCCGAAGTGGAGGCCACAATCCCAATTCTGGCTTTGGAAGTATCGGCGATTCTGGGGTTCTGCTTGACCTCCACGGTCTCGATACTCTTTCCTTAAGCGATGATGGCATCCTCCATGCTGGGCCAGGGATTACATGGGGGAAGGCATACGACTTCTTGGACCCTCATGGGATTACTGTAATAGGTGGCCGGCATTATACAGTTGGTTTGCCAGGTTTCCTGCTCGGAGGCACGTCCGTTTTATGCATGCTTCCGCGTGATCCATTTTTCGCAGACTGACTAGCTATAGGCGGCATGACGTTCTTCCCAAACCTCTATGGTCTTGGCACAGATAGTGTGAAGAGTTACGAGGTAGGATATTCACCAGCTTCCAGCTTAAAACTCAAACCCAGAGTGTCTTGACCATTACAATGCATTCCTGACTCGTCTCGATTCATAGGTGGTCCTAGCCAACTCAACAATCATCGATGCGAATGCGCACGAAAATGCCGATCTCTGGCGAGCGCTCAAGGGTGGAGGCTCAAACTTTGGCAAGAACACCATCCTGTTTTAGTTACCTCATCCTGATTGGAAATAGGAATCGTAACTCGCTTCGATATCGAAACGCATCCACTCCACAACGTGCAATACTCTCTCAATCTCTACGATCCATCTGATTATGTCAACATTCTCTATGCTACCACCCAGGTCCAGAAAGCCATGGAGACCGACTCTAATATCGGCTTCTTCCTCAACGTCAATCCCACCGTGATCATCGCAGGTTTGTTGTATGCGGATTGGCCCACAGTACCGCCAAGCGCATTCAATGCTTTCGATAGTCTGAAGTCTTTCTGGGGTCCGTTTATTCCCACCACAAATGGCACCATTGCGACCTTGACTAGTGCTATAAATATTGGAGACTTTCCTGCTAAGTGAGTTCCCTCATTTCTTGAAACCTCCTTGATGTTCATTGGGGGATATGTGATAATTAATGTGAGTTTTGCTAAGCGACGCGCAGAAGAGAGCCGTATGCGGCTAGTACCAAGGTGGACCACGCGCTATACGTCGACGTTCACGAACGCTATCTCGAGTTATTGAAGACAGATATGCCGTCAGCAAACTTGTCGTATACAATTCAGCCTGTGGCAAAGGCTGCGGTTCAGGCTGGTGAGTACAGGGGAGGCAATTCGTTGGGGCTGGAAAAGGTGTCGCAGTCTTGTAAGTTTTCTCATCTGCGAATTATCTCCGCAGGATCTTGAACGAATTAATATTGATTTATTTAAAGGGTGGGCACCATTGGTTGAATGGTTCGATGACAGTACTGACATTGCAGCACACAAAGCCTTAAATGACCTTGGAAACTCGGTCCAATCATTTGCACAAAAGCGCGGCAAGGCACTGAACTACCAATTCATGAACGACGGATCGTACACGCAGAAGATCTTGGATAGCTATGGCACGAGGCAAGTCGACACTTTGAAGAAGGTGGCAAAGAAGTACGATCCCACAGGTGTGTTTCAGACATTACAGAATGATGGATTCCTCCTCAGGAGGCTCTGATGGCTGAGGGTTACGGATAGGTTGCGATCTTCCTGGTGGGTGTTGTGGAACGTTAAGTGCCGACAGGAGGATTTGGGATTGTGGGTGACACAAGATGGATGCAAGATTGTGCAAGTGGTGGGGAGGCCACGAGTGTGCGCAGGGTGGTGATTGTGGCTTAAAGGAAGATTGTGTGTTCGACGAAGTGTGCGTGACTAAAGGTAGCATCTTTCAGAACAACGCGCTGCAGGCTCCGAACGCTGAATCCCCAACCCGATTCAGCAGCTCGCATCTTGGTGGTCGGCAATACAGTATCTCTCCTCACCCTCTCGCAGTCCATTAAAAGGGCCAGCTGCTTGAAGCAAAAGACATGTCGTCGTCGCTGCCCTTATCGATAACGGGCCATCTTCCTTCATCCAGCTTCTGCATCTGCAGCATGGGTCACCCCTGCCTCCTTCGTATTCAAACTGGGTTTAAAGTTCCCCCACTCCCCGCCCGTCCCGCGGGCGCTTGTCTTGTCAAATTGGTGTTCATATCCACAAACCACCAGAAGTTGTCCCACGCCGTAGGCACATGGCATGGTTTCGCGAGAAGCTCAAGACTGTTGGCCTCGTGACTCAAGGTTCACAGATGCAAATCCCTAGTGCATGCACATATTTATCCTTGTCCCTGTCTTATCCTTGAGGAATGTATTCCTACGTGGCACCGCACCAAGGTGACACAGTCAGAGGAACGAATATTCCGGTGCTAGAAGTTAAGAAGCCTAGCGATGATGGGATGGGTGAAGGGAAGGGTCGTTAGTTTTCTTCTGGCATGCGGAACGGCTCGAACCTAGGGGAGGAAAAGTGGGGTGGGGTATTTAGCGGGGTATTGGGTGAGATGGTGGAAGGGGTGTTCCGGTGTGGACAAAGATTGGAATTGGAGGACGGGAGTTGAGGCAAGGCGGAAGATGTATTGTCTTCAGGAAGGATTTTGTTTGCGAATGCCTCGAGAGGGTTCATGTCTTTTGGTCAAGAGGTACTTTGATTTCTTAGCATTTAGAAGGGCTGTATTCGTGGATCGATGAAAGGAACAACCGGAATGGGCCCGACGGGAATAGTGTATATGCACCCTTCTTTGAAAAGAGCTTCTAAGTTGAATTTTAATGAGAGAAAAGGGAAGAGAAGCTCCTCTCTAGTTAAACTATGGGATGGTTCTTGTAAAGTCAAATCTGCGAGCAAGTGCTAAGAATGAGGGGAAAATCCCGAAGCGCCTGGAATGTGTCGTTTGCTGAATTCAGGAACGTGGTCTCGTACAAAAGTTGATTGCGGACTGTAAGCGGGCTATGTTAAAATGTGAATTTTCTATCTCGGATAGTGAATCTATAGCGTTGCCATCCTTAGTGATGTTAGACTCTGATCTCTCAAATCATCCGGAACTGTTTGACCTCTCGCTTGCTACAACGGAAGGCTGTCCGGGCTATCTAGAAGTTTGAGAAGGCAAGAAGGTCAACTCAGATCCTTTTAAAATGAAGTAACTGATGCATGAGAACTGACCTTGCCTCTTTTACGCCTCTCGGTCGTCGCAACACGTATTACAAACCCACTCCACTACTTCTCCAAGCCGAAATGCTCCTTCGCCTTAGCCATGGCTCACTCTTTCCGCGACCGCGGCCACGGAAAGGAGCGAAGGACGCTGCTTGGAATTACGGGATCCTTCGAGATTCCAATTCCCATCATGTCGGATTTCTGCGCTTTAAGGTGGAGTGATTGTGTCACCTGCCTTTTGAAATGGCGTGGGTGAGTGGGCCTCGAGGATATTGGGCGCCATAGACGCAGGAACGACAAATCCGAGGGGTTGGGGTTGGGTAAGTCGTAGGACTGGTGGGATACTAAATTATATGATGGATGATCTCCTATGGAACCTGTTTTTACTGTTAGTTTGCGAAGTAGTGAGGGGCTCTATTTTACACACCATATCGACGATACGGCCTCCACCCTGCGTCGTACTGGTACTTCCATGAGATTCACTTGTGTTCACATAGATAGAGGCTGTCACAAAATTCAAAAAAAATTCAATGAGCATATGTGAGTGAGTATTGGGAGGAGATTAAGTGATTGCTGTGCGGGTATGATCCACCATAGTGATTAAGTGGGGGAAACACTTTGAGCCCTGAGAGTTGTGTCTAAACATCGTTGGGAGGGATACTAAAAATAAACAAGAGGATCCTATCTATAAAAGGGTAATGATAGAAGTTTTATGATAGAAGAAAGCCGCAAATTAAATATACGAGATCAAACTCTGTTGCTGACAAGCTTACATGTCCTGCCAGGGGCAATGATCAAATTGTGCAAATGACCTAGTGAGTTGAAATAATAGACACAATCAAGGTATGCCTCATAGCATGTTAGCATGTGTCATATCATGTGAAAGACACGATCAATGTTACATTTAAAGGAAAAGCGTCAACGCTGATAGAATGCGAAATCAATTCAGAACCAAGTGATGACGAGACGGTGAAAATAACCTTAGTTCAACGATACTACTAATCCGAAATACCGAGCCCATATTCCAATTCATCCTGGGAGTGCATAGACATCTGCAGAATGGCCTAATCCAAAGGCACGTAAAGGTGGGACGAGGCAGAAGTGCAGGGGTTGCAGTTGCTGACGAACGCTTAAGTGAGGTAAGCTAACTCACCGCATCCTCGCGAAATGAGAAGATGTTGGCGTCCAAGATCTCCCAGAAGTGTTCAGTCGAACCTGATTTAAGGATTGGATGAAAAGGTTTGCGAAATCTTACGGTATTTAGAAATCCAGGCAAGCTTTTCGCCCACCTCATTCCATCACCGGCAATCACTATAACATTCCGGTTATAATTCCCTGTTGAAGTTTTCTGGATGAAACGTACCACTCATCTTTTAGCAGACATTCCACATTGCTGAAGGCAACTTCGTAATCAATCGACAATGTCTCCGCCAAAAATCCTCATGGGTACTGGGTTGTGGGGTGATGAAACGTCAAAGGAGGTAGTCACCAAACTTGCTGAGGTACTGAAAGAGTTGAAAATCAAGGAAATAGATGGAGCTGCTCTGTATCCCATTACCAACCCTGGCCAATCCGAGAAACTCATAGGCGAATGCGGATATGTTGAGAATGGATTCCTTGTTGACTCGAAGATCTTGCACTTCGGTGGTGGAGAAGGAACGCTGAGCAAGGCAGCGATTGAGAGGTCTTTGGATCAGAGTTTGGCGAATATTAAGACTGACAAGGTATGGTAGGGATTGGAGGGTCGAAATTCGAAGACTAATTAGAGTTAGCTTCATATCTTGTACTGCCATGGCCCCGACAAAGAAACCCCTATTGCGGAGCAAGTAGCCACCCTGGACGCGGAATACAAGAAAGGGAAATTCGAAAAACTCGGCGTCTGCAATTTTCCTATCGAGATGCTCGAGCAATATTTGAAAACGGCGGAAGAGAAAGGCTACATTAAGCCAAGCGTTTTCCAAGGTCAATACAATCTCCTCTGCCGCGGGTACGAAGCAAGGCTCTTGCCACTGCTGCGCAAGCACAACATATCCTTCGTTGCCTACAGTCCTCTAGCAGGCGGATATCTGACTGGGAAGCTAACATTCTCTACTGGTACCGAGGACTTGAAAGAAACTCGCTTCAATGTATCGGACACAAACTACATGGGCATGGCTTACAGGAACTGGTACGACAAGCCTTCTATGCATTCGGCAGTTCGCAAGATGGAGGGGTTATGCAAAGCCCATGGTGTGCAAATGAGCGATGCTGCGTGCCGGTGGGTGTTACATCATTCCATACTTGATGGAGAACACGGTGATGGCGTTATCATTGGGCCTCGAACTCTTGCTCAACTAGCAAAGTATGCGGAGTCATACAAACAAGGTCCCCTCACTGATGAGCTGGCCAAGGAATTGAGTGATGTTTGGGAGATTGTGAAGGAAGATGCTGCGTCTATCGTCTATTGAGATTTCAATGGAGGAGCAAGGCTTGGATAGGAGATGGAATTCACAATAGCATGGTGTAACCAATGGTGGTTTGATGGAATGCTTGAAACAATCCACCATCTTGGAGATCCACGCCTAAACAAGCGCATTTAGATAGGCAGTCTTGACACCACCTACGATCAGCTCTAGAGAGGTGATGGATGGTTTGCAAGAGAGCCTACACCACCGCCAAGCTTCTTTCATCACACCATCCAACTGTCACATATTCTGAGCAAAGGTGCGTGGGATCAGATGTTCATTCACGTGATTGTGCCTTGGCACATTTGTCTTGGCACAGTCTCAACCCCATCAAATAATACACTATCTCTACCGCCAAGCCCTCTCTCCTATTGGTCTGGATATAAGCCGGTTATTGATCTGATTGGTAGAAAATCAAATAACTAAAAAGCTTTGTTGTTCTACGTTTTTAAGCTTTAAGTAATCATTCTGCTCTGCTACATGCTTAATCTAGCCTTCTTTTTTCCCTATCGTGATTGAAGACAACGCGGTTAAGGGTGTTAAAATCACTTCTGCTGTGTGGTTTTTCCCTCTAAATATGATTGGCGCTGCCAAGACCTTCTAAGCAAAGCCCGTTATCCTTCCTAATCAGGACTAGCCACTTTCTTCCTGGAAAGGAAGGATAATCTGCTCGTATGAACTGAAACCTTGGGCAACAGTCCTCTTCCCACAATCCACTTCAATCATGGCCGGCACACGAAAGTCCACGCGCAAATCAACTTCTGCTGCCCCCAAGTATGCGGAATCGGACTCGGAATCTTCGGAACAAAAGGCGCGGAAAAGCAATGGCGCAAAGCCAACGCGTCGGAAACGCGCTCGGGAAGACGACCCAGATGTGAAGGAGGACGGGTACGCTCTTCAGAACCGATTTATCATCCCACCATGGACACTAATACTATTTCCTCGATTGAACAGATCTCCACCGCCCAAGAAGCCCACAAAATCCAAATCCCAAACTTCTAAACCCACCAAAGATTCCACCCTCAAGCCCACGAAAGCCCCCGTAACCCTCCCAACCCCTTCCTCCACCACAAATCGGGACTCCACTGGCGCCCAAGAAGTCTTTTGGCTCCTAAAAGCCGAGCCCCTCCCTCGGTACGAGAACGGCGTCAACGTCGCCTTCTCCATTGACGATCTAAGAGCCTGCACAGAACCCGAGCCATGGTCCGGCGTCCGCAACCCGCAAGCCCGGAACAACATGCAGGCGATGCGGAAAGGGGACTTAGGATTCTTCTACCACTCTAACGCCAAACCATCTGGAGTTGTAGGGATACTGAGGGTGGTGGAGGAGGCGAAGGTTGATGAGACGGCGTTTGATGAGAAGGATCCGTACTTTGATCCTAAGAGTGAGAGGGAGAAACCGAAGTGGTATTGTGTGAGCGTCGAGTTTGTGAGGAAATTTGAGGGGGTGGTAGATTTGGCGAGCATTAAGGGTTTTGCAGGAGCTGGGGGGGCGTTGGAAGGGATGCCGTTGGTTACGAATTCGAGGCTAAGTGTTAGTAGGGTTAGTAGGAAGGAATGGGAGTTTATTTTAGGGCTCGCCGAGGGGGAAGGCGGGGGAGTAGGGACGAACTAAATGGAATAGGAGGCTAAAGGAGGGGAAGGTGGAATGGTGAATGAGGATAAGCCTAAGGATTAACCAAAGGAGAGAGAGAAGATCACGGATGATCTCAATAAGGTACCAAAAGGAAGGAAGGTGCAGAAGTAGAAGGCTAAAGGCCATTTTCAGGCCCCATAGAATACCTCTCCATCCAAGCCAGCATTTGTGCAACTTGTCAGGACAGTAGTATCCGAAGAGTATCCTCATAAATAGCCGCTTAGTGGAACCAACCTGATTGACCCCACTTCTCAACTTCATCAGCTTCATCAACCCCCTCGCCTTCACAGCCGTAAGATACAGGTTTATCCCCCGGGGCCGGTCAATGCTCCAAATAATCCCTCTCTTACTTAACAAAGATCCCTAACCCTGTCGTCCCCAAATATACCCAAGCGCACTCGACGCCACGGCCCCAACTTGTGCCGCACCCGCAGCAACACTAGCTCCAAACCCGCCCATTGCCGCACTCTGCGCCGTCGCATACACTCCTCCCGCTGGCACGATTCCGAAGAAGCTCATCAGGCCGCTGGCTGCTGAACCTAATAAAACGACAATGTTAGTGTTTGGGCTCTACTGACTTGAGTGGAGTTGGCGGTAAGATTATTATGAGAGTTGGGAGAGGATGGAGGAAGACGAAAGGGTAAAGCGGAACGACTTAGGAAGTACCATACCTCCAGCAGGGCCTGCAGCCGTGAATCCAAGCATATTGAAGAAAGGCACCGTAGCAGCAGCCGGCGTCAAGAAAACCATACCGTTGACGACGTGCAAGGCTGTTTGATATGGGTGGGCGACTATCCAGTCTTTTACTATTAGAGGGAGTTCAGCGTAAGGAATCGCCATTTTGTCGCCTTTGCAGCTGGGTGTTCTGAACGCAAGTCGAAGTAGAGAAACTCCTTGGGAGTGCTGCCTGAGGTATTGTGGCGGTGTATGCGGTGGTTGTGGAATGTAAAACTGATTGGGCGTGAGCGTTTGGAGGCTTACCGCCCACTTGGAAAACCGATAGGTTTTCGATGACGAACCATTCGTCTACGAGTGTTTTCAGCTTACTTCTGTGACATTTAGAATCGGTGTACAAATGACATGTGTCTGTGTAGGCTGCCCTGAAGCAAACGAAGAAAATGAGCAGAGACAGATGCACCCTTCCACTACTGACGCTTGCATATATGGAACGAAGATTTACGGGCAGCTAGGTTTATCAATTGACTTTAGATGCCATTGTGCTGCTGTGATAACTTCTACCTTGTTTTCGCATGCTCGAAGCCTCGAGTCCACTTGTAGCTGGTTTCTTATTGGATCATCCGTGGATATAGGAAATTTAGATCTTCCGAATATCGATGACATTCTCCAATCACCTTTATGTCTCCACCAACCCGATAATCCTCTAATCTATAGGAACTAATAACATGTTCCCAATACCGCGACGCGTTTGCAAGGAGAATCTCTTGGTCACTTTTCTTGGAGTACAGCACACACGAAAACGCCGGCTACGAGGAATCTCAACCCCAAGCCTTAAACTCAGGCGTCTTATGAATTGGCCTCGCTACATCTTGGCGTCGATATTGATCTGTAGGAGCGGTAATTAAGCCGTTTTAACAGTCTCCGCAGTCGCATAGAGTTGTGAAAGACAGACAACCATAGATTTCTCTAGAAGTGCAGTCTTTAGATATACGATAATCGATTCAACAAGCCTTACTCAATAAGACAGCAACTCAATCCTTCCATTATCTTTACCACTACTGACATAAGCGAGTTGCTCAGACCGGACAGGAATGGGCAAAGAGAATGCTTACCATCGTCGGTGACGAACGAAGCTCAATGTGAGCAAAGCCTTCGTCGTACTATTGCTGCGCCAACAGCCTAGCTTGAGAAAGCGCAGCGTCTGTGTTTTGAACTACTCCGAGACGCCACTAGGTCAACATTTTCTCTTTTCGCTTTGATCTCACCTGCTGGAAATGCCCCACTGCTGATTGAATCCTCCTACAACGGAAGCAATGGCGGTACATACACTGAGAATCTCTAGATCAGACATATCGAGAACAAGTCAAGATCGAGAGATCTATCAATCTTGAAATAGTCTGAAGATAGGAAGAAACCTAGAATTGTGTGTCGCTCTTAATGGTGCATGCATATCACTGCGAGTACTAAGCATGGAAATAATATGCAGGTAATGGGAATTGAACACATATTTGTAGCTGTACTAAGAGGCGATGGGCTTATCGCGGGCTGTGAGTGTCAAAGGATGCTGAATGCGGTAGTTACGGGATCGTTCAGCCTAGTCACTAAGCTTAAACCTCGCAAGACTTTTGGTATCAATTCTCGATAAAGACCGTATTTTTAACGAAAGCGCCAAAAAAAGCAGCAGAGAGAACGCCCGTCCTTCGGATTCGTTGAACTATACGGTGGTTTCCAGGATACCGTTTCCAGAGATATATTCTTCCACTATGTTTTCAGTTCAAGGATGCTAAAGAGAGTTTTGTGCTTTTGGGAGTTGCTTTGGCGTTCTAATTCTGTCGCATAGCAGGCATCCAAACCCATTAGTCCTCCAGCCACAAGGGAAGTTCTAAGAGACTGGTAAACGACTTTTCCCAAGGAATCTTGCGGTAGAGGAGGTTCGGTTTATCCTGACATTGCTTCCACCTAGCTTTGTGGCGCTTGTAAGATTAGATTCTGTAATCGCAGATTTGAACCTGCACGCGTCGCAGTGATCCTAAATTGGGTCACGATTTGGATCTTAGAAGGGTGTCTACTTTTCAACACTGTTCGGCTTCATAGGTCTTTTACCGCTCGATAAGCTATAATATCATTTCCACTCTTTGGTGTATTTAAAAATCCATCAATCGGTTACGTTCCTCGTCTTGATGTGGCAACCGCTATTCGTTGAAACCGGTCGGCGAGGGCGTAGATAAAACTGCCAGCAACAAAAGAGGGATTAATAAGCAAGAACAACAATCTATTCAGTCACCCCTAGGTGATATGCGATGGCTGTGCTTAATAGAATCAATATCAGCAATGTGGCGGCATATGAAGCTCCAATGAATTTTGACTTTGAAACCCTCTGAAGCTCATCCTTTGCTGAAGCATGGGTCACTTGTCACTCCTTTCTCTGCCCTTTCGCCAAAGAGTCCTTGCTAGTCGTCTTCGATCTTTTGGCTTTACCTTGCTGACTTCCTATGAGCGGTCTTTGTTCTCGGGGGCCTCGTATAGCGGAATCTCTGCGTCGTTCCATTGCCTGCATCCAAATTTCATGGCTCGTTTTCGAGTATCGAGGCCGTTCATTGCCGGAATCGGGGCCTACTTGACCAAAATATTGCTCAGATTGTATCACCTTTTTCTCCTCTGATATTCTCCTTGTAAAGTTTCTTTTCTTGATATCCTGTTGCTACTGGGGGTCAGCCAACGCTAAGCCTATTTTGTTCATATACGCCACAATCATTTTGGCTACAAATACTTACGGTGTCCTTTATGTCCATGGCCTTAGGATCTGTATTTTTGTGATCTAACAAAGAAATAGGAAAGTACGCCTGCAGATTTGTAATCAGAGGCTACACTTCCCTAAGAATCTCCCCGGAATTTCCACTCCCTTCTCACGTGGTGGCTGCATTCAAACCTGGTATGCCCTGGTGGAAATACCTGGTTCGGGGCGTCTTCAAATCTTTTGGGCAGTATACCTTCAATTTTTATATCACCCGTTGTCATCATCGCCGCAGATCCCCCTTGTCCAGCATCAATTGAGGGCATCTCTACTGTCACATTCGTCAAATAGCTTCGTTCTCATTGGTCACGCTTCTCGCGCATGTTCTCCGCATCTCAATTTAGATCGCGTTTCTTCCGTGACATTGAAATAAATTGACTAGCCCAAGCTCAATACCTGACAACCAATCGTTCGTTTCTGATTTCGTCTGACAGATGGTGCGGGGAATTGAGCTAGGATCTGCCTTTAACTTTAATTTGACATTCGACTTCATCCATGCTGTGAGGGCCCAGGAGTTTGCCGCGACTTAAATTAATGATTCATTGGGAGAGAACATTTCTTGCCTCACGATTTTGGCGGAGGCATCCAAGCCTTAGCATGGATATTCACAAAGTCCTGACAGCATTCATATGCCAATATCTGCTTTCCTTTTACTCGGGACAATATCTGTGTATTCTAAGCATACCACCTCCTCTCCAGATATTCCTCTTCCTTAACATCCCTCTTCGTCCCCGTGTACGGATTATTCGTTACAAAACTCGCAAAACTCGCATTCCTTGCAATCGTCAAATCGTGCGTCCAAATTCCGTACTGCTCATGTACATTAAACGTGCTGGTATTGCTGGTTGGGGTATCCGGAGCCACACTCGAGCACGCATATGCGAATTGGGTTTCCGTCATCGTGTCAAGGTTGACATCACCGTCTGATGTCGACCACCGCGTGCAGCCTTGGCATCGCGATGTGACTTGCCAGTGTGTGGTGTTGGATGTTGTACCTTTCAGGTAGGTGTATGTGGCACCCTCGTAAGTTCCAGGAGTGGCGTAGTAACCACTGAGTAAAGGTATTAGCATCTATTTCTTCCATTCTTCCCAATTCGTTATGGAATTTGGATGCCTTACAAAGCCATCCGGCTTGAGACGATGGCCTTCTGTCCCGTCTTCGCCTTTGTGTTCCAATGCACCGAGAGGGGATTATTTGTCATGTGTCCTCCCCACGCCATACCACACCAATTGAACTTGTTGGGAACGACAACTTGCAGAATTGCCTCCGAGGTATTGGAGCTCACGGGAAGTGCAACGCGATATGAAACACCGTTGGGTAGCGTAATGGAAGAGTATGTAATGCCGGAGGTCTTATCATAGTATTTTGAGGCTGTGTACTGTGCGGAGACTAATCATGATTCAGTTCCATCCTTGCGAGACGTGGTACGACTGTGGTATAGAGGCGAGCATAATGCACGAAGGGGTGAGAAGGGATAGACTCACCTGTGCCGCAAATTGAAGCAAGGCCAGAAAGGATCTCGAAGAATCTCATCTTGAAACTATGTCGCACAAGAAAGTATGTACAGTATAATGGTAGGTGAAGATCTCGGTCTCCTTCTAGAAGGCTGGGGAGCAACAGCTATTTTAACAGCCGCTCATCCATGCCTCTCCCAAATGGGAGTACCAATTACGATCGCACCATTTGAATCATAATGAACGGCAAAATTAACGAGAATAGAGTATAGTCTAAGGCGCTCATAGTGAATGCAAGTGAATTCGAGGTCATTCTTCCCTTTTGATGTTCCGGGTATTTGAAGCGTGGAGTTGGTATTGGTCAACTCTCTTCCGGTAAAATGCGGATGTAGATGACTGGAAGGAACCTCGTCCCCGCCGAACCGGGTTCCTTTCACGAATATCAGTCAGCCTTAAATGTTCCCAAATGATATTGAAATCACAATCAAATATCATCTACTACGGGCCAGGCGTTGGTAGTATTTCCCGGTTGGGGTTTAGAGCCGCTAGAGGAGGATGAAAAGGGAAATCGAGTAACCTAATCAAGCTAGTGAGCTAAGTGGGCAGTCTTGGAAGCGCAGCCCCAAAATCCTGTGAATTTGGGGAGTAGCATTGCAGGAGAGCTTTGAAGGATCTGGAGAAATATTGCCCTGCGCGCTCTGAATGAGAATACCCCCTCGCGAATTCTGTTTCGATCTTGCTCCGTGTACGGGAATGGGCTTGCGATGCGAGGGTTAACGACTCTTGACCTGCCAAGAACTGCAAGATTTGCTTTCAATCCGTACGATGCGACGCACGTGGCGTGCATGCTTCTGTAAAGTCTAGATCTTGTCAATATAGCAAAGGTGAAGGTGAATCAGTGGACGTTGGTGGGCTTGTGGGGCGTACTCCAACCGTGAGTGGGGCTTATTTTTCGTTTAATGTGGGGGCTGTTGAGGTTGAATATAACAACTGAATTGAAGGGACACTTTGAATGAGAGGCAACTTTCCGGAAGAGATCACTCTTGGCGCAGAAAATCGGCTTTGTGGAAGATTGTGAAATGATATTGCATTCCGAACCTATGCTCGAGACATGCGTATTCGAAAGCACGCGTGGTTTCCTAGCACAGACACCGCTGAACGATACCGCATACACCTTCTAATTGGAAGTTGAAATGGCCAAGGAGAGGATATACTTAGACTAATGGCAATATTTTTGCATTCATGAAAGGATAACGCCATTCAAAGTACCCGCTGGAAACGGTCCTTCCCTTGCGTCTAGATTCTTTACTCGGGTGGCTTCTCGTGATGGAAATCACTTATAATGAAAACTTCAGCAATGAAGGCCGAACTACGAGAAGGGAGAAATAACATAGGTTGAAATTAGGCTTCGATAATAGCTATCTAAATTCTTTGATACCATTAGATATCCAACGGATGCCCACCCCATCCGTACCTATCTCACTCACTTTAATTTGGAAGTGCTGCCTTGAGAATATCAATAGCCAATTTCCCCTTTGCATGCTGTGTGTATCCCTCCACATACCGATCTCCAAAAAGCTGCATCCAAGTATCTACATTAATAGTTAATTAAAGGCGCATCCATAGATACTGAAGGATAATCCAACTTACCATACGTAGTTGCAGGTTTTGACCTCGCAAATCCGCATATGATCTTACTAGCCCCCGGTCCGAAATCGAGTCTTGGAAACTCACTCTTGACCCTATCGTACTCCTCCCAAGTCAGGGTGTGCGTTGAATCGCTATTCGGGCCCTGGATGTCGGACAAGATACCAGCTCCCGTCGCCGCAACAACAGGCTGTTTATACGCAGAAATGGTTGGTGTGGTATGTAGAGCAATCGCATCCCAAACAAGCTGTTTGCGGTTCTCATCCCAGCCATGTGCGGTGCCATTCTTCATCTCTGCTTCGATAAAGTCCCAAGCTGCGATAGCGCCATCGACCTCGAAGCGTTTGTCTGATGAGATGAGCGCGCCGGTGTTATCCCAGCCGAGATCGTGCAGAATGGCGGCGACGGCGTGGGTTTCTGGGTCAATGGCCTTTCGGAGAGTCGTGTTTGTGTTGATAATGATGGTGCCGAAGAGCCATGAGCGCATCACGTGGTTAAAGGTCATGTTGTCGGCATGGGCCCGGGCAAAGGCTAGGGCGGCTTGGACAATGGGTGTATCCGGCACTGTTACACCCGCTATGACCTTCGTTGGGATGCCCTTTTCAGGTACAAGGCTGAGAGGACTGGCCTCTGAGAAGGAAGATCTGGGGACAATGAGGAGAGCCACGGCTATAAGTGATTGAATAAACTGCATTGTGAGAAACATTGAAACCTTTAGTCCACGAGTAGCAAACTGGTGTGAATATCTCTCTTCTTAAGTATCTCTAGTAGCATTATCTGATTGTGCTGGGTTTAGAATCGCGATGATTACTTTCAGGAACGAAAATGAAATTGATACGGATGACGGCACGGAACGGCCAGTAAATGGTTACCGTTCCGTTCCCGCTGCAGTCACCCGAAAATAAATGTCCCGTAGGGCAACCATTCTAAATTCGACAATATTCTAGTGTCCCTGACTGGCCAAAATCTTCGCCAGAAACTTACCGAGAAACCAAAGTAGGTCTGCCGCACACTGCATCCCTTCCCCGTTTCAATAGTCACTGAACCGAGATGCCGCCTTAGATGCCGCAATGATCACTAAGCTTAGTGCCGCAATGATCACTAAACTCATGTACCCCAACGCTGTCGGCAGATGTGCATCCGTAGAGTCAACACATCCCATTTATTAATAATAATTACACTCCGAGTCGTGTGACAAAAGACAAAAGTCAATAGGAGGGGTTCCAAAGTGTTCAGAAATCAGAAACTAGCAAAGGTCAAGTCAGTACCATGCGACCTCACAACCGCAAGTCTAATAGTTTTACAATATTCTAAACCTACAATGCCATCTACAAATCCTGCCCGTTGGGTATCTCAAGCTATTCCAAAATCCTAAAAGCCCACAAGAACGGCGAAGTTACGAAGCAATATACAAATGGCTACGCGAGGCCTTACTCAATAGACATTGGTCGGTTTGAAGCTAAAACTGGCATATAAAGTTCGGTAAATTGGGCTAGAGGTTCCACTCAGTCGTCCCAGCTACTCTTCGTTGGAGAAAACATTTTAGACAATCGGTTCCTCGACTTTTCTTTGAAAGGGGCTGACGCAATACTTCGACCACCCGTGTCCGTTCCCTGGCGTTGAAATTCGATGCTGGAGGTGCCACTCGAAGAGCGAGAGATTGCTGGCCTGGGTACCTGAACACTTAGGTTATTGTTGCTGTTGTTGAACGCTTCAAAGAGCATATTGAGCTGAGCATAGTCGTAGGGGTCGATGTCCTCTGAATCTTTTCCACATTCGTCTTGAAAAGAGTCGACACTACCAGTCAGCATTTTGTGAACCTGGGCTTTCCATGAAGACTCGTCAATGATATCTCTTTACAGTATATTGTTAGTATTATCCATTAACGATGTTTTAATTTAACTCACTCAAGATGATTCTCCTTGCATAGCCTGTCATCAAGAATCTTAAGTCTTTCCTTTCCAGCCACACCAAATCTTATGAATCCGATTGTAAAGTGCCGAGGTCCAAATCGATCGTTTTCTTCGAGCTGTTTCGCAAATTTTACAATTGTCTTGTTAATTGCGTCGGGAGGATTGGTTCCTTTCCAAATACCGTCAGTCAGCACTAGTAATGTAGTAGCCTTTTGGTTGCTCCGTGATGGATCCCACCATTGACGGAAGACGTCATGAAGCAAATGGTTCATGTCCGTTGGCATGAAGAAGTCATTGCTAAGTGGTTCCTTGGGCCGGGCGGTGTTCAGTACGTCCTTAAACTTCCTCCTTCCATCCTCTCCTCGGAGTTCCGATTTATTCAGGGAATGTCCATTGATGGTGAACTTGACATCAAACCCATTTTCGTCGAGACCGGCAATTTTCTTGGCAAGAGTTTCCGCCACAAAGGTCACGATCGGCCAGTGATCGACCATCGTGCTGCCGTTATCGACAACAAAAACCTTGGACGTATTAGTAGTGCAAGAATTTAAGGAGGATTGTTAGAAACAATTACCAAGTCCCGATTATGTATGAAAGTTGCTAGGTTTTCGTCTTTCTTCAGCTCCTCCATGCCCAAGAGGCCTTTCAACATCGCTCCAGCTTTTGCTTTCTTCGTCTTGGGTTTATTATTATCGAGCGTTTTGCGAACATGGCAAACATCCCAGGGCAGACCATAGACACTATCAGGTAGAAGGACTGTTTTCTGGCTGCCATCCAATGAATTCAGAGGCTGGGGTGGTTCAGTGTTTGAGATAAATTGCTCTTCCTTCCCAGTGAGCTGTAGCGGCGGATACGACATAGGAAGCTCAGAGGTGGGAAGGTTAGAAGCAAACGCGCTTGGAGTGACCACAATAGAAGGACTCAAGTTAGCAGTTGCATGAGAATCCACACCGGTATCAGGCACAGGCTGCTCTGGCTCACCAACGGCAAAAACTAGAGTCTTGGTGCCAGCCTTATCCGCTGCACTTGGATGAAAGCCATGTGTCAGGGGAGGGTGTAGATCATCATTAAGTCCATTTTGCAAAGTATAGTCTGTTTCTGATCCGCGAAGTATTTTGCTGGTTCCATTCAAAGGAACGATTGGATTTTGGCTGCTTGCATTCGCATGAGCCGGTGGTGTCACTGGAAGAGGATCGAGGAGGTCTTCACTTCGGAGTTTGGTAGTTGGGTTTATTTCCACTGGTGGAGAGAATCCTATTGAAGTTGTAAATCCTGGACCGTAATTAAGTGAGTGACTCTGCCGTCGTTGATTGGATCTGGATGAATCAGTATTGGAGTCGAGATCCTCCCCGAATATCACCCGACGACTTTGCCGACGGCTCAGGGCTTGCGGTTTCTCGGCGGATCCATTGCTGGTTGAAAGAATGCTTTTAATAGGCTTTGGTGAGGTAGTCCTGGGCTGGGGTTGATTAAGTACAGGAACGGAGTTGGGCTGAGCAACTGATCGACTGTGCGTTGATTCGGGAGGCTGCTCATTTGGCTTGCTCATTTTGAGATTTGGGTTACGCGGAGTTAGGGGTCTGGGAGAGGGTGGCGGTGGATATTCTGAAAGGTTTGCCTCGATAGGGCTGTATGTGGTCGCACCGCCGTGGCGACCCTCATTTGATGAACCAGAGGTTTCCTCAAGAATGGCGCCCTCTAGCTCTTGCTCCAAGAGCTCTTTTCGGTATGGCGTTTCTGCAAGAGGAATGCTCTCCAGAACAGTTTCTTTCTGAAAGCGCATTGTCGCACGCTGGGATGGGTCGACCGGAACCCGCCAGGTTCTTTCGACCAGCTGGTCCCGCTCCTTGCTTGCTTGTGAATGTCGTTGTAGCGGTGTCGTTTGCATACCGGAAGCCCTGCTCTGCTGGGCTTCATTTTCTATGGCCAAGAGAGCACGCTTTACCGAGTCGTCCGTTTCTCGTGTGTACTGGGGCAGATCCTCAATGTTTCGCTTCGCGGTCTTAATGAGCTTTTTCAGCTCACCACACAGAACGCTAAATTCGTAGCGGTCTCGGGTATCTCTTTGAAGCATATGTAATTCGATGAGATCAAGGACAAGGGGAGTTGCGGTGTCGGCTGACCGTATATGACCTCTCAAGAAGTTGTGCCAACGTTTTATCTCCGGTAAAACGTCATTACAATCATGGAAACGGTCAGTGATCCTTCCATCCGGTGTCTGAGTACCGCGTGTCATTTCCCTCAACTTGCGGTATTGTCGAGTACCTTGAAGACCCAGTACAACCCAGGTTGCAGCAACCGAGAGAACGCATCCAAAAGACCACGTATCAATGGACTGGGTGACCTCGGATCGGGTTCCGGAGATCTTCATGCGGGCAAATTCTGGGGCACCTGCTAGCTTGGTTAGAAATACAGTTTCTTCGCCGCCTGATGTTTGTTTGCATACCATAGGTGTCTGTACCCCCTTCGATGTATTGGGTAGGGACTTCACCCCTACCCTTCTTCTCAGAAAATCTTGAGAACCCGAAATCGGCTAGCTTGAATTCTCCATGGACGCGAAGAATATTGTCAGGCTTAATATCGGCATGCCACCTAGCTCAGTTACTAACCCAAGGTCTGGAGAGACGGGAGAATGCTCATACCCATGATACTCCATAATTTGCTTACCTCGAATGATTTTGAGGTTATGAATTCGCTCGATTGCGATGGCAACTTTGAACAAGGATTCCCAGAAGCGGATAATCTCAGGTGATCGCACCGGAGCAACATTGGTGAGATCCGCGAAGTATTCGTCAAGATCTCTTTCACCATATTCTAGAAGCAGGTTGTAAGTCTTTCCCTTCGTCCCTTTCTCTCTATTGTCATGCGTATAACATCCAAGGTAGCGTACAATGGGCATTTCGGGATCGTTCTTCAATCCGGAAAAAGCCTCCTTCTCCCAGCTGTATATATCTTTATTTTCCTCTGAGTAGGACTTCAGTATCATCTGGAAACACTTCCATAACGTTTTAGCAACTTGTCAGTGGTTACGAATTGGGGAAGTTGCTCACCCATCCAAACTCTGGGTCCTTGTACAATGATTTACTAAGAGCACCTCTGAGATCTTCGTCGACAATCAAGTCCTCCTGGATTGCGACCCAAGAGACCGAAGCCGTACCTCCCTTGTTATTCACTCTGATACGGTGGCAAAATGGCATAATCATCTTGCCTCCTGCAAGATCTCCTTCCATGTACAAGCGAAAATAGCTCAAAGGCGGGCAGTAAGCCCACTTCTCTTTTTCGAAATCTGTAACAATATTATTTATGTCGGCTTCAGGGATATGTTTTTCGCGAAGTTTATCTCGAAGTATAGGATGATCGGCGTTGTAGTTATGTTCGGGAAGATTTAAGTATCTGTCGTACATACTCGCACCGTGGAATAGGTCTATGAGTTCGCCGCGGTCTTTCTCGAGCAGCATACTAAACACACGAGTGCAGCGGTCTTCCCCGGTAAAGAGTGGCCGGTAGTCGAGGGGGAACCCAAACGCCGCATGATGTTTGATCTTGTCGTGAAGCTCCGCGAGCAGGCGACCGGCCTTGGTATTGGGTGAGTCTTGAGAGTCTTGCCGGTTCATCCAGGCTTCTAATTTGTCGACGTGGACGAAACGTCGGTGGCAGGTACAAGTCTCCGGAGGATCGCATTGTCGTTGACAGGCCACTGGGCGTGTCCATTCTCGCTTCAATCTGGCTTTAAATTCCTCCTGTATGCTCTTAAACGTTCCTTGTACTGAATCACCCATGGTGGCGTGGATCCGGCTGCGGTTGTAGAAATCCCATATCCCATAGGAAGTTGGTTCACTAATCGTGGAGCTGCGATGTGTCGCAGGTGAATCGATGGAATCTATAGGCTAGTATTTGATGCGTTCGGGCGAGAATAATTAATCTGAAGGAGCTCGAGGCTGAGGATAGTGAGGGAGTTTGATTCGAGATTAGTAGAGCCTCATGGACGAGGAACAGGGCGGGGCAATCCATTGAAATGGTTGCATGCAACGAAGCACTGACCGGCGTGACGGCTTGTGGCTTCAGAAGCTGATCCAATCGCTAAAACATGACAATTGGGGGCGCATCCGGAAAGAGTGTCGCAATCGCAAGCCTCCTCACGCTGCGAATTAACTCCAAAATCCAAGCACACTTCAAGCACACCCGCGCATGGGTCGAGGAGAGACAAACCGTTCCTGCGATTCAGGAACGATGCTGAATAAGAGGACCGAGAAAAAAAAACAAGCACCAACACGGTCCGGACGAAAAGAAACTCTTTCACCTCGTTGCAGAAGCTGAGCATCATGTCACTGGTGACTGAAAAGAGGGCTGTGAGCCCCTGCTCGGTGGTGGCGAAAAAGGTGCAGGCAGTTATCAGGCAGCGATCATGCAGTGGGGTTGAACTTGAGGGCCATCATTGCAGCCTTTTTGCAATTTGTCAGACCTTTATTATTTCCCCATCTCGACTTTATCCTTCTTTTCCCTCTCAAAGCAGTGCTTGAATAGCGGTGTAGTCTTCGAGGACTGCAAAATCCGAGCCTTGGAAGCCCTGGCCTTGGATTTGGGAGTTCGCAGACTAGCGGGAACGCCTGTTCCCCAGCGGGACCTGCCATGCCTGGGGAAAGCTGCATGCCTTCCAACCAGCGGCGCGCTCTACAAAAACAGAATATTGCTGTCACACGGATATGTTCTGCAAAGCCCGTGGTTCTAAATTTATCTTGTCGCCCACGGAATGACACTCATTCATCACGTGGGTGACTGTGAGCTCTGGTGTAATGGCAAAGTTGGGGGCCTTCGCCACGACAGTCTCGACACGAGACCGTGCATTTTCCAGCCCCTCATTAACTGCTGGATCGATTGCCATCTAGAGAGGTGCTGTGAGGAATCTGCAATCGGCCGTTTCGACTCTTGGGGTAGTTGAGCGTGATCCATCGGAATATTAGGCCCGGGAGGATTCCTTAGTGTTTTCGGCGGGTGCGAGACGCTCCTTGCCGTCTCTGAAATCTTGTAGGTTGACCACGCTACTGCAAGCGTGATTGCTGTCAAGGGAAGAGTGACTTGGAGCCATCTCTTCAGCGCAAGCGACGAGAATGAACCATCGTTCGACCCGCCACTAGCATCGCTTTGATTCTGGTACTTGACTACGTCCGTACTAAAGAATGTCTAGGGAGATTGTCAATTTTCATTAAAGGGAGTGGCGATAAATTTGGGGTCTTACTGAGACAAACGTGGCCGGTAGATATATCAAGGTGACTATGGTGACGATGCGCATAACGATGGCCTCTCTCTCTAGATTCAAATTTAGTTGCTCAGTGCGCTCTGCCGCCTGACCTTGCAGATGTTGAAGGACAAGTTCTTTCCGATCACTGATGATTTTTGCAAGCAACTTTGTGCGAGATATCTGCATGCCGAAATCATCAATGATCTCGTCTAGATGAGCGACAAATGTGGATAGATCGTCACTGCATGCGTTTTTGAGGGTGGTCGGGAAATCCTTGTGCACCTTTAGATTGATGTAGAATCGTCGAAGAGCCTTGATTACTTCCACATTGGCTTCTATGACCATGACAGCCTCGTTTGTCTTATCTTGCCAATACTGGAGATCCTGAATGTGGTATGGCCGGTACTCCTTGTGTGCATATCCGGGCCCTCGTGGGCCGTATATGGCCATCGAGCTCTACCGGGTGTTTAGCGTAGATTTGAAAGAGGGGTTAGAGCGGAGGCTCACCTCTGCGTCAATAACACGTTCAAGCCAGCGAATATACCAGCGCCAATCTTCTGTAGACCAGTGGCAGTAGAGCAGATGAGCGGCAAGGCTGGACCGGAAACACTCCTCGAGTGTGGCAAACGACTTATCTTCTGGGCGGCCATCTGGGCCGGTCAACTCTTTGTAACGCTGCTGTATGTCGATGCGTCCTTTCGTGACGATCCACAGCGTAGTACCAAAAACTACATCGAATTGATGATAGACTGCAGCTTGCCGGATAGACCACTCATCAAGCTTGATACTCTCATCGCTCTTTTTCTTGAATGTAACACCTTTGAGGTTGTAGCACATTTGGAAGTGCCTTCCGCTGCGATCCAATTCTGGAATCGTTGGTCCTCGAGGGGGATTCTGCATGATGCTCTGTTCACGGAACCCGCTGAATCGGAGGTCTTTTGGGTCACTTTGCGCCCCAAACACTAGCATAAAGTCAAGATAAACAGGCATGACTTGATGGAAAGTTAGGAGCTGAGTGATGCTGCTCCGCGTCGTCTTCAGTTGATCGCGCGCATGCTCAGCGTATATATATCTAGAGTGAAGTTAGGTCCCGGTTGCAGATTCAATCAGGTGACGTCGTACATGAATCGGCATTTTGGGTCCCTCTTTTGCACTGTTACAATCTTGTGGCCCGCGTTCACCGGGTCTTGGATGACCGTTACCCCAAGCCATTGGGTTAGTTCATCGGGGGAATGTATGTTCCTCTTATCGATAGCTGTATTTGTTAGGAGGAAGCCTTTGCATAGTTGACATGGCGAACCTTTTCCTGAGGCCGTGCAGAGGTCTCGGATGGGGATTTCAAAGTCATTGTCAATGTCATCCTCTCCATCTACGAGACAGAGATCTGACTCGCAGTCATCAAGACGCTGTTTATATGAAGCAAGAGTGGAACGATAGGTAGTAGTGCCCTTCGGGATGAGGTTCTCAGGGTAGTTGATGAAGTTGAGGTAGGAATTTTGGAAGTCGCTTGATAACGTCATTTCGATTGCTCAAGTCTGCTAGAAGTGTGAAGCTATTGCTGTACGGAGATGAGATGAAAGGGACAAGGACATTTTGAGCATGGAGAATATACAGTGAGCGCCTCACGGAGTGACCCTGCGGCTGTGGGAGTAGATGAAATGCGCATGGACAGGATGACGATCACAGGGGCAACAAGGCACGGACGCGGCTTCCAAGCGAAGCGCCTACTTGCCGAGGCATACTCGCACGAGCGCACCTCACTCCTTTACCATCCCGTTGCACCACTTCAAAAAGGGCCAGGTGCATTGCTTGGATAGATACTACGAGTTTCTCCAATGGTTCCTTGCTGCCTTATGACTACACCCAGACATCAGCAAAACTGCCACCAGATTAGCGCTCAGGTGATTGCGAGTCCCGACGAGTTCGATTCCCATCCCTCAGCCTCCTCAGCTCCCGCCTATCCCCCTAGTGACATGTCTCAGCCTCCACATCTAAAATGCATCCTCGTCCTCACTCAACTACTCACCTCCGTCAGTAAAACTGGAATCTCGAATTCCCAACTATCGCCAACCTAGGACAGCAGTAGTCAGTATTGCCTCCATTTGCATTGGAGCCACGTAGTCGTACATGCTTCGCGTTGAAGTCTATCCAGTGCGGCCACTTTCCCCTCAAATAGCCCTCAATTTTCTGCCATGGGAAGTCCTGGTACGCTGGATATCTGTCCTGCACCCGCCCCGTGTTGGCCTCAGACGGAAACGTGGGCCTGCGTTGGGCGTTGCTGGCCTTCAGCAAGGACGAGTCGGTAGGACGTCGGAACATGATCTCGTGGACGACTATCTATTCTAGAGCGAAGATAGAAGTAGGAGGTTTCAAGATACGACTAGTGGGAGCGAACAATGTGGACAGTGGTGTTCCGCTGTCTCAAATCCTAATATTTGAGGTGAGCAGGTTGAGAATTTATCCGTTTCCACACGTTGCATCATTTGCGAGTGGCCGCACCGGAACCTACGGCCTCGTTACACCACGATGGAACTGCAACTAGGCTACTGTACTCTTGCATGAGGGCGAATTAACGGTTTCGCAATCGCCTTCACGCCCTTCAAAGGCCCCGGTTCGAATCCCGGAGAGGTTGTCCTAAGAGGTTGCCGCGAAAACGAGGTGTGCAAATTAAAAAGCAGAACGTGTCAAAGACTAGGCAACACTCCGGTGTCTCCTGCAAGGCTGAGAAAACCGGAGCCTCGACAGAGCGGTTCCAAATTGTCTCCGGTGTCCCATAAGGCGAGAGGTTGCACCAGCTCCAACGATTGGCTGTACGTGGCATACTTCCGGTCAGCCCAACTCGGAATCCCTCTTGTCCTTCAGCCTCATCGTCTCACTGATTGCCTTCATTCAGCTCTAGCTTCAGCACTGGACAGTATTAAGTTTTCTCCACATTTCGAGTACGGATTTAATGTTCTAAATGACCACGTTTGACCCTCCTTTGCTTATTTTTTTTGTACTTAGCATAGATGACAGTCCCAATATCTCGCGTCGAACACATATCACTACGCCGAAAAATTTGGAGATAAACTTCAAATAGATATTCATTCCTTGAATCAAAATTTCGCCGGGCCTAGACACCAGCCAAAACTGTACGTTTACGATCAACAACCACGGAGACTCACTCATGCTCGATTTATTGCTGTCTCTCAATCTCCTCGACACCTATTTCTCCCACTAATCACGCCGCTTAACTCGTGATGCGATAATAATTCGCTCGACTCACTTCTATCAAGTACGCTAAGATATGGAATGCGCAGCTATCACTGACCTGAAGCACCGTTTGCACCACCGTTCTTGTCACCGGGCAGATCTTGCAAACATGCTGTACCTTAACGTACTTCCATACCGGCCATTTAGCTCTGAGATATTTCTCGACTGTATTCCTACCATAACAGCATTCAACGAAAAGTGCGAAAATGCAACGGGCTATAGGTGCTCCCCAGGAATGAAGTCATTATCCCCTACAATTACCGTGGTGCTTGGATCTCAACCTAGAATATATGCTTAACTTAGAAGTCTAGAACACCGAATGCGATTGGTAACAACGAACGTTATCGTACTACGATAACCTAACTCCTAAATTTGAAAGGCCGTCAATTTCATACATCAGCGCAGACACGCCCTGCGAGCTGTCACTCTCCGCTACATCATCGCGGCAAGAAGTGCGAACGTTCGATGTCTTTAAAAATATATTGTGATGCTCGCGAATATTTCGAAGACAACTCAATCGCGACGACTCCACTAGATGACCAGTATTTGACCGTGAGAACGTGGCTACAACACATGCTGCTCACATGCTGCTGCAAATCGACGGAGGTATAAGTCTATTTTCTGCTACAGAGGTGAGAAAGAATGGTGTCGAGTCTCGGGAGAGCACGCGGCGGTTTTCATTACTTCAAGGTTGCCATGCTGACTAACACATGCACCCCTGGCCATGGCAAGCCAGGCACAAAGAGAAGCCTTACCAAGTTTTGGTCTCTCAGTTTGGTTCCCCCTGGCCATTTCCTTCCACTCCTTAGTCTATGATTCCATCTTATTTACGATGGGCAGGCCCCCACCTGAAAAGAATCTTGAGATGAAGGGAACGATTGCCGATCCATAGGAGGAAGGAGGAACATATTCGGGGATATTAAATGTTAAAAATTCTCGAGGATTTGCTTACTTACCTTTCTATCTGAAGGAGGTCTGATTGTGCTAGCTGTGCCTTAATTAATTGATAATCTCAGGTTTGGCTTACCATCACCCGAGTCTCCCCGCCGACTTCATTCATATTCCGTACAGTAGCATCTGCACCCACAAAATTGTCGTAGGATAACCCAATTTCGAAGTCTGATATCTTTTCCTACCATATCAGATGGGCAAAGGATTCTGAACGAAATCCTGCTAGGCAGAGTCTTGGTACCAGGGAACGAAGAATATGGGAAAACCAACAGCGCATACTTCACCCTTTCGAGGGCAGCATGAAACCTTCCTTCGTCGCTCAGCCAACGACTGCAAACGAAGTTTCTGCTCTCGCACAGGCCTCGTATCCACCCCCCAACAGAGGTGAGTGCCAAATGGCCGTTCGAGAAAGCGGTCACGCACCATTCGCTGTAAACATTGCTGGGGGGAGACTTGGAGTTCAGGGTATGCCGAACTTGAAAAGTACAGGTTGACGACAGCTAGGGGGCGTGATCCAAGGGTCGGGGTGGTTGGACTTGTGCTTGGAGGTAAATCCTTGATGGATGGCAGTTCCTCGCAGTGATATCTAGTACTCTTACAGGAGGCCTCTCTTTGTACTCACCCCAACACGGCTTTGCCTGAGATTCCGTCATCGACTTTGAAGCCGTTCTTGCGTCCGGCGAAATTGTTCATGCAAACGCTCAAGAGCATCGGGCCCTCTGGATTGCGCTTAAAGGAGGCTTAAACAACTTCGGAATTGGTACTTCGATGAAAATGAAGACATTTGAGTCTGGCCCTATATGAGGAGGAATTACGTTCTATCTCCCAGATGTATTTCCCAAGCTTATGCAAACTACCTGCGATTTTGCACCGAATGGTACTGACCAGGGCAGCGTTGTGATTTCTGGCATCGGGTAAGCTCTTGGTAATATGATAGTGTCTTGTTGCATGGACCATATGAAAGGGTTGGACAATCCTCCCGTGCTGCAACCGTTCGCCTCGTTGCAACCGCAGATCGAGCATTATACTACCATGAGGTCTTCGACACATACGTAGAATTCGATTAACCATCTCGCGTAGCTTCCCCAAGTATCCATTTAACTGAAAACCCATCTTGATCTGGCGTTAATCGCTGCTGGTGTTGATGCGATATCGTACTATTGGTCGCGTCCTTGAGTCGAACCTGTAGGGTGCTCCACGGGATACTATACGTCTTTGCAGCAGCCCTTTGGCTCTTATAAATGCTAGTACTATAGTCCGTAATAGGCTGCTCGATAGCTAGCTCGAGATTGTCCATAGTTAATCGAGGTGTGCTGAGTTAACGCGCTGAGAAGTGTGGGTGGTGGGGCACGGACGCGGATTTTAGGAGGCAAGAGAATGTGGCCTTAAAAAGATAGAGAATATGAGATGACAAGAGAACACATGAAAGGAGAACAAGTGCTCTGGTGCAGGGTGGAGAAGGAAGGAAGGGAAGAATAGAATCTGAAGTTTTCCAATGACAACTATATACACAGAAGAATGCTCTAAGACAGCTCTATGCAAAGGTAGAACCTTGCAATAGCTTGTACTCCTTATCCTTATCATCTTCACTTATGATCGATCTTGTAGAAAAAGTTTCCGATCTTGAGGTTGGACTTGATAAGGGTGAAAACGTCCTCGATGTGCGGGCCGGTAGAGCAAGTGTTTGGTACTGTCGGGGACGCTCTGCTCGTCTCGAAATGAGAGCTTTTTGGATGTCATATTCCCTTTGTTGCTTGTCTCTAATCCTGCCAATGATGTTGAGCGAACTTTGGAGATCCGCTCGCTCTTCCGGTGTCTGCCCATCAAGACTAATCCACCTCACACCTTTCACCTTTTCGATGCCATCTAGATCTGGATGTCGTGGATGCCCAAAGAGCGCAATGTTCCATGACGACAAATCCGTGCCATGGTTTGCAGAAAGTTGAGTAATTGAGAACTTTTCGCGCTTCGGAGGATGGCACTCTAAGACTGTCCGGAGGCACTCGGCTTGCTTTTTCTCTTTTTGTGAGCCGCAGTCACAGGACGGAAGGTGAATTTGAATGCTTGGGTCAACTACAGATTAATCAGTTTGCATACTTGTTCATTCTTAGCGAAGGGAATAAGCGCAAGGAATGGGACGTACGCTGTAAGACAAGGAATGTAGGCTTTCCGCTGACTTCAGTGAACAAAATTACGATTGGTAATGCGGGTCGCTGCAGAACTACGACATTTCCTGCATCAGGCGCAGGTTCGGGGAACCGCGGTCGAGGTCGAATGGTTGATGCCATGGTATTATTACTGTGGATAGAATCGGCCCGGCTCTGCGTCGGAAAAGAGCTAGTGGAGGGGAGCGATTGATAATCTTGTCTCGGGGGTGCAAGAGGCTTTGCTTGCCAAATCTGGATGCGGCCCAGGCCTTGCATCTTCTCCGTCCGACCCCAGGAATTCGATCGATGGAAGGCCCAGCGGAAATTAGAACTGGCATTATTAATACAAGCCACACATGAGGACTAGGAAAGTATTTACTTATCGAATACGACTTTGTATCCTAGAAGGGCCTGCTGGAACTTCAGCAAATCCTCATCCACCTTGAACTCATACGTGTAGCCGCTGCTTGCGCCTGGAAAACAGAGTTCGATAATATTTTGGTACGGTACTCTTGGTCGACCTGGTAGGGCATATCTTGGAACTACCTGCACTTGATGCATATTAACCACTTTGTTATCTTCATGTGGTGCGAACGCACTTCCCCCTCCATTCAAGCGAGATGTGACGGTGACGAGTCGCAGTTCGTTTCGGGGCCGCCGAAACACGATCAACTCTTTCTGGTGTTGCCCATGGTCACCCAAAGAGACCGCAAGGATTTTCTCTTCCTGCTGACTCTCGTCAGCCTCCGTGATCGATACAGTATTCGTCTCTTGTGGAGGCATCCAGATTCGAAAGGAGTCTAGGTCTAGACTGGCAATATTGGCTTCTTCCGCGATGATTTCTTGCTCATACTTGGCGTATTCCATTTTGATCTGTTCTTGGATACTTTCTAGACACCATCTCCAGAGCGAATCGGGACCAGCTTCTCTCAGGTGGGTGCTCTCAACCATTCGATCGAAGATCCAACGCGCCTTGATAAGGTTGTTGAGTTGATGAACAGTCGGATGCCATATTCCAAGGCCATTTCCCGTGAATTTGATCGTGCTCTGCACAAGAGAATTAACACATCGATCGATCCGATGCTCTAGAGGGTACCGTACCTGTTCTAATGCATTCGCAAGAGCGTCTAGTCCTTCTTTTAAGGGAAACCTCGTGGGATCCTCGTACGCGTTTGGCTTGTCGCGCTCGAGAGCGGCGATATACTGATCGTGAAGTTCTAGCATGACTGGGTGGAGGCCATCTTTTCTTGGTCCTCCAGATAATCCGGCTAAGATTTCTCTCAGGACAAGAAGCGGCAGTCGCTCAATTTGAATTCGAATATCTCTGAGAGCATTCGCTGTTGCAGCCTGAACTGAGACGGAGAGAGTCTGCATAAAAACACTAATTTTGGTAGAATGAAATTGGATTCTCGCCCTCAACTTGTCTGCGCTCTCTTGTCCCCCAAAGACGTGCCATTTTGCATTGTCCCAAGCATTCGCTTTCTTAGTCAGGTATTTCCCATTCTCTTCTAGAAGCTCCTGACACTGCTGCACCGTCTCGAGAAAACCTCCGACCAATTCTGCTTGCTCTTGCTTTTCCTTGAGCGTCTTCAGCTCCCAAGAATGGTAGTCTCGGACGGAAAGTTGTATTTCGCGTACTCGGGCGAACTCGTCAAACGCCTTCCCGAACTTATCTAGAAGGCTTTCGAGCCCGCCGATGTCGCGGCCAAACTGGAAGTAGTGGATGTCTTGAACGTAACGTCCAGTTAGCGAGATTCTTCTGGGCGAAGACAGCACACTGCAAACAAACCTGCACGATTCAGCTTTGAGAACCAAATATCTTTGATTTGCTTTGCAGTCTTTGAGGCTAGTACGATGTCAGTGATGCTAAAGCCGAGCGACATCGGGCCGTTCCGGTGATGAAGAACTGGGGAGCATTTACTGCACGACGATACAGCGTTGATCCTTTCTCAGCCCGCTGTATATGTAGAATCATAGTTGTCGAATGGACGAAATGCGTTTGTGGTAACCGGATACACAAGCTGCGCCCCAATACTGGCGAAGTCCAAGTCCGTATCGCCTCACTTTTTCAGCTGGTGGACACGCTCATTGGCGAGGCCAAGGCTGTGGCACACCCACCAATACTTGAGGGTACAAGGCGCAAGGCAACCACGACGCCACAAGACTCTTTGGTCTTTCCAGAGTGGATAGAATCTCAATTCTACCCTGAGCACAGCCTAGCTTGGACACGCTTTGAGGCTATGATTCCAGTTTCATTCACCGGTGCGACGCCACACCGACCCCGTGGATATGTTATTTGGAGTGACCGGATGCGATCGCTTTTCCATCTGATGTATGTATAGTGGTAGAAGTACAGCCGCTTCCTTGTATCTGAGACAGCGAGTATTGTAAACCTCACTCAATCCGGACCCTATCATCCGCACCGAAGAGCCTCGGGCCTCTCTGCAACTTATACTCCTCACATGATGGCGACTTCTACACCAGGAAAATTCGACGAGGAAGACCTTGTGGAGCTCGAGTTGGACCAGGAGCGGATGCGTAAGGAATATGCTCCAAGCCGGCAGGAGAAAATTCACTCGTTCACTGTCATTTGTCTCATCTTCAACCGCAGTATTGGTTCCGGTATCTTCGCCACTCCAGCGAAGATTCTTCAGGGAACAAACAGTGTGGGTGTGAATATCGTCTTCTGGGCCATTGGGGGGTTACTCGTCATGTGTGGGACACTTGTATGGCTCGAATTTGGGCTTTCCATCCCTCGCGAGCATGTCGATGGCAAAGAACGCGCCGTTCCTCGTAGCGGCGGGGAGAAGAATTATGTATGTGCCTTTTGTACAAATTTCTCACTTTCAACTTTTCAGGCTGACACGTGCAGCTGGAATGGATACTCCGAAAACCAAAATTCCTCGCAACGTGCATGTATGGCATTGCCTTCATCATCCTCGGAAATCTCTCCGGGAACGCCATCGCCTTTGGACGATACGTCCTGCTGGCCGCCGGATATCAGGATCCACAACGAGGTCCGGTGATTGGTCTTGCAATCGCCGCTCTCACTGTAGTGGCACTTCTTCATGCATTTTCTCGACGAGGTGGAATCCTGGTAAACAACCTCTTTGCTATTATGAAAGCATGTATCCTCCTCACCATAATCATCCTTGGTTTCGCTGTACGTGGTGGCCGAAATTTCAACAATGAAGAACCCCGACCGACAGGAGCAAGCCTCAACCCGAACGATGCCTTTACCAGTACAGCGAAAGGGCTGGCTAGCTACACGTCCACATTCTTGTATGTTCTTTACACCTATTCTGGCTTTGAACAACCCTTCTACGTTCTCAGTGAGGTACATCAGCCGCGGAAAAACTTCGCCCGAGCTGTTATATCCGCCATGGGTCTGCTGACTGTGCTCTTCGTTCTCGTCAACATTGCATACGTCTGTGTCGTCCCAATAGAGGTCATTGTCAAGCCAGAAAATGCAGACGTCGACATCACGAGCCTATTCTTCGAGCAAGTTTTCCATAATGACGTTGCCAAACACGTCGTGCAGGCCTTTGTGGCGTTTTCGATCCTGGGGAACCTAATCGTTATGACATTCACAGCCGCACGCGTTAAACAAGAGATCGCGAAAGAGGGTATACTACCAAAGAGTTTGTGGTTGGCGACGGGGAAAACGACACCCACGGCAAAATTTCTCGCTAGAATCACGAAGAAAAAAGGAGACGCTAACATCGTTGATGGTAAAGAGGATTTAGAACAGTCCCCAATGGCTGCACTTGCTCTGCACTGGGTCTCCTCCATTTTCTTAATTGCAATCACAGCGAAGCTCAAGCCGGGAGACGCTTATAGTTTTCTGGTGTCATTATATGCGTACGTTATCATATCAGTGATGGGGTTCTTCACCAGTCTAGGACTGGTATACGCCAAGTATGTACGGAAAGATTTTGTTTCGCAATACTCTCCACTTGGCGGCTCCACAGCGGCTATCATATACTGGTAAGTATTACAACCAAATTTAACTAAATATCTTCGGGTTTTAACAATCTAACAGTGTCTGTAATGCCTTCCTCCTGGTAACGGCCTTTCTCAACCCGCCCAACAGCCTCGCTCGGACAACCACTGCCATACCCAACTATGTCGTGCCGACTATTGGACTTTCTTCTGCTCTTTGGGGTATAGTTTGGTGGTTGGGGCTCCGGCTCGTCATGGAACAACGAGGTCAACGTCTTGTGGTAACGAGAACACCGTTCTGCGATAAAGGCGACGATAAAGGAGAGTGGGTATTAAAATATGAGATTATTGATCACGTATGGAGGGCAGATAGTGAGACTGGAAGCATGAGGATGAGGCAAATGAGTGATGGGCAAGCAGGGGTATGATTGTCAGAAACTATTTACAAAGTGAGCGCTTAAATAAATCGTTGAATTTCATCAGAACCATGATCGCGGGATAATATAAGCATCTATTACTGAAATAACTCTATTTAATAACCAAGCCGAAAGAGTAGATGACTGGCTATAGGGATGCGGCGCAATAATCTGTAGTTAGCCGGGTCAGATTTCCGAGTTACAGTGAATCGCCGCTGAATAACCTCACAAGATACATGATCCTTGCAAATTCTAGTAGTTTGTGGATTCAATCGGATAGGAGTACTTTGACACATGTCCGTATACGCTAGCAGTTCTTAAGCTCCCTGGCTCTCAATCTGAAGAATTATATTCAGATATGGTCTGGCTCCTATACAATGGCAATGGGAAAAAAGCATTTGCGCCGTCCATTGACGAACCACAAGGCATCAGAACTATCGTCATGGGAGGTCATCGTACAGTTGTTGGGGGAAACGTCTTTGAAACGATATGAATCTCTATTATAGCAGGTTGCCTTTCCGTCTAAGAGGTGGTGCGATGAGACGGTGGAGATACGTATTAACGGAAGAGACGCACAGGAGGGCTCACTATAATGACTCTGTACACGTCACTTACTCCTCGTGGGTTAGAGTACGCGGTGCGTATTCATGCACAAATGCATGGGTTGAATACAATGGATCCGGACTGGACTCTGCCAGCAGGGAGGCGGCCACGGACTGACTTGTCACGAGAAGGATCTAAGACTTTAGGGATTGATGAAGCAGTCATTTTCATACTAACCAGTAGAGCAACAGGTTCCTAGGTGATGCGGCTCATGCAAGCACTGCCGAGTCCTAAGGGTTAATGCTTCAAGCTGGGCGAGGCGCGCAGCTTCATGCAAGCAGGTGGAAAATAGGGGTACGCACCGGCATGAGCTGACCTCTCGAGCTGACTGGAAATTATGCGGAAGGCCCGGGAATCCTTAACGTGTCCGCTCACTGGAAGGGGATCCGGACGTCTGGCGAACCTACTGGCGAGGTGAGGCATTCTTCGATCCGAAAACGTTGGAGATTGGAAGGCCTCCGGGTTTGTAACTAGGCTGTGGGAGTTGGGGCGATGATGATATGTACATGAAGATACATACAGTATTCCCACATCAATAGACGTGGATGCAGATGCCCAGGATGTCGTTCTGTGTTCCCACAACTGTCCGGCCTTGGAATTATTGAAACACGTTATCTCCCCATCATCATTGGCTAGTTGGACTGTTTCGCTGAGCTCTAGATCAAGCTGCGTGGCATTTCAGTGGCGAGAGCCGTGCGACCTTGACGAGGGCTTTATCGGTACTTTTACATCGTAAGTTCGTCCGTCGACAATCGCGACATATGAATGAGAGTATTTGGAATCGCGGAAGAGATCTCTCGCTGTTCCTCTCGTTGCATATTCTAATTTCGTTGCGTATTCTAACTTAAGACCTCGTTCGTCTAAGCCCAATGATTTTGTCGACGCCATCTGGCAAATACCGAAGCACGACTCGGCCTTCTGGGCCGCTTTTGGAAATGACGACGGGAGAGAACGGCGGGAGACAACGGCGCAAGATTGTGGTTGGGATAGCGGGTGGCATTTCTCCGGGCGTAGAAAGAGCTACTATCCCTCCTACTTAAGTGGTGATACGTGGAATCTATCAGGTGCTCAGGGTTAGAGTATGTTTCTTTGAGCTTCTCGAGCCGGTTTTTGTTTTCGCTCACGATCTGCTGTGACATCTCCATGCAATCCTGTGCTAATTCTTGCATCTCGTCAAAGCTAACTGTATCTTTAAACGTACGGTCTTGATGGATCTTCGGCGCCCGAGGAAACCGCGGAGCATAATACCTGGCATTGGCCGGTTTGTCAAAGCCAGCACCCATTACATCCGCGACGAAGGGTCACTTAAACAAGCTGATTGGCCAAGGCAGCCGCCCTCGTTCTAACCTGACGTCGAGCTCGGGAGTGGGAAAAGAAAAGGTACTCACTTCTGCGAAGATCCGAGTAGCTTTACTAAGGATAGAGTCAGGTGTATGTTCTTTGATATACTCACTCGAACCTGTATGGAATTGTCCATTCCACGGCCCCTTTCCACTTCGCCTGGACAATCACACAGGACGTTAGCCACCGGCTACGCAGTCGGATACGATCCTAAAACGTCCCTCGTCATTTCACTCCCCAGAAGCTTTTTAGTTTCGCTTTGGTATCATTTCATTCGGCTCCGTATTCGCAACAAGCAATCCTGCTCACCGTTCACACGTCCAATTAGGACAGTATCTAGACTTCCATCTTTATACCGAGGATCCTAGGGATTACTAACCACCTCATTGAGATTGCTATCGTCGGCAATGGTAGGGTCAAGTAACTCTGTCATGTTTTGCTTGAATAGCATTTCCTGGCGGCGGAGATCATCTGTGAACGAAATGAACTCTTTGTGAAAGTTAAACCCCTCATTAAGTAATGGGAACCCTTGTTCGTATTGGCTAAGCAAACTGAGTGCAAAGGGAAATCCACCCAATACTAGCCCCCCCGATTTCAATTCCCGGCATTTCAGACTTTTTCTCGGCTTTTGCAGGGTACTGATAAAATCACGGAATGTAAAACAAATTGAGCATGTGCTCGGGTGAGAAAAAGCAAACACATATAAGCGAAATGGTGGCTTTTGGGCTGATGATCACTCGACATTGGCTTCGAATCTTCTGATATTTCTTTACACTTCCGTCATACGATGTATCGCGACTCCTAAGCTGGGTTCGTATTTCAGCCTTCATCAGAAGATCTTTTTGACTTCCAACTCTCTTTACGGCTCCCAGCCTTGTTGTGATTTCATTACACAATGAGCTATACCGAAAGCCATAAGCTTCACACCCTTGCGCAGGCTTGTTGTGTAGGTCTCGAAGAAGTACTAAAGGCCTTCTAGTCTTCGCGTAGCTTATGAAAAGGAATAATCTCTTGTAATGTCATTTAAGGGTACCTTGAACGTTTCACACAATGACCAAACAACGCTGGTGCATCAGTCTAGGCGGAATATGTTTCCTCTCTTGCAGCTCAATTGATCATTATCTTGTCATTTTGCAGACATTCTCCCATGCGCTAGCCAATCTCCAGGAGTTTATAGCGGAAAGTATGCAACACCCGAGAACACCACTTGTTAAACCATGTACCGCCAGATGGCCTCAGCAAAACCTTCGGTGGTTCAATGGCAAACTGCCTCTATCGCCGGGTTAGTTAGATGGCTGGCGATGAAGGGCATGCAGTTATGACTGGTCAATTAGGTGGTGAGAACCACACTAGGTCGACTGATTTATAATTTAAGGTCTGGTCTCAGGAGGTTGAGGTAAGAAGTATTAACTAGTTCTGAATAGGAAATTAATGTGAATCATGGTCATACATTCGCCCTTAACCCAGGGTCACGTGAGAAAGAAGTCATGTGCGACGCCCTCTTCTGACCATACTGGAATGGTTTATTCTTCCTATCCTATTGGATCAAGCTTCGAGCGGCCTCTGAAGAGGTCTATGAGAGGAGAACATCGTCACTGGGGCTTTTCATTTTAGCCGCTATGCTTGGGGGAAAAGAAGCTAGCTAATTATCTTCGTTGTGGAGGATCTGGACATTATGAAAGGTCACATGCGGAGAAAAATGTTGTACCATACTAAATTTGGCCCTGGGTCAGTAACTTACTCACGATTTGCTCAACAATTACGGGCTTGAAGGAAACGGCGTTCCTAACTGTACGTAATACATTACAACTTGCTAAATTAATAGTTGTAACTTCTTAGATTATTAGTACATTTTAATATAAGCATAATATTTAAGTCTACTTATAAAGTATAACTATTATAATTTACATTTTTTTTACATTTTAACATTTTATAAAAAGTTATGTTATAATAGCTTATATATAGTCTACTAAGAATAATAATTTACTATAAACATAGCACTAATATAGCTAGTTTTTCTATAGTTAAAAAGCTTTAATTATTAAGCTAGAAAGCTTATTTTTATTATAAGTAATAGTCTTTTTACTACTACTAAAGCTTCTTTTACAGTTGCAGCTTATAAATAAGATAAATAAAAAGTTAAGAGTAATTTTATATAGTATAAAATAGGCAAGCTGTCTAGCTTGTTTTTACTATGTAAAAGAATTAGTAAATAAAGGGCTATTATTTTTAGCTATAGTAATGTCTTTATAGTAACTATTATAGTATTACTATAATTCTATTATTTTCTACTACTTTTTATATAAATAATTACTAGTAAAAAGTCTTATATTTATAAAAAAAAGTCTACTTAAAGCTTTTATTATAATACTTACTACTTAGTAACTTATGTTGTATAGATAGTAGTTACTTATTATTCTCTACCTTTACCTCTACTTTAGTATTAATATACTTTTAAAAAATAGCTTTTATTAAAGCCTTAGCTTTTTTATGCTATAAAAGGTGCTTATGCTAGTAGTTTTTAAACTAAAGAAGATAAATCTAAAAGTTAAAAATAGTTATAACATAATAATAAAATATAAGCAGCTTTATAATAAACTTTTTTTAGTATATAAGCAACTTTTTTATGCTAAATGCTACACTAGATTTAAAGTAGTAATTATTACTTTTACTTTTAAGTTTATTCTTTATTTAGAGAAGCTTAGTATATAAGTGTTATAAGTTAATAATAGTTATTTATAAAAATTTATAACATACTTCACAGGCAAGTTGCTTACACACCTAAGTTGCTTACTTTTGCTAAGACCCTACTAAACTACCCTTTCTACACTAATGCATTCCCTATAACACTACTTAGACGCGCTAAAAGAATGTTAAATATAGCTTATGCTCTAGGCTTTTAAATAAGACATAAAACTCTTAAAGAAATGTACTATAGCTATATGCAAAGTCTTATAAAAAATAATAAATAACTATAGCGCTAGATAACCTTTATAAGCTAATTCTATAGCTAAATTATAAAGGCTAAGTAATAAAAAAAAGTAAGTAATTATTAAGACTATACTTAAGCTATATACGCAAAGAATTTCCCCTTAGATAGCATTTATAGCTAATATAGCTAATTTTTTATGCGCTAAGCATAATCTAGGCTATGTTTACATAAACTAGCCTAGTATGTTTATAAAGTGTTATTTAAAGCTTAAAGTAATGTTTAAGTGTAAGTATAACTATAAGAAAGCTTTTTATAAGAGTTCTAAAGTAATTTAAAGCAGGTTTAGCCTTATAAAGAATATTAAAGCTAAGTATAGCATCTAGAATAATAACATATATAACTTTAGTAAGATAAGGTTTATAATTAGCTAAATATCTTTTAACTATACTTATACTTAAAACTTTACTTTAAGCTCTAAATAACACTTTACAAATATACTAGGCTAGTTTATATAAACATAGCCTAGATTACACTTAGCGCGCAAAGAATTAGCTATATTAGCTATAAATGCTATTTAAAAGGAAATTCCTTGCGTATATAGCTTAAGTATAGTTTTAATAATTACCTACTTTTTTTTATTACCTAGCTTTTATAATTTAGCTGTAGAATTAGCTTATAAAAGTTATCTAGTGCTATAGTTATTTATTATCTTTTATAAAACTTTATATATAGCTATAGCACATTTTTTTAAAAGTTTTATGTTTTATTTAAAAGCCTAGAGTGTAAGCTATATCTAATATTCTTTTAGCACATCTAAGTAGTGTTGTAGGGAATGCATTAGTGTAAGAAAGGTAGTTTAGTAGGGTCTTAGCAAAAGTAAGCAACTTAGGTGTGTAAGCAACTTGCCTGTAAAGTATGTTATAAGCTATTACTTTTAAAGTGTTTTATTATAAAGTAAAAAACTTTAAAAAACTTATAAAAGTAATTAACTTTTTTTATTTATTTTTAGTAACGTACCTAACGGGTTGGCTGGCCACACAGGTTGGCCGGCCACTTTTGCCAAGCCCCTACTAAAACCACCCTATTCTCTTATAAAACAGCCCACTTTAGCCCTGTATAAAGTAATATAATATAAGATATTATTTAGAGTCTACTTTTACTACTTACTTACATATACATAAGTTATGTCTAGTTTAATTACACTGCCTACATTACTTTTAACTTAGCTTACCTTCTTTAGCGCGCACCTGCGTCTTTAGCTTCTTTCTATTACTACGCGCTCTAAACTCCTTTAGAGTAGTTAGATAAGCCTTATTTTTAACTATTAAAGTTTTTTTTGCTTAAATCTGCTTTCTTTTATGTAATTTATATTATGTAGTAGCCTTATTTGCTGCTTAAAGCTTTATAATTTTATAGCCTACTTTATTATGTTAATGCTCTAGATAACTATTGTCTACTTTTTATTACTTTACTATATTACTTTTAGCTGTTTTTATTTCTCTAAAGCTATAATAACTGCTTTAGTTAATATCTAGCTTATTATAAAGCTTAACTTATTAAAGTTATACCTGTCTTTATTCTAGATACTATACTTAGCTTTTATGTTAGCTACTAGGTAAAACTAGCTTTAGATAACTTTTAAATTTTTATAAAGTACTTTTTTATAATTATACTTATAATTAAACTTTATTATAAACTTAAAGTAGTGCTTAACCTACATACTAGTCTAGTTTAAGCTAACCTAGCCTAGATTACACTCTATAGGTAAGGAATTAGCTATATTAGCTATAGCTGTAAGCCTAAAAAGAAATCTGCGTGTAATAAGCTTAAGTATATACTTAACAACAACTTTTTTTTTAAGCTTAGTTAGATTTTTTAATTTAGGCTAGCATTCTGCTTATAAAGGCTGTCTAGCGCGTTAATTACTTAGTGTTATGTAAGAGACATTATAGATAGCTGTAGCACATTATAAGAAGAGTTTTAAGTTTTATTTAAGAGCCTAAAAAGTAAGCTATATCTAACATTCTTTAGAAGATTTAATCTAGTGTTGTTGTTAAGGCATTATGTAGATAGGTAGAGTTTAGTAGGGGCTTAGCAAAAGTGGCTGGCTAACCTGTGTAGCCGGCCAACCTGTTAGGTACGTTAATAATTTTAGTAAAAGTAGCATTACTAAAAATAGTAAAGTTAGTGCTATTATTCTTAGTACTTTTTTACTTATAAA